TAGCCCATAGGCAAGTTTTCCACTGGTGCAAGATGGATCACTGCTTTCAGTCTTCTCATCTTCCTCATGCTCATCATCCTCTCTCTCTTCCTCAAAGAGAAAACTGGTGGGCAGGTCATAAAAACTCTCCTTGTCCTCTTACAGTCATACTGTCTTTGCTGATCTGCTGCTCTGGCTGAGCATCTGGTCCAGCAGGGGGGCTTGAAAAGTTTGAGGCATTAAGATAGGCAGAGGTGGATTGACTCCCAATGCTGGAGTTATATCAGTTTCCTTCAGCCACTCATACTGTCTCCATTCACTCACAATAAAGGCAGACATTTTGGTGGTATTAGTCATTAAGAAGCTGCCTGACCACTCAGCTTCTGAGGAATCCTCAGAGAGCATGAGTGGAGATGTGGACAGTGTCAGATGTTTGTAATCTGTAGTGTCCAAGGATAGACTCATCATTGTTGAACATAGTATCAGCACTAGAGGCTCTTTGGGAAAGGAGATACTAGAGAGTTGGGGGGGTATCAGAAGAGTTCTGGAACATCATCCTGAGACAGAGGAGTGATGCTATTGTCTCTGGCTCAGGCCTCATTAGTAGTGAGTACTTTGGTGTTTGCCTACTGCTCTAGGGCCTATGGGTCTGACTCAGTGATACTGGGTTCTCTAAAGATCAGGGTTGAAAAGGAGTGGTCTGCTCATACTGGTGTGAGTACTGAGACAATCTTGGGGTGGAGCCCATACCAGTTGAAGATGTCAGCCCTTTCCAATCAGACCTGCTTGATGTTTCATTGCTGCTCTTTGTGCTGCTGATCATACTCAGCAGCCTTGCATGTCTACTAACTGCAATTGATAAGGTGCTCCTCAAGCTCACTTTGGACTGGCTGTGGAGCATTATGCTGTCTCTGTTCTTCTTGTCAGAGAGCTTTATCATAATTGAATGGGATGTTGAGGTCCCATGTAAAGAATAAGCAATAGATGATTTTGTTTTGGTTTTTTCTAATCTGTCACTTGTTGTTGAGCCTGTCCAAGGAGGACCACCCCATCCTGGTGCTGGTTTCAGCAGAGTGTTAGACTAAGATGCTACAAGACTGGCTTCTAAGTGCTGTAGAGTGGGATCTTGAAGCCACCTGAGTGACATCAAGGGAATCTCTGGCATGATTAGCAATTCTGTGAATTCAAGAGGTGGTGGAATGGTCAGAGGAGAGAGACTGCTGAAAGAAGTCCTGCAGGAGGTTCTAGTCTTCTTGGTTAGAGACTGGAACTCATGGGTTTCTGAATCCTGCAATGTGAGGGTTGCTGTTTCTGCTGTTAGATCTTTGAGGAGGGTATTCATATCTCTCCTCTTCTTGAACATCCCCTTGATGTAGGCTGCTAGACCTGGCTTCAGATAAGAGGCTGGTCATGGGCTGATGGGATGTTTGTTAGGATTCAGGAATGTTATGTAAAGGAAGGTCAAGGGTTATGTTGCATAATATATGTCAAATATGTTGGAACTTGTTATAGTGTCTGATTGCCCAAGCAGTGATTAAATGGCATCTCTAGCACAGCTGGATAATCACTAACAATCCTAACAATGTTCCAATGATAAAAGCAAGGAGTTCAAAGAACTCTCAGTCAAAGTTCAGGTCTGATGTGTTGATAAAGAGTATTCAGTTTCCTCCACACTATAGTGTGTGAGAAAAGAGAAGAAGAAGCTTCAAGCTAATTGTTAGATCCAAACATCACATGAACAGAATCACATAATAAACAGAAGCTTCCTCACACTTTAGGAAGTCATCTGAATTCACTTGATGCATATTCTGATCAATGTATCACAAGACCTTAGAGTTGGCTCGAGTATAGAATGGTGTAAGAATAAACTTTAGCTTGAAGCTGGGGATTTCCAGTGAGAGCAAGTCTACTTAAATACTATACAAGTTATAACTATTAATACCATTGCCTATTGTGCATTGTCATGTCCTTTGTGCCCATTGTTCTTAGGTGTTGCTACTGTATATAAAAGACTGATTGTGCATTGTTGGGCAATGCTGTTGCATCAAAAGACAATGACTGACTTAGCCTAGTTGTGATGACTAAGCTTTGTCTTATGGTCCTAAGTGCTTGAGTTGGCACCCTGACTAAGTATAAATAGGGGTTAAATCAAGAAAAAGGAATAAAATAAGGGAAAAATCATAACAGACAGTAGCCTGCTTGGTTCTAGCAGTAGAGCTGGATTCCTGAGCCTTAGCAGTGACCACTGATGAGCCTTCAGACTCTGTATGCTTATAAAATTCATGGATCCATAACAATTCAAGTAATATTCCACTCTCTTTACAAAACCCATATCAATATCCACAAGCTCTTCTCTCAAATCCATTCTGAATCTACATTCTAGCCTTTCCAGATCACTTAGAATAGCTTTGAATGACTTGGATATCATTATGCAATCCAAATAATAAGTTAGTAAAATTATAATTTTCTGCTCTTAAGTGGGCTTTCAGTAAACCAATCATTGCAAGTTCAATGCATGTACTTTTGTTGTGAACTTTTCATTACTTGTAAACTTTCTCCTGAATAGCTATGTATCATAGGCACAGCTAGGCACAATGATACCTGATCATATGAGACATATGTTATTTCCAGTATACACACAGTATTCTAATATAGTCCACAAGGCCTACTATGATGCATATGCAAGGCTTGCTGCAGATGCCTAAGCTATTCACAGCTAGCATATAAAAGGCTAGTATACTGCAGAGGACTAATCATGTGTTTGGTTAGAGATTTGTAAGGAATATCAGAAAGACCAGCATACTATTAGCTATGTGAACTTTTAGATATGCTATGCTTAGTACAAACCTCACAGCCTTAAAGGTTTTGCATTATAAAAAGTTCACTATGCTCACTAAGCTTAGCACTGCAGTTACTAAGGCTGTTTAACATAGTATACTTAGTATTAATAAATAAGTAGTATAAAAGTAGCTAACCAAAAGTTCAATAGAAGAGAGCTAGCCTAATACATAAGACAGACTCTGAGGGAGTTGTTTGCCTACAAGTACTTTACTTTGGACATCTCTTAAATCTAATATACACACCTGAAGTTATAGTTCTCTACAGCTTTTAAAGAAATAACAGCTGATCACTATACAGTTGTTAAAACTTTGAGTGCTTACCTCTGCTCCAAAAACTATACTAGTGTTGGAGATACAAGTATACCCACTTATTCCCATTGTCTTAATAGTATTTACACTCCATCTTATTTTAATTCTTCTATTCTTTCTGTCTAATTATATTTATGCTGTCACTGAATAGTATATATACCTCATAGATTTACTTATGCATCTCAGACATGTTCTCTCACATTACAAGTGCCAGTCTGAGCTTATATCTTAATAGATATCTTCTATTTGCACTCTAGTAAACCAATGGCTAGAAAACCTTTACAGGTCACTCTTGCATGGCATTCTCAACATTTTAAGTTCACTTGCATACCTGTGTGCTTCAAAAGCAGTCCAAAGCTAGGATTGAGCCCTTTAGCCACTAACAACTCAGTACAACTGTTTCCAAACCTAGGGAACAACACCATTTGACTCTTTTGAGTTAGACACCTTGGTGCTAGAGCTTTCTTAACTCCCATAGTCCTTCTACTAGAACTGCATATAGGTTGCACCACTCAGCATCCAGATCCATACATGACATTTCTGCTATAGGAAAGCTTATATACATACTGTGAGTCTCTGTATGCACTTCAGAGTTTCATAACCCCTGTAACTATCCCTTGCTACACCCCTTGGAGGATTAGTCACCATACAGAAGTACATGACTAGACTCACCTGAACCAGCCTTCAGATTCTGTGCTTTGGTTTCACTCACCATCATAGGTTTTGTGTTTTCTGCCTGTGGGGAGTCTATTAAACAACTTTCTAGCTCATCACTGCAGTCATCAGTCATAGTGTGGGGGTTCTCCTGGTGCATCCTCAGATCTGGCTCCCATGAACAGACCACTGCAGTCTTCAATGAACAAGGCATCTTCAGCCATTGAAGCTTGATGACTTGTACCATGATGATGCATCATGATAATGGAGCAATCTATTTGCAGACTTTTTGAATTGCATTATGGATATCATTCTGATAAGCCATCATGCTGGAAATCTTCATATCAATTTGTTGGCTTCACTCTTTGACTGCAGTATATGTTATACTTAGTAGGTCCCATGAATATGATCAGCATGTTTCAAGGATGTGCTTACTACCCCCTTTCTCTTGCTGGTGTCTGCTTCCCCAGACAAGTTTGGTCTCCTGCTGCTCCATATCCATTTTGTCTGACATGGACACTGACAGATTCAATGTTCTGTAGTATACAATCATATTAACTTGCCAAACCTTGATTTATGGTGAATGCTTTCTCTCTGCTTGTCAAAGGGTTGATCTCAACCTCAACATGTAAGCATGTACACAATTCTCATGCCGATCTGTTTCTATATTATGTTGTGCAGTAGCTTTCCTTTGCTAATACCCTGATATATGACTGATAGCTCATAGGAAGAGAGGTCTTCATAGGACATCATATATCTCGCTATTCTGCATGCTTGTCTTCAAGTTCTCCCTTTCAATGTCCTATTGGATCCCATCTTTATATTGCGACATGAATCTCATTACCACCTCATTTGTCCATGGTGTCTCTCTGGATGATACTGCTTCCACCTATGGCATGCAACAAGGCATGTTGATGAATGCTCTTGTCCTCCTGAATGTGAGTATCTGTTGCCTGTAAAGAGTTTCAGGGTCCAACGCTCTATAGTATGTGCTAACCGATGGCGTCGTCGTTTGGCCGGCTTGGGTACTCTGTCGAGACGAGTCTAGCAAAAGTTTTATTCTTCCTCCCGTGTTCTTATGCTTGACTCTATGTGAGTTCTAGCTCTTTCACAATCGTCGTTATTACTACCATTCACGGTCGGCATGATAACAGCATCTGTTCTGGCTACGATCGGACTGCGTATTGCAATAACTGTTATTTCCGTCAGCCAACACATCGTCATAGCCCATGGAAGCTTAGCTCGTGGACTGAATTATTGCCAAGTAATGAATTTGGTCCTGTCATTGCTGAGCAACGTTTTTTTTCTACTTCGATTGTCGGAATCAAGGCTTTGTCCGCTTCATATTTATCTCTTACATTGATAAGACCTGACCTTGTACCTGTAGACGCCATAGACACTGGGTCACATCCCGACTTCAGCTGAGGCGGAGAAATACAACCACAGCAGAACGACTCTTAACCTTGCTCGTCGAGTCAGGGATCATTTACTGTCTTTCTGGTGTATGTATCCATTTGAAAGATTTTGATATGGCGGATTCTCAGTTCCCTCAGATAACGGTTCTAATTGCTACTGTGATTCGACTTCCCTTTGGTACTCCCGGCGACGTCTACACTCCGGTCAACGTCCAGTTCGCGGTCTATATTCATCGATACCCATTTAGCTGATCAATTTGACTGTTCAAATTAGGGAATCTATCCGACCATAGTTCTTCTCCTTCGTCATTAAGGTGAATTACACGGGACCATCATGTTCACGTTTGAAGACAAAAGAAATGCCATGGAACACGCACCAAACATATCCGCTTTGGATACCATGCAGTTTGGCGATAACCCTCATCTCACTCGGAAGAACAGAGACTCTAGTGGATGTGACGGACAACTGGTCAAGGATATCACAAGATTCTTAAGCTTCAGACAATTGTCAGATATAATACCACTTGCATTCGAAAGCGTGTACTATGAACAACCGGTTGGTACTGGTGACATTCCCACCTTTGGTATTATGGTCAAGGTGTGCAGCTTGTATAAATTGTAGGTCTTTTATCAGCTGTTCTATCTGAACTTGTACTACTTCCGACCATCTGTCCGCTACAATCGAAGAACCTAGAAAAGCCGCATTTAGATGCTCCCAGTAGAGAGGAGGAAAATTGGAATGACTTACTGATCTCATGGCAGTCCAGCCGATACGCCACGAAAGCCCATTTCTCTTCTTGCATCTTCGCCACCCTTTCTTTTCCCATCTTCCACCTGACTCTTTCCTTCGTGATACCGAATTGATCCAGAACCGACAGCACAAAAACTTCACCATTACCGTGTCCCTTTTCAAAAACGTTGATTATCGTGTCTCGGTTCATGCGCTGAATCATGCCTGCTACCGGTGTACCACGTTTATAGAATACGAGACTGAATACCGGGTCGTAGTTTCCAAATTTCTCCATCAAGGTCAAAGGACCGAAGTCTTTCATAGAAAGAGGTGCTTCATAGGTGTTGATATCGTCTCGGCGTAGACGTAGAGATACTGGGAATGGCAGTGCTTCATAGCTTAATGCTGTTATTGTCTCGAGCTCGGAAAGCCAGGGATTCAAGTTGACTCTCCGACTTGGAGCGTGTTGTGCCGGTTCACCCGGAGGGATGGGAAATTTTCCTCGGTAAGGAACCAGATCAGTTACGAGATTGTCAGAAAGTAGAGTGTTAAGGTATTCAGATATCCAATGCAGGGGGTATCCAATTGTGGGAAGTCGCATAAGAAGTCCAAAGAAGGCTACAAGGTTGTTTGGATATCGGACTCGGCACAAGAGTTCGGCACGAGGGTTCGGAGGTTCGGGTGGGAGGATGGTGGTGATGAATACACGTGTTAGCCACAAAATGAGCTCTTCACGGGTAGCAAGTGTGGATAAGAGGCGAGGGAGTGGTTTGGCAGAAAATTCAATGGCATCCCAAGGGCCACTCGCCACAATGTGACATCCAAAGAAGCGTGCGAAGTCGTTTCCGTTCAGCAAAGCGTAACTGACAAATACCCCTGGTCACAACGAGGTTAAATATATACGACATAAGGGACATACTTGTAAATTAAATTATCGCCGCTGTCTTTCCAAATACTAGGGTTTAGCAGGCAATTGGATGCAACCGAAGCATCAGGCTCCGGTTCTAGATTGGGCATGACAAACGTGGCCGTATTCATAGGCCCATGGGTGTAATCACTAACGCTGCATGAGGAAAATAGCGCATGTCAAGATATACTTAACAACTCACGGAACGTTGCTCAGCCATATTCGAGTGAACATCCGCGGGAAATCAGACGGACGATCATCAATCCCATGAGCCATCTTCATTAGCTCCTGGGAGATGTCACCCTGAAGGAGTTCTATCTTAATATGATCCTTGAGAGCCAATAGGCCATTGACCACAGCATCAAAGAAGATCTCAGAGACCGAATAGGCCGGACAATCTTCGTCCATTCTTCTTTTTTTGAATAATCCCATACGGGAATTGAATTGCGAGATACGTTCGACCATCTCAAATGCATTGAACTCGACTGATGGGTAGTCGAACTTGACTTCCTGGACACCATCCTATGCGATCATTAGATGATGAGCGAAAGGTGCAATCCGATGCTTACAAAAAGTGATGGGTTCGGTTTCCAAGTCGCTTCAATGTGTTCTACTGCCTGAAATACATATGAACATATGAAATGCTATTCTCGACGACTATGTGTGGAGTCATACCTGCTTCTTCAAATTCTGCGAAGGCGATCGCAATACACTAGCCCAGAGTTCGTCGAATGCCTCATGACGGTACCTCAAAACTTTGGGTGGAATGAAGCACTGAGTAATACCATACCATGCCTCTTCTACGGAGAATTGGGCAGAACGACGACCGTCATTCCCTGAAGCTAATATTTCGAACATCATAAGGCGCATCCCGGACAACCATTCCTGTCGAGCTTCTTTTTTGGAAGGAGGAGACATGTGCAATTGCATCTGGCCAAACTTGAATACTTCTTCGTCAGTCATATCATCGATTCCGGCTTTGATATCCTTCAAGTGTAAGTTGGGGAGATTGACGGGCCTACGCTCAAATCGTCGGTGACGACGAAGCATTTCCTGCACTGTCTGAAAGGATAACTGGGTGTCCCAATATCTCAGGGAGGCAACGATTCCTGGAATCGAATCTTTGGTGACATGAAGCCAACGAGGAAGCCGACAAGATGAAGTCTGCAATTCTCTCAGAAGGAATTTTACAGTGTTCATAAATCTAGGATTCTTATTAAAGACAAGTATCGAGTTTTCCAGAGATTGGAATACCTGACATGACAATAGGAGGGTAAAGCAACCCCCATCCAAACGTAGAAAATGGTTGCTTTGATTTCTGTTTCCTGGACTCCGTCGTCGCGCTTATATAGCCGCATCGTTATCAGCTCGTCGATCATCATAAAGAGACACAAGTTCCGAGCAATTGTCGTGGGATGTATATCGAGGAGGGTAAAATGCACTCTAGAGGTTTGGCGTTGATCCGGAGTCAATTCCAGAAAAGCCTGACTGAGGCCTATGATAGAGCCGTAGACGTGACGACCTAGAAACCCGTGTCAAACGCTGCTACCGCATATTATAGAGACATATACCATCGCCACCTCCGCCCCAAATGAAGGACAGACACGAAAGGCGCTGCTCAGAGACCTTGAGAAGATCAAATGGATTGCCTTTATTCTCTGATCCCCAATCGGTAATGATTGACATAACATCGTCATGACCAATCTGCAAAATTTCGTCGGTACGACCGGAATCGAGTCTTCGGATGTCACTTACTGTAAAATATTCCAGGTCTGAGCGGCTGAAATATAATAGTTCAGAGGTTCATATCAAATAATAAGAAATATGATAACTCACGCCGCTTTCCGAGCCATTGATAGAGAAACAAAATTCAGTCTCCCAGTTCTAGCTTGCTGCACGAGGGTATCGTGTTCACCGACAGCACGTTCCAACTCCTGCCAAGCATCATCGGATATTCCAGTAGGCAGCTTAAGCTGTTCTATGAACTGTTTGTCATTGTGACAATCTTTCAGCGAGACGGTCCTGTTCCGCAAGCCGTAGGTTAGTGCCTTGGGTAGCCTTGAGGAGAGCTTTGCGGCCAATGGCGGGTTTGGGCTTTCGGAGAGTAATTTGGCGGATCGTAAGATTGCCTGGTAGGATCCAGCGTAATCTCCCGTTTCATACAAGGCTGCACTCAGGTTTGACGGAAAGACTGGGTCGCCAGGTTCGACTTCTTCAGCCTAAACCAGATGCATCAGGATGAGATTCTTTGACAAAAAGCGAACTAAAAGACCTGTTCATAGAGTTTTGCGGCCCTAGAAAAAAAGATGTAAAAAGTTAGAAAAGACCCCACGACCGGTGAAAAGCACGTACTGCGCAAATTGCCGGGATTTGAAATATCTATTACCCTCTTCTTTAAGTTGTACAGCACAACGTTTTGGCATGTCTCTGTCCTAAATGTGAATAACAATTATTACCAGCAGTCGGTAGAGTGCAAGCTGCAAATTTCGTGAAGTTGTCATTGACTCGGAACTGTCAAACCAATCTAAAACTGACATCCTCGTGCTAGGAGCGAACTTAACCGCAACCCTAACAGTGAGGAACCACCGGTCCCGACGCCCGAGCACGGTCAATATCGCTGCAGGCTGTCGCTGCACCGACCGCGACTCACAGATCAACTGATCAGAGATGATGAAGAGGCAATTACATCTCTAATACGTGGAACGCTAGCTATGCAAAAGATATTTACGGACCATGGATGACACTCAGTGAGTCAGTGATCGATGCTTCAAGAAAATTAACAAGAAAAATCTAGCTTGCTACTTTCGTCCACGTATCGGCAGTAACTGATGGACTGCAGACGTTGACGTGTTTAGTCAAACAGAACGCAAAGGGTAAAACTCACTGATCTCATGACAGTCAATTCGGTATGTTATGAATACCCATTTCTTTGCCTTCATTTTCCTGACTCTTTCCTTCCCCATCCTCCACCTCACTTTGCTCTTCTTGATGCCAAATTCATCTAAGGATGTGAGCACATAAATCTCGCCTTTGCCATGTCCCTTTTCAAATATCTCTTTCATCGCACCGAGATCCATGCGCTGAATCATATTCGCTACGTTCGGCCCGCTCTTGTAGAAGACAAGATTAAAGACAGGGTAGTGATTGCCAAACATCTCCGTCAGGTTAGCGCAGCCAAATTCCTTCGGAGGAAGAGGAGCTTCGTGCGTGCCTATATCCTCTCGGCGTAGAGAGAAGATGGTCGCAAAGGAGATTGCTTCATAGTTCAGGGAAATCATTGTTTCCAGCTCAACCTGCCGCGGGTCCAAGTTCACTTTTCGACACAGACCTCGCCACTGTTCCTATGTGGACGGATGGATACCTGTCAGGGCATCCGCCGTACGGGACAACATCAGCCACCAGTTTATCGGCAACGACGTCATTAAGGTACTCGGATACCCAATGCATGGGGTATCCAATAGCACGGAAGCACGTGAGGAGGCCAAAGAAGGCCACTAGATTGTTTGGATATCGGATGCGACCCCTCATCACTACAGATGGATTTAGAGGCCCAGGGGGGAGGATGGTGATAATCAGGACTCTGGTCAGCCACGCAACGAGTTCTTGGCGAGTAGCAAGTTCCGAGAGGGGACAAGGAAGCGGCTTGGCAGAAAACTCTGTCATCCCAGGTGTTGTTCGCAATGACACGACAGTCGAAGAAACGCACAAAATCCTTTTGAGTTTAAGAGAATATAACTGTAATACGGTTCATGGTCAGTGCGCTGTCAGATATACAACGGGAGTAGCGCACTTAAAAGACAATTAAATGTGGCAGAAGCATTAGACTGCTTTTCTAAATTTGGCAGTGTAAACGCGGCTCTATTCATGGCCCGTGAGTATGATCACTGGGAGGTTTTGATGAGGAAAACATGCTCGTGGCTTGCAAGATGAAGACGTACGCAGAACATTATTAAGCCACATACGAGTGAACACTCGCAGAATGTTGGCTGAGCGGTTATCAACATCGTATGCCATTTTTGTTAGCGCCTGACACATGTCTCCCTGAAAAAGCTCGATACAGACGCGACCTTTGAGTGCTATGAGACCGTCTACGACAGCATCAAAGAAGATCTCGTTAACTGAATAAGCTGGACAATCTTATTTTATCTGACAGGCACGAAAGGCATTCTGTTGAAAGAGCGCAGATATTGAAGGGATTACCTTTCGTCCTCAGCCCCCAATCACTGCAAATTGACATCGGATGATCATGGCCAACCTAGAAATTTTCGGAGTCATCATTATATTGATGCGTACTTCTAAGTCATCAACCGGATGCGTCAGAGAATAATGTCTCCTGAGGCTGTCATGTTGCTTAGAGGAGCGATCAACGAGGCCGTAAGCTAAAGGTTTGAGAAAGGTTTAAATCCAGAAGTGCTTTGTTAACATTTTCTGGTTTGCAGTTCTGGCATCCATTTCGCAACATGTTCAACAGTCGGTACATACACGACTCCGGTGAGAGGTGTAGTGTACCCCCACGAATATATGTGAATGTTAAAGTAGCCATTCTTGAAAAAAAAAAAGAATTCCATAACTCGATAGCTAAAAGCACAAATAAAACACAAAAGCTACTCAGCATGAGTCGTCCTCTATATGAATCAATTAAATCCCAATTCTCGGCCTCATTGGGCTGATACTCATCGCACCCAAGGACTCTCCTAGACCCTTCGTAGCTGGATCCTCCTCGTTCTCCGTTTTTTGAACAACAGGAATCCCACCCTCATCAAACATATCTCTCATCTCATCTTCAACTTCGCCTCCTTCGTCCTCGTCCTCGTCGTCTTCGTCTTCATCAATAGCCACTTCACTCCACTCCCGGTAGATACCTTCGATATACACGCCCGACCGCGGAAGTTTGTACGGATCAAACGGGAAGAACGTGTTGAGCTCAGCATTAACAGTAGCAGTGGTGAATATACGGTTTGGAGCGGTCGCAGCCAAGGCATTTTGGCGTTTATTTGACTCTAGCACAGTGTAGCAGTACATGAACCCGACGGTGTTGGCCACATGAGCAAATTGCATCGCGACGTTTGGCGAGCACACCTACCGAACAACAGTCAGAAGATGTCCCAAAATATGATAGCATGGACATACCTTGAGAGGATTTAAAGGTGAATTCACTACTCGATGTACCACACTCAGCTCCCGCATCCACTTCTTTCCCTCGGCCTTCGCAAGATCTTCGTCTTCTTCCTCCTGCATATCTCTCCACCGGAAACAAAATACCAAAAAGAGGCTCTGCGAAACAGCATAGAACACGCTGTTCTGCGCTGATTCCACGCCGTCTGCATGATCTATGTTGTCCAAATGTGAGGCAAGAAAATCACATAGAACTCTGAGGACTGTTCGCACGCCCTCACGGTCCACAAACCGCGCTCGACTAACAAAGCTGCCAATGTAAGACGCAGCGGCTGCGCGTGTAACGGTTGGGGTGGACGGATTGATCAGGGAGCGGTCAATGAGCATACCAAGGAAGATATCAGCAAAGTCTGGATCTAAGGAGGTATACCAGAAGAGGAGAAACTGTGTGTAGCGGGACTTGAACGTAAGGAGGATTGTGCGGTCAAAGATCGCGAGGAGGGTATTGAATGTAATATGGAGCGCTGGGATCTTGGAGGGCGGCGTAGGCGATAGCAAATGTGGTGTTGAAGGTAGTTGTATTGTTGGCGGTGGAGGGGATGACATTGATGGTGTTGGGGATTGCGTTGATATTCCCAGGGGGTTGAAAGAATCATATACAGGAGGTAACGGTGGGAGATCTAGTGCAGGTAGTGGTTCCGGTGGAGATGGAGACGGTGGTTTAGGTGTCGAAGATTGGCTCCGGTCAAAATATTCAAACGTGAGTGTCAGTATGGTGTCCAGCTTCTTTACCATATTTTGGATATGTCGAACATTTGTGATGGTGGCCTCAGGCTGGCCATTGTTATCAAGGTCAATATCACCCCCAGCATCAGACGAAAGGTCGCTGAAGTCATCGCCGTCTTCTGAATCCGTATCCGAATCATCACCTTCTTGTCCTATTAAGACGTCAAACGGATCCAACTCGAAGACTTCTTGATCTTGTTCCGCTTCCGCATCTTCTAGTTCCTCAAGCTCGACTTGAATCTCGACCTGCGGAAATTTGTCAATTGGAAATATAATTGACCACGAAATCAGACGTACATCTATCTGAATGGCGCGATCGATGATTGTCCCGAGAATCTTGTCAGACAGTTCGGGGCAATAGTCGCAGACTCTCAACAAATTGCGAATATAGGTAGACTGTGACGCTATGTTTTGCCGCTTGTGGGGAAAATTGCGGGATAGGAGGGGCATCAGGGTCGATGGAAGCGTTGGTATAAGTGACAATATATGTTTAAGAAGGTAATGAAGTCTGTCATAAACAGTACGACGGGTGACTGGACCAGACACTGTGGATGCATCGAGGGCTTGAGCACAAGACTCTGCATGAACAGGTAAAAATGTGTATCGGACAGAAGCAGGCTTGACGTACGATAGGTAAAACCTTGAGCAATCATGCCCAGGACGAGCGAAAGGTACTCGGGTCTCGCAGAGAGCAACATTCCAATGAAGATGGTGTACGACTTAACCGTAGCGATATCCAAAATGGTCCATGGCATGCGGACGATGGCCTCTATCAGAGCATAATGGACACGCTCAAGGCGAGAAACGACATGGGAAAGTGTCAGGATCCATGCGCGCAGCTGGGCCGACGTCTGAGCAGCAGCCTTTGGATTGAATTGATTGACAAGGTCATCAAATCGTTCGCTCCGTCCCTATGGTAGCCAGGTCAGTTTCTGTAACAGAAGTGAGAGCTCGTGTGACACACTTTGGCCTTTTCCTGCAGAGCACTGGTGATGAAAGACAGATACATCTCATTGCGGTATTTTTCATCCTGCTTGACGCGTGAGTTGGTCGCGATTGGCCGACGAACGAGCAACAGCGAGGAAGACGAGGACGAGGATGAGGCGGTAGTCGCAGAGGATTTTCTTGGTTGCTTGCCAGGGAAAGTGGCGAGGGTCGGCTTTGGTAGTGGCGCCTCCATGAAACGGGAATTCGGAGGCCCAGATTTCGGAGTTCGGTGGTTGAACTGGTTCAGTCGAGAATGGGGATCCATTCTTCCGCAACCATTCACGGGGCAAAACCAAGGAAGGAGAGCGGAACAAACATCCATTCGCCCGGTTCCGCAAGAAAAATTACACAGCCTTTGTAAGCAGACCTAGAAAAGACCAAGCGGCCCTGCCACCCTTACCTTTTCCTCCATGTCCTCCTCTACCTTCTCATCCGCCCACAGGCTCTATGTCAAGTCGCTCTACAAACGATACCTGAAAAACGAGCTCGATTGGACAGTCACCAGGAGTATTTGGCGGGCCAAGGCCCTTTTGATTAGAGCAGAGTTCGAGAAAAACCGGTATGTTGACGCTTATCCTGCATGGAATAAATGCTGACATCTTGACAGTAATGTGCATGATCCTCGAGCACTGGCCGTAATTTTGGAGAGAGCAGAGGCGGAACTGGCAGCGAAAAAGCACCCTGACCCATACATTAGTGAGTCACTGCTCTGCTTTAGTCTCGGACTTTGTCTCAGCGGAGTCTAGGTCCTCTATTCCCTAATGGTACCAAATGGTGCGTGGACATCTGTCTTGTCTGCTATTTTCGCCTGCTTACCGATTCACATCATGTAGGGAACGAAACACTCCCGTAAGTCCCCGTGGACCCTGGTATGCTTTCGCTTATCCGTTTACAGCCTCCTATGGGTCCTCTATACGATCATGAATCGGCCGAAGCTGCCCACTAGATGACCACACGGTCGAGGGAGGAGGACTTGAAGGCACACAAACTGGGTGGAAATTCATTGGTCCCTTGGATACCATAGCGCATTGGATGACTTCGGGTGCAAGAGACTTGGTACGGTTGTATTATCACGCTCTGGCTAAATGAAATTTACTAGTTGTATGTACACAAAACATTTCAACGGATAATGCAATGGCGACATTCGACCACATATGTGCGATATATTTATGTTCGCTGACCTCGTAGAACGACTTTTCAGGGCGAACATCCATGCCACCGCCGTTGGTCCCTCCAGATTCATACACGCCACGTAGCATATCATGTGGAATTTTAGCGGCCTGGACTACTTACATATTCGCTGCAGAAAGCACATCCTGTCCTATTGGCGTTTCTTTGTCAGAAAGTCGCCATAGGACGTGAAAGGCCCGGACCACCGCTCGGAATATGCGGCTCTCCGTATCAACAAGGTTGAAAACGCGTCGAACCTTCATGAACTTTACACGCTCATTTCATCAGAACCACCACCAGAACCACCACTGGAGCTTACATATGTCGAAATGCCGTGAGATCTGATAGCCTCATCCTCGTACAAATGGGCCGAGAGCGAATTCAAATCTAGTCTTCTGGCTACGGAGTACTTCCGAACCTACAGTCATTACAGGCGTACTAGTGTGCCCACATCCGATTTCAAGTGATCTCAGAATATCTTTTGATGGACGTCTGTGGGATTCCCGGTCTTGATCATGTGCCATCATGAATAGTGGCCTTCAAAATGCCGGAGCCTCCCGTTGTTTCGCCTACAAGGAGCAACCAGTAACTAAAAGGGAAACAAAAGCCGTATCTCCTGGACTTGCTTATTTGGCCTTCAGATTCTAGCCACTTTTCAATCTTCTACAACAGATAACTAATGAAACTTGTCGGGAAGGAACACAGGTGATGGACTCCCTTGGACCGTGACCCTCTTTGCAGTAAGGTTTCGAGTACCATGTGGGCCCCTTCTTTACCTTACCTTTGAATCTCGAGGCAATCTTTCTGATTGTGTTTGGGACCGATGTCCATTCGAACTCTGGACTACATTTATTCTACTATTAATGCTCTCAGTATGCGCAGGATTTGGTGCTAATGACTTTGTGTGAAGCTAAACCATCCGCATTTTCATCAAGTTCAACCGTTCGCATGGTATCGGTGCGAATCAAAGTACCATGTTCTTTTAGAGCAATCCACGTCATCTGGAGTCCACTGAATCCCCCGATCTCATCTTATCATTACATAGCGCGGTACCTTCAGCACTGGCAGTCGATGCTAAGGGCGATGCAGAGCGCCCTCACATTCTGGTGTCAATTCTCTGGAATAAGTACCCGAGCACGAATCCGGGCCACCCTCCGGGACATTACAATCTGAAGCTTCTGAAGTTGGACTCCAAACCCCATAAGGTCATGCCCATTTACGATCTTTACAGGAGGTCCTCATGATTTGCGTTCCCTTCAAATCGCATTCCTCGGTTCATCATCCCCTTTGCCGTCCCAGGGGTACGTTACCGAACTTTTGTTGCTGATGATGCTGATGCGCTGATGTGATGGCCAACAACGAACTGTCAGTCTAGGTGCCGCCAAGTTTCAGTGTAAAATCTCTAGCCCATCCGCGATTAAATCCGAGGCAACATATCAGCTGGAATGTGAATGCAGCACAAGCCTCAACTTCCGCCCCATTTCGGTGTTCCTTATATGGGATAATACAGGTTATAGCTTGATTTTAGAAGATTGGCGTATTTCATATAAGAGCCACGGTTGTCTAAATTTGCCTTTTCTACAGGAGACACTAAAGATACCACAAGTCCACTTTCAATCATGCATGTTACTTCTGCTTAATGTGGAACCTCGCCTCATCTGACTGCCTCCCAGAATTTCATTTTGTTCCGCGTTTCTTCTCATCTATTGATGGACACATGGTAAAGTATTCTAGGCCATGGGTTGCAACTCCTTGTGTGTTGAATCCCGGTTCCTGTCCTCTCAAGGAACAACCATCTATTTGTCTGCGGGGGAAATGAAATGGCGGACCTGCCGTTGCATATATATGCCTTACAAGACACCTGTCGACCTTTCTGAGTCGCTTTAGCTTTGCTTGATGGTGTCCAATGAAGACGGACTCGACGTTCTCTATTACACGATTCGATTAATATGCCAAACGCTAGTATATGGTGAGCTTTCAAATGAAATTTTCAGACAACTGTCACTCATTCGCATCATGACCAGGAATGTACCTGGTTCTTATACCCTTTTGTTGCCGTGCAATGCTGTGTGTACTTTAACATCAATCGAGGCCCGGGATTTATACGACGGGAAACAGGAAAAGAGGCATCCAAGGAACAACCCGACGTGTGCTATTCTGTATGCTGGTCTTCATGTTTTCTCTCTCGACGGCCCATTGGGTTCTATCCGTATACCACGACCTCGATCTCATCACAAGCGGGTTCGTGAACGGGATTCCTTTGGATAATGATGCCGCCAGCTATCGCCGACAGCAGTGCCTTCTGATGAATGCTTTGGCACTGATAAACGTTGGTGGCCTTAGAGCAATTCACGGACTCGTACTAATCCATGTTTTTAGTGCTTCTTGACCGACGGCGTCGTTGTCTGGCGAGCATGGGTGCTCTGCAAACAAGAATACCCCAAGGCACTAATGGTTCCTATCGTGCTTTTATGCTGCACAACATGTACGTACCTATCTTTTTTCGTTCCGACATCACTGACCTTTCCTACTAGTGTCTGCGGTAGTTATGATTGGAATACGGATTGCGATAACTGTTATATCAGTCAGCCAACATATCGTCGTAACTGGTAATGCCTTGGCTCACTCTTTAGATGTTTCCCAAGTACTGTGCTCGGTGCTTACTTTGTTGACTAATCTGTCTTCGACAACAATCATTGGAGTCAAGGCTTGGTGAGTGACGAGACCTTGTTAGAATGCGTTTCAATGGTATTTGTCGGATAGGCGGTATAGACGATGGATTACTACCGAAGTAGTGCAATCCGGGAAAAGGAGCATGACGCGAGGAGAACGAGTTATCGCGCTGCTGGTTGAGACTGGAGTCCTTTACATGCTTTCTACGGTGAGTCTCTAGAGGTGAGTTATTCTCGTTGGCTAACAGCAATCACACCTTGACTCTAGGTATTCCTTCTCGTCGCTGTCTGGATTCGACTTCCATTTGGCACCTTGGGCGACATCTATGTTCCTGTTAACGCACAGTTTGCGGTAAGAGTTGATCACATCTGCATATATATCTTGGTTTATTAACCGGATGCAAAGGGCATGTACCCAACAATTGTCGTTCTCTTCGTTAATCGTCGAGGCCCCATTAGCGAGACTGACGTCTTCACTTCCCAGAGCAAATCTGATGTACCTGACCATGGGCGAAATTCAGTGCGCCTGGAATCCATAGAATTCCGTTCAAATCCTTTGCTTGACACATCAGCCGTCAACGATAGTGAGACTGAGGTTACGGATGATGAATTTTTGAGAGTCCAAGACTCGCAAAATGAAAGGAGATTCGAAAAGGTTCGATATGAGCCTTTGCACCTTGTATAAGTCTCACAGTACGCCAAACGGCAAATTATAAATATATGTAATAGTACTCTACGCTGTATAAGGATCTATAGGAAAGGGACATTCTTCATTTCTCCAGCTGCCAAGAGATCTTCATCAAACGCGTCCTCTTCCGCCTCCTCATCAGCCACTATCCCTCCATCCCCATCGAATTCTTCATCCTGTTCGTCCGCAGCACCGTCGTCCTCCCGTTCATCAAGCTCAAAGTGCATGTCATCCAAAGCGCCCGGTATACTACTCATACTCCGCCTCCGCGCCCGCTTTTTCTGTCTCCCTGTCCCGTCATCATATTCCGCATCAGAGTCGTCCTCCGACTCTGCATATGTCACCGAGGACATCGAATCCGGACTCACGCTCCGTCTCGACGAACCTGAGAACCCAAACGTACTGCTAAGCTTCTCAAATGATGACATCTGCCTCAAATGATGCTCTGGGTCGCCTTCCGGTGAGGATTCCCTCCGAGTCGGTGAGGATGAGATGGAGGCCACTGATCTGTGCACGTTGGCTTGTCTACCTCCCACAAGGCTAAAGTTGCGCAGTCGAGCTAATGCGCTCTGGTTCGATGTATCAGAACGAGCACTCAACGCAGGAGAAGGAGGTGAGAGGTCTGGAAGCGGATAATCTTGGACCGGTGTTTTCCATAAGGTCCCCCTCATCGTCCTTTTCCTCACCCTTCCCTGCTCCATCGCGATTGCCTTCCTCTATCCATAACCTCACAGTCCCTCTCCGCCTTCCAACTCTCTTTCTCGTCGTCCTTGATCAGCCAGATACATGTAACACTTCCCGCAAGTGGTGCACGAGCGCTGTAAGCATGAAGATGCCAAACTTTGGTTTAATAACTCGGGAAACCCCAAAGAGCACTAGGCATAGATTTGTTGGAGTCAAGCCGCTCATTTACTTCACACAACATACTCAACACGACGTTCCCGCCCACAACTGAATAGCTATGCTTGTAGATCTTTAGTTTTGTTTAACATCGTATATTCATGCAGACTGATAATTTCTGTCCGTTGCCAGCCCAGACAGATCCGAGGCTAATCTTATATGTTATGGGCCCCCCAACAACTGAATATCTTGACGAATATCTTGCTCCCTCTGCTTCTTTTCGCGGCTGGATCCAACGCTGGTCATTAGGGTCACATCCAGAAACAAAGAAACGAAATTCGGAGGGTACTTCGACCACAATGAAAAGCAAGCATCTCCACCTATCATATAATCAAGCAATGATCGTCACGGCTCCCAATCTTGTTTCCTTTTCAAGTGACCAGATGGACAATTCTGATGGACTTGATGAGCCTGGGTATTCTCCGAACATCAGGTATCGTGGCTTATCCAAGTCGTATGATGCACTATATGTAGTACATGGTTCTTGAATTCTTCCGGCTTCAAGTTTAGTTACTCCAGGAACTACATGTACACCGGATGACATCCTCTACAGCATATTCACCTTTAATTCAGAGCAATGGATGTACTGGATTTGTGATAGAAGATCTAAGGAATGTCTTTTACTTGCTCATCGACAGATGGCTGCTGTGCATACCGCACTGGATCCAATGATACAGGTTTTACCATCTCCAACCTGTGTTTAGATTTTTAGGTCAATCGAATTGGCGCTCGAAATACACATGGACGAATCGATGAGCTGTATAGAACATCCTGCAAGGCTGTTCTCAAACCTTCTTGATGATGCTGTTTCCCGGGCCGAGTTGTCCTGTGATCGATCGGGCCTCGTGTGACGTATAGCCAAGATTTACACAGCCTGGCGCGCCTTTATAACGAAACGCCCTCCATCTGCATCTTTATCTCTTACCATCATGGCTTACAATCAGTCGCCTAATTATTACCCCGGCTACGGCGGCGGCCAGCCGGCATATCCTCAACAAGGTGCCTACCTGCCGCCTCTTGGACCCTACGTGATATCCACACTTCTTCTTCTCGTCCCCGCTCTTTGCTGATGCGCGCCATTTTTTTCTTTCTCGCTATAGGGCAGTGTAAGTTGTTTCTTACATGGCTCTTACAGCGTCACTGTGCTGACTTGTATTTATCTAGCTGCCACCACCGGTTCCGACTCACTCATACCCTGGAGCCCCCCCTCCTATTCCCATGAATCATCCCAACCAATACGCGCCACCTTCTGGACCACCTCCACACCCAAATTCAACTTATGTTCGTTCACTCACGTATTTGTCTCGGAACGCCTCCTGAACTAATAGCTGTAGAATCCGTCGCATGCGCCACCACAGCAATATCAGCCTCCACAAGGGCCGCCTCCGGGACAGTACCAACTGCCCTTTGGAGCGCCTTACGAACCTTCAAGTTCGCCATATCCGCCACCGATGCCGTCTTATGCGCCTCCAGGACAGGAGGCGCGCTACTTGGGTGTTTCGGTTTTAGCGCCACACGCACATCCTTCTACGGCTATGGCCCCTGGATACAACCCCTCAGGCGATGTAGAAGCCATCAGAAACGCGACTAAGAAGATATGTACCGACGAAAACCTAGGTATGCGACTTTATTGCACGTTTCCTCCATAGATACAATATTGAACTTCATGTCAGTGATCTCTACACTGGCGCCACGCACGTCAATGGAGATGACTGCTCTTTCCAACGCGTTTTTAGCCAAGACTGGTAAGAAAATGGTGGATACGTTGGATGGGGAGACGAGCTATAATTTCAAGTAGGTGCGACTTCACGAAGGCGTCGAACCAAAATTTCTGATCAATGATTCAGGACGGCATTGCATGGTCTCGCTCTTGGTCCTTTAGGTTGTGATGTCTGGCTTGCTCACTTGGCTGTCGATGGGGCTGGGTAAGTGCCAGAGATCAATGCTATCGTTGGCTTGCGCTAATGCGTGAACATCAGGACAAATGAGATCCTGCTCACCGAACTCTTACTCGGACGATCAAACGAAGAACTTCAATTATTGATTGGCGCCTATCAGCAGACTTATCATCAAAGTCTTGTTGACGCGGTCCGGGATGATCTAAGTGGGAAGACAAAGAGGTGTAGGTGCTCATCACGGCTATTTACTTCCTGTTCCTCATGCGAGCGCAGTGTTCACCATGGCGTTGGCTGCCTCTCGGCCTCCGGATCACTTTCCTGTGAACCCTCAACAGGTTGAAAGCGACGTGCAGGCATTGTACAAGGCTGGAACTGGAAAGATAGGGACCGACGAGGTAACTTTAATCAGTGATAGACTTCTCTTTGTTTCTTACATGCCTATTCTTAGATTGCTTTCTTCGATATACTCGTGAATCGATCCACGTCTCACTTAACAGCTCTGTGAGTGGCTTTGATTTTGCAATGAAATGTTTCGTACTCATGTTCGCGTTCAGATGCAATGCATACAAGATAAAGTATAAGAAGACGCTTTCTAGGGTGATCAAATCCGAGTTGTATGTCTCGTTTTATGCCTATATTTCTTTATTCAAAAGTCTCATCTCCGCCTTGTAGTTCTGGTCATTCTCGAGGTGCTCTTCTATACATCGTGAAAGGCGTAAAGGAGAAGCGACTATCTGAAGGACCAGGCATCTGGAGAGACGTTCAATTACTCGAGGCCTCTATGAAGGGATTCGGGACGAAGGATGAACAATTGATTTGGAGGTAAGCATGATTGTTTGTTTTCGGGAGACACGTGTTTTACAGATATGGAGGGTACTACGTGCGCATTGGGACCGACATCGTATGGAGAGACTGAAAGCGGCGTATCAGAAGCGGTATAGGAAGTCACTCCGGGATCGCATCAGTGGAGAAACGAGTGGATCGTATAGAAAGCTGATGTTGGCTCTTGTTAGTTAAACGTCGATAGTGATGTGTACTAGTAGTGGCATATTCATTTAATTTGTAACTGGGATGAAATAAATGGTCGACAGGAAGTACGAGCCTGTATGGGTACGTCATCGCGGGCGCTGAGTGGCGGCCGTTTTTGCGCCGCATTCGACTGCTTTTATCCATATTTGCCTTTTGGTGCAATGCGGCGACTGTTCACAATGAAAAACTGACATCGCGGAGCCGTCGTATGTTCGAGAACTTTCCGCGCCCGGCTTTGATCCTGCCTGTCATTACTGAAGGGACTACAAATCTATCCGTTTTACATTTAGTATAGTTAGTGTAGTATAGACAATCCGAGGCCTCCAGCCCCATACCCATAGATAAGTATATACAAGAAGACGTCGCTTAATATGCCCAATAATTACGCTCAATATTCCTCTAGGTTTTGGGTGCGCAATAACCGTTCGTCCCACCATCTGAGATCGCTCATAACACGGATCTTCACTTTGGCTGACCCGTCGCCACGATTTAGCCAAGTCCACTTGTATCGGACCGCAGCCGTGACCCAGGGACCGAATTTTCCCGTAACGTAGTTGTTGTTGTATGTTGGATTGCCTGACGGAGCCCCTTTTACATGATTATCTTGATTCAGCCAGACGTTCTCGCCTCCCTGGTTTTGGCAGTTGCTGCAGAGAGGTCAGTAATGCACGTAATGCGAATGAGAGGACACGACACGTACAAATGGAGAATACCAGGGCTGAGCACGGAATGCTCGTCACCGCTTCCTTCTAAATCACTTTGTTGCTTGATCTGCTCAGCTTCGGTCATGTCTTCATCCTTCGGATTCTCGTCCCAGTGTCCTAAAGACAGGCCTTGATGATTTCCTCGGCAGAAGCTGACGTCCCATCTGAGCGAGAGATGTTTGATGAGATCCTTTCGGTAATACCAAACGACGTGATAAATGTCTTGGTCTCCGAAGGGTGTGGGTTGTGATGGGTCTAAGGGGATATTTTCAGAAGGCTTGAAAGGATTGGGTACGCCTTCGAGGGAAGCGCGAGCGAATGGCATGACAGTAAGAGCGGTGATCGATGTTTGGGGTAGAAGCGAAGAAGGGATGAACATCGATGAGGGATTTCGCATTCGTGCAAGGTTCATGAGCATAACACAGCTGCATACTTGGCCCGCATGGGACTTGGGTCCAAGAGTAGGGAATTGTATGATAGTGTTTTCGTCAAAGGAATCAAAATTCTTCCACTGCATAAAGGAGATTAGTTGTTACACGATCATACGCAAGTGAGACAAACCGCGCACAATTTCGTATGGGTCAACGACAAACAACATATCGGTATCGATAAATATGACCTTCTCGACGTCAACAAGAATCTCGTGTAGCAGGAGTTTGCTGCGCTGGGCGGGGTTGTGGCCCATGTTGGCGCGGTTAAGCCGCTCAAAGAGACGGTCGATGGTCACTGGATAGAACGTCACCTAAAGAAGGCTGAACATAACCCAAAGTAAGCGCTACGAGAATACTCACATCGACGTTGTACATCGGCTTTGTGAAGAGAGCAAACTTCTTCTCGAGGTATGGCACGTTATCCTCTGTGCAAACGATGTGGAGCTGCAATGGGCGGCTGGTGTGCATGAGCGCGGACTTGATTGCGATACTTCCTTCGTGGGCGATATTCCCGCCAATCATGACGAGGGATATCGCGACGGGCTCCAGTGGAACATGGACATACACGGTCTCAACCTGTGTCACCTTCTCAACATGGGTCTGCACTTGAACATCTGGCTCTGGACATAGAACGGGGGGGGAAGGAGAGTGAACGACGGGCTCGTGAATAGCTGCAGCGAGCTTCTCGCGAAGAGGTGTTAGGGAGGCCTGGCTATCTGGAAGTGTCGGCCAACGGTGGAAAGAGAGAAAGGCGAGCAGAAATAGAGCACAGAGAATGTATATCTTGTATGAGCGAATCATTGGAGGGAATATAAACGAGAGGTGGGGAAGAAAATGAAGAGCATCAGGAGTGTCTCCTCGACATTGGATAGTAACCGCGATAGGAGCCGATCATTCTTCTCCTATTTTAGGGATGGACCTGACAAGGATAAACGTTAATGTTCGACGCCCATATCATTAACGCTGCCACCAAGCATCAACACATGGCATACCGTGCCTGGCCCTTCGCCCGCCAGACAGTCGTCTGTAGCGTGAGCGCGCAGCAAACATATATTATTAAACAGCCATACCTGCCGACGTTGGCCACCTTTCTCCTCCTGCCGACACTCTGATTGAGCTGACACTGATTTCACTGCCAGCGGATTTAGGCAAGTTCCGTATGGCCTTGACAATGAGAGAATACAACGGCCTTTCGAGGAATGAATTGGCCAAAGTTTGAATATGAACCGTGGGGACAGGGGCTTCAGACCGCAACGTCTAAAAATGACCTCAGCCAAGAACCGATATGCCGTCAGTCTCGACAGTGGACTCGATGCCCTAATACGGAGAAAATACCGGTAGTCGTCTCCAGAAGGACCAGAGCGCATGGGAATCAGAGTCAGAATCCCAATTCACCACGTGAATTTGAGGATAAAAGGTGGTCCAGCTTGATACAAAATTTCACCATTTTACCGCGGAGAAAGAAGGGCGTAACGTGTGTATGTAAAGGTCATTGGCCCGAAAAGTTCGTACACGGGGCCAAACTCGGACACAGAGCGTCGATACTGTCCAAGCTGCCGCGTTTGCGTCTTCAGAGCAAGTGCCCCTGGACACTCTGGAAGGAGTGCACTACGGTGTCACCTCAAGCAGGTAGGGTCGACAAGTCCCTGGTAGTAATGCGGATAATTCAAGTTATACCGGCTAACGTACGCTGGAGCCCATTTGAAGTGGCGGTGAATTGGAGCCTAGCCACAGGAGGCTCAGCTCGTTTCGCCATAGCTGCCATCCTTCCCCATGTGCTCCTTTCCCCCGTGGACGGACACCTGGTGTCTGAAGGCCGAGTCGCAGTTGTGAAGCGAGTCGCTGACACCTGAAACGCAAAACTGGGAGATCCGCAACACAGGCTGACGGAGCGATGTTCTTGTTATATTACTGTTCAGGATAAGCTCGCCTCGTACTCGGTGATTTCGCCGAGCTCCACAGGGAATAGGTTACAGCGCAAAACGAAGGATTAGTACACAAAACAGCATGCTTTCCTCGTCTTCCTCGTCGTCTTCGTCTTCATCACCATCGTCCTCGTCCTTCTTCATCGCTGTCTTTCTCCTCCTCCTCGTCCTCCGAGTCCACATCCATTTCAAAAAGATCGTAGTTCCGCCTCTTCGAAGGATCCTCGTACAGTCCCCAAGGTTTATCAGCAATCAACCCAAGTATATCCCGATTCGAACTCCAGATCGTTAGCACACTTGAGTAATTTCATATACTTTTCATGGTGGTCGAACACAGCATGGAATACCCTATCGCCCAACCAAGACTGCTGTAGTGCAGAATCGATTATTGTGTCAAGCGCGTACTCCACTGTCCCGCCATGCTGAAAGAAGATGTCGTAGAGATATCGCTCCCACTCGCTTGGTTAATAGTATGCAGGGAAAAGGAGGCAGTGGGATCCTCAAGAAGATCATAGAGGGCGCTATAGATACCGATGTAGCCAGAACAGAAAGTCTCATGAAGGGAGGAATGGAGATGTCAAGCAAGATAATCAGTGGGACCATCGGAAAGGAGATGAAGGTCTATAACTTGGCGAGGCGTGAAAGACTCCGGATTATCAGGTATCATGTCCCTGAAATATCCTGCCTGACCTATGTATGTCACGGCTGCAGTGGTTAGTAATGTTATCGACAAGGGGGTGACGTACAGCTTAGTTGGAATCTCATGCGAGGAGATAGCCATCCAGCACCACAATGTCCATATGTACATCCGTACTTGTTGTGAGAAACATACTCGTCATCAGAGAGACCATCCATCTAGATATCCATGACGTTTTTCAGAAGATATTCGATAACCGCTCCAGGAGGGCAGCAGAGTCTCTCAGAACTCTCGCAGAGACCTCATGTCGCCTTGAAGCATCTCTAAAGGTGTGAGGCCATCGCCATTTTCGTTGTTGAAGAGGTCACGACGGACGCCGAGCTCGAGAAGCTTTTGAACGACATGGATATTTTTAGAGGCGGCCGCAGCGATAAAAATAGGACGAAGTCCATCAGGGTCAGGGCGAGAGATGGAAAGAGGGTCTTTGTCTAAGAATGATTGAATTTTATCCGCGATAGCTGGAGTCATGTTCCCAACAATAGAATAGTGCTGAGGGAAGTTTTCTTCGCGCTAATTCCGAAAGAAATTCGGTCCGTGGATTTGAGCTCTTCCTCTGTCGGAGAAGGGGCGCAGAAACTGTCATCAATATAGCCAGCATCGTTCTCAGGCAGAACAAGACGAGAAGCGTTGTGAGGAAGAGGGGAGTATCCAAAGAACTTGGTCCTTCCGACGCATCTAAAATTATTCTATGGAGGAATAAGTGCAGATCGAAATGAATATTTTGCCTTGCGAAAGAAACTGAAGACGTCAGCCTCGTCAGATTTCTCCCTACTAATCGGAAACGGCCAGCACATCATGAAATCCTCGTCTTGAACGTGTTCAGAATGGAAAAGCTTGCCTAGTAGCAGGGATCCTATACCTTGTCGCCGATACCATCAAATCGGGTCAGAAATACGGTGACCCCAACAGAGAGAGAAGACCCGAACCTTCTCGACGACATCAATATGTGTAATATAGATGATCTCGCCTTCGCTTAACTCCTCTCCCCAACATCCTGTGCCGCTACGATAACCTTTGGCGACTATATGCGGTTTGACGCGCCCGAATTTACCGAATAAAGTTGTTCCAAAGAACAATCATTTCTTCGCTTTCAATATCCCTTGCCTCCAAGAAACGATTAGAGCACCTCGAACGAAAGATATGCAGGGAATAGTAGAATTCCAACAGATCAACTTGATCCAGATCGATTTCATGACCCATGGAAGTTTCGAAGGTGGGCTTGACCTTAAAGGTAGCTGTGAGTTCTGCGAGAGGGACAGACATGGTCGTCAGGAAGAAAAAGCGTGGCAGAAATATGGGAAGCGCCTGAAGCTAGTCGCCTGACATCGATCTGACGTCATGAGAATACACGGTCACGTGAAAAACGCGAAATTGAAAACAGTTTTTAACTTCACCGCCGCGAGACACTCAACAGTGAGATTACAACGGTATGAGCCTTAGTGCCAGCATATGACTGTGGAACCAGCCTTCCTTATTGGGACCTTGTGCGGTTTACCAATACTAGTACCAATAATGCCATCCGGTACATAGTAGTAAAATGGGTTACAGCAGGCCTGGCTACTGTTTTGTAAGACTACAGGTATAGGATGACACTGCACGAAACGCCGTGTTTACACCAGATGCAAAATATCTTTCCTAGCTCATTCACACATTAAATGCCCAAGGGCGGTGTATCTAACATGTTCCGTTGAAGGAATAGTTGGAACTGTATCTTGGGAAGCACTATAGATAATATAGATCATACAACGCATAGCGTACAGTGGAATACAACAATCAATCAAAGCAACAAAACAAAAACACGAGATTAAGGCATAGATGTCAAGGACGTCGATGAATCTTTGTCTACAGATGGATGAACCATATAGTACAGCTTGAGATTCTCCCCTTCTGCAAGGCCCGAAGACTCCTGAGATTCGTCATCCATAGAGGGTAGGGAGTCCTGGATATCGCCCCTCATTTCTATAAGGTAGCTGTCCTATTCGAATGGATCAACAAAACATGCTAGCAACATTCATTGCGTAAAAATTCACCTTGACTAGCCTCTTAAGCATCTTTGAGATAAGTTCCTTCTCGTAATCTAGCTCATCCTCAGTCTGCACCTCCCCGCCGTCCACTTTCACTTCGAGATACCAGTCAATGAGCTCATCCCGATCAAGACCCTGACCGGTTGTCCGCTCGACCTCGGATAGATGTAGAACAATCAGCTCTTGAAGCATCATATACTTGTCGTGCGTGATGACCATCCTCCTCTTGGGCTGTGCAGGCGGATGAGGGACATGGTCTGATGATGGTAACTGGGACGTTGAAGCTTTCGGGGTAGCTGGTGCGTCTTTGGATTCGGAAGCCCCATTAGGAACAGCAGAGCTCTCATCCATCTGGGTTTGGCTCTCTTCAACACCTGCCATTTCGACGTCTTCTGATGCTTGAGGGGCCGGGCGGGCAGGCGCCTCACGTCTACGTTCACCTTCAAGCTCCTCCTCATCAAAATCAATGTCGTCTTGCTCGACGTGAATGATTGATTGCCGCAGGAGACCATAAGCTTCTCTCACGAAAGCGGGTGTGATCTGGCAGAGTGCATAAGCAAAGGATCTAGCAGGACCATAAGTCTAACAGTTACCTCGTTCGTACAATTTGCCCGAGCAATACCCTCGCTCAATCGAATCATACTCTCCAGCTGCCGGACCGTGATACGGTATGAATTTCGGCCTGCGCCTGAAGCGTCATCTTGTCGGAGTATCCTGTACTTTTCAACAAGTACGTCTGCGGCATCTCGACTCAACTAGAGGAACATGGCGATCAATAACCCATGGACAAAGGATACATGCCGTACCTTAGGATTAAATGTTCTTGCATACCGAATGTACCTCTGCAATGTCTCTGTGCTGAACTCAGGATTGATGGCTTCGTCTTGGAAGCGGTGAACGTTTACAATATGCTTCGCTATGTTTAGGTCCGTTTTCTCGTCACACTCATCGAGAACGACAAAGAAGAGATCGAAACGACTCATGATGGGTGCGCTCATGGCGACATTGGCCCTCAGAGTCTTTTTCCGATCATATCGTCCACCAATGGGATTAGCGGCAGCGAGGATAGATGTCCGTGCGTTGAGCGTTGCATGAATACCAGCCTTAGCGATGGATATGGTCTGCTGTTCCATGGCTTCGTGAATGGCGACTTGATCCGAGATATCCATTTTGTCGAATTCATCGATAGCGCAGATGCCATTGTCAGCGAGCATCAAGGCACCTGCTTCGATAGTGAAGTCGCCTGTTTCTTCGTCCTTCACAACCGCAGCTGTTAGACCGGCAGCTGATGAGGCTTTGCCGGAAGTGTAGACCGCTCGGGGAAGGAAGGAACAGATGTACCTGTTATATCCCGTTTTAACGACTGACACGAGAAATTCCGGATGCACTCACTTCAGGAACTGCGATTTTGAGGTCGAAGGATCGCCAACAATGCAAATGTTTATGTCTCCACGAAGATGCATCCCCTCGGTTGTCTGCTTATGAACTCCACCCATAAGTTGCAGCAAGAGACCCTTCTTCACAATTTCATGTCCGTAAACCGTAGGCGCCATGCTCTCCACAAGACGAGCATATATATGATCCGACTCAATCATGGCCTTGAGTTCATCAAACTCCGGCTCCGTAAGAGTCTGAACAAATGCCTGTCCACTGTCTTCCCCAGCATCTTCCTCTCCACGCACATTTGTACCCCCCTGTTGGAAACGAACATGAGCTTGATGAACTATAGACGCGACAGTGTACTTACCCGTGCATCAGCATCATGTACCATGCATGCCAAGAATGCAGTCTTATATTGCAGATCTCTGACACCTAAGGTCTTTAATCCCGTAACACCAGAACCCCCGACACCTCCAGTAGCGGAATTAGTGCTGTTTCGATTTGCTTCCCTTTGTAGCTGCGCTTTATTCCCTCCCGGTAGGCCTAATTGACTGACGTCCGGAACAACAATAAAGGTGCCTGTGAATACGCATTTGTCTCCAGCTTTTGCGCGTTCTACAAGTTCAGAACGTAAAATGACGTCTAGGGAGCGTGGCATCGATCCGGTAGGTATCTCGGAGGGGTTTTCTTGTATGCGGACTTTTTGCCAGTCAGTGAATTTTGAGCTATCGATCTGTAGCTGCCACGCGGTACGATTTCCGCACGTAGGATTTGGGCAAAGGGAAGGCTGACGAAGAAAACCCAATTAGACGCCAAGGACTGTGTGAGCCAGTCAGAACACCCACCTCCGTGTACTTGAATTGTTGCTCTACGTCATTGACCTGCCCTTTACACACTTCACAAACAAAACTCCCAAAAAGCAGCTCTGGTCGCACTTCACTTGTCCGAGTAACGGTGCCACTGATACTCATCAGGGTCCCGATTTTCTCTGTCTTTAGGTCCCTGATACCGGATACTAGGGGCAAATGGTAGAAAGCGATGTTAAATTCTCGAGACTGGAGATTCGCAGAATCAGTTGTCGCAGCTGTAGGATTGATTTTCAGGTATTCGGGCTCGAATTCCGTGACGAGATTAAGAAGTGCACGACGAAGGTAGGGGAGGAACCGATAGTACTGCTTTTGAATCGCGTCTGCGAGGACATCATCTCTCGCCAACAGATGTCCGTAGTCGACGTAGAGTGTCGTAAGCTCGTACTCGCGCATGGTATGAACCTGCTCAACGTAGACGAACTCGCCATCCGGTGCGTCTGGAATATCTCCTTCGGAAGCGGGGGTCGCTGCGAGCGCGACATCCTCTGTGAAGCTGAAAGAAATGTATGTAAAGTTATTCTCGGAGTTTGCAGATGCACTCACGTCTTCAAAAACGTTTCAAAGCTTTCAGCGACGCTCTCTCCGACCGCATCTCGCACCAATGGAACATCGCGCCGCGCATCTCCATTGATACGTTTCTTTCGCTTAGATCCTGTTGTATTACCATCCTGTTCTTCATTACCACCATCATCATCCAAATCCAAGGCATCTGGCCGTCGAGGTGTCCCGCCAGCATCAGGCGTTCCGGTACGCGATCTCGATACACTCGCATCCTCAGATGGCAGTCCAGGCGCGCTGCTAGGCGGCAGAGAGGATTGACGGTGTTGTCGAGGAGATGAGAAAGACATGACAAACAGAGAAAATGAAAAGAAAGACGCGCCCGAAAATTGGCGTGCAATGTGACCTGTCACATATTGAGGGCCGGTGTTTGCGCGAGCCCATGTGGTCTCGCCCATGGGCCCGGCTTATGATGTCGTGTGACGCTATAGACCTCCTTAACGGAGTCTTATTGGTCTCGACGTCATAGGACCCAGGAATATAAGGACCAACCGTGCTGTCACCTCCTCCTTCCATACATCCATCATCTCAAGTATTCGTTGTACCCATTCCATCCCGCCCGCCTACATCATGACGAAATCCATCAGCAAGGTCATCTATAAGCCTGACTCTCAGTCAACGGACGAGTACTGCCTACTCGTGCACACCGACGAAGTAGGTCGTTTACTCGACATCGCAGTCCTTGCAGCGCTAATGTCTTTTGTCCAACGTTGCAGTACAAGAAGTGGAAAGCTGGTGGTGAGTAATCGTCTGATCGTCGGCGGTCGCGCAAGTTTAATCCATTCTTCACAGACACGTGAATGCAGCATCATTTTCCCTCATATGAGTGTGATATGCTTACTCAAATACAGCTCTATCCCACTGGCAGACGTAGTGGACTGTGAGTGGCGATCTCTTTTATATTGTCCACCCCTAATTTGCATTACATTATCTAGCCTATCAGGCGTTCCACTCTGGCCAGGGTCCACAAGGAATTCTTGGCAAACCGTCCAATCAGCAACTGGACACCATCTTCGGCACATCGAAAGACGTCGATGTTGCCCAAATCATTCTTGAGAAGGGAAGGCACCAACTGACGGAGGGTCTGCAGAGTTCGACGTTCAGCTCCACAAACGTCACACGAGGAGTTGCAGCGCTCAAAGGGCTTGGTGGTGTATAGGTGTGGGACACTGGATGGTAGAATACGAAGTCACCAAATCAAGCAAATGTTTATGTATCAGCAAATCACAGATTACTAGCATTATCATTTTTATCTGCATCTGGTTGGGTCTATAGCGAACTCTTGTGAATCCCTTTATACCTCGAGTAAATGACATTACTGAAAAGTCTTAGTTATATCCACCAACCTCATTCACTTTGGCCCCTGTTCTATGATGTCTATATAGTATGTATTGTATGTAAAAGTATACCACATGCACATGCAATCGTCGACAATCGTAACAATACAACAAACTTTCATTTAGGTCTTGCCCTTGGGCGCTGTTTTGCTGAACAGTTTCGCTTTCTCGATAGCGGCATTACCTAGACAGGTTTTAGGTTAATTCCAATACCATCCTAGAATTGGTACGTACTTTGTCGAACCAAATTCTTCTTATAATCGACGATGCTGATGTCGTCCTTCGTCAGGTTCCTGATGGTCTTATTTGCTACCTCCCATAGTTCCTCAGCTACTTGAGAGATTAAACCTGGACGAGAGTGAGTCCGAAAAGGCGACATGATCTGAGGACTATTAGCTTACGGAAATCGTGGGACACGATAACCACTCCTCCCTCGAACTCTTTGATGGCTTTCGCCAGGGCATCAATGGATTCCATATCCAAATGATTAGTGGGTTCATCTTAAGAAGTATTAGTAATTAAAGCGAGGCAGAAATTGGATACTTACCCAGCAGGAGGATGTGCGGGTGCTCCATGGCCAATTGAGCGAATACCACCCTGAGGTGATGATAGTCGATGCAGAATGGATGAACTGAAATTTTCTGCGTACCTATTCCTTAGTCCATCTGATAACTGCCGTATTGGCGATGTTTGATGGCCTCCCGACAAACCAAAGCGACCCAGCTGTGCTCGCCATGCCTGAGAAAGATCATCAATGGTGGAAGTGCGTGATAAGGTGAAAGCCTACTTGTATATCCTTCTCCGGGAACTTCTGGCTGAACAGCTCCTGGAAATATTCAATTGGGGACTTGTCGTAGGGTAGCTGATCCGCGCTGTGTTGCGAATATTTTGCTAGTTTCAAAGCGGCATGTTTCGAGATGGTTCCCTGCGACGGTTGGAGTACTCCGGTAATCAAATGCAGCAGCGTTGATTTACCAGCACCATTGGCACCGAGGATGGCTACTCGAGAATCCATACTGACGCCTATGAGCGTCGACTTCACGAAGACAAAGACAAGAACAAGACGTACTCTATACCGAAGGATAGACCTTCATAGAGATAATCCTCCTTCTTACCCGAGTACGAGAAAGCCACCTCATCGAACGCAATGATGGGCGGCGGGAGTTTCCGAATATCTTCGAAGTTGAAACGCAGAGGTTTGGCTATCTCGATTTTCTCGACCAGTCCGGCGGCTTCCATCTTGTCGAGGATCTTTTGTTTAGATTTAGCTTGACGCACAAGATTAGCATAGGTACCGGCAGAAGCAATGAATCTAAAAGTCTGTTAGGACAAGGTGCGACGATGAGTCAAGGCACACAGACTTTTTGATGTGCAGAATTTCTTCCTGTTGTTTGTTATACGCCTTCATCTGGTTCACTTCGTTTTCCTTCTTTGTCCGCACGTACACAGTATAGTTACCGGTGTAGTAGACCAGCTTCTTCTTCGGAGTCAAATCCATGATGTTCGTACAGACCGAATCCATGAAATCCTGGGAGTGCGATGTGATCACGAGGATATGATTATACGTTGAAAGGTACGCTTCAAGCCACACTACGGCACCGAGATCGAGATGGTTAGTGGGTTCGTCGAGCAGAAGCAGATGAGGTTTGACGAAAAGCGCTCGGGCGAGAGCCACACGCATCCGCCAACCACCGCTCATATCTTTTGTCGGTTTCTTCATCATAGCTTGAGAGAATCCAAGACCGTGGAGGATACTTCCCGCTTTCGTCTCGAATGTATTAGGATCAAGCTCCTCAAGCTCCTCATATGCAGCATCGAGAGCGACTTCATCAACATCCTCTGCCACCGAAAGCTCCTCTATGTAAGCCTCAAGCTTAGCAACCTTTTGTTTGGCGGAAGCAACGATGAAGTCGACAGCGTTGACTTCTGAGGGTTCGGCCTCACCACGTACAAGGTAGATATCGATGTGTTGCGGTATTTCTATGTCGCGCTCAGCAATAGATTGGAGGAATGTAGACTGAACAGGAGGTGTTAATAGCATGGGAGACATTACGGGCATTTGACACACCTTTCCAGAGCCATTTTCGCCCAAAAGACCATACCGCTGGCCATAGTTGAGCGCTATCTCTGCATTCTCAACAAGAAGACGGCCGTGGAACGAAAGAGTATACGAATCTATCTTGATGTCTCGAGCTTTCACATCGGATACAAGCACTCCCGCTGCGCTCCTGCAACATTGTCTACATAAGAAAGAGGACAATGAGTAAGTATATACACACCTTTCTGTTGCAATGTTAAGCTTCGCCATCGAAGTGAGATCCTCCTGACTCGTGGCAGCACTCATGCTGGTGATTGGGGTATTGACACTGCTTCCGCCATTGACTGACCCCGACGGCGTAGACGTTGACGTTGAGGCACCTGTACCACCGGCGGCTTTTTTGGCTGCTTTTTCGGCAAGGCGCTTTTGTTTGGAGGCTGAGGGTGCCATGGTGGTCGGTTGTCGGTTATCGATCCCTGAAAACTTCAAATTTCGGAGACGGTGATTAGTCATTTGGGCTCGTGACTGGGGTACAGCATCAGCATCAGTGACGTCACTTCTTTCTCCAGTGTATTTTTGTTGGAGAAAATCTACACTAGTAATTTACTTTACCTGCTCCGCGGCGGCCAGGTCGAAGGGGCGTGAGCAGGTGCTTTTGGCAAAATCCAGAATCTTGTAAGGTGCCGATATAGAGCTTCTATCCCCAGCCACACCTTGATATTTTGAAATTAGCCAAGCTAGCAATGCACAAAATTTAAGGTATCTCACTGAGTAGCCAACGCCCCTGCTGCACCCTCCAGACCAAATAACGGCTTGTCGCCGAACTTGATCTTCTCCCACAGACTTTCAGCGCCGCCTTTAGCTCGTCATTCGCCAAGGAAAAGAATCCAATCACGAATAGGGCGCTCCAGATCGGACATCTTATAATCTATAGGCACATCTTCAAAGTCGCTATCCGAGTCACCCGTCATCTTATCGTCCCAGTCATCTACGGGACCACTGGTAGCGTTGTCATATAGGACTGAGCGTTCCACGAACCGGTCAATAAGCTTCTCTTGAATTTCTAGAAGACCGTTTCGAGCCGGAAGACTAGTCTTTGTGAGATTAACTTTACCCGGAAAATTTGTCTATTTTATCATCTCTTCCAGCCGTTCCCGCGCTTCAATAAGGCCGGGGAACGTGTCATAAACCTAGTCCCCAACTTCTTCCTTTGCCTGGAGTAAACTATCTTGTATAGCTTGAAGGCCGCAGGCTCGATTAAGTAGACAGCTACACAACGTTGAGCAGGACTGAGTGATGATTCATAGCGGGGGAATTTATCAACAAACGGACGAGGTCATCCACCTGTGACACCTCTTCGAATATTTCCACAGTCGCGTAATGTTAGGCTTATCCAAAAGACATTTGTTCGAACAGATGTTAAGAGGGTGAGTTTCAAGTCGGGCGTACATGCCAGTAGCAGTGTCCTTCATTTGCTGGGTCCAATGACCATCTCAAAAACTGTATCCATCGCAATTCGTGTCTTCTACAGAGGCAAAGTCTCAGAGACACCCAAATCATGGTCAAATTGAAGACTACTCACCTTCGGACTGTCGAATAGGCTTAAAGACACTATCCGTCAAGAGGAATCAATATCCACAACGATGAACACGCTAACCTTACTGTAACATCGCGACCACAAGCATTTCTTTCAAAATCCAAGCAAGCGTATGCCTGATATAAGTCGCTCGTTCTTCGTATATCTTTACGCCTTCGTTATTTGTGACGGTGATAGCAAAGAAGTCCATATGCTCGAACGGTGAACTACACACTGGAGTTAGAAGCGCTACGATGCGGGGGAATGATAAAGATACGGACAGAATACTTCAGTCCTCCATCTTCTTTACAGTGTCTAAGCATAAGACAAGGAATTCGCGCAAGAGCTAGAAATCCACATCCACCGCTGAGATCACGAGCCGTAGATTTGGAAGCCAGGAGATTATTTCCCTCGCTGTATCCCCCATCATACCTTCGAGATGTTCCCATCCATCGCTCTCGAAGCTTTTCATGAGCTTTCTGATGAATGCGTCGAGCCATTTTGCGGTCGTAGGCGATCATTTTGATCGTAACGCCAACGGGAAGCACGTTGCTGAGAGAAGCTGCCAATGCGTGAACTGCCTTGATGGCTGTATCATCTCCGGATGCTGGATGAATGGCTTTCACTGTGGCCACCGCGCCGGTAAGAAGCTCGTTAAGACGTGTCAGGGACGCGACATTTCCACCTGCGACATGAGCAGGGGCCAAAATAAAGCATCGTTTCTTCGTTAGTGGGCCTAAGGCGTTACCAGGGAGCTGCGAGGTGTCCTCGGCGTCATCACCAGACAGGAGCGCGACTTTTTGTTAGTAGACATGGTGGTCAGCGCATAAGAGCCCTGATAGGCTGTCGTGTCCTTAAAAGGGGGTGCCAAATGGCTAACCTTTTGTCAATCCTTTGTCTGCGTGCAGTACAAACTTGCCAATATTGGTCGACCCCAGTAGCTAGAGTATGTTCAAATGTTCATATACGTTCATAGATATTGTTAAATCCAGGAAGAAGACGTCTGGCATTTGTGACAGTTCGCTGTTCCAGGACAGTCCTGGATAGGCACATGAATGGATGTTGTCAGTATGACAGTTGGAATTTCCATAGCGTCATAACAAGACTGGCGTAACAAAACCACAACGTGCGCAACAGCTTGGAGCCATACTGATTGGATGGTCTGGTGGACCCGATAAAATGATACTTCTTGGTACTGGTCGGGATTGAAGCGGAAACTGGAAAATCGGGAGATTCGCGCCGACACGTGGTGGCTCTGTCACCAGAAGCATCCGAATCCGACGATGCAACGACGGCGTGCGGCTGTATTTTGACTCCACCATCTACTACCATCACAATCTCATGCATGTGTAAACGCTGTATTTGCAGCAATTCTTTTCTTGTAGTGATCTAAAAGTCAACTGGCTATGCCGACCAGCTCCTTTGCCGTACCTACGATCCTTACCACAGCAACCCTTCATTTTGCTGAAGTTGCTGAAGATGCCACCATACAGGATGTCATTGATGCCTTAGTGGAAACGGCTCGGTCAGAGGTTCTTGGAGACCTGGACGATCAAGGATGGGCTCTACAGAAGATTAGAGTGGAACGGAACGGCCGGCCCTGGGAAGAAGACGAGCTGGAAGCCCTTGGCGATGGTGAGTGGCCCCATTTTTCGGTGAGATATCACGTCTTAGTATTGCTCAGGCACCCTGGATCCATCTACTTTGGTCGCACCTTTGGTTAACGGCCCGCCGGTGAAGACTACAACTCAACGACATTTCTCTTCGTTTCCCATGACTGCCCATCTTCACACTCCTGTCCTTCGTTTGGTTTCTCTCCATTCGCATCTATCCATATATCTATCCTTTCTTCGAGTCCCCGAAATTCACGACGATTTTCGATACAAGGTCTTCATTTCCAAGACTACGACTATTCATGACGTCGTAAACTCAGTAATAGATGAACTAGGATTGACCAAGTTCTTTCCAGTTCCAGGGGGCGGCAGCTTGGAATATATTCTCGAAGAGGTGTGGAAGGATGCTGAATCTGAAAGTGCGTATTGTGCAACTTGTATTGTTGACTACGCATTGATTTGCATCCTCAGAATCTTCTCGACTGCCCGGTTCCTCCTTGATCTTCAGTATCGTTGAGACTTCCTTCTGTCAAAACCCATACACATCTGCGGCTACTCGCAGCTTTCGTTTCTGTGTCCCCGATGAGTGGTACCGTCGCTCCAAATCAAGGAGTGTATCCACAGCATCTACAGAACCAGCACAATCTACCATAAGACGTCTCGCAGTCCTACAAGAGTTTGACGAAGATGAAGATGATGAAGGAACGGCAAGGATGTCCAGTCCGGAGGCGTCTGCGACTACAGGAGGCGGGACGATTTCCCAAAGCCGCTTGTCGACTCTGTTCGATGGATGGTTCCAAGCTTCACCTCCTTCCCGATCCACTGTTGTAGCCACCTCGGAGAAACGCAAAAGCATAGTCAGCGAGCCAATACTAGTTGAAAACCAAACCAGCAATGGCTCAATAACGGGATCAAGTTCTGGCCAGGAGTCTGATTTCGACGAAGCAGAATTCGAGGCTCTAGTGAACAATTTCGGACTAAAGAATGACAAGCGCACTGAGATGCTTAATATGTCACCAGAGAGGAAACGAACGATCTTATCGCAACATAAATTGATGAAGGCGGGAACAACTGGATCTGTGCGAGGTCCAGCTCTCGCTGAGTCCTATGGGCCTAGCAGTGCCGCTGGTATAATTCCGAGAATCGTTCCACAGCTGACTGGGGATGGTCTCATGAAGCGATTCTCTATGTGGGGGGTAGCACCTGCAGCTCCCCCTGTAGTTTCCGAAGGAGCACATATTAGTGGTGAGTTTGACAAGGGTAGGGAAGGATTAACCGATAGGATCGCCGAGGAACCGAAGCCTGTCTTGCCTCAGAGTACGGGAGGGCGATGGAGTAACTGGTGGTCATTGTCCAGCGGCGACAAAGTTGGCTTTGGTGATAGCAGGGTATTTGAGAATTCACCAAAGTGGTATGTCGATGGATTGAAAAGGTGGAAGACAACGGATATCAGGATGCTCAAGCACATCATATCGCTGCGAGTGCACCTTCGCAACGCTAGTATGGTATGGGTGGAAGAGTTCCTTAGTGCTGAAAAGGGACTGGACGCTCTGACGGCCATACTTGCAGGACTAGTTGGCAAAGGCGGAAAAAGGAGAGATTTGACGGAGATTGAAACCAACTGCCTGCTGGAAATCGTCAAATGCTTCAAAGTCTTTCTGAATGCCGGGAACGACCAAAGTAATGTAAGACTTGGGCAATAACCGCCTATGTCATTGCTCATATTTTAGTAGGAACTCTTCGACCGAATCATTGATGCTCCGATGATCGTGACTTACATCACATATTCTCTCCACGTCCCTTCGCCGGAACTGAGGACCATGTCGTCGGAAATTCTAGCCGCTCTTTCTTTTCTATCACCTGATGGTCACAAGGCGGCACTATCTGCGCTGTCGGATTATCGCGTCGCTTATGACGAAGCCTTCCGTTTTGAAGGTCTGGTCAATTCCTTACAGCTGCCCTCCGGTGAAGGAGAATTTACCGATGATATTGCAACTTATTTGATGGATATGGACGATGAAGAGGTCAAGCGGATTTGGAATCCCAGAGCCGCGGTCATGTCCCTCGTGAATGCTCTGACAAATTGCCCAAATACTTTAGAAGACAGGATTGTACTTCGAGAGGAATTTAGTAGAAGGGGTTTGAATGAGATTATTGTGGTACGTTTAATCCTACTCATTTATTTCTGAGTCTTCTTGATGTTATTCTGTGTCATAGGCCCTGCGTTATGTTAAGCCGCCGGAATATGTGATGAATCAGCTCAACGTCTATACAGAGGAGAAATTGGACGATGATGCGGAAATGCGAGAACGGACTAGAGGGATGATGAGGCGGACTGCTACCGACGATGTCCTGTCTGACGCTGAAGACGTCCTGCAGGACATAGCCCAACTTGCTCAAGAGCACGGTGAGCTGTATCCTGTGATGGTTGATATTCTTCGCAATTACAACGACATCCTCGGCAAGAATGTCGAACTGTTAGTGTTCTGAGACCAGTCCGTCTTGGGTACTGATGATGCTCTATTACAGGCAACTAAAGGCCGACCTTCTTACTGTTCTGGATAAGTTTGTTGGACAGGCGGCAATGCTCGACAAGTTGTGAGAACTGTCTCTCAGCCAAAAATAAATATACTCAGAACTGATGAACACTGGGTAGTGACGATAGTTGGCACATCTTCATGAAGAGGTTCGCATCTTCTGTTTCGCATATCACGGGTCAAGAACTCGAGGTCAAGGCCGCATCTGAGAGTGACCACATCATTGAGGAAGAACTGGAGTCTCTGCGAACAAAGGTCGAAGAGCTTAGCGATGAGGTACACATAGTCCATATTTTCCTACTCCCTGACAAAGAACGTTTCTTTTCATAGCGCACAAAGTTGAAGAACGAACTCAACCAGCAGATCGCTGAGATGAACGCTCTGAAGTCTTTGCCTCTTAGCGGCTCTCAGGGGAAGCCGTCTGGAAAGGGTGGTCCCGAGGTCTGTCAATCAACTGGCTACAATGACTTTGTAAAATCTTATGTTCTCTTAGAGTTTCCATGGCGTTGTTCAGCGTCTTGTGCAGAAGGAAAAGCAAGTTCTCCAGCTCCAGTCAGAACTAGAACGAATCAAAAGCCAACAACATCCTATCGAAGCACGCGATGCGGACGAGCGTGCTAAACAGGCCCGTGATCGAACAAAATGGAATACTCTGATGGACGAGATTGCCAAGCTGAAAGCAAAGGTGCGTTCGAACTCCTTCGTCTTATGGTATGCTTTCGTACCTAGATCTTTACTACTTACAGAACAGCGAGGCAGAGACATCACTGGGAATCAAGGATAAGGAAATTGTCTACTTGAAGCGCGCGCTTGAGTCCGTGTACTCCCGGTTTTCGGCCAGGAAAGAACATCGCGAAGAAGCTCGAGAGGCTGAAATGGATGCTGAGCTCATGGTAGCTCGCACCATTGAAAGTCTATCACAGAAGGACGATCAGATCGCTTCACTATGCATCGAAGTAGCTGATCTCAAAGCTCAGGTAGCTGACGTAAAAGCTAAACTGGCATCGAAACCCAAGACCGAGAAGGAATTCAAAGCGCTTTCTCCCCCTCCCCCTCCCCCTTCCAAACCTAAGTGTACTTCGACAGCGCCAACGCATGCATCACTTGCAGACTTATCAAGGACAGATACCAAATCTCCACCACCTCCTCCGCCTCCGCCGCCGCCTCCTGCACGATTACCGTCGATAGCCATTGTCGCAGCTGCCGTTCCAACTTCCTCCACGCCATTGACGATATCTGGACTGCCACCGCCCCCACCCCCGCCGCCTCCGCCTCTCCTTTCTGATGTTTCCACTGGGCCTCCACCTCCACCCCCGCCCCCCCCACCTGTTCCAGCATTTTCGTCAGGGTCCCCTCCACTCCCTCCACCACCGTCTCTGGGTACGGGGCCACCCCTTCCCCCGCTTCCGCCTCCTGCTTTCCGAATGGGTGGTATGAGACCCAAAGTCACCCGGCCTGTGAAGCGGCTAAAGCCCTTCTTCTGGAACAAGATTAACAATTCAACTGTTTCCAATACAGTGTGGCGTGAAGTTGCGACTGATATTCAGTTTGACTTGAATGATCTAGAAACGACATTCACGATTGATAACTCCACCTCGACATCATCACGACTCCAAGCCAGTCCGATTAAGAAATCTACTGTAACAACGCTGTTAGATATTACGCGCGCTAATCATATTGGTAGGTCAACGTTCTTGATACCTTTCACTGACTCCTCACTTTTTGCGTATTGCGTACAAGCTATAATGTTGAAACGGATTAAACTGGATTTCCCGGGAATACGCAGGGCACTACTTGAGTTGAGCGATGACCTTTCCATTGATGATCTGAGGGCAATTGGGAAGCATCTACCAACGCCTGACGAAGTATGCAGAATATTTGTGGAATGTCTTTCAATTTGACAATCGGTGCTTAGGTCAACCGGATGAAAGATTTCGAAGATGTTGGGAAGCTTGCCATGGCTGACCAGTATTTCGGCCAGGTACGTAGATGTTCTCGTTCTGTGCTTGGTGCGTTGAATATACAGTTGCCCTAGATAATATCAATTCCGAGGCTGTCGCAAAGACTGGATTGCATGCTCTACCGTCGTAGATTAGATCTTGATATTGCGGAGATACGGCCGGATTTGAATACTCTACGTAACGCTGCTCTGGAGCTCCGTGGGTCGACGAAGTTCAAGCAGATCTTGCAGGTGAGCATCTGTCAACCTCTTCACAGTGACATTCCTAATGACCTTAAAACAGGCCATACTTGCCGTAGGAAACGCGTTGAATGGTTCCAGCTTCCGGGGTGGTGCCCAAGGTTTTCAGCTTGAGGCTCTTCTAAAGGTAAACACAGGTTTTCCGGTGTTACCCTTGCCCTCATCTCTTGACAGATGAAGGAGACAAAAACAGCCAAGGCTGGTACTGACTGCCCTACATTGCTGCATTATTTGGCTCGAGTACTCCTTCGATCTCATCCTAATCTGGTCAATTTTATTGAGGACCTGCCTAATGTTGAAGCTGCTGCCCGTCGTATGTTGTCTGGTTCCAATAACGTGGGTGTTTCCTGCTGACTTACAATGCTCAACAGTTTCTGTACAAACTATTATGCAGTCGGTCAATAGCATGGCTTCAGGCCTGGCTCAAATCAAGACCGAAATAACGCAACTCAAGCCGCTGCCTGCCCTACCCGACGATCGATTCATTCTAGTGATGCAAGTAGGTGCCTTGATGAACCAGCCTGTAGCGTCACTGACCTTCGTATTCAGCCGTTTGTGGTTGAAGTTGGCGAAAGTATCATCGCACTTAAGAATATGGGTCTATCTCTAGAAGGAGACTTGCACTCTCTTCTTGTATACTATGGCGAAAATCCCGACGCACCGGACGCACCCAAGCCTGAAGATTTCTTTGGTTTGATTGTATCATTTTCGTCCTCTCTTCAGGTAAACCTGTCTTTGACCAGTCCCATCCCGTCGTTAAACATAATGCGCAGAAATGTGCTTTAGAAGTTCACGACTCCCAGCAGAAGTCGGGAGTCCAGGCAACGCCGTCTAGCATTCAGATCACAGTGGAAGTGGACCGACCTGCGGAACCTGTAAGTCATCTCAATGTATCACTGACATGAATCTCATCATGCAACTGCCACAGCCACAGACCATTAAGGCTAACCCTGATACTCAGGGCTCTCATGGCCGAACTACTGGCGGTAAATCAGTGGGTCGAGGTGATCTCGACCAGGCCATTCGCAGCATGCGAGACGGGAAACGAAGAGCAAGACCTGCGCGACCACTCAGTAAAATATTCCTAGATGGCGCACCTGGTAGCGGACGACCTCAGAGTCGCTTTTTGAATCATGAAGCATAAACTCATGGCTTACAATACCAACATATTCATTCGGGCTTACCACGATCTTTATATCAATATTATATATCTCTCACGCACACATATCCCTACTAATAGTTGTATTTTGAGACGCCTCAGACATGTATACTTTCATGACAGTATGACAGCGTGCAAAGGCATATTCCATCACAATTCGTACGTGGCATCTTTGATTGATTCAGTAATATTAATCTTGAATCGATCCATAGTCGCCCAGACTTCAAATTCAAGGATCGATAACGAACTTCATTACCTTTAAACACTCATCTTGAGGGAGGTCATGCGAAAGGTATATAAACCCATTTTTAACGTCTCTCGTCTCATATTTTCTGACCCGGCTACCAAATTGCGGAACCTTTCGGGCTTAAAGTTTTCTCGAATATTGTGTGAATCAGTGCCTCTCGGAGATGAACAAAGCATGCGGATATCCACAGGCCCATACGATCCTCTCCCTTCGGCATTTCTGGTCCATGTTGCTACTTAAAAGGTCACTACCTTCCAAGATGATTCTACAAGTCGCCTTACCCGAGCAGGATGGCTCGTCTTCTTGGGCTCACTTTTGTCACTTCCTACCTTTCGCTCACCAGTGCTCTACTTTCTGATGGACGTCCACACGGCAACACCATGCCCATGCCAGTGATCCCTGTCATCGACATGAAGGATACAACCAGCTATGCAAAGACTTCTTTGGCAGATGAACTAGCGCCATACAACACGGTTTATTATTTCGACCAACTTATCGACCATAATGACCCATCGCTTGGAACATTCCAGCAAAGGTATTGGCATACTTATGAGTTTTATGAGTCAGGTAAGTAGTATCATAACATGCGCCGCGCGCTCTCGTTTCAGCTCTAGCCCGACTTCTCAAGGCGGGCCAATTATTCTTATGACGCCGGGGGAAGCCAACGCAGCTCGTCCGTATCAATTTCATTTCTGACTAGAAATTCTGCCAATTTTTTCTTCCGGCAGCTTACTATGGGTACCTCACGAACCGTACGATCAATGGCCTTATCGCCCAACAGGAACATGGATCAGTTATCGTTGTAGAACACCGATTTTACGGCCTTAGCAACCCCTACCCTGACCTTACTGTCGCGAGCTTGAAATATCACACTATTCAACAAGCTATTGATGATCTGGAATATTTCGCTGAGAATGTCGTGCTTCCGATGCCCAATGGTGACCAAGTTGGCCCCGATAAAGCCCCGTGGATCCTTACTGGTGGCGGCTATGCAGGTACGTCTATGGATTTTTCGTGAGCTTCCCTTTCAATGATGAACAATAGGTGCTTTGACTAGTTGGACCATGGTGAAGTATGGGTAGTTGCTTGCCCATAATAGTACACGTCTGACGATATTGAATCATAGTAAGCCAAACGTATTTTGGGCGGGATATGCATCGTCAGCTGTCGTCGAAACAATATTGTGAGCCGATATTCATTTCCATTGGTGTAGGCTTACACGGTGAATTAGCAATTTCTGGAGATATTTCGAACCCATTCGGCAGAACATGCCAGAAAACTGTTCTGCTGATGTTGCCGCTGTGATTGCCTACGTGGATGAGGTATTCTCTGGCGAGGATACAACAGCTATCAATGCGATTAAAGACGAATTTGGTCTGAGTGAGATGACACACCTCGATGATGTGGCTGGGGCGTGTGAGCACGTAGAGCATCTTAATGAATTCTTTCTTACTGATTTGCGTTTCTTAGTAAGGAACAATCTGTGGGACTGGCAGTCTCTTCAGCCTACATCTGGTGCTGGCGCTCAGTTCTTCGAATTTTGTGATGCCCTAGAAGTAAAGGACGGTGAAAATGCACCCGAAGCAGGGTGGGGCCTGGACCATGCGCTTCCAGCCTGGGGTACCTATTTCAAAGATGATTATTATTCCTTGCGTGAGTGTTCCTCCTTTGCCCATACAGAGGCTCCCCTCATTTGAACATGCCAGTTTGCGGTGACGATGGGGCTGAGTGAGTTTGATTTAAACACGACAGTTAGGTTTATGAAGGCCCATCACCATAATAGGGATTGTTTGGGTACATATAATGCATCTCAGAATTTATGGACTAACACGAGCATCGACAACGCGTACCGCTCATGGAATTGGATTGTGTGCGTGGAATTATTTGTCTTTCCCGATCTTATTGACACGCACTCGTAGCTGCAATGAAGTTGGTTTCTATCAAGTAGGTTTCTACAGTACTCCTGGCTGATTTTTTATGCATACTTCCATTAGGACGGACCTCCTGTAAATGTTACAGTAACACCTATTGTGACGCGTCTCGTCAACGTCGAAACATTCTACGATCAGGTATTTCTTCATCATTCATGTGTGAAGCTCATGTCTCTGATCGAAGTGTCAGCGCCAATGCCAAATGCTTTTTCCCGAGGCTTTTCCCGACCCGCCTTACCCGGACACAAGTAATATCAATACATTGTACGAAGGGTGGGACGTCAGTCTCGATAGAATTTTCTTTGCGACAGGCACTCGTATGTTGGTATTATAGCAGCATGGTGGAAAAGGCTAACAGTAAAAATCTAGGCGATCCTTGGAGAGAGGCTACTTTATCTGCTCAAGGACTGAACATTCCGAGCACCGAGGAAATGCCCATTGGACTTTCGGATGGTTTCCATTGTTCTGATTTGTCCACCACGTCGGGCACAGTAGACGCGACTGTAAGCAAGGTGCAAGCTTCCGCTTTGGCATCTATGAACACATGGCTGAAAGAATGGGAATGAACGAATATGCCAATGAAATTCCAGAAGCCTTGTACTTATTTGTACGAAACTCAATGTAATGATAAGCCAGCTGAATTGTGCTGCTGTGAATGCGCTGCTTTCAGAAAGACGGGTATCCGTTCCTATAACACTCCATTAGCTTAAGAAAGCCACTTGAGAGTCAATTTTCAATTCTACTGGAAATTTGCTGACAAAAACTCGTTTGATCTCCGGTCCGAAGCATGTGCCCCAACGAGCGCGTCATGCACGTGTAAATCATATGCGGCCATTTTAATCTTTGGCAACCCCATCTCTTTCTCATATCATGAACTACATTCGTGGTGCTGTCAGTGCAATCAGCGCCCCATACCAATATTACAAGGAATTACCGCCAATAAATCCCTCGACGCTCACCGGTGCCATTGATGTCATCGTCATCCAGCGCCCAACCGACGATGGCGGAACGGAACTTGCTTGCTCACCGTTTCATGTACGATTTGGAAAATGGCAGGTACTCAGACCAGGAGAGAAAAAGGTGCGTCTGCTGTTGTATCTCTTAATCAAGCAGCCAATGAATCAGTCCCAGGTGAACGTAATGGTTAATGGCCACTCGATTCCATTTAGTATGAAGATTGGAGATGCTGGCGAGGCCTTCTTCGTTTTCGAGACTGACGACGACGTGCCAGACGACCTCATCACATCGCCTATCCTTCAGCCCACACGGCCAGTTGGAGAAGCAATGCCTGAAGCTCCCGGCATAGGACTTTTTGCAGTGAAGGCCGAATCAGACGATGACGAGCTACCAAAAGAAGAGCCGGATTACCTTGATCTGGACGCCCAACCAGACAGCGACGAGAAACAACACAAGAAGACGCAGAGCTTGACGTCATCAAGTTCTGTGACCAAGAAGCGGCCGTCGAGGCTGTCACTTTCTCAAGAACATGCTCCATCAAGAACAGACTTCAAAGATACGACTGAGAAAGAGCAGAATCAACGTGCTGATGAGGTCCTGAAGAAGAAATTGAGAAATGGACCTGACCATGTACCCGACGTCGCATTTTCGAATGGTCCGTTAACTTAAATGATGCGTTCTCTAGATAATTGATCTTTTGTTGCAGGCATCGCATATGATATAGAAGGTTATCACTCTTCAAGCAAGCATCACAGTACTCCGCACGACCGTGACATCAAGTCTTCTGATGCATTCAATGGCATCAGGTTTCCTAGTTCTTCGAGATCCTCCATACCTTCACCGTCGCGGTCTGGAACTCCCGAAAATGAGCCTACATCCTACTCATTTCCATCCATACGCGCGACTTCTGAGCCTCCTGATTTTCCTGAACCGCCAAGCGACATAACGAAGTCCAGTTCCTTGCCGCTTCCTTCATCGTCAGCCCAAGAATACTCTTGGGAGTGGGGTGCATTTCCACAACCATCGCCTCTGAAGACGACGTTTGGAAAGAGTGGACGCATCGGCAGTGATGACAAACCGACGACATGGGGAAAGAGCCTAGGGAAGTCCAAGTCCCAGTCAATTAGCGGTTTGGAGGCGGTCGAAGAGGGCGAGGTCCGGAGTAGAAGTGTGCCTCCATTCTATGAAGGGAAAGGAAAAGAGAAAGAACAGAGAGTTTATGAAGATCACGATGACGAAGAGGTCACAGAAGAGAAGTATGGTGCCGGTGGTAGACTGACTGTCAGCCAGTCAGATCCAACAAAGTTTAGAGTGGCAATAGAGGGTCGTCGGGTGCCGTTTGAGCTGAGTCTGGTCCATGTTGAGGAAGACGAGAGGCGCGGTAGACGAAATCGAGACGGTGCTGTTCCCGCTATTCCCGACAATACAGGCTATGCCATTGGTGTGGATGAGGTTGAGTTTGATAGACTGTTTGAAGAAGGAAAGATTGATCTTAATACTTTCTTGGATGACGAGAGCATCATTGACGATCCGGCATTGGTGATCAAATGGAATGAGGGCCAGTATGTTATGCAGTTTTCCTCATGATCCCCGGTGTCCTGACGCTTTTGACAGATACATCAGACATGGTGATGGCTCACCTTTGGTGCAAGCTCTCAAGTTGTGGCGCAATGGGTATCTGCACCAACGCGACATAGGAATAATACCTACCAGACCCTCTTCGCCGCTTTTGGAAGATGATGAGGCCATAAAGTCAGGCATGAATGATTCTTCTGGCAGTCCAGAAACGGCACAAGCAGGCAACCGAAAACCTCCAACATCCTCATCTTGGGCACAATGGTGGAGCCGAAGTAGAAGAGGCACACCTTCCAGCACAATCAGTAACGGGAAACCCGGACGTCCCGAATTAAGAGAAACAGCCTCGGTCCCCTTAGAATCTGTTCGTTGTTTCATGAATCATCTATATTCTTTTCGTCATTGACATTGTCTGCAGACGCCGCCGCCTCATCTAAAAGATATACCACCAGCAGAATCTGCGCCGGCCCTTCCCTCAACACCATTGCAGAGGCCCGTCCAGGATGTTCCTACTCCGGTACCTGCGATCGCAAAACCTGATCACAAATTTGCTAAGACATTGCGGTTAACATCAGATCAACTCGTAAGCATACTTTCATCTCGTAGGCCCCTTGTGCTCATGTCGACTACGTCCAGAAATCTCTGAACTTGAAGTTAGGTCCCAATACGATAACCTTTTCGTTGTCCATGACTGGTGCTATTGCATGTACTGCACGCATATTCCTGTGGGAATCGACTGACTTGGTCGTTGTGTCTGATATCGATGGGACAATCACGAAGTGGGTTTAGAATTAATTTGTATCTGGACCGCGGCTGATACGGGATAGGTCTGATGGGCTAGGCCACGTCTTTGCGATGATAGGGCGCGATTGGACACACCTTGGGGTGGCAAAGCTCTACACGGATATTTGCCGGAATGGGTACAAAATCATGTATTTAACTTCGAGAGCGATAGGGCAGGCGGATTCTACCAGGGATTATTTGAAGGGCATCAAGCAGAATGATTACCAGCTTCCCGAAGGACCTGTCATCATGAGTCCTGACCGGTTAATGGCGTCGTTGCATAGGTGGGTGTACTTCATCAAGCGTTTTCGATCTGGACTAATTGAGCTGACGGTGTTCCAGAGAGGTTATCATGCGAAAGCCGGAAGTGTTCAAGATGGCTTGCTTGAGGGACATTCAGCGTCTCTTCGGTGAGGCGTCATCAAGAAGTACCTTCTATGCAGGGTTTGGGAACCGGATTACGGACGCCATGTCTTATCGAAGTGTGAACGTGCCTAGTTCACGAATATTTACTATCGACTCGACTGGTGAGGTTAAATTGGAGCTCTTGGAGCTGGCGGGGTACAAATCCTCGTAAGTATTTTCTTGCTTCGAAGATGATGGTCCTAATATTTGTTCACCTCTAGCTATATCCACATGACTGATCTTGTTGACCAAATGTTCCCGCCTATTCATCGCAAATGGGCTCCGGAATTCACCGATTTCAACTACTGGAAAACACCGGTCCAAGATTATCCGCTTCCAGACCTCTCACCTCCTTCTCCTGCGTTGAGTGCTCGTTCTGATACATCGAACCAGAGCGCATTAGCTCGACTGCGCAACTTTAGCCTTGTGGGAGGTAGACAAGCCAACGTGCACAGATCAGTGGCCTCCATCTCATCCTCACCGACTCGGAGGGAATCCTCACCGGAAGGCGACCCAGAGCATCATTTGAGGCAGATGTCATCATTTGAGAAGCTTAGCAGTACGTTTGGGTTCTCAGGTTCGTCGAGACGGAGCGTGAGTCCGGATTCGATGTCCTCGGTGACATATGCAGAGTCGGAGGACGACTCTGATGCGGAATATGATGACGGGACAGGGAGACAGAAAAAGCGGGCGCGGAGGCGGAGTATGAGTAGTATACCGGGCGCTTTGGATGACATGCACTTTGAGCTTGATGAACGGGAGGACGACGGTGCTGCGGACGAACAGGATGAAGAATTCGATGGGGATGGAGGGATAGTGGCTGATGAGGAGGCGGAAGAGGACGCGTTTGATGAAGATCTCTTGGCAGCTGGAGAAATGAAGAATGTCCCTTTCCTATAGATCCTTATACAGCGTAGAGTACTATTACATATATTTATAATTTGCCGTTTGGCGTACTGTGAGACTTATACAAGGTGCAAAGGCTCATATCGAACCTTTTCGAATCTCCTTTCATTTTGCGAGTCTTGGACTCTCAAAAATTCATCATCCGTAACCTCAGTCTCACTATCGTTGACGGCTGATGTGTCAAGCAAAGGATTTGAACGGAATTCTATGGATTCCAGGCGCACTGAATTTCGCCCATGGTCAGGTACATCAGATTTGCTCTGGGAAGTGAAGACGTCAGTCTCGCTAATGGGGCCTCGACGATTAACGAAGAGAACGACAATTGTTGGGTACATGCCCTTTGCATCCGGTTAATAAACCAAGATATATATGCAGATGTGATCAACTCTTACCGCAAACTGTGCGTTAACAGGAACATAGATGTCGCCCAAGGTGCCAAATGGAAGTCGAATCCAGACAGCGACGAGAAGGAATACCTAGAGTCAAGGTGTGATTGCTGTTAGCCAACGAGAATAACTCACCTCTAGAGACTCACCGTAGAAAGCATGTAAAGGACTCCAGTCTCAACCAGCAGCGCGATAACTCGTTCTCCTCGCGTCATGCTCCTTTTCCCGGATTGCACTACTTCGGTAGTAATCCATCGTCTATACCGCCTATCCGACAAATACCATTGAAACGCATTCTAACAAGGTCTCGTCACTCACCAAGCCTTGACTCCAATGATTGTTGTCGAAGACAGATTAGTCAACAAAGTAAGCACCGAGCACAGTACTTGGGAAACATCTAAAGAGTGAGCCAAGGCATTACCAGTTACGACGATATGTTGGCTGACTGATATAACAGTTATCGCAATCCGTATTCCAATCATAACTACCGCAGACACTAGTAGGAAAGGTCAGTGATGTCGGAACGAAAAAAGATAGGTACGTACATGTTGTGCAGCATAAAAGCACGATAGGAACCATTAGTGCCTTGGGGTATTCTTGTTTGCAGAGCACCCATGCTCGCCAGACAACGACGCCGTCGGTCAAGAAGCACTAAAAACATGGATTAGTACGAGTCCGTGAATTGCTCTAAGGCCACCAACGTTTATCAGTGCCAAAGCATTCATCAGAAGGCACTGCTGTCGGCGATAGCTGGCGGCATCATTATCCAAAGGAATCCCGTTCACGAACCCGCTTGTGATGAGATCGAGGTCGTGGTATACGGATAGAACCCAATGGGCCGTCGAGAGAGAAAACATGAAGACCAGCATACAGAATAGCACACGTCGGGTTGTTCCTTGGATGCCTCTTTTCCTGTTTCCCGTCGTATAAATCCCGGGCCTCGATTGATGTTAAAGTACACACAGCATTGCACGGCAACAAAAGGGTATAAGAACCAGGTACATTCCTGGTCATGATGCGAATGAGTGACAGTTGTCTGAAAATTTCATTTGAAAGCTCACCATATACTAGCGTTTGGCATATTAATCGAATCGTGTAATAGAGAACGTCGAGTCCGTCTTCATTGGACACCATTAAGCAAAGCTATATGGAACACAAGACTGGTATCCTCCAGTTATATACCGGTTATATCAATATCTGGTATTTACACATATCTGTTCTTATTATATAAGGTACTATGACCCCGGAGACAATGTCTGTGATAGATAATTCAATGTTCATTATTGCTATTTTACAAAACAAGTGACTTCTGTTTTATTTTTAAAAATCAGAAATTAACTATCTTAATTGGGATTATCAAAATCCATTGACTCTCTGGAAGCCTTTCCAAGGTGCTGATACAAATATGTATAAACAATTGATGATTGAAGTTGTTCATTTTTTGTTGAACACCTTATTTAAGGTGGTAACCAGGTGGGAGATTATTTTACAGACACTTGAGATGTTTTCCAAGCTCTGACAGAGAAGTAATAGCTAAAAGAATACTATATACAAAAAGTGAGTATTATGAGCATATTTGCTACTAATACTACATAATTTAATATAGATATATTGTCATTCTATGCTTCAAATATACAATATTATAGCAAAAAATAGGAATTCTCATAAAAAAAATTTCAGGCCTTCCAAGGCAAACCAACTACCCTATCAGCTGTGCCAGGCCAACATTTCTGAGCATCCTTGGAGTAGGATTCTTTGTGCTTAATGTCAACAAATTCAATTATTTACATCCTATCCATTTTCTGTACACTTTGAGGCCATGAATATATTCAGAAAATAGTCTGATTAGATTTTGTGGCTGTCAGTTTTCATCTGGATGCTGACAGACTACAGTATGATCTTATCCATTTAAGGCTCCATTTTGCAATGAATATTTGATATAGACAAGTATTGTTCTTAATTAAACTCCATGCTCACAATGGGTCATACACCCATCTCACCTAAGATCACACTCATCCATGACCACTCTTCCTTTGAAAAGAACATCCTCTCTTGGCATGCAACCAATTCTATTAGATACAAGCTGATATAATCACAGTCATAACACCCAGTATAACAGGCAAGTAGAGGTATACATGTGTCTCTTAGTGCTAGACTTCATCAGCCAATATTGCTATAATCAATGTCCAGATATTAGCTAATTGAAAACTAACATATAAAGTAATAGATAGGTATCGGGGGTTCTAAGGCACCACATCATTTGAAATAGAGCATACCAGTCTTGTATTCCATAGACTTTTCTAACCGGAGACAAATGTTACAATATTCGCATTTAGACCATCCAGGACTTCTGATTCCATCTGGTGTTTCAGCACCTGATGTATAGTAACAGACGTTTCCGGTATTTTTGCATAGGACTAATTGAGTTGGTTCTGCGATTGACCATCCAGGACTGTGATGGGAGGTAGTGCAGCGACGAGTGAAAGCTGGAGAACCATGTTTTAGGTTGGGAGCAAGCCTCATTGTGCCACAGTGATCAAAAATCAGTAACACAACAGCATAGTACTTTGAAACTACATCTACATGGCAGATTCTCTACAGACCGGTATACAACATGCCTGGGTATAAAAAGTATCATCCAAGCTTTAAAGATTAGTAGTTCGCGCTGCTTCCGCTACCAGGAGGGACTCCGCCCATCCAGTCAAAGCAAAATTTTAAAAAAAGAATGTGACAATAAACAACAAAAACGATCCCCAAATGAACGAAATAGCCTCATCCTCCCGCTACTCCAACAACTAAATCAACAAACCCCACAACGTCCAAAAAGTAGACGCAGAGTCACGTTTTGAAAGGGTGGTGCCGGATGCGGTGTAGAGATTGGCGCGGTAACTACCACCGCACGTCTCAGTTGAGTCGCCTGTAAAATCGGATAAGAGACCATCCTGTAGAGCGGGTTGAAATCAAAAGTCACCATCGCAGGCCATATTACAGTCACTAGAGGACGTAGACGAGCCAGCTCCGCCGTCCGTATACAGGGTATCACCGCAAAGGCATTGGTACATGTACTCCGTAGCAGCCATAGTGTAACCAGCAGCGGAGCAGGAACTGATACAAGCATCTGTCGTCAGCCCGGTAATTGTGGTAAGAGAACCACGGAGGAGGCGCTCATCACTGTCGGTGTAGCATCCTTGGCTTGTCCACCCTGAAACGGAGGTGCCAGGTGCGGTATATAGGTTGACGCGGTAGCTACCACCGCACGTCTCAGTTGAGTCGCCTGTAAAATCGGATAAGAGACCATCCTGTAGAGCGGGTTGAAATCAAAAGTCACCATCGCAGGCCATATTACAGTCGCTAGAGGACGCAGACGAGCCAGCTCCGCCGTCCGTATACAGGGTGTCACCGCAAAGGCATTGGTACATGTACTCCGTAGCAGCCATTGTGTAACCAGCAGCGGAGCAGGAACTAATACAAGAATCCGTCGTCAACCCGGAAATTGTGGTAAGAGAACCACGGAGAAGCCGCTCCGCACTATCGGTATAGCATCCTTGACTGGTCCACTAGAACATATGTTATTGATATGGCTGACTGAAAGCGAGATGCGAAACACACGCTGCTTGGACTGGTCCCCTTGACGTACAGACTTAGATGATAGGATCCACCACAAATCTCAGTGCTGTTTCCGTCACAAGGAACCCAACACTCGCTCGAATCCACAATCGCGCCAGAAGCGCCATTTTCTGTCATAGAATTGCCGCAATAACATTCCTGGCTGAAAGTACATTAGCGCAAGAGCGTTCTCATGCATCTTTGAACATACGCATATTCCGTTCCGGCATAGTCGTATTCCGCACAAAGACCCTGGCAAACCTCTGTCGTCATGCCTGATTGGGTGTAGCTAGCGCCTGTGAGTGCACGTCCTGAAGACCCTTCGGCGATACATCCATAGTAGGAGAAAGTTGAGCTGCTGGAGGATGAACTTCCCTTGCCCCAGAGATTCAGAACATAGGAACCGCCACAAGGCTGGCTCGAATCACCGTCACACATGACGTTGCAATAGCTTGAGTCGATAAGGGCTCCACTTGCGCCATTGCTGGTGTATGAATTGCCACAATAACCTGTACGAATATCAGCCAGACCGACACAAGCAAACGCCATTTCCTACGCACACTCGTCGCTAAATCGAGTTAGTTGTCAGTAACAGCGCTAATTCGGGGAAACACGACGCCTTACCCATATTCCATGCCTGCATAGTCATAATCAGAACATAATGAAGTACAGATTGCTGGGGTCAACCCCGATTGTACGTAGGACGGTCCTGAAAGTGCACGACCAGTCGTTCCTTCACCAATACAACCAATCGAATACCAAGACGTCGATGTCGAGGTAGCAGCCGCTGTGGTCGATGTTGCTGTAGTAGACGTAGATGAAGTTGATGTCGATGTCGATGTCGATGCAGTGGTCGCAACTGCGGAAGCAGATGGAAATAATGTCATATATAAAGATATCACAAAGATTTGAGGTAAGCTTACTAGCAGCACCAGCATAAGCATTGAAGTTATCTGGAATCACCCGTCAACGATTTCGCTCCCAAGAGTATTTGTTAGGAGGTTTACATTGAGAAGGACTTGCGATGTAAGTGAAATCGGTGGGCGTCGTGTTAATGACAGTCTGAGAGTTTTTGACCATTGAAACCGTTATTTGACCGTAATCCAACGGAATTGACAGCTCGGTAACGCCAGCACTGACGCTGAAGGTTTCCGAAGACCCACCGATCTGCAAAGTAACCGATGCAGACGATGTTGCAAAGACCAAAGCCCACAAACTATCCTGAACGAAGTCCTTAGTAGGGATAACACATTCCGGAAATCTGTGAATGTACCGTTGCCCAATTCCAACCGGTTGGCTGCCCGAGGGAATCGGCAGATGCAATGGCAGCATATGGATGAGGACGCGCCCAGTAATAAATGACATCTTGCTGCACCGAATCGTTACATTGTGGAAAGGACAGAATTGTTTCGTGAAACTCACAGTGATGGCAGGGTAGCTACCAGTTTTGAACGCCGTAATGTAGTACTGAGACAGGTCATAGAAGGCGGTATGGGGAAAGTCTTCGGCCCAATATGTACCTATTTAAGAACCGGTCGTAAGTGTCTCACCAAAATAATACCACCTTTCAGCTTACCATCCGGCTGCGCTCCCTTGAAGGGACCAAAGCTTTAAAGTCATCCCGGGGTTAGAAGCAAAAAGTAGGGGCAGTATCTAGATGCACGCACTAGTCTGACTCGCCGTAATCATTCCTGTTATATCGGACTGAGAATTATTTTCGATCTACATTGTGTAAAAGGCGCATACCAGGTCACCATTTCAACAAACGTCAACTGATCGCGCATAGAAATCAATTGCTCCCAACGATTGGCAATGAGCCAGTCATCGCCCCGAAGGTAAAAATTCTTGTCCGTCCACGAATAATGAGTACTGTTCGAAACCTACGTGAGGATAATTCTGAAAATATGAAATATCACTCACAATATCCACATACTGACGGTGGTGGCATAGCGCGTTCCCAAGAGGCCCATGTCTATTCATGTTAGGTACACGCTGTCATGCTCTAGCACGGGAAAAAAAACTCACAGTATTCATCATCGCTAGTCTAAGTAATAATCAACGAGGAGACGCGGAGTGTCATATAAAACTCGCACATTCTTATCGTAGTCCCCTTGCGGCCAAGCGCATCCCCAACTATAAGAAAAGGCTCAGAAAAGTGTGCTTGAATGGCATACAGGGACTAACCATAGCCAAGAGTCCAAGAAAGACCAGGTTGAGCTGAAACTACTCTCAAGGCCCCAGATGAAAGGCATCAAGTAAGCGTTCGTGGAAGACTTGATCGTCTCCCATCCGCTAGCTCCCAAACAGTCGCCAGAGTAACTAGACACCATCACCTGTCCATTGTAGTAGAACTGATTGGGATGGCTTATGAACTGGTTGATATAGCTAATCGTTTTTGAGACATCGCATGAAAATGCAGTGTAATCAAAAGAGATGAACAACTTCAAGTCCGTGCCCACGGCAGCCGCATACGCGTCGGTGATTTGCGAAAGCTGCCAGTCATCGTCACCTATGTTCAGAGCGATAGCATCGCTGATGTAAAAAATGAGACAAGCGCTAATTAATAAAGCTGTAGAGAAGAGTACGTACACGCTGTTGGCGCTGATGCGAGAGATGTCATCCGCCCAATCAGATTGTGTATAGGGATATCTGTAAAGAGATAGAAAAGGTGAATGATAAAAATCAGACAGCGGATGTTACCAACGTACGTATCTGTTGGTAGGCAACGACGGAAGTGTATCAGTGAGGTGAGGGTGCTTGCGCCAAAGACACGTACTTCCAACAATCTAGTAGGAGGGAAATTAGTTGAAGAAAAATACGAGAGGATCACGACTTACATGATGCATGAAGACATACTTTGTATCGTCTCTTTTTTCTAACGTGTTATTGCCAGCTGGAGAAGGGATACGTTTTGCCTTGTGCGCGGAGCCTAGGGTATGATGACTTCGTTGGGAGAGACGACCAAGAACCGGCAAGACAGAGAGCGTGAAAAGGAGGGGTATAAATAACAAATGAGTGACGCGCATAATTAACGAGCGTGGGCGGCTAGTTAGCCTAGTACTTGAGGCAGGACGTCCTCCAAGTAAGTCACCAGCGATTAGAAGATGGTGGAAGCGGAAACTTGAACAAGAACAAGGGCAACGCTCATAAAAAGAGTTGAGGGGAAGACCCCTTTAATTATGACAGTTGTCGGCCCTTGCTCTGACCTAAAATAGGGGGTACACATCTGGAACTCCGTCGATCGAAAGCCAAGGCAACGATTTCGAGCTTCAAAACATCATCCTTAGCTTCACCGTCTTTACGTGGAAGTACCTAAACAAGTCAAGCCGTGAGCACATCAAAAGTATATATACAGACCCGTCGTACAACCAACCAAGTGAAGGATTTCTGGGCGCTAAATGTTGACGGAAGATAAACCACCGGTCGTGGACTCGTGTTTTCAGGAGGTGACATCGTGGCAGGTACAGATCCCGGCAGCGAGCGCAAATCGTGGTGAAAATCGTTGGTAATCATTGATAACACGGCGGGACAAGCTTGAAGTATTGATACGCTGAGGCACGAACGTCGAAAACCGGAAGTAACAATTGTTTGGCCTAATTGCCTTTGAGGGCCTTTGTACGTTTTATGCGTCCTCTTCTCATTTCCATAGTGCATCTACTCGAACGTTCGTCTGCAGTTACCTCTTTAAAGAAAGACCTAACAAAGTTCCTGATCATTTGACAGACTGACATGCCAAAAAAGGATCGTACCGAGCTTGAGATGCTTATCCTTCTTACTACTGGTAACCACGACATAAAATAGATCCATATATGATTACAATCGATACAATATATAACAGTTTCCAAAACTCACAGTAGATTCAACGTCTCACTTTCAAAATCAACATCACCGCCTCTCAGATGTCTCAGTCCACTCCTTGCTCCCCATCTGCACAAGCCTAGAACAAGCTCTCGCAAAGGCAAAAATCTCTTCCTCGCCCGAAAACATCGAACTGGCGCCAATGAGCTGTTCGGACAAGCCCTGGGAGAAGAAGCAAGATAAGGCTATGGGCGCTCGGCGTTGAATGATAAACCAGGGACAAACCAAATCGTCCATGACACTCCGCATATGCTCTGATGGGCCTTTGCCCGCATCTGCCCTGTCACTGGAGAATACTTGATGAATAGGTACCTCCGAAGTGACGAAGAGTTTCGTCTACCATTTGAAAAGCTCAGCGGAGGCACAAAAGGAAGAAAATAGGAACAGGATTCACCCTGCTCTCATAACAAGCGTCGATAAAAGTAATAAATCTTCTTGCCTTGTCCTTGCTGTCCAACCCCATCTTAGGAACATCCAGCAAGAAAACGGTATGGAATGCCCTCGTCACTTCCAGATAGTCAGCAGCGCTTAGTGGCTGTCCGCACAGCTCTTCGAAATGAAACTTTGCTATATGCTGCGTACTCTCTGGAATGCGAAGCGTCCGGCCCCATATCGTGAGCGGTCTGTTATGTACGACCGGGTCTGAAGGGTCTTGCGATGTCAGTGACTTGAATATCTTATTAATCTCGAGGGCGTTTGAAGGTGTGAGAGGGTGGTAATAGACTTTAGAAAGGGCACGGGGTATTCGACGATAATCTGTTGAGAAAAAATTCATATCCTTTTCACCGTCCCAAAGTGAAGAGTATGCTTACCAGTCCCCGAATCTAAATCGGTCACTTTAAAATGTGTCTTGAGGAGATCTATGGCGGGTATGAAACTCGAACGCTGGATTCCATTCTTGTAAAGTTCATCGGGATGTCGACTGTTATAAGATGGAAGTCACAGAAATCCTTAGCATTAACTGAACACTGACTTTGAGGTAATGACGCAAACAACGCCATGAGTGAGCAAATTCTCAAGGAGTCGTCGAAGTATCATAGCGTCCGCGATATCCGTGACCTACGCGAGAGCGGCTCAGATCGGGCTGGGCCTGGTAATTGAGCACAAATACGCACCTGAAACTCATCAAAGCAGAGAACATAGGCTTGACCAGCGAGATCACGCGCAACAGGTATAATTGGGTCCCCGCCTCTGTGCCCCATTGCAATCTTGGCTGCATGCAGTCGTTTATGTACGTCTATCATGAAAGCATGGAAATGGACACGTCGCTTGCGGTTCAAGCGAGAAGGCAGGGTATTGTAAAACAAGTCCATGAGCATAGTCTTCCCCGTCCCGACATCACCATACAGATATAGACCCTTGGGTACATTTTCTGGTGGTGAAGCGGTTCCTGTATCGTTGCGAGAGAAGATTCGGGACAGCTACAAGCACGATGAGATAGAGGTGAGACAGAAAGAGGATTACGACACACCAGAGAGTTGGAAGCAGAGGGGTCTGGAGTTAGCGGTGGGGTATAATGCACCAACTCGTCATGAAGGTCCTGCAATTTCTGAATTATCCTTGTCTGGTGCTCGTCACCCCGAAGCGTCCCGGTATCTATCAGTCTACAGTACTGGACCAGTGGCGTTGGGGAGTCTGTACCAGTCCCCGGGTCAGCGTTACGTGGAGTCGAGAACCGGCCTCAAAAGGCTCACCTCTGTCCGTCTTTGCTGATACTGCGGCCTGGCCCAGTGCTCTGGCCCCGCTGGCGTAAAGTTGCTCTTCCGCCCTTGTCGGCTCAATCGCCAAGGATGAATTTCCCCGACCTTTGATGGGCTGCGGCCGGGATGCGGAAGGCGTACAAGATAGGAAAGTACGGTGTTTTACCGAAGGAGACAAAGCTCGTCGTTGGCGCCGCGATGAAGAGACGAACGACCTCGCTGCCCTCGACGACATTCTAATCTACGACTTGGACAATGACAAACAGATCTAGAATCAAATGGGCAGCGGCCACCGATATAATCATTCAAATGGATCTTTTAAGTTAAACACGTGCGGAGGGATCGGAAGCCGCCGGGCAGCGCAAGCGACGAGCTCGCGGTCATGAACAGCGATGACGAGACATATATTCTGCTTCTGCTCTCTGATAGCAACCTCCCGACTGGCGCATTCGTAGCTTCGTCGGGCCTCGAGTCGTACATGAAGCATGGCTTCGGTTCCAACGACCCTACAGCATTCATCCGCGACAGCATGGCATCCTATGCGCGAAGTGCACTGCCATTCGTTTCCGATGCCTACCGCCTTGTCTCTTTGTACCGCGAGATGGATGTACAAGGCAGCAGTCTGGACCAATCGTCCTCAAAGCTCTTGTCGGACATCGTCGCACTTGAAGAGCTCTACGAAACCATGATGCTCAATCACGTCGCTAGACGCGCATCGAAATCCCAAGGAGTTGCCCTTTTAACGTTGTACACAAAGGCCCTCTCTCCGCCTTCTTCATTTCCGTTAGAGTCCGACGCCAAGGGGGTTCACGAACAAATGTCCACATTCTTCACTCAGTTCAAGACAATGGTCAGAAGAGAGGATGCGCATGGGCATTTACCAACGTGTTGGGGAGCATTGACAGCTGCGCTGGGGCTGACTTTAGGTGCTCTCTCTATATGTATACCCGCCATCGGTTTCCTGACAAAAGTTACAGAAAGGTCCTGCTATCTCCACCTCTTCCTTCATGCCCGAAGCCTCCTTTCCGCATCTGTTCGCTTAAATGATATTGGCCCGTATAATGCTCAGCAAATCTTACTTCACGCTGTACGCCCATTGGTAGCAGCTGAAACCAGTCGATGTCGTAGTCTGACTACAGGATCAATCCCTCATTTAATAGACGACGGTGCATTCGACGAAACGATTCATGGACCAGCAAATACTTGGCCTCTGGGCGAGATCTTAACGGCCAGGCATGACTTGCAGCATTCACGCATTTTCAACAGTTAGCTTGCCGCAAGCAGCAATGTCCGTTATCACATCCATTTCTGTGTGTCTATCTATTATAGCTAGAAGCATTATTTGCGACCTTTGGTCGGCGTGACTGGAACAAAGAATGCTGCATCCTCGTCGTCAGAACCGAAGATATCTCCTTGTGAACCAGTACCCTTCAATAGCAAGATATCGGGTGACTCGCTACTCGGCAAATCCCACACCTCTTCTTCTTCATCCTTTGCTGTCAATTTAGATGAGAATAATGAGGAGGAGGAAGCAGTCTGAGTTTGTGTGTTATGTACCCTACTCAGGCCTAACCGTTTCGGTGGTTTCGGTTTCACAGGAGTAGCTTCTACCAGCGTCACACCCTCATTTTTAGGCTTGGGTTCCATTGGCTTCGGCTGTTCCTTGTGTGTTTCCTTCACTTTGGGTTTTGGTTTTCCTTTGAACACCATAGACATGCTCACTTCCCGGTTCAATACGCGTTTCTTCGAGTTTGTGCCAACACTCTCGGCACGTTCTCGTTCCTTTTCCTGCGCAAGAGAAACGGACAGTGATCGCGAGCGTGAACGTGCCAGGGATCTGGGCTGTACTTCTCGAGCTGAAGAAGACGTGACCGACAAGGCAGGAGAAGGATGCCGGTCACGGGTATTGTCAGCGGTCGAAGTTCGAGCCCGCTTGGGTCGAGGGAGAAGCTCTTTGGGTGGTTGGGACTCTGGTGACGGAGAACGACTAGAAGAGCGTGAGGTCGTTTCGTCGTCTGAGAAAATGGATGTGCGGAAAATCTTGGAGTGAAGGAGAGAGCATTGGTCGGGGAGGCTTGTCTTGAATCTATGCGAAGATTTAGAAACGAGAGACATGGTAAATCATCCACAACTTACTGAGGCTCGACAACGTCCCGAAAGAAGCGTTGTATCCAGTCAAGCACATTCTCCTTATCATCTTTTGAGGATGCAGACGACTGTTCCACGATATTTATCAGTTGCCACATAGATAGTTTATCCATGAATGCTTCCAGCCTGTCTTCAGTGGTCTTATTCACGGTACGGGCCGTGTCGTTACGTGGTGATTGTTTTTTCCTCTTTCGAGATGGCGATTCTGAAGGAGGCGGTGGCGGGCCAGGCAATGATAAAAGGAGCAAATGAAGTAGAATTTGAATCAACACCCTAAAAATTAGTGAATAAAAAGAAGATAGAATAGAATGTTTGACATTACTCTCGTCTTTCCATACGCTCCAACCATTTAGCTCGCCACTTCTCGTTCATCCATAGCTCCTCTGCGCGTTCACTGGATCCAGGACGAGACTGACCCCGGCTCTCGTCTGCCTTCTCGTTACTCAGAGCATACCACATCATCGTCTCTTCAATCTCTCCGTCTCCTCCACCATCTGATAAAAGTTGTGGCAGGTCGGTATGATATTTATTGGCAGCTAAGCGGCCCGTCAACAATAATGGCGAAACAAGCACGTGCAAAGGATGTGTCGTAGGCTGAGATGAGGACGCGATATTCACGCGTAGCAGGCTCGGAATGAGGAGTGTTAGTGGCATTATTGACTACAAAGAGAGTTATCAATCAGGTCTTCCTCTTAGAGAATGAAAGACAAACAGACCTCTGGCAGCCAAAGGAATTGCAGGTACGTCCGCTGGATATACATGTCGGCCGTCTCACTGGCAAGATCGGCGAATGGGTAGTCCTTTGAGAGAACTCTTGCATGAGATTCCGACCAGTTCACTTGGCTGGGGGCAAGCCTAAACGCAAAAGAGGATATTTCCACCATGGTGGATGGTGGTTGCTGCGAAGACAATTGACATGCCGTCGGCCAATTCGTCATCCTTGTTCCGCACTTCCATCAACGACGGTGCGCCTCATTCGAAGTCGCCTAACATGTTGTGCTCGTCCTAATATAACAACAATGTACTTTCGCAACTGGCCGCGCTGCTTCCATGTCCATCGTCCTGCCATGCGCAGCCAGCCAAAAAAAACAGTATCAATGAAATCTGATGGCTGTCCGACGGCAGTTTTGCCGCCATCGGAACACTTGACAGCATCTGTGGAACTATTCTATGCCTCTTTCTAGGCTTCAAATAGACAAGCGACAAACGGCAGTTCCCCTTGCTGGAATATTCGCACTCATCCTGGACTCCAAACGAAATCTCAGGCGCGGCTCTCGGACTAGTGGTCGGGTGTAAAATTTGATGAACATCTGCTTGTACGACGCCCTTCAGCGTTACGCCTTTGACTATTGCCGCTATTTCCTGATCTTTAATGTCAGAATAGTGCCACCGACCGTTCCGCTGAGCAAACACGCGCTTCTGTCCTTTCTTTTCTTGATTACAGTTGCCGCCGCTATTGCCTGCCCCTGCTCCATACCTTTGCAACGTCGGCCAACCTCTCTTGAGACACTCAGACTGCTGCTGTCAAGTGTCTCGTCTACGTCGTGACATTGATCGTCAAATGTTTCCAATGCACTGTGAGAACATTTGACGCGATGCGGGCCGGTGGTAGTGCACGGAAGTCATCCGGGCTTGCGATGTATACATCTCTCTGGCCCCGGGCCTGGTGTTCCGTTCCTGCTCGAGAACATGGCCTTTATCACACGTCGGGGAGACTTTGGCTCGTATCAGTCTCTCGATATAATTAGCGCAGCGTCCGTCACGATTGTACCGTAACTCGTATCTTTCTATTACTTTTAATTCACGCATGCTATCTCACGGATATATTGCAGGACACTGTGGTGTATACTTGTCGGATGTACTACACGCACATGATTTGGTCTTGAAGATTTGCTATTGATGGAAGATTCCGTTTTCAATGTCTGGACAGATTACCGAGGTGGCGGTCTTAATCCATACACCGATCAGCCTGTTTCCGTGAAACTTGCTTTAGTTCTCAAGGCGGAAAACGCAGGGTGTAGCAAGAATTCTAGAACGTTGATTGCCCTTTGGACTCATAAGGAACCTCTACAGAATATTTTCTATCCTTCGAAGCTTTACGCGATGATAGCCATGGCAAATGCCGACTGGGGCGGCCGCAGTGCTATCATCTGGTACGCAAAGCATCTTTTCTTAAAAGGGGAAATACTCATCGTTCTCACCTGGGCAACCTTGACGGAATCCAGCCACACAACGCGGTAGAAGCCCACTATCCTTTGGAGAAGCTGTACACTTCGCATGGTTCAATTAGCCGCTGGCGGGAGTTTGGGAGTGTACCGAAAATTAATCGGCTATACAAAGCACGGAACCCACCCGTAAGTCAAGAATTTAGGACGCTGTTTCCTTCCTACCGGCTTCCCCTCTTTAAGGGCCTTCATACACCTCCGTATTACAGTGATGGCCGTGCGGCACGAATAATTCCTTCGACACCTTCTCCAACCTCCAACCAACTTTTACTTGCCCTTTCAATCGACGATCGTATGATGTCATGCTGTGCCCGCCAAGGAACATTTGTAGAGAAGTAGAGATCTCTTGCAAGTGCGTGTACATGTTGTGTAATTATTGTCGTTACAGTGCGACATGTTGCTCCTCGCGTCAACATACGTCCGAATAAGCTAGTGTTTTTGTTGGCCCCGGCGCCGAGCCGGATATATCATGTAAATTCTCATTGGAACTTTTTATCAAGAAGGCTCATGGTGATTGTCACCGGCACCTTCAGACTGTAACGGAGCGTTGCCCCGTCCAATTGGTCAGCTACGTCAAAATTGACACCGATATCTTTTCGAGCTTTTCTCTTTTGAATCTTCCGCTGCTATCTCTTTTTCAGCTTCCTTTTCCCGGGTCAATTTATTCGAAATTCGAAGTCCTGAGTCGTGGTACCAGTGGTGGGAACTTGGTAACTAGGGCTTAGCGGCTGCGGCTTAAGTACGAGTCCATCTTCCATGGACCGTGGGTCCGGTAAAAAAAGGTGCGCCGGCCCAACGGTCCCTTCTCCACGATTATTATTGAAGTTTCTATAGTCATCATCTATCCCAGGTACTACACGATGCTGCCAACGGCAATCTTCACTCGAAACACAGCAAAATTACGAGCCATCGTGGGAATAAACAGTGCCCGATCGGCAGTATAGAACCATAGGCCTTACAAAATGTATTGAATGGATGTAGCAATGCGACATCACTCCAAGACTCGAACTGGATGCAAGACATGCAGGCGTCGTAAAATCAAAGTATGCTTCGATTCCAACAGTCCATAGACGCGCTAACACATGTTTGTAGTGCGACGAAGAAACTCCCGTTTGTAATAACTGCACAAAGCGGAAGATCGAGTGCATATGGGAGCAGTCTGGCGATAAACGCCCCGTGTCACCACCGGTGGGATCACTATCGGTGGCGTCATACTCTCATGGAACGCCATCCACGTCAAGTCTGCCTTCCTCCGAAGGCGATGGCTTGCTCGATATTCTTGGACTCGAACTCATACACCACTACACTAATAGCACATGCTACACATTTTGTCGCGACCAAGCGAGGACAGACATATACAGGTCCAAGCTCCCGATGCTTGCGTTTCAGGACGGCAATTCATTTCTCCTCCATGCCATCCTGGCCATTTCGGCTCTACACCTCTATTCCCTTAACCCGGCATCCGGCAAATATGCGCTGACTGCTAATACTCATTGCTCGCAGGCTCTCGCTGGAGTGAAAGCTGTCTGGTCCGAAGACAGCTCCTCCACAGCGGACCCTAACACAGTATTCCTGACGTACATGGTGTTGACTATATACGGCCACGCTACCAGCACTCCGCCACTCTGTCACGAAACGTCCAAAGTCTGGCTCGGCGTCCTGCGCACTGCAATATCGTTCGGACGAAAGTGGTCATTAGATTCCGATATTTCAGATGCTTTCGAGTGGACGTTTCTCCCGCAAGGTATCGACGAGCCCATCAACCCCGCGGTAGCGTTTCCAAGCTCCCTCACCGCGCTCCCTCTCCCTCTACCTGGATCCCCAGATATTTGGGAAGTGCAGAATCCTGCGGTATCCGCGGTGTACCAAGAATGTGTCTCTTTACTGAGGCTTGCATGGAAGGCTTCTTACCACCCGCATTACCAGTCGTACGCCCTCATGTCGTGGTTCGGGCGAGTACCGATGGCGTATTTTAGTTTTCTTTTTGAGAAAAGGCCCCGAGCCTTGCTCCTCATGACCCATTTCTGCATGATTTCAAAGAGGGTCGACCAGGCATGGTGGTCGAAGAAGGATTGGGATAAGATTATTTTGAACTTGACAAATGAGATCGGAGTGAAGTGGGATGCGTTCATGGATTGGGAGATTGATCATCGGAGTCAGGCTGGCGCTAATGCATTGCGAGATGATTTCCCCTCCTCTTGGGTAGGAACTGTGTAGCGCGTAGTGTATCTTGTACGATATGGGGGAAACTAGTTTAGTCACAAATAATGTATTACAGCCATTTACACCTAGCTTGACACTGGACAGTACTAACTCGTTTCCTTTACGAGTGGAGAGAGAAATTTGAGCCTTCGTCATAGACGTGACATTGAAGGGTTTTCAGACCTGGGAGAGGTGTTCATGGCTATCTCGGAAATCTCGGAGTGGCTTTGACACCTTTCAAGTCCCAAAGCCTCGGTTTATGACGATGTCCGATTCTTCTTTTTTCATCAAATAACAAAGCCATCATACAGTAGACTGTCGACCCATGTATGGGATGTGAGTCGTAGTTACTTTTGGCCTTGGAAGACATATCAATGTTGAAACGAGCAACGAAAAAACAGTGGAAGTTGCATTACTCCGTATGTTTAACCTTTTGGTCATGGTTCATGGACGCTCTCGCTGACCGTAAATAATTCTAACTCTGCATTGTAAAGGTATGATATGCACCCGTCTAGTATTCCGAGTCTCCAGAGGAGGATAACATTATGGACCTCCTTCACAATGACTATTGTTACTAAGAAGAATAAGAAAAGACATCACTGCTGGGGCCAGTTCCTTTTCGGCACGGAAACCAACATTCTGAAAATGTTGTGATTTTCAATTACCTTTATACGCTGCAAAACGGGATAAGTAAAACATGATGAAATTTTTATTTTGGCATTCTTTTTATATGCCAACAAAGTGGTTTCCTTTGTTCTGGCAGTGGGGGATGCCGTTTTCAATTCAATTTTCCCTGCTGTTTTCTTTTACGGAAAAGAATATAGAAATGATTTCATTTATCAACTCATTTTACTGAACTCATTTTTACTATTGCAGAATTTAATGAAATGTCGCAACATTTTCAGGTCTTATTTTTCTGCCGAGAAAATGTATCGGTCCCAGCAGTGCATCGATACCTGGAACTCGGCCCTGAATAAAAACCCGAAATTCGACGATCCTTATTTTACATTGCCCTTCCTCCGCCATTGTAGATATTCGTAACTGGTATTATACCCCTTCGATGAATATTACACGGGTGCAGGACTGCCGTTAGCGGTAGATAGCTAAGAGTGGAGAAGAGAATCTGCTATGTCGCCGAATAGCAAACGTTTTCCTATATCATATGGCAAGTTTCCCAAGACGATTAGTTGAGGTTGAGTTCGTTCACTTTAATATTTCGGTATCCTTCCGCAACGCGAGATATGGGCCGAGGAGGGCAAATGCACACTCTCCTGCTTTTATGTGGTCCACAGATCGTGCCCTCGGACGATATTTTGTAAAACCTGGCACGTCTATCCCAAATAAAGACAGTAAGGGCACCCGTCGAGTGAAAGACAGTCAGCGTTTCTCATCGTATCTGTATCGGGAGAATGTTACTAACTATGGCTTGTTTCAAGCGTGCCGTCGGCCCGGAAGCGCGATCCTGCCGAGCTCTGTGCCGACATTTTGTATGCACCTGGAACCACCCCAGAAGGCGCGACTACATCGAAAATAGCCTCCTTTCTACTGCCCTTGCATCTGAATAAGGAAAGTTTGGGGTTTGGGGCGTGGGATGCCGCTCAGTTCATCGACGTGACGGCCGGTGAGATAACGACCCACCCGGTCTTATCTTCATGTCTGTATCCCCTAACTCTCGCCATCACCTTTCGTTAATATCCCTATCCCTTCCATGATGAGGACCGTAATCTGAAGCACGGCCTACTTTTTCTCTTCGTTGAAGCGTCCAGACGAACTTAATATTCTCCAACTTCTCGAGCTCAGTCTTCCATATCATGACGAGCAAAGAAATCCCCTATGATGTCTGGCAGTGTATCTCTGCTTTCGTCCCAGAATCCCAGTTGGCGGAGCTGTTCGCAGTGAACCGTGCCTTTCATCGTGCCGCTATGAATGTCCGATACAGGCGCGTAGAATTCAATGCATTCAATGATCACAAGATGTGGCTCTTGGAGCGGCTGAGGTAAGTTCATTGTGTCCTCTTTTTCCTCCCAATATCAACTTTAAGCAAATAGGGACCCGGTCGTAGCCAAGCGCGTCCATACCCTTCACGTTGAAACGTGGTCCGTGTTTACCTCCCACTACCTCCGAGGGTTGACTATCTATTGCTCGGACGAAATCATTCGAGCCATGATAGGTGCTGTGCAAGGAATGACAAACCTCCGCGAATTACATATACACTGGCGGAACCATCTTTTCTCCCAAGACCTCGTACCGTTTTTCACCACAGTATGGGAACTAAAGGCCGACATTCACCGCCTCGTTCTAGTGGCGCCGCTCGGGCGCTTCCGCACCCTTCTCTCCACCGCAACCCGCAAGTTCAGACATTTACGGCAACTCGAAATCGTAGTGCAGAAGGACAGCTTTTCTTCCGCCGCAGATGACATGAATGCGGCCAATGTCCAGCAGGACATTTTCACACCGTTCATCAATAACGCACAAGAAACGCTTCAAAGTTTGTTCATCAAGACCGTATCCGGTGTTGATTTTACACCGGTCATTGCCTCTTTAGGTTACTTTCCGTGTTTGCGTAAACTGGCGCTTGTGATTCCCCCACCCGGCGAAAGCCTTGTCCAAATGCTCAATGCTCACGCAGAGACGCTCACCCATTTCGAGTGGGCAATGTCCTCGCTCGACCCAGATGTTATGGACTCGGAGGACGTCGACGATGCAGTGGAATCTCTCACTTCGAATGTTGACTTTGTCGACATGGATACGCTGGGATTGTACATCACCCAACGGTGTTACCCCATCGCGCTTAAATGTATATCGAAGAACGCCCAATCTCTAACCAGACTTCATATCGATGGTCTGTTGATGCGAGATGGCCAGCTTGATAAGTTGACGGGACTACTTGGGAGCTCGTGCTTGAAAACTTTGAGCATTACGGTGGAGACACTCAGTCTTGATGCCATCGAGATTTTATCTCGTTTGCCACCCAGTCTGAAATCTCTGTGTCTTGGATTTAGGAACATCAAGCTTCCCCAGGAGGTTTGTTATCGTCTTCCCCTTATGCTTACGTTGACAAGATCGTTTTCCAGCCGTCTACACTACCACCGTCTACGCTATCCATTCATCAACTTACTGAACTCGATATACGAGGAGCATATCTCTCGCTATCCCATCTGAGCGTCGTTTTGTCTGCTTTTGCGCATTACTTCCTGCTCTCAGGCCTTGAGAGTCTTAATGTTGACGTTCAGAGTCTGAACCCCCAGCTGATCGATCTGCTTGCTACTTGCCTCCCATCGATGTACTCGCTATGGTTACGCATCATCGAGCTTACTGGGGAGAACGACGAGGATGATCGTTGGTTAACGAAACTGGTGAGTAACTGATCACCGCAATCTTGGATTTACCGTTCTAGTATTGAACTATAGGGCGCCTTCACGACTGATATGAAAGGACGGTGGTATCCTAAATGGAGACTCGAAGATGTGCGGATCACTTCAACGTATTTTGATGCTTCGAGACCCGGAGAAGCCGTAAGATTGACGGAACATACGGAGATTGTTGAAGTGTTGGCGTTATCGATACCAGCTATGCGATGAGATACAACAAAGCTATATTTTTATAATGTGTTAACTGGAATTAATGCTACATTTACTTAGAGGCCACTGAACTTGTCGACCATCCTTATGGCCTACCTACTAAGATATCCCGCACGAAGGGTCCACTATGTTGTGGAAAGATTGTTCTTCATGCAGTATTCTTACTGGATGCTTAAGGGAAAGTCAAAGACACCAGTTGGGTCATATTGACTTTTCAGAGCTACCAGCCTCGGATAATGCGATTTGTAGTAAAGGTAGTACTCTGAACATAGTAAATATCAGTCTTCGGACGAGAAGTTATAGGATTGCGGACGTACCATTTTCGAGCTGGTCGTCAGCATAGTTTACGTAGGCCCCGTAATCCCAACCATCACCCATAGTTGAAGTGAGAGCATCAGCGGCACCTACGAAGAAACTGATGAGTAAGAGGAGTAGAAAGACACGATGTTATCATACCATCCAAGAAAGTGAAACCGTCTTCAGGATATGGTGGTTCGTAATTACTGGACGAGGCATACAACTGGACAGTAAACAATGCACTCCTTGTTGCAAACGCCGTCGAGTCTACATTTATCGAGTTGATGAACGAGTTTGTTCCCCCGTACAGCTCGAATTGCATGAACCAGTTCTAAATTAGAGATAAATACGACCTCAAAAAAGTTTTATGCGAAGAGCAGACAAACCGTCTCTGAATTATAACCTTCATATGCGAGATACTTCATGTAGGCCTCGAAAGCGTCCAAAGTAATGGGCTGCTCTTCCGGTGTCATCAACGATTTAGCATAGAAAGTGTCAGTTTTGTCCGGCCCCGCAGCTTTGGTGTTGACGACACCGTCACCCAAAATCTGAACTGAATCGATGTACGTTCCATTGCCAGAGAACTGTCCATCCACCGGAGGCATCGACTGCAAGAATGGATCCAACACACTCTGAAGGGTATCTATGGAGTCGCCATACCATCCGCCAGTCAACTCAAGAGAGACAGTCCCTTCGGAGTCACCTTTCCCGAGATTGATTTCGGCGCCAAATTCAGGTGGAATATCCGTCGTCACGAAGTCTTGGAATTGGGTTAGAGCAGCTGCAGCATCAGAGTAATTCATTTGCCAATTGTATGCGTAGACGGTTGCAAAAGATGGCGCAGGGAACGTCTCGGCATCTATAGAGGTGATGATACCAAACGAGGATGCGGCACCTCTCATTGCCTAGATAAACGTAAGGAATCGTTAGCTAATCATCCGAACACCGGAAAAGGGGCGTCACGTACCCAGAAGAGATCTGATTCAGAGCTGCTCGATGGCTCTACAATCGTGCCATTGGCCAAGACCACAGTCATTGATTGAACTGTGTCGAGGGTCAGACCCCACATTCGAGACGTAAATCCAAACCCTCCACCAGCTGAAGTACGTGAGATTTGGCTGATCCTCACCACTGAAAAAAATTCTGAGAACTCACAGACATGACCACCAATTCCTACATAAGTACAAGTTCCATGGGGAAGGGCCCTACCCTGGTTGTTCAATGCAAACGCGACATCTCCCAACCTGTTACCCGTTTCTATTGTTGCAGTACCCGAAGACGCGTCGACATCCACCCTGGTCATGTTGCTCAAGTCAATAACTAGGGAACCATTTTTGCCCCCTAGGCCATTAGCAATGTAGCTATGCTGCAACAATGTTAGTAAGGACGTGAAGAGGGAAAGGAAGGAGCGAACTTACACCGCCGCTTCTTGCAACGATCTGCAGACTTTCGGAGGTGCAACTAACGACGGCGGCAACCTCTTCTGTCGTTGAAGGATATGTGACTGCTACTGGAGCAAAATCGAAACGCAGGTTGACTGTGGGCACGACAACTTTCAACATGCAGTAAATGAAGAAACAGAAAACCCCCTACACGGCTTGCTCGCAGCAGCATACGAGGAACTTCCAGGGAAGACAGCAGCTATCTGAGCGGCGGACAAACAATCCTGCAGACCTGAGATATCCGCAAGAACGGAGACGACGAGCGTCGCGATCGTGAGAAGGAAAGAAGTCGGGCTACCCATTGAATAAAGCTGAGACCATCCTCACTCGTTTATATACGAGAGACAATACACGGGCATCGAGCCTCCCATATACTCCTGCCCCGTCTGACGGAGCAAAGCGGTACGGGCAAATTGGAGCGTGTTTCAAGCTTGCGCTTACATTACAAGTCCACGATTATGCAAAGCCCTACCAGTCGGAATGAACAAACCGTCTCCAGTTTTTCTATGTACGCCGACCCCCTGACCATTATTAGATGGTGCTCTCTGATGATCTCCGATGCGTAAGTCCCATCTCTCCCGGAACTCTACCTTCACTTATAGTCCAGGCGCCCGGTGGTGCCTGAGATCGTAATCTCGTCCTGGGCGTCCCGCGTAATGAGTAGCATAAGCTTTTTCCATTTTGTCAGATGGTGCCGGACTTCGTCTTTGGAAAGAATGTTAGAATTGAAGTCGGCGCTTAACTCGATAACCCCTTTCCATGATGAGATGCGAAAGAACCTATACCCAGGTCTTCAAACAAACCGGTATCGTCGATTCCAAAGAAAGCGCTTACGGTCCAGGGTCATTTCTGTTCAGCGAGGAGAAAAACTTTGGAACAGTCAAGACGGTCTTACCGCTGTGATCAGCGTAGGTCGGTTGCAGGTATCTTTCTCCTACACCATCACTCGACAGCATGTAGCACTGATTAGGTGGCAATCTAAATATAAAATTCGATGAGCTGATATCGCGAACAATAATATACCAACCCACAAATCAGATACAGCTGCGTCTTTCATAGACGCAGACATGATCTGTCCGAGCTGTGCCATGCAGCTTAAAGGGGCAGGAACGGCTCTTTGATGGTTATAGAGTTCACGAATAGTAGCCATTGCTTTGAAGAGAAGATTCCTGTTGAGCGGCAACAGTTCTCCTGATGAAGAACAGAACATTGATACTGGTATTCGCATCATTGTCATACCGATAGCATAACCAGGATATCCCTCATGGGTTGGTTGAGAATAAGGCTCCATTAAACGACTCCGACAGTTCACAAGACTGTAATTGTTTAAGAATGATTCTAAATCATTCTTATGCGGGGGGTTGTCGGACATGACAACCATGGCTAGCGCTGCGTGAGCTAAGATTTTATATCAGACATACAGAGTGGATTAGATGCTAGACAACGAACCTAAATGCGTGACAGTGTATGCTCGTTGAGATGGCAAGGAGGCTTTGAGCCCTTTGAGTATCAAGTCTGATTCCCGATTCGAGAGGACGATTTCGTCTCGTTTACAGAGAGGCCAGCGGATGTCTCTGGTACGTCGCCGGAACCCATAGGGATTCTTCCCTCATGTGATAACTGTTGGGCAATGGAGTCCACTGCTAGAACTTACCTGAGATGCTTTAAAGACACCGCTGTAGATGGTTTGCATGGACTGATAATAAGGGTGGTCAAACGAAGGTTGTTCAGCAGAGTGAGGTGGTATGGGGCGAGGCTCAACAGCGGACAAGATGTTGTAAACACAAGGGCTGAGGTTATGGACCTCGTTTCCCCAGGCGATGTCATAGGACGTGGAAGAATCCAACGAGCGCGCGACCTGAGTCAAGTAATGACTGGATACAAGCTTGATTCCTGGGCCATCAAAGGGAGCATGATGACTCTGGAAAAGAAATCCTACACGAGTGATGGTATCGTCTGCGGCTGACGCGTGGGTAACAAAGTGCAGCCACGTTTGATCGCCAGCACTGGATGGTATCCTTGTCTGGCCCACTTGCGTCCGAAGTTCATTTAGATCCAGGACTTGTTGATCATGGACTACAAATGTGCGCCCTACCCACTCGTCCGCACCACTCGGCGTCGGGGAGTGGTATTCCAGATAGCTGTAGTTGTCATCACGAACGGAAATGGTGCATGCAATGATCGGTACATGGTATCGAAGCCATTTCCAAGCGTTGCGGCAGGTTTCTATGATTTTTGCCCTTGCGAAGGCGTATTCGAGGTCTACATAGACGGCAAAAAATAGGGTCTGGTCTCCTTGAACATAACGATTCATGATATCATGAGCGCACTCGCCACCAGCGAGAAGGCGAATGCGGGCTTCTGCACCATCGTCAGTATGAAGGCATTTCCACTGGAACTGCTCCAGGTCGAATTTCGCTAGGAGTTGGTCGTCGTTCATGGAGACAAGTATCCGGCATACCCTCAGGGTAGGCAACAAGATTCGCCTCGCCCGCTTTTGGACGAGCTCGTCGACAGCAGTGGCAGCGGCACGTGGCGAATCTAGTCGGGTCGGTTTCGCAATTGTCCCTCCATGGCTCAGGTCAAATGAGCATCGCCGCCATACCTCACTTTATCCGTCTCGGTACCCAGCTATGGGAGCGCGACTGGGCCACCTACGGCCGTCCGGGCGACCGAGTCGACCTCTCACACCGATAGCCAAATCGCAGTTATACGGATAGTGACTATGCAAGTCTCAACCGTCTTTCGTCAACTCGCTTTCTGGGCCTCGTCTGCCACAGGCTCGCCGCCGCCTCCCCCGTCGGTGCAGTTCCGGATCATGCCCGCCAGTTCGCCCCGAGGGGGAACTGGCGTTCTCGACACGCAGAGATGCTACGTCTCTGCGACGCCAAGTGTCAGTTCAGCCGTGGCGGGCATGCATAGGCCTTACTAAGGGTCTTACTATATGGATTGCAAGCCTCATTGGATCTGCACAAGACACTCGACATACCTCATAAGCCTGGCGACATCTCCAAGCGATCTTATACGGACCACTTGGGTCTCGCAAGACACGACCATCAGGGGAGTGTGTCTAGCATCTCGCTCGCAAGGTCGAAAGGTCGCGACTGATGAATTAATGAATGTGAGAGCATACACGACGAGCTAGCTAGTACTATGACTAAAACAAAACTGGGCTGAACGTGCTCGCCAGACGAGCCAACAGCTCGTTGTCGGGCAACTCCTCAACAAGGATGGGCAGGTGACGAAGCCACGCTGGAGGCACGATAGGGGACAACCATAAGCTCGACTACGCGAGCGAGAAGAAGAAAAATGGCGTACCTGTTACCTGGCCACACAAAGACGGGCGGACGATGACAGCAAGGCTGGAGAGACTGCATCCAAGCAGCACGACGAGTTCTAGGAGGAACAGGACGAGGAAAAGCGAAGAAGGGAGTATAACCACGACGACAAGACCGATTAGTTTCAAGGCGATCAAAGGGTCCGAGACGAGGCTGCGGAGAAATGGTAGAATCCAGACGACGGCGGCATGAGCGAGAAGGTTAGCAAGAGAAATCACACCGGAAGCAGGAGGTGGTGGGGTTAAAACGAGAGCATTGAGCTGACAGGACGTCCCTACAGGTTCGCACTCGGAGATCCTTAATAGATCCTTATCGGATGGGGTTCTCGACACGACCCTATTACCACGCTGGCACTCGTGACGAGCTGCCAGGCAGAGTCTCCGGCGAGAATCTCCCCAGGAGGGAGCAGCCAGAAAGGCTCAAGCTCGAGCGACTGGTGGGCGCACGATAAGCACCGCTGCCAAGGATGTATTATGTACATGCACGAACCGATGGTTATTATCTACGCCACGCGTCGTGGTCGGTGGACGAGCTCGGACTGTGACGGGGTTGCTGTACAGAGGAGTGTTGGGTATCAATGAACTCTTAATTGGACTCTACGATGACGAAGGACGAAGGAGCAGAGGCAGGTCTTAAGACTGTATCAAATAATATTATCGAAGCGAGTGGCTAGCAGAAAGGAGTGCAATGTCCGGCGGCAAGATTCTATGGAAGAAGGACAAAGGAGAGGAGGCATGTCTCGACGACATGCTAAGACGGTAATCCTATATATTCGAAGAGGATATATACCAGAAGGGAGGGTATAATGAGGCGTGTTCGCTCTGCCGACGAGATCATCAGGACTCCGATCGACGGACTGCGCTGCAAGTCGACATAGCCCATCGACGTTGAAGACACGTCTGCGCTCTGCGTGGCGAAGGGCATCGTTGATGCTGGACATGTAAAATTACGGGTTAGACATGTACCCCACAGAACAACATGTATGAGACTTACATCCACCGCCCTGACGTGTAGTCAAAAAGGTCGTTACGAAAATGCGCCATGATGGAGAACGCGCGATGTGGCGGCCAACGGGTCGGGGCAGCGATGGAGCTCGAGAAGGAAAAGTGGAGTGAACGCAGGGGGAGCCTCGCGCTCCCAAGACACGGCATGCTAATATACGTGGAGGGGCGGAAGAAGGGATCAAATGTAAGAAACCAGCCAGCACGGATCTAGTGACCCACCCACCCCCCAATTGTCTGTTATACCTCTTCGCGGTTCAAGAGACGACACTTAGGTGCCCTCGCGTTAGCTAACGTTGTCTCGAGGTCGGTACGGAATCGTGAATACATACGGCGGGGTGGATCAAGTACTCCTGAGAGGCGGGTTGTACCTCTTGAAAGGAGAACCACACTGCACGAAGATGTCCTGTCCAGTCGCAGGCGTGTGGGCAATGCGGCCCGTTTCGGCAGTCTGCAAGCGCTTGCCAAAAAGGTGGTCTTGCAATTGCGGTATCAGAAAGGGATGCGAGTTAGAATCTCGAAGGTTGCGATGAGACTTATTTACTCAAATCTCTCCCAGGTTAATTGATTGTTAATCCTTGTCCGATTGAATATCGTAGCATAAACATTAATCAATACCCAGAAACGTACGGGCGAAACATTCACAGACGAGTAACTCTTCCGCTGCCCAAATCTCGACCTCTGAAAGCAGCAGCATTGTTGGCAGACTCAACAGCAGGTTGAATTGAGGTAGCGGTCGACTCTAACGGGGCCACAGAGACAGCTGGCGTAAATGAAGATGGTTGGGTCGGAGGAGCGTTGGTCACATCGTCATCTTCATCATCCTCACCCAACATAAATGGAGCCCTCTCCTCAGCGGTCCCTTCTTCTTTCTTCTTCTGATATTGTCGCGACTGCAGATCTGGTTGAGGTTGAGATGATAGTTTTTGAACTTGAGACTGATGTGAGACAGGGTTCGTTTTCGCTGCGGTTCCATTACGAGGCGGTCGCACGAATCCTCCATCGCCATCTCCCGTATCCACACCACTCTGATGGCTTACGGGGTTGGTTCTGCCGCTAAATCCACCGGCACCGCCTTGACTGGAGCGCGACCAGCCTGCACCCTGACCACCTTCGTACATCCCTGCCATCCAGTCTTTAAACAAATCTAGGCCCTCTTTGAGATGGTACCGCATTGAGTCGACGTTGAACTGTGGAATCTGGTCGAATCCATGTAGGCGTAGCACGTATCGGTTGTGAAGAGTTCCAAGGGTAAGGTAGAGCATTAGAAGGACAAGAATGATGACAATAAGGGATGCGAAAAATCCCCATGGTCCTGAGCGTTCGCCGGTAGGACAAGCAAACTAAGTTACGCATCAGCACAAGATAACACTGAAAAGGTAGTGGGACATGCATGTGTTCGCCATTCCACAAAGAATGCACAGGCTTCATCATCTCCTTGAGGCAGTTGTGCGAGAAGTTTGGGTGCCCCAGCGCCAAAAACAGCAGTATCGCAGATGAATTCAATGACAGTGTTGGCAGTATATTGGGAATTACACCGTGAACCAGAAGTCAGTACTATCCGGACGATATTTTCGGGTGAAAGGTCCAAAGTCGTGTTGGTCTTTCTGTGATGCGTTCAGCGATTGCAGCTGCGCAGAAAACAGCACACACCCAAGCGAGAAATCTCCGTGGTCCCGTCTAACAACTCCACCAACGTCGGGGTCGTCAAGACCCCAAGTCTCAGACGCGACTGACCTGCATACATTAATCCTAAATTCCTTCCCACCCGGTGAGGAGAATGTGTAGTCCTTGCTACAGAGCACAGTCAATGCAGGTGACGGGGTATCATTCACTGCTTACCTGGCCTTGAGAGGGTTCAGATCAAAGTAGTCACCATTGGAGGCATGAATTGTGCACGGCCTTTCGTCTGCTACAACCGCCAATATTGAATACGATAATGATAGTATAGAGAGGAGAAGAGGCGCCTTCATTGAGCAATGACGATAATGGAGCTGTAAGCGATGCAGGGGTGCAACTTCAATCGGAGCCTAAATACTTAGCTGGGCGGAGACGAAATTGTCGGCGACCAATCAGATCATTTCCAAAGGACACCGCGTCCTTCCGAAACTTCACTGGTCGTCGTCGACGTCAACGACGATGCTCAGCCGTCTAGTTGCCCGTTCTCGGGCTTTCGCGCCCTCCTTCACCAGATGCATTTCTTCATCGCATCCTTGTCGCGCCAGCCCTGCAGAAGACGCCCAAACTAAAACTGCGTTTGATTATCACACTGTAGAGGACCTTCAGGGCATGCATGCCTCAGAAATTCTTGCAGAGGCAGATACCAGATCGACGACCAATATGAGGCATTTTACCGTTAATTTCGGGTGAGCCGCGTCCTGATATCCATGGAATCGAACGCTAACCAACGGAACAGTCCTCAGCATCCTGCGGCTCATGGCGTGTTGCGAATGATTCTCGAGCTCAATGGCGAGGAAGTTCTCCGCGCGGACCCACACATTGGCCTTTTGCATCGAGGGACAGAGAAGTTGATTGAGTACAAGACATATATCCAGGCGCTACCTTATTTCGACCGGCTGGACTATGTTTCTATGAGTGGGTACATCTTGTCACTTCTATTGTGCGGAGGTTGACATTTTTGCCAGTGACAAACGAATTATGTTACTCATTGGCTGTCGAGAAATTGCTGAATATCGAGGTGCCGGACCGTGGAAAATGGATACGCACATTATTTGGAGAGATCACAAGAATTTTGAACCGTGTGTTTCCAGAAGTAACTATCTTGTGCTATGCTCATCTCCATGATAGATCTTATGGCTATTCTCACACATGCTATGGACGTTGGTGCGCTAACGCCTTTCCTGTGGGGTTTCGAGGAACGAGAGAAACTTATGGAAGTAAGACCGACGGCCTCCGCCTTCAAAGCACGAAAGCTAACATCGCTATCAAGTTCTATGAGCGGGTTTCCGGCGCACGTCTTCATAGTGCCTATGTCCGTCCGGGCGGTGTAGCGTTTGACCTCCCCCATGGTCTTCTGGACGACATTTTCAATTGGGCTACGCAGTTCGGATCAAGGGTAGATGAAGTGGAAGAGGTAAGAAAAAGGATTATGTTTTGTATCTTTCGATTCACTTCTGCTAGGTACTTACTGGCAATCGAATTTGGAAAGAGCGGACGATCGGTGTCGGTGTTGTTGACGCTGCTGATGCTCTGAATTACAGCTTTAGCGGCGTCATGCTGAGGGGTAGTGGCGTGAAATGGGATCTCAGAAAAACATCGCCGTATGACAAGTATGACGAGGTATGCAGTTCTTCCGTATCGCAAACGCTATAAACTGACTTGCTTGCTGCAGGTTGAATTTGACATCCCGGTCGGCCAGCACGGGGACTGTTACGATAGATATCTTTGCCGTGTGCAAGAGATGCGGGAGAGTTTAAGGATCATCAATCAGGCATGTATATATTTCTATGGCTTTGAGGCGTTCGCTCACATCTTGTTATAGTGCTTGAATAAAATTACACCTGGTGCATTCAAGGTCGACGATCATAAACTTGTGCCACCTCCAAGAGCAAGTATGAAGGAGAGCATGGAGAGTTTGATCCACCATTTCAAGGTTAACCTACATTTATCCGCAATCTCCCGCTTGGCTGACGGACCTGTTACTTAGATCTTCTCCGAGGGATATTCCGTGCCACCTGGTGAAACATACAGTGCTATTGAGGCCCCCAAAGGAGAGATGGGTGTCTACCTAGTTTCGTATGTTGTTTTTCTTGTCTTTCTGTCCCGCTTAGTGTCCTCATCGATTGACCTTTACAAGGGATGGAACGAACAGACCATATCGTTGCTCAATCAGGGCACCCGGCTTCGCACATTTGGCTGGGAGTGATTTCATTATGCGACATGTAGGTTGTTTCCTGAGCTACGTGGACATCACTAAGAGCTCTACCCTTCTAGCACATGCTGGCAGACGTTGTAGCTATCATTGGAACTATGGATTTGGTGTTTGGAGAGGTTGATCGGTAGGATACAACGATTCACCTGGCGCTGGTGCGGATGTAGAATAAATCTTATTTGCTTCTTTTTCCTCGGTATGACGTTGTCACTTGACCACGTCCGATGCTGTTCCGGAGATTCTCCGACTAAGTCGTTTAAGTTCCCATGTAGGGTTGAAACTGCTCTTTGATAGTCATGGCTTTTAACGTCGACGAAACTCTCTCGAAACTCACCCTCAGTGACAAAATCAAGCTTCTGACTGGATTGGCAAGTCGTGAAATTCAATGTTGACTTTGTTATTGATTCTTGTAGGGATGGTGGCACACGGAAGCGATTCCACATGCAAACGTACCGTCAATGAGGATGAGTGACGGTAGGGGCCCATGTTTGTATTCCGTGTATCGAGACCGACCGAGCGATACTGTTCCTTAGGTCCCAATGGTGTTCGTGGCACTCAGTGTTGGTGATTGCTCTCGGTCAGTAGGATAATCTCGCTGATCATCATCAGTCTTCAATGGTGTGCCATCGAGTTGCTTTCCCTCGTCCACCGGTCTTGCATCATCCTTTGATCTGGAGCTTGCGTACAAGATCGGCGAGGCGCTTGGAGACGAGTGTCGTGCCAAAAGTGAGTGCCCTGACACTCGAAGGATTTCGCTTTGAGCTAATAATGTCACACAGGCTGTCACATCCTCCTTGGACCAACCGTTAACACCCAACGTTCACCGCTTGGTGGAAGGGGTTTCGAATCATTTTCCGAAGACGCTGTCTTGAATGGGGAAATCGCTGCTGCCTATATAAATGGTTTACAGTCGAAAGGCGTCAGTGCTACAATCAAGCACTATGTTGCCAATGATCAAGAGCATGAGAGATTTTCTGTGAGCAGTACGTCTCTAGGTTACCACTGTTCATGAGTCTCGTACTGAATCCTTTAGGCGAATTAAGTGAGCGAGCTCTCCGAGAGATCTATCTCAAACCTTTTCAAATCGCGATTCGAAAGTCCGATCCATGGGCCCTTATGTCATCGTACGCTCAACTTCGCCGTTTAAACATACGTCCCTCATTAGAAGCCCAGATACAACCGCGTCAATGGTCTTCACGTTTCTGAAGACAAACGTCTTCTAGACGACATACTAAGGAAGGTGCGCACAATTGTTTACGGCAGGTCATGACACGTACTTAGTAACTATTCAGGAATGGGGATACAAAGGTATGGGTTCGAAGACTGCCCATGTTTTGTTGATCCTGAGTTATGAATACATAGGATTGATTATGAGCGACTGGACTGGTGTTTATAGTACCGCTGAAAGCATCAAGGCAGGAGTTGATTTAGAAATGCCGTGAGGTTCCGCTTAACCGTTCTACTCCTGCCTGCTTAGTCTGGTTCATAGTGGACCAAGTGTCGTTCGCGGCCCAGCGGTCCTTCGCGCGATTCAAGCGGGAAAACTTTGTACCGACGATGTCGATGATCGGGCGCGAAAGGTGAGTTTCCCCTCACTGCTCCGTCCCGTCAGTATTCATACCAGGCTTACAGGTCCTCGAACTCCTCGGCAAGGCTCACGAATCTGGCATCCCTTTCAATGGCCCCGAAGAAGGTGTTGATACGCCTGAACTACGCCAACTTCTGCGACGAGCCGCAGCCGATTCGGTGGTGCTCTTGAAGAATAACGCTGGTCTCCTTCCTTTGAGTGCTCCAACATCCATCGCGGTGATAGGCCCTAACGCAAAAAAGGCTATGGCTTCTGGAGGCGGTTCCGCTCAGCTGTTGTCCACCTATACTATCAGTCCCCTCCAAGGTATCACTGAAGCTGTGAAAGCCATTAACTCGCAGGTCAATTACGCAGTCGGCGCCACATCTCACAAATTCCTGCCTTTGTTGGATGCATTGATCAAACAGCAGGACGGCACATCTAGGGCTCTCTTAGAATTCTGGAATGAACCCCCCTCATCGGATTTCATATCGCCTCATGCCGACTTGAGCTTGTCGCCCAAGCAATCCGTATGGGACACAAAAACTTCGACTTCGAATTGTATCTTACTCGATGGGGTGGTAAGCTAGTGGTTGCAATACTTTCCAGTACTTGATGTGTATGCTGCCTTTCCAGAACGCAGAGAAAGTCAGCCCAAGCTGCTGGACTCGAGTAAGGATGTGAAGTCGATTCTTGACGCAGCAGCATCTCACCTCTTTTTTTAGTACTCGACGACGTTCGTTCCGGACGAATCCGGCGACTGGGAATTTGGCATGAGCGTTGCTGGAATCGGAAATATGTTCATTGACAAGAAAATGGTGATCGACCAGAGCACTAACACTAAGTATTTAGAGTCCTACTTTGGCGCGGGATCGACAGAAGTTAGGGCCATCGTTCAAGGAATGAAGACGGGCCAAGAGTACGAGCTTGAAGTCCGTCTAAGCAATGCCGAATTCATATCGAGGGGACCCCCGTTCCCTTCTTGGGGCGGCTTCCGGTTGGGTGGTATTCGTGTTATTGAAGGACAAGAGGCGATCCAGGAAGCTGAGGCTTTAGCCAAGACTTCGGATGGTCAGTCCTTTTCGCGCAAGGTCTATGAAATGATTCACCGTAATCTCTCTGGACAGTTGTCATTCTTGTCATCGGTCTTAATCATGAGTGAGTCATTTTCTAGCCTCATCGGTGTTGGCACTGAATAGGATTTGAAGCTGGGAAAGCGAAGGTTTCGACCGAGATGACATGAAGTACGTGCGCGTGCATCGTTATTCAATTCGATTGGACTCAGCATATTTGTCTAGATTACCCGGATTGACGAACGATCTGGTCTTCAAAGTTCTTCAAGCAAATCCGAGAACTGTTGTGGTGAATCAATCAGGGACACCCGTAGAGATGCCTTGGATTGATGAGGCCGACACCGTGCTTCAGGTACGAATATCATAGTCTCAGTTATACCCAGTTGTATAATGACGTCTGGGTACACAGGCCTTCTATGGGGGCAATGAGCTGGGCAACGGCCTAGCAGACGTGCTGTTTGGCAAAGTCAACCCCTCAGCCAAATTAGCACTTACAGTCCCGTACGGATGCTCCTCAGACATGTTATCAATTGTTGATAATAATCATTCTTTTAGTAAACGTCTTGAGGATAATCCATCTTATCCGTCGTTCGGCAAAAAGTGCCAGGAATACGGGAAAGTCTTGTACAACGAGGGCATCTTTGTCGGTTACCGAGGATATGAGATCAAGAACGCCGTGCCTCTTTTCCCGTTCGGCTTCGGCCTATCGTACTCCAAGTTCGACTATTCTGATCTGAGTTGTTCCGAGATTTCCTCCGACGGGAAATTCAGCGTACGGTTCAAGATCACGAACTCTAGTGGCATTGAAGGACGGGAGGTCGCGCAGATATACATCTCTGATGTGGAAAGTTCTTTGCCTCGTCCAGTGAAGGAGCTCAAGGGCTTTGTCAAGGAGACTTTGAAAGCAGGAGAAACAAAGGTTATAACAGTTTTCCTCGACAGAGATGCATTGGGTTATTATGACGAGCGAAAATCTAGCTGGATAGCTGAGAAGGGCGAATTTGTTGTGCTTGTGGGGGCATCATCCGCAGACGTGAGGATGAAACGAAGTATCGAACTGAAGAGCACGTTTAGCTGGGTAGGTCTGTAAAATGTATTCCCTATGAGTTTTGGTATGTAACTGTCTGTACTTCAAAATTTGACGAGTCACCCGAATCGCTGGACAGCACAGCGTTCTTGCTGTTGTAAGGTCCTCAGTTCCAGGTCTGCAACCCCTAGCTTGATACACTATTTGCTCTTGGGATTGGTGGTGAAATGGTGGGATGTGGAGGCCCGTTGATTGCTGCTACACGGCTTGTCCTATTGCTCCTAGGTCCGAGTCCGGTATTGTGGAGCACCGACCTCCTTCGAGTTCATTTTAGGTCGTACATTATCCGATGATAGCCCATGTCCACCACCACCTGTTCGCCGGTCAGCAAACGACGAGCGAGCCTCTACCCCCGTATCCGTCCGCGTACTAACCAAGTAGAGTTCCTAGGACGTGATCCTTTGATCGAGAATCGAGAAAAGAGCCACGGGATGGATCGTAACACTCGTCGGTGTCCGCCTACAGAGCGTTCATTGACAACCATCAGGGACTCTCGGTAACCTTACGGTGCATTTGTACATGCCATAGTCCGAAGACGAGATATTCGCCCATTTCGACACCATGTCGCTGTGCGAGCAACCATTCAGTCAATATTTGAGGTCTGTATATCCGTCTCTCAAATACAAAGGTGTTCGCGCATATCTTCTCCAAACAGCAGGTGCATGATTGTTATATTCAATCAATACCATAATCGTCACGGTAATGCCCAATTAAGCGTTTCGCTCAGCTCCTTGCTCACTGGTTTCACCACCACCAGCAGGTTGTCCTTGAATCTGTGCCTCAAGACGCTTGTCCTGCTCTGCTGCCGCTGCTGCCTTCTCTTTGTCACTTATGACAGATACCCCGGAAGGTTTGATCAGAGGCGGAAAGTTCCTAACTCGTCCTTTCGACGGCTTCTCGTTGCATTGATCCAGCAAAGAGGTGAATCCTCTCAACGACTGGTGTGTGATGTCGGATATCATCTTCTGAGTCTCGATAGACATATTAGCCTCTCTGTAGAATTGTTGGTATTGGGGTAACATACCAATCCAGTAACCCGTCTCGAGCGACCATAGTCAATGAGCGTCAGCCGGTCCAAGTTCGGGGTAACAAAAACGTTGTTTGACTTTGGATCCTCATGGCTACAGAAATGATGTTAAGACCCACGCTCCCAGACGTAGTAGAAAGGAAATTTTACTAGAGGCCTTTCTTCTTGATCCAAAATTCAACCATTTCCGCAGATCAGCGTGAAAGAGCCTCCACGATAGCTGCGCATTCCTCTTTTGACGTAGCAGTTTTAATTACGTCCACGGGAGGGACCATCTTCGGTTGACCAACTTGATTCCTCACGTCCTTCATCACCATCCATTTTTTCCCATCAGTAGCCGTCAGAGTCTTGATATGTAAGCCAACCTTGTATTGTCATTAAATCAAGAGCGCCAATTGATATATAGCACTGTACTTACACCCTTCAACGCTGCGACCTCCTCGTCGAACGGAATGAGTTGATCTATAATGTCGCGACCATCTTCGACGGGTTTGTTGTACTTCGCGACAGCCCACTGGTTCTGGGTGTACAGCCTGCATACCACCCCATCGCGTCCTTCTCCAATCACAGTACAGTCGTACACCTTGTTTCTGGAAACACCCAATGACTTAACTTGGATCTGTATTTTGTCACCAATCTGGTACTCGTGAGCTCGGGATTCGAGCCCCAATGATCTGAACAAAGTGAAAACATGATTCCCTCAATGAAAGAAGGACGTTAACCGACATTCACCTAGCAAGAGATAGAGTGTCCAGAAGATGAATAACGAGCAGGTGTTGAAAAGGCGCATGTTGAATAGTGGTAGGTCGCAGTAGATTAAGCACCAGGCTTGGGAAGATCAGGTGGTAGAGACCGGCTCTGAGAATGAAAGTGTTGCGTCGGACATGTTTTATATTGGACGGCGAATGCGAGCCAATATCATTAAATCAGCGTGGCAGATGATCATTTAGCATCCACGAATGGTTTAACCCAGCTAGTTGCGTCGAAAGACCTCTGAGACGCTGCCACAAATGCAAAGAGGACGACGGACCCTGATATAAGCAGCTATAGCGACAGTCCAATCTTAGCGAAGGAGGCAGTTATGCGTGCAACAGCGGCAAGAGAAACTAAGCAAAAGGCAATGATATTATCGCACTAACCATGACATTGAAAAGGTTCTTGGTTGTCATTAGCGATCCCGGATCCTAACAGAGCATCAGTATCCTATGTAGTGGACTATAAATTGCTTGCGGGTAGGCGAATCGCTGTTACTACGCGCACGCCCGATGATGTATTCATCGGACGTCACCACGAACAACATCCAGCATTATTGAGTCCTGCCACTGAGTAACAGACCGCCACAAAGCTCAAGGCGCAGATACAGAAAATGGACAGACATCCGACCAGCCTCAGGGTCATTTGTCAAATCGGCCAACCATTGGCACACAGATTAGACTCGTCCTGATCGAGCAAAGGGAAAGATGGCAGTGATGTGCATCATGATATCAATCAGCGGATTCCCTCTCGTAAGCCAAACAGCTGTATGGCGATGAAGAGAACCGAGCAGTGCAAGCGTGCTTAGTATAGCTCGCTAGAGACCACTATCGAGACCTAATGGCGGGATCTTGTAACAACGAAATAGTAGAGCAGTGTTCCCGGGGATAACAGTGGAAGTAGATGTTTCTTCTAAGTAGCGGTGTGATGGTCATCGTGACCAAGAACAGGGGTCTATGTTGGACTAACGTTATAGTCTAGAAATCAGGTTCCTCTTTAACCAAAAGGTCCGGCCGGAAATTCGACGACACTCACAATTAATCTTCTGTATCAACAGGTCGCCAAGTCCCGAGGGAAGAACAGTAAGCATCGAATAATTAATTACACAGAAGTGCCAGATCACACTCTTCGATGGTACATCCGACGGCCCTAATTTCTATAATCAATATCACAATGGCCACAATAGTCACAGATAATCACTCAAGCGTTTCGCGCAACTCCTTGTTTACTCCTTTTGCCACCACCATTGGCCTCTCTAATCTGTGTCTGTCTCACAACACTTGTTTTGCTCTGCTGCCGCTTCAGCCTTCTCTTTGTCACTTACCTCGGATACAGTAGGTTTGATCAGAGGTGCAAACTCTTTGGCTTTCCACCTTGAGACTTCTCCTTGCATTTATCCAACAAAGGGTTGATTCGGTGGAATCTTTTCACCGAATCGGATTCAATGTTGCTACGGATTAGCCTCTCCAGATTTGTTGGTATGGGGGTAACCTACCAATTCAGCAACCCGTCTCGAGCGACCATAGTCAATAAGTATCAGTTACTTCAAGTCTTTGGTGACAAAAACGGTGTCTGCCTTTGGATCTTAATGGCTACGGGAGTGAATATAAGACTTACGCACCTAAAGAGGAGAGAAAACAAAATTCACCGAAGGCCTTTTCGGTAATAAAGAACACCGCGGAATGCTGAGTATGGCTAGCCAGAGACCGCAACAAAGACGATTGTGCCAGCCACTTGTGAGCGAAAAATCCTATAATAGCCGTAGATTACTATCCCCTCGAGATGACGGCGAAAATAGATGTATCGTCCGAGTTGGGGGGTGATGATCGTGGCCAAAGATGGGGTGTCTATGTTGGACTAATCACATTATACATCCAGAAAATCAGGTTTTTCAACCAAAAGGTCCAAGAGCGTGAAGAAAGATGCAGTTGGAAACCCGACAACACTGTTATAATCACCCTCAATTTCTCGTATCGAGAGGCCGCCAAATCCCTGAAGGAGGTTATGCCTATAGAGGAGCGCTGGATAGTGGTGTACTTGGATAGCAAATCAGCCGGCTCTGTCTACGCCTTCGCCGCTATCGGCATAGGCTTCAACGAGATGTTTTGGATTGCCGGCGGAGTACATTAACGAGCACTCGTCAATAACGGATCTGTCTCCGTGCAATCTATTACTGGTCGTCTCCCGCTGACATGCACTCACTTGATGGCGTATCGCGGTGCTGAGAGGATGGGATACACTTAATGGGCTACTAGTGAGACCAAGAAGGAGCAAGTTTTACTCAAACACACCCAGAGCGACGCCATCACCACTTCGCATACACCCTCATTGAGATCCAACATTTGCAGGTTGTCTTAATTTGAAGAAGGCATCTCTAAAAATTCTTAATTTGTTTCAGGTAGCACGGAATACAACACGTCTGACGCCGAAGGTTGGGCATGGGTCAGAACCACGGTACCGGCTATCTCTGTGAGATCAGAAGAGCGCGACAGGCTAGAGGTGACCATTGGTCACTATGTCTGGCATGTGGTTCGGGTCTTGCTCCTACCAAGAACCTTGAATTGAGACGAAGATAGAGAGATGAAGGCCACTCACCACACCAACCGCTCGTAAACCTCCACCGCTTTATGAGTTGCTGCTGCTATAGGATCTTTATGTATATCGTCGAATGAACTTGGAGCAAGATTTTCTTCGAACGCTGAAGGTACAATATCGGGAGCGACATCCTAAACACGTCTCGAAGTACAACAGAATGTCGGGGAGTCGGCGGACAGAAGTTTGAAGTATGTCCTTCGGGGGCTGTTGAATGCTAGGATGATCTTCTTGATGGCTGGGACCTGAAGGACAGTGGGGAATATATGCTTTGAAATCATGGTTAGAAGAAGAAGTGAGTTAAGAGTAGTTCTGAACTCGCGAAATTTCACAAGTTCACCGGCCCGGGCCGGCAACGAGTTGCTTTTGTTTTACCTGAGCTGTATTAGCTGGGTTTGGTAGTGAAATGGTCGAATCCGCAGGCCGGTTGCATGTTGCTACTAGATACGGGTCGATTGCTACTAGGTCCGAGTCCGGTATTGTCAATTCCGGTGTAACAACATCTATCTACATTTTCGGAGAAACCCTGAAAAGTACTTGAAGATGGGTTCCACGCCTTTGCGATTTTATTCCGAAGTCGTGCCGAACTCACGTCCTTTGAATCAGACTAGTTTGTCTCCTGATATCAGCATACTACACGGCTTGTTCGGGACGCAATTTTTTACAGAGGAGCTGATTAACGAAGCAGCTAAAGGACGGGTGAATTTCGTAGGGGAATAAGGGGGGGTGGGGGGGTTGTATGGCTTAATCTCAAAGAAATGTTGTATAGAATAGAGGTTCCCCCAAATGGCTTGTACTTTGATCTGCAACGACTCGGATGGAGATGTAACCGCTGCCGGGACTAGTATCTTCTTCGCGATACTCATGTGTTCTGGGGACTTTGCCGTCCTGGTTCCTATTAGGATATAAAGAATCACTCTACTCACGACACCCTTTTCCTCGCCCTGCCTATCATGACTGAGGAGAAAGCTCAAACCGCTCTGGAGCATCAAGACTCTCACGAATACAATGGCAAGGAGACATCCTCGCCTCCAAGCCCACTGACTCCGAACAACGTCCCCCACAGCGCGAAAATCCTTCAAGTCACCAACACCGATCTCGCGTTGGCTCTTTCCACTGGTCCGCCGCTGAACCCAAGGAGCTGGACGTCCATTAAGTTGTACTTGTGCCTTCTTGTTGCTTTCATGGGCAGTATGGCAAACGGCTTCGATGGCCAAGGTGCGGCTCTACAATAGATCGGAGTTTCGCTTCTCATCATCGCTGCCTTTCGATAGTTATGAGTGCCGTTAATGGAATGCAGTGCGCACCTTACTGTCTTCTGAAGTGATACAAAGCCGACCATGAACAACAGGCAGTATCTCAACTACTTCGGTATTGATGGTCTGGATGCTGGTGGAGGTGTCGGTACGGTGACTGCGATTATCTTTGGTATTGTGGGTATCTTGAAATAAATATTCGTGCTTGTGGTGCTTTTTACTCATTTTGCTACAGTATTCAATAGGTGACAAGATTATCTGAGTCCTGTAAGGTCCCGGACTCACGAGGTCCAATCTTTGAAGGGAGCATCGTGGGGGTTGCGCTCGCCGGTCCAACTGCCGATTACTTTGGACGTCGAGGTGGCATGGTATGTTTCCTTGCTTGATTTTCTAACACAATATTCAGGGTGTAACAGTTTACTGGAGCTGTTATCATAGTAATCGGTCAGTCTTTCATGTATTCAACAACAGATATATCGTCTGATTCCGAATGATGATCAAATAGGTGCTATCGTGATCACTACGTCCAAGACTGAGAATTACCTTCTCGCTGGTAGATTTGTTCTTGGATTTGGTGTTTCTTTTGCTACAACAGCAGCCCCTTCATACGTCGTTGAGATGTCTCCTCCACAATGGCGCGGCCGTTTGACAGGATTGTACATTATTTAGTCTCGATGTCGATTGTGCTGCTGATGAAAATTTCTGTTAGATACAACAGTGCGTTGAAGTTCTTACTATCACTCCTTTCAAACATCTCAGAGACCACGTCATCCAGCATTTTATTACACTGGTTCTATCTTGTGCAGTAGGTTGCTCATTGTCGATTATTGACGCGACTTACGTGCTCCGTTGCTCCGCGTAGCTGGCGTTTCGATTGCAACGGGTCGTCTCAGCACCACGACATCGTGGCGTACACCTTTGGCTATACAACTTATACCTGCCGGAATTCTCGCTATCTTCTCTTTATTCTTGCCCGAGGTGACCACTTCGTACATTTTCTTCGCGTTCCAAAACCTGATCTTCGTCTGCTCTCTACAGTCACCTCGATGGCTGATGGCTGTCGGTCGCAAAGAAGAAGCACAAATGGTCCTTGCGAAATATCACGGCAATGGAGACATCAACGCACCTCTAGTGCAGCTGGAAATGAAGGAATTCGAGGAATCTATCAAGATGGATGGCTCCGACAAGCGATGGTATGCTTCTTCAATGCGCGCGTTTTGTTTAAGATGAATGCTGACTCATTTGCAGGTGGGACTACTCTGAACTCGTCAACACGCACAATGCACGATATCGTACACTTATGATGCTCCTGATGGGATTCTTTGGGCAGTGGTCTGGAAATGGTCTAGGGTATGAAATTTTCTTGGTCCTTTTCAAACATTCGCCCATCTGGAAATATGTATAAAGATATTTCCTTACTATTTTGTTCAAGAACGCGGGGGCGAATACACAAGACCGACGTTTGATTTTAAATTTTGTCAACACAGTGGTCTCAGCTTCAGGCGCTCTTATTGGAACATCACTAACTGATCACAGTTCGTGCATCTTAACGTTTTTTTCAGTCTAAACACGTAGGCTGATGCGTCTTAGTTGGAAGACGTACGATGTGGTTCTGGGGAACCCTCGGTAGTGCGGGCACGCTTGCAATTGTGACTGGTGCGCGGCGCATCGTCTATTCTAGAATAGCCTTGAATTTCGTCTAGGCTGTACTGCAAAATGGGGATCGGCAGGAAGTAACCCAGCGGGTTCCAATGCGGCTATTGCATTCATATGTAGGCTTTTTTTGCTTCACTCGGTAGTCGTATCATTGTTAACAACTCATCCCAGTTCTGTTTGGCTTCGTGTACAGCTTGGCATATACGCCGTTACAAGCTCTTTATCCCTCAGAATGTCTAGCATATAACACCCGGTAGGTATCTGGTTGATTACAGCAAAGTAATTTGATGCTAATGCGTTTATCACACAGAGCGAAAGGAATGGCGATGTCAGTTTCCCATTGAATCGCTCTCGTGAACTTATAGCGACGACTGGGATGTGCATTTCAGGTACTCATTTGCCGTGAGCTGTGCAGGTTTTGTCAACACGTATGCGGGTCCCATTGCTTTGAAAAACATCCAATGGAAGGTTTGTAAAGTTCAAACTACTATTGATATTCACGCGCTGACTACAATGCATACCATAGTATTACATCGTCTATGTGGTGTGGGATCTTTTCGAATGTTTGATCATCTTTTTCTTCGCTGTTGAAACGAAAGGGCGTACTCTGTAAGGAGTAGCTCACTTCGTCTTCCATCCAGGTCTGACACTTCGGTTTATAACAGTGAAGAACTGAACGAGATATTTGACGTACGTTACGGTGGATCAGACTAAAGTGCTCATTACAACTGAACTGATCTTAGGATCCCCATCCGGTGAAAGCGTCAATCAGTAAGAAGAAAGTTGCTGTCGTGGAGAAGGAAGGTCAGATCCAGATGGTGACTGTTCAGCCTGGCGGTGATCAGGTATAATTTGTTGCGCTATATAACGGCTATTGATTATTTAATAATGTACGGGAATTTCGATTAACGACCATGATGCCCGAACAGCGTGCATGTTTTAGATTTGAACACTGAGACTGATAGGCCAGATCAGCATTGTCGATGTAACGATACTTCTGGGCCGGAGCCGCTTAAAGGTCTACTTGTATGGTCTATTCATCTGTGCCATCGGTTGTGCTGACAACGGTAAGGAACGAGAACGCAAACGGAACTTGAAGCAATCATCGTCACATAATACCCAGGACGGGAGCGGCAACACGCCTCCGACAATTGATGCACAGTTCTAAACATATCTTCGAATCAGGGACCTTGGGAGGGGTTAAAAGAAGCAAAGGCTGGGATCCTTCGGCGCTAAACTCTTCCTTTCATTTCCTCCTACTTCTAACCCTCATTTATTTCCACAGCCATGATTTGGCCCTCACTGTTGGCACTTACCTCTCTCCCTTTCATATATGCAGCAGAGCAGGACGATGGTTGCGAAGAAAAGGTTGCTTCGACATGGTTTGCTGGATGGCATGCCAATGATGGCTTCAATGTTAGCGATGTGCCATGGTCTAAATATACCGAAGTGACCTTCGCCTTTGCGTGAGTCTCGAATGCGCATATCACGAACAAGTTGAGACTGACCAGAGCATTCAGCGAAACGACACCGGATGTCAATACACTCTCTTTCAATACTTCTGGAATAGACTCAGAAGACGTGCTTGTTCAACTTGTAGCCGCAGCGCACGAGAACGTGAGTCACGTTTTGGGTCTGTAGGCTTCTTCGCTAGAATCATGATGATTTCGTAGGACGTTGACGCAAAAGTCTCGGTCGGAGGTTGGACAGGGTCTCTGTATTGGTCTGACAATGTCGGTTCAGCGGAGAATCGCACGGCATGGGTAAAAACCCTCACCAACCTTGTGTCTAAATATGACCTTGACGGACTTGACTTTGAGTACGCCAGTTTAGACGTTCTATCTTCTTGTACACATTAATTGACTACTTCATCCAGTTGGGAATACCCTGGAAAACAAGGTATCGGCTGTAATGCTGTCAGCACCAACGACACAGACAATTTTCTCGCATTCCTTAAGGAATTACGAGAAAACCCCATTGGCGCTAACATCACACTCTCAGCGGCGACTTCAATCGCCCCATTCACCGGTTCCAACGGAACAGCTCTAACGAATGTCTCCGAGTTCGCCGAATACCTGGACTTCGTTGCCATCATGAATTACGACATCTGGGGATCTTGGAGTGCCACAGTCGGACCTAACGCTCCTCTCAACGATTCCTGTGCGGACGCAGCTTACCAAGCGGGTTCTGCTGTGTCTGCTGTACGGGCATGGACTGAGGCTGGGTTCCCTAGTGGCCAGCTCCTCCTCGGTGTCCCCACATATGGACATAGTTTCAGCGTGCCGCAAGCTAATGCGTTCGCAAACGGTTCAGACACGCTCGCGCTATACGCGGGTTTCAACTCCTCTGTACACCCCGCAGGCGATGCTTGGGACGATGAAGCTGGCTTCGACGTCTGTGGTGCAGCTACGACGGCTGGCGGACTAATGGATTTCTGGGGATTGGTAGAGCAAGGATATCTCACGGAGAGCGGTGACGCCGCGGATGGTGTTCCTTACGTGTTTGATAACTGTAGTCAAACGGTGAGAATGGTTATGTCTGTTACCTTGATCTCATGTATTTTGCACCTCAGCCTTTCATCTATAACACCACAACCGAGGTTATGATATCCTACGACAACGCCGAGTCCTTCGCGGCCAAAGGGCAATTCATCATCGATATGGGCCTTGCTGGATTTGCCATGTGGGAAGCAGGAGGAGATTATAACACCATTCTCCTAGATGCTATTCGTGAGAAAGTCTTCGCGTAGCGACGTTGACGCCGCCATTCGCTCTACCTATGATAATGATTGAATTATAAGATTCCTCTGGTCTAGGCATGGTCATTAAAGATATAACTATACATAGCACGACTGGTCGTCACTTTGTAATATCGAAACCAGTAACATGAAGCACTGTAGCAAACTGAGAAAACAGATAAGCACGCATCTAGCCTTTTAGTGACGAGACCGTACCTGAACTTTAGCTATCGCTTTTAGTTGTTCGAAGTCGTATCCCTCTCGACCACTCAGGTCACCTAAGGGGTGCGATATTCAGATGGAAATTTGCAGACGTGATGAAGATACGTACCGCTGTTATGGTACATGGGGTCAACAACTTCGGTCTTGTCAGTCACAGGTCAACAAGTGAGAAAACGACGCGACATACTTGGCCCTACTCGCTCGAACACTTGCGTAGCTGGAAACCCTTGCTGATGGAACGACTACAATAGCAAACCATGAATTTCCAATCACGTTTAGTAGAAAGGGAACCGTACTTGGTGATCACTGCAGCAAACCTACGAACCATAGTGAATAACAGGTATAGAGTTCATCAAGAGGTAAACATACGGAAGTGTATCCAACAACCAACTCCGGGCTGTAGATTCCAGCAATGGCGGAGACAAGGTCTCCCGCTTCTGGACTTCCAATACTGATCGTTCCCGTTAGAATACAAGTGCTCAGAAGTATAAGACACGAACGTTTTGGGAAGTCCCAATTGAGCGGGCTCATCAAGAGCATGATACGCAGTCATGTCCGCTTGTATCACGAGTGTGAGATTCGACCCAGCAGCCTTCAGTTCACCTAAAACATAATAGGTAAAAGGAAATCATGCAAGTAGCTGTCCAGACTCACGGGAGTAAGCTCTGGAGCCCAGCAAGCCTTGCTCCTCTCCAGCGAACAAGACGAGTTCGACATTAGCGCGGAATTTGATGCCTTTAGCTCCAATAGCGCGCGCAATGGAGAGAATCCCTGTGGTTCCCGAACCATCGTCATCCCCGCCGGGCGCACGGGTGCTGCCAAATGATCCACGGCTGTCGTAGTGAGCACTGATGAGCACCGTTTCAGATGTGTTTACAGTAGCTTCATATCTACTGAGAAGGAATGTCTTAATCACCGCATAACAAGATCGCGTCGACTCACCATACGACATTGGGCGCGAAACCCGAGAGGAAAGGCTTGAGCTCGCAAACAGCACCGGTATCCTCAATTTGATGTTTAAGCCACGACGCCGCGATCCGCGATCCCTCAGCAAAAGAATGCCGTGAAACAATTCCTGATTTTCCATCTTCTCCGGTGAGGAAACGGATATCGTTCTTCATCTGGGTGACCGACAGGCTATTGACCAGAGACGCAACTACGGGATCGAATTTGACACCTGTTATAACATCCCGAATGCGCTGGGTAGCATATAAAGGTATGGGAATGTAGTCAACAGGCGACGTTGGTAAGATGATTGACCTCCAGAACCGCGGAAGGAGAGTGTCGATGATGCGCGCCTTATCATGGCTGACCGATAGCAGTGCGGCGTGTGGGGACCGATAGAATAGTTCGTAGTGCTGCTCCTCCTTGCCGTATACGAGGACATCCTGCTCATGATCCTCTAGAGCCTGGTCCAATGTGCGGTAAGGGGAGAGTGATAGTCTTTCTAGAAAACTATCCAGTCCAGCGTCTAACGAAACCGCCTGCGATTTCAAAGTCTCATCCACCGACTCTTCCTCAACCCAAACGAGCTGCTGAACTGGCTGAAATGCTCCAGATATCGTGGCAGACTCTGCAGCAAAGTCTGAAAGCCAATTGTCCATGCATGCATGCTCAGGAGCGTATACGGCTTGGTATGTTGATCCATCACGATAGGTACCGTAGTAAGATGTTGATAAACAAGATTCTCCACGAAATATGGCCCTATCGAAGGGAGTAATAAGGAGCAAAGCCAGCGGTATTACGTTCATGGTCATAGTAAAGACAAGGTAAGTTGCCGGCAGGTGATCCGATACTGAATTAGAATGTGGTTCGGGAATTTTAACAAGCGACGGACCTTCTTCTGCCTGTGCTGCAGGAGCATGGTCCATAGAGAAGAAACAATCGAAAAGAGAAGTGCGTGAAACCTTGCTCATTGTGAAGAAACGACAAGCGAAAAATACATCACTATAGACTAAGCTATATGGTAATGAATATTATAACGAATAGCAGGGGAGTGCGGTGGACTGATATAAGATAGGAATTTATCTTAGAGCAGAGGGGCCCTAGTCTTCTGTCATCGGCCTTTCCTCGTGCTTGGGCTTGGGCTTCGTCCCTCCTCGAGGTGTTCCCAGCCAAGTTTCACACTTTAGGTTTGATCAGACGCGGAAATTCCCTCTTTTGTCCTCCCTTAGGCTTCTCGTTGCATTTTTCCCCCAAAGCAGAGAATCCTCTCAACGAACTGATTTGGATGTCGACCTTCATATCCTGAGTCTGAATAGATAGATTAGCCTTTCTGCAGAATTGTCAACATTGGAGTAACACACCAATTCAGTAACCCGCCTCGAGCGACCATGGTCAATGAGTGTCAGTCTGTCCAAATTCGGGGTGACAAAACAATTGTTGGACTTTAGATCATCTTGACTACAGAGGCAGTGATAAGACCCACACGCTAGTAGTAGAGAGCGAAATTCACTAAAGGTCTTTCTCCTGGATCCAAAATTCAGTCATCTCCACAGATCGTTCCATAACAGCGTCCACGACAGAATTGCATTCCTCTTGTGTATTAGCTTCAACCGCTAATTTCATGGGATGGTACATCCGCGGTGGACCAACCTTCACATCCTTCATCACCATCCACTTTTTCCCGTCAAAAGCCGTCAGAGTCTTGATGTACAAGCCAACCTTTCATTGTCATTAAATCAGGAATGCCAATTAATATATAGCACTGTACTTACATCTTTCAGCGCTGCGACTTCCTCACCGAACGGAATGGCTTGATCCAAAGCGTTGCGATCACTCTCGACGGGTTTGTTGTACTTCGCGACAGCCCACTGGCTCTGGGTGTACAGCCTGCATACCACCCCATCACGTCCTTCAATCACGGTACATTCGTACTCTTTATATTTGGGTGTACCAATACCAATGCGCACACCCAACGTCGTCGGCTTAACTTTGATGGTGATTTTATCGCCTATTGCGTACTGATGTACACGGGATTGGAGTTGAAATGGTCTGAATAAAATCAAAACACGATCCCCTCTACTAAAGGCCACTAACCGACAGCCACCCAGACAGAGATAGAGGGTCCAGGTGATGAAGAACAGGCAGGCGGAAAAAAGCCGCATGGCGGATAATAGTAGGTCGCGGTAGATTAAACACCAGGCTTATGAAGATTAGGTAGTAGTGTAGAGAACCAGCTTTGACGGTGCAATAGTCGCATCGGACAAGTTCATATAGAACAGTGCATGCGAGCCAATATCATTAAGGCAACACGGCGGATGATCATTTAGTGTCCACGAATGGTTCAACCCTAGTTGTGTCGAAAGACCACTGAGACGTCTCTACAGATGCCAAGAGGACAACTGACTTCCACATAAGCGGAGACAACCGACAGTCAGTTCGGTCTTAACAAAAGAGTCAGTTATGCGCAGCGCAGCAGCGGCAAGAGAAACTAAGCAGAAGGCAATGATATTTTGGCACTCACTGTGGCATCCAGCCTGAGAAGGTTCTTGGCTGTCATTAGGGATTCCAACAAAGAATCGATATCCTATCTTGGATTATAAATTGCTTGCGGGTAGGCGAACCGCTGTTGCTACGCGCATGCTACCCGATGATGTATTCATCGGATATCATCCAAACACGAAAAATACCCAGCATTATTGAGTCCTGTCACCAACTAACATGCCGTTATTATACTCAAGGAACAGATACAGAAAATGGCCAGAGCGTAAGGACATCCGACCAGCCTCAGGGTCATTTGTCAAATCGGCCGATCACTGGCGCACAGGTTAGACTGGTCCTGATCGAGCAAAGTGCACAATCGGTCAAGATGGCCGTGATGTGCGTCAGGATATCAATCGATGGGTTCCCTCTGATGAGCCGAAAACGTGTATGGTGATGAAGAAAACCGAGCAGTGCAAGCGTGCTTAGTATAGCTCGCTAGATACCACTGTCGAGACCTTTTAGGTGGCTTGTGAACGGCGGGATTCTATAGCAACGAAGGAGTAAAGCGGTGTCCCCAGGGATGAAGGTTGAAGTAGATGGTTCTTCTAAGTAGCGGTTTGATGGTCATCGTGGCCAAAGAACAGGCATCTGTGTTGGATGATATTATAATCCAGAAAATCAGATTCCTCTTCAACCGAGATATCCAAGAGCGTGAAGAAAGATGCGGTTGGAAATCCGACGACACTGTTATAATCGCCTTCAATTTTTCATATCAAAAGGCCGCCAAGTCCCTGAAGGAGGCCATGAGTCGAGCGATTATAGAGAAGCGCTGAATGACGCACTTGGATAGCAAATCCACAGGCTCTGTCTACGCCTTCACCGCTATCGACGTAGGCTTCCACGAGATGTTTTGGATTCAATGGATCTGCCTCTGTGCAATCAATTGCTGGTCGTCTCCCGCTGACATGCACTCACTTGATGTATTCTGGCGCCGAGAGGACGGGATATGCTGAATACGCTATCAGTAAGCCCAAGAAGGAGCAAATTCTACTCAAACAGCAACACCGGACATCACTTCGCATACACGCCTACTGAGATCCAGCAACATTCGTAGGTTGTCTTCTTTGAAGAAGACGGTTAATTTATATCAGGTAGCACGCTGACGCCGAAGGTTGGGCATGAGTCAGAACCAAAGTATCGGCTATCTTTGTGAGATCAGAGGAGCGCGGCATGCTTGAGGTGACCATTGGCACCTGTAATCAATATGTCTGGCGCGTCGTCCGGGTCTTGCTGAGTTGAGACGAAGATAGGAAGATATAGGCTACTCACCACACCAGGCGCTCGTACACCTCCACCGCTTTATGAGTTGCTGTTGCTATAGGATATCTATGTATATCGTCGAATGAACTTGGAGCAAGATTCTCTTCGAACGTTGAAGGTACAATATCGGGAACGAGACCCCAACTACGGAGTCAATGGAAGTACGACAGAATGTTGGGTCGGTGCACATAAGTTTGGAGTATTTCCTTTCTTCGGCTAGAATGATCTGTTGTTCAAGAGTTTCTTGATAGCGGGGACCTGAAGGGCATGGAGTAATATATGTTCTGAAGTCAGGGTTGACAACGTTGAACTTGAAGTGATACGAGAGCCAAGAGATCCGTTGTTGGAAGTTGTACTTATAAGACTTAAAGGACTGGCATCCAATAACTTTATGTCAGGCTCGATTGATGGCAGGGCGATCTTCATTGCCATGTAACACTACCTACCTACCCTTGAGCTTGAACTGAATTAGTAAATGAACACTGACATTGTTGGCACCAGCTGCCTAGCATATGAGCTAAATAGGGTGTTCCCATTCCCGAGTGTCATTCACAGAAACCATGGTACTTGTACGGGTAGGTGACGAATTAATCAACGGTGAGATAGTGCAAGAGAATGAGGCGAGGATGGCTAGAAAAGAATAAAAAAACCCGTTATGGCCGCTGGTGCTCTTCAGATCGTGAAATAAAGTAAAGCTGCGACTCGGTTAGTAGGGGTACCAGCGGTAAATGTCTGCTCATTGAGACATCTCGACGCAGCTGTTACTCGTAGAACGTGATCAATGAATAATAAAGTCAATATGCGCAAGACATAACCGCGGCCGTGGAATTTCTAGGCCAACGCCTGGTGGTCCCACATATCAAGAGCGTCATGAAGCAGATGTGACGAGCGCTAACAGAGAAGACACCTCTGCTTGTGCCCGTACCAGGTTGGCTAAATATGAGATCATCAATGTATCCTACACGCAGTGTCAATATCCATTGTAGCTCAGATGAAGCTAAAAAAAAACACCTGCAGACTCGCATTAAAGCCACCCTTCTCCAGATTATCCGTACTAGCGCCCAGGGTATCCATCAGATACCTCCCCAGCGCCGGATGACCCTCGGTCTCTCCAGCCAGTACCGAACGCACATATGCCAGCACGCGGTCAAGCATGTCGGATACGTTCTGGATGGATTGCTCAAGGATTTCTAGATCGGACAAGGGCTGGTTGCTCGTCGAGTTGGGGGAGGCTGCAGTTGACGTCAAGAGATTCACTGGAAGATGTCAGGATTTGAATCGTGCATGAAAGGAATACACTCACGTCCGCTCCGCTCGGCATCATGAAACCGTAGCTCAACGGGCACTGGAACGAATACGCAATTCTCGTGTCTCGGGAATACGCCCACTGGTGAGCTGAGTGCCGGGTCAATAAACATACTGTATGTCGCTCAGAGCACACACCTGAAGTATGCTTTTATGCCAGCGGGCTCGCCATCGTCTATACCAGTATTCAGAACGACATGGATAGCCTGATGAGGGGTTGTTTCTTGCGAATAGAAGTTTTGGATGAGAGCAGAAAAAGTATTGAGGTTCGAGCCCGTCGAGTACCTAGCGTCTGTTAGTAACAGCCCAAGACCAAGGAACTCGACAGACTCACCAACCGACGATTACCTCCTTCGAGTTCACTTTGTGGTGTAGGTCGTACATCGTCCGATGATAGTCCATGTCCACCGCCATCTGTTCGCTGCTCTCGCTGTGAAGCACAGCAAACGACGAACGAACTTCAACTCTCGTATCCGTACGCGTACCAAGGAGAGTTCCCAGGACGCGATTCTGGTTGTCCGTCCGTCGCAAGTAATGGTCGAGAATCGAGAAAAGAGCCACGGGATGGATCGTAACACTCGTTGGTGTCTGCCTACAGAGCGTTCATTGGCAACCACCAGGAAAGGCTCTCAGAAACGTACGGCGCATTTTGTACAGCCGTGGATGAATTCAGTGAGCCGTAGACGTGAATCGCCGACGACGAAGGCTGGAGCGGCATCTTTCACTGAGTAGATGTGGTCGTCGGTAAGAATTTTTTTGATCGCCTCGGGACTTGCCATACCCGTCTCAAAATTTCCACCATGCCATCAGAAGATACAAAGGTTCATTCCGCTGTTTTCCTATTTTCTGACGCGGTACTGATAGGCTTTATCCAGGAAACGATAGCAAAAGTCGTCGAGCTTGGACGAGTGCGTGTGACAACATGTGTCGAGAATGACTGCTGATCTGACGCAGGTCGTGCTTCATTATGGCTGGATACCTCTGATTATCCACGTCGGCTTCTCTCGAAGTAACCCGCAGCCGTCTCTAATCAAGTGCGTGTTCTTATTCTCGAAAGAAAGAGCCTTTCTGACTGTCTTGCAGACTGATCAGCCCACTCGCGTAATCCCCCAAACGAGGCCTTTGTGCATAATTTCCGTCGCTGTCAATCCACGTCTCACTCTTTTTTATCTACCGTTCGTTGATGAGAGAGAAGGTTTTATGACGTCCATATGGTGAGCTAACCCTCCTTTCTTCGCCGCGTGACGATGATACATGTCGTGGTGATACATGTGTATCCCGAACGAACCGTGTATATACGGTACCCTGTTGCTGTAACCCTTTCTGAGGTGGTTTATCGATGGCGTAGGAATGTGGAGGTGACAAGGCCAGATCTGAGCGCACAAAAAAAATCCTAGTTGTCTGACTGATTACTATGGCATTCACTTACTTGTCTCTCTTTACTGCAGAACGCTCTTGAGTAAGAAATCGTGATGTTTGTTTCCCTCGAAGTATCATCGAGCGCTACCTTTATTAGACCTAAGCCGTCTTGATGTACTGCACTGAGTAGGTCATGAATGTCTTGGGTCAATACTGGTAGCTCGACGGTGGTCGCAGATAACCGATGAGGCGCGTGGACAACAACGCAAGGTCATGGCTTGAATATACTGGCACTAGCCCATGCCCAATTTAACCCCTCAGTGATACTTCGGCCAGCCGGAAGCGGGCACACAGGGCCTAGGATAGCCATGACCTTTCAACAGATAGGCTAGTCGAATGAAAAGCAAAACGTATCGGCTACACAATGCCATCTGTATACAATATACATAAAAGTACTAGAGATACACTCGCCGCAGGTCTGTAGCACCAGTAATCCGCTTGCAAATAGGACAGAGCTTAGTAGACCCTAAACACCTAAGCCAGCATTCACGACAACAGGTGTGCCAGCATCCCGTCGACACCGTGGGTTCGTTGTACGGGTCTAGACAGATACGACAGAGCAGTGATGTCGATGAAGAAACTCTAGTTGCCTCCTGTAGAATAAAAATCAGAAGCTGAGAAAACACTATGTTAATGTACGCACCAAAAATGTGACCTTCTCCTCCAATGCCTTGATCAACGCTGGACGGTTACTCGAGTGCCTGGCCGTCAAAATCGCACGGTCCATTCTATCGGCTTCACCAACGCCCATGACCTCGTCCATCTTGGCCTTCACCGCATCCAGACCCCCATGAATTTTCTCCTTCCCTTTCGTGACCTTACCCTCAGCCACCAAATCCCGTAACGTCGTCGCAACACTACCGTGCCCCTCGTTCTCGATGTCTACGTCCACTTCAATTTCAGGTGCGGGTGCCGGACCCAGGATATCGCCCTCTGTAAACTGAGGACACCCGAATGCTTCATCGTCGCCGTCAATGTCAATGTCTTCCTCTATGTCTTGCTCGTTCCTATTGCGTGTGTGAAAGCCAGTACCTTGGGAAAAGGTTAAGGACGGTATGGGAAGCTTCCGGAGAAGGATGGTACCTCTAACGCTCCCAATAATTGGTCCTTCGTCTTCCCACTCATCTTCTTCCTCTTCTCTCCGGAGCATCTCCTTCTGCTCTCTCTCTTCATCCATCCGCCGGGCTTCGCCTGCCAAACATGCATCGACATGCGCGTCCAAAACGTCCTCATCTCCTGTCACCGTCGTCAGACAAACAGGACACACAATTTCTCCACAAGATTGCCTTCCCCGACGGGAAGCATGCAAGTAACTCTCCTCATCCTCTCTCGTCATTTCCTTCAGTCCAGCATGACGCCGCTTTCGGTTTCGTCTGATCTTCTGCAGTATCTTGGTAGTTTGCACATCGGTATCTTTGGATTGAAAGGACTTTTGTGCACGAACAGCAGACTTTCTACGCAAAAATGATGTGCTAGACCTAACTTTATCTTCAGTACCGAATAAGCGAAACAAGACTATCAACGCACCCTTCCTCAAACTCAGCAGCTAGGACATCTGTTGACCCAACGCTCTGAATAATCTTCTCGACGCGTTGAAATTCAAAATCAGAGTGCTTAGCAAGGAGTCGTAGGGGTATATGTTCTTTGCATATAGGACATTCTCTTGTCTCGACCTTGGCTATAAATAAATGTTCAACTTATTGTTCTGGTATGGTGACACAACCAACCTCTCTTCTTAGCTGTCGCGGGGACGAGAGCGGAGCCCGTGGATGACAACGACGACAACGAAGATGATCTCCCTCTCTTTTGTGGGTTCATATAAGAGCTCGTGGGGTTGGATGGAGAAAAGTTGTTTTGGATGTCGATAAATCATGAACGGTCCGGGGGCCGACATCACTGTGGCGGTGTCCCAGCCACTGTCTTATGAGTTGTCGTTGCGATAGGATCATTATGTATATCGAATGAACTTGGGATAAGATTTTCTTCGAACGTTGAACGTACAATACCGCGAGCGAGACCCTAAATACGGAGTCAATCGAGGCACGACAGAATGTTTGGTCGGCGTACATAGATTTGAAGTATTTCCTTTCGTCGGGGGCTTGTTGAGTGCGAGAACGATCGTTTTCTTCGGATGGCGGGAACCAGCTGGAGGACATGGAGTAATATATGTTTTGAAGCCTGGTGGAGGTGTACGAACAGTTGGTGTGGTGAGTAGCCTACATCTTTCTATCTTCGTCTCAACTCAGCAAGACCCGGACGACGCGCCAGACATATTGATTACAGGTGCCAATGGTCACCTCAAGCATGCCGCGCTCCTCTGATCTCACAAAGATAGCCGATACTTTGGTTCTGACTCATGCCCAACCTTCGGCGTCAGCGTGCTACCTGATATAAATTAACCGTCTTCTTCAAAGAAGACAACCTACGAATGTTGCTGGATCTCAGTAGGCGTGTATGCGAAGTGATGTCCGGTGTTGCTGTTTGAGTAGAATTTGCTCCTTCTTGGGCTTACTGATAGCGTATTCAGCATATCCCGTCCTCTCGGCGCCAGAATACATCAAGTGAGTGCATGTCAGCGGGAGACGACCAGCAATTGATTGCACAGAGGCAGATCCATTGAATCCAAAACATCTCGTGGAAGCCTACGTCGATAGCGGTGAAGGCGTAGACAGAGCCTGTGGATTTGCTATCCAAGTGCGTCATTCAGCGCTTCTCTATAATCGCTCGACTCATGGCCTCCTTCAGGGACTTGGCGGCCTTTTGATATGAAAAATTGAAGGCGATTATAACAGTGTCGTCGGATTTCCAACCGCATCTTTCTTCACGCTCTTGGATATCTCGGTTGAAGAGGAATCTGATTTTCTGGATTATAATATCATCCAACACAGATGCCTGTTCTTTGGCCACGATGACCATCAAACCGCTACTTAGAAGAACCATCTACTTCAACCTTCATCCCTGGGGACACCGCTTTACTCCTTCGTTGCTATAGAATCCCGCCGTTCACAAGCCACCTAAAAGGTCTCGACAGTGGTATCTAGCGAGCTATACTAAGCACGCTTGCACTGCTCGGTTTTCTTCATCACCATACACGTTTTCGGCTCATCAGAGGGAACCCACCGATTGATATCCTGACGCACATCACGGCCATCTTGACCGATTGTGCACTTTGCTCGATCAGGACCAGTCTAACCTGTGCGCCAGTGATCGGCCGATTTGACAAATGACCCTGAGGCTGGTCGGATGTCCTTACGCTCTGGCCATTTTCTGTATCTGTTCCTTGAGTATAATAACGGCATGTTAGTCGGTGACAGGACTCAATAATGCTGGGTATTTTTCGTGTTTGGATGATATCCGATGAATACATCATCGGGTAGCATGCGCGTAGCAACAGCGGTTCGCCTACCCGCAAGCAATTTATAATCCAAGATAGGATATCGATTCTTTGTTGGAATCCCTAATGACAACCAAGAACCTTCTCAGGCTGGATGCCACAGTGAGTGCCAAAATATCATTGCCTTCTGCTTAGTTTCTCTTGCCGCTGCTGCGCTGCGCATAACTGACTCTTTTGTTAAGACCGAACTGACTGTCGGTTGTCTCCGCTTATGTGGAAGTCAGTTGTCCTCTTGGCATCTGTAGAGACGTCTCAGTGGTCTTTCGACACAACTAGGGTTGAACCATTCGTGGACACTAAATGATCATCCGCCGTGTTGCCTTAATGATATTGGCTCGCATGCACTGTTCTATATGAACTTGTCCGATGCGACTATTGCACCGTCAAAGCTGGTTCTCTACACTACTACCTAATCTTCATAAGCCTGGTGTTTAATCTACCGCGACCTACTATTATCCGCCATGCGGCTTTTTTCCGCCTGCCTGTTCTTCATCACCTGGACCCTCTATCTCTGTCTGGGTGGCTGTCGGTTAGTGGCCTTTAGTAGAGGGGATCATGTTTTGATTTTATTCAGACCATTTCAACTCCAACCCCGTGTACATCAGTACGCAATAGGCGATAAAATCACCATCAAAGTTAAGCCGACGACGTTGGGTGTGCGCATTGGTATTGGTACACCCAAATATAAAGAGTACGAATGTACCGTGATTGAAGGACGTGATGGGGTGGTATGCAGGCTGTACACCCAGAGCCAGTGGGCAGTCGCGAAGTACAACAAACCCGTCGAGAGTGATCGCAACGCTTTGGATCAAGCCATTCCGTTCGGTGAGGAAGTCGCAGGGCTGAAAGATGTAAGTACAGTGCTATATATTAATTGGCATTCCTGATTTAATGACAATGAAAGGTTGGCTTGTACATCAAGACTCTGACGGCTTTTGACGGGAAAAAGTGGATGGTGATGAAGAACGTGGAGATTGGTCCACCGGAGATGGTCCTTCCCAAGCATGTAATTGATCAAGTTACATCAAAACAGGAATGCCTGGCTGTAGTGATCAATCTTCAAGTCCGAGCTGCAGAAATGATTGAATTTGGATCGAGATGAAAGGCCTTCGGTGAATTTTGCTTTTTCTATAACTTTGCGCCGTGGGTCTTATCATCATTTCCGTAGTCATGAGGATCCAAAGTCAAACAACGTTTTTGTCACCCCAAACTTGGACCGGCTAACGCTCATTGACTATGGTCGCTCGAGACGGGTTACAAGATTGGTATATTATCCCAATACCGACAATTCTGCAGAGGGGCTAATCCGTATATCCAGACTACGGAGATGAAGGAAGGCATAGCACGCCAATCGAGGAACGGATTTGGCGCCTCTTTGCTGGATAGATGCAACGAGAAGCCTGCGACAGGACCAGTTAGGAAATTTCCGCCTCTGATCAAACCTAAAGTATCGAAGAAACTTGCCTTGGCTAAGGCTCTAGCAGTAATACTGCAGACCAGGCGTATTAAGGCACAGGAGAAAGGGCAACATGCTGGTGGTGGTGAAATCAGTCAGCAAGGGGAGGCAAAATAAGAAAACAAGGAACTCAGCGAAATGCTTGATTGATCATTACTGTGACAATTATGATATTGAATATAATAATTATGAACCCATACGCGCGAACAACTTCTACGTGGTTGAGACATCATGATGGATATATATCCTTCCAATACTGGCTAACCGAATAGTTGCTCGTATAGCGACATGACTTGAAGTATGGCATACCCGATGTCTGCGAAGTGTTTGTTCTAGGAATAGGATGTCTCCTGGTGGCCTTCTATTATTACCATTGGGATCTATGACTCAGACGCCACTATCAAGTTCACTTCTGGATGCCGATCTCGACGACTACTAAAAGCAACTTCCTTCCTTCCTTTCAAGGCATATGCAACGGCAAATTTGCAACGCCGCGGTCATCGTATATGTATTAGATTCTCTTTTGTACTATCGCGACACCGTATCAGGTCGTCAACTATTGTGTACTTCGACTCAGAGCCACCGCATCGTAGATATCAAGCTTACTGGGAAGAACAATGGGGATTATCGTTGGCTAACCAAGCTCCTTACGAGTTACTAATCGCCTTAATCCTAGATTTCAAGTTGTTCTGATATTAACATACACCTTCGAGCTTCCCTCAAGGGTACCGCCATGCGTGCGATTATCTCAACTCAATATTAATTTAATTCCGAGTCGGCATTGACAGAGATTGTTAAAGTCTTGGCATCGACGCTGCCGAAGCGACTGATGAGAGCGAAAATCGTGTATAGCAGATATATCTACACATCAAGTCACGGTTATTATTTAGTTAGAATTAGTGCTATCTTGTAGTCATTGAGATTGTGAATAATCATTATATACGTGAATCATTAGCAGAATGATATGATATGAAAACGCCCTTCGCATCGCGTCCTTACTGGACGCTTATGGGGAAGACAAACACGCCTGTTGGATCATATTGACTTTTCAGACTCTCTAGCCTGGTATAATGTGATTTGTAATATAGACTTTGTGCTGGACACGATAAAATCAACCTTTGATCAGCAGTGATAAGATTCTGGACGCACCATTATTGAGACGGTCGTCGGGATAGTTTACATAGGCTCCGTAATCCCAATCATCACCCATGGTTGAAGTGATAGCTTCAACGGCACCTACGAAGAAAGTGATGAGTGGAAGGAGTATAAAGAAACGATGCTATCATACCATCCAAGAAAGTGAAACCGTCCTCAGGATATGGCGGCTCGTAATTACTCGACGAGGCATATAACTGGACCGTGAATAATGCACTCCTTGTTGCAAACGCTGTCGAGTCTACATTTATGGAGTTGATAAATGAATTTCCTCCGCCGTACAGCTCGAATTGCATGAACCAAGCCTACATTAGAGGTGAATAAAAATATAGCACCATATGTGAAGAGCAGACGAACCGTATTCGACGCATAGCCATCATAAGCCAGGTACTTCATGAACGCTTCCAACGCTTCCAAAGTCATCGGCTGACCCTCCGGCGTCACCAGCGATTTGGCATAGAAAGTATCAGTTGTATCAGGGCCCGCGACGTTAGTGTTGACAATGCCGTTACCCAAAGCTTCGATAGTGCTGATGTAGGTCCCATTGCCAGAGTACCTCACATTTGCCGAAGGCATCGATGCCAAGAACGGCGCCAACGCGCTCTGAAGAGCGTCTGTGGACTCGCCATACCATCCACCGGTCAAACCAAAGTAGACACTCCCCTCGGAGTTACCCCTCCCGAGATTGATTTCGGCTCCAAGTTGAGGTGGAATATCTGTCATCACGTACTCTTGGAATTTGGCTAGAGCGGTAGCAGCGGAAGAATAATCCAGTTGCCAGTCGTATTCATAGATAGTTGCAAAAGGCGGCGTGGGGAACGTCTTGACATCGATAGAGGTTATGATACCAAACGAGGATGCGGCACCTCTCATTGCCTAGTTAAACGCAAGGAACCGTGAGCTACTACGTGGACACTAGGAACAGTGTCACGTACCCAGAAGAGATCTGCGTTGGAGTTGCTTGACGCGGTCACAATCGTTCCATTAGCCAACACCACACTCATTGATTGAACTGCATCGAGGGTCAGACCCCACATTCGAGACGTGAATCCAAATCCTCCGCCAGCTGGAGTACATGAGATTTGACTGATTCTCACTACTGAAAAGCTGAGAACTCACAGACGTGACCACCAATGCCTACATAAGGACAACTACCGTGGGGAAGGGCCCTACCCTGGTTATTCAGTGCAAACGCGACATCTCCCAGCCTATTACCCGTTTCTATTGTTGCAGTACCCGAAGACACGTCGACGTCCACCCTGGTCATGTTGCTCAGGTCAATGACGAGGGAGCCATTCTTGCCTCCCAGACCATTAGCAATGTAGTTGTGCTACAACAATCTTACTTAGTGAGGGACGAATAAGAAAAAGTGGCTACTTACACCCCCACTCCTTGCAACGACCTGTATGTTTTCTGAATTTCCCAGAGCAACGATGGTGGCTACCTGCTCTGCCGTTGAAGGGTATGTGACTGCTACTGGAGAAAAATCGTAACGCAAGTTGTCTGTGTACATGGGTTTCAATATAAGGTGGATGAAGAAGATACTACTCACAAGCCCTTCTCGCAGCATCATATGGGGCGCCCCCAGGAACAACAGCCGCTATGTGAGCATCGGACAAACCGTTCTGCAGGCCCGAACTTTGCGCGAGGACAGAGATAGTGAGCGTTGCGAAGGTGAGGAGGTATGAAGTCGGACGAGTCATTGAATGCCAGTGAGTAGATAACCATCCTCCCTTGCTTATATACGAAGGATGAAACAGGGGCGTTGGAGTGCTGTGAACTGTGTGCTCCAGATGACTGTACGCGAATGGGGCGCATTTCAAAGCTGGAGGAAGTTTGTCTTCCTCGATTCAGTAGACGTCCCGGTGGCAAAACGTTGTATAGCCACGGTGTTTTTGACTGACCGGATGTTATACTTCCGCGTACATCGTATAAGCGCTACCTTCGGGACTTGGGAGTAAACAAATCGTTCAGCGAAAGCCCGTCTTTTACCCGCACAGCCGCAACAATGGACGCAGTACCTGACCGTCGTCGTTAGCGCGCCTCTATAATGACCTCCGCCAACTCCGTCATAGTCATTGGTCCTTGGGGATAGGGCCGATGACTGTCAGAGTCCTCATGGGTGTCGAACAGTAGTAGACTCATTGAAGTCAGCGCTAAGTTCGATAAGCCTTTCCAGTAGGATCAAACATGGAGTATCAGATGCGAGATGCAAAAGAACCTAGACTCGGGTGTTCAATCAAAGTGTCGTCGATTCAAAGAAGAGGGCCAAGCCTACAGTCCCACGTCATTTCAAGTTCTGTCTAGCGAACAGGAAAATTGCAGGAAATTTCTGGAACGGTCAAGACGGTTTACCGCTACCAGCGTACGTCGGTCACCGTTACTCGATCGTGTGTAGTCTTGGTGCTTAGATGGTGGTGTTAGGATGACGAAAGCCGTTTGGATCGTTTTTAAATGTCGGACCGTCCTTCCGACATCGACACTGTTCACTGAATATCATTTTCGGACTAGTACTTCAAGTACATATCCACTGCCTGTGGAAGTATTTAGTCTCGGGCTTTATATCTTCTGGGCTCTTCTATTCTCATCACCGGTCTGCAGCGCCACCATCTAGTTCGTTAGGACGGCATTCACTACTGGGGCCGGTTCCTTTTTGGCACTCTTTTTATGTGCTAAAAACAACCTCTTTTCTTTAGTGGTTTCCTTTGTTCTGGCAGTGGGGGTCCGGGGATGTCTTTTTCAATTCAATTTTCCCTGCTGTTTTCCTTTATGGAAGAGAATATAGGAATGATCTCATTTTTCGACTCATTTTACTGAACTCATTTTTACCATTGCAAAATTGAATGAAATGTCACAACATTTTTAGGTCCTATTTTTCTGCTGAGAAAATGTATCGGTCCCAGCAGTGATTGAACTTTGTCTGACTCGCAAGACATATCCTCGTAGTTGCCCAGTCCAATATGGATCAAATACTCTTTTGTTCTAGGAAACTATTGCAACGATGTAGAGGTAAACATCAGGTCGTCGTCTAGCATATATTTAGACTCGGAGCAAGCGTTGCCTTGACCTTCAACTTTGGTCGAGCCTGTGCTCATCTAATGATGGCGCTGAAACAAGTACAGCTTCTCTGTATATTATCTCTTTCGTTGCGTAACCTGATGACTCTGGCTAAGAGCAGTTTCTTTGTGCCAGCGCTGGGTACGGGATAAGTATCGTGGCCATTCGGCAAAATATTTCTCGGCTCTACATAAATTTTCTGCTGTCCTTGTACATATACTTAAATGTGGGTGACCCTCCGCAGGAAGAGCTGGTCTTTCTGTCAAAGTTTTTCATGCTCTTTCGCTCACTGAATTCATATTTGGCCCTTTGGTCTCTGTTTTCCACATTTCTGTGAGGATATTCTACTCTATTTTCATTAGTAGGCGTTGATTTTCTTCAGTCCATTCGGATCGACTTTCACAACCCCCGGCCCCAATACCAGATAGGGCAAGAAATGACAATCAAAGAACTTTATATATGAAGACTGTAAGAGATGAGATGCTGGATGCTCATGAAGAATTTTAAAAGTTACAGGGTGGCTGCATCGCCAGGAGACCCGTATACCGACGCGTCTTCATAATCTCCGTCATAAGAGTCTTCTTCGAAAAACTCCAACTCCGAACTCGAAGTCAGACTCGAGCCACTCAAGCTCGAAAACTCCGAATCGTCGCTCTCGTACGAATCATCGTCTTCATCACTCTCATAAGGTCCCTGAGGTGTATACTGAGGGTGTACCTGTGGGAATACGCCGACGACATTCCTTGGTGGAAAACGTGTCCGACCGTATGAATTATCCACATTATTAAAGTGTGACATCTCTTGGTATATTGGGGGACGATGTAAACGCGGCCGAGGCTCGGGATAGTTGTGCCTTGGACTAAGCCCAGGGTGGGGCGGAGTATTAGCATCAGGATATGTTTTCGAGTTGGGGGAATAATATTGGGGAGGCGGAGGAGAGGGAAAGGGAGAATGATTCCTGCTCGGTGGTGCGCTGGGAGAGCTGTAGGGACCGATTGAAGGCGTTGGAGTCCGTCGGGAGTCTGAAGAATAGATAGTGGACAACGAATATTGTGTGCCTGATCCCGAGGATGGATATGAAGTGCCAATGGAATATCTGGAGGGCGCATGGAACGATGCGAACGCACGGTTGGTGCTGTATGTCTGCGATCTGAAGATAGACGATCTGGCCTGTCCGCGATCCAGACGTGCAAGATTCTCTTCGCTGAGCCTTGCAGGCATTGGAGAGAGCTGAGTATGATATGGGACCCCGTCCGTGCTGCGCCAATAAGTGTGGCTAGAAGGTGACGGACCAGGGGGATATATCTGAGGGCTGATGTTTGGAGGATGAGCTGAGTTCAAAGTACAGAAAATAATTGCTCACCGGTTTGCACTCCGGTAATACGACATGATTAGGGAAGAAGCCTCGCAACGCTGCCTTTATAGTTGACGAAAGACTATCGTGGTCTACCATACATACCCACACGTTGTCTTCGCGTTGCCTCTTTGCGACAGCACTATGCTTCATCCTTGCGTAGTACAGCGTGACGAACGCCACGTGGACTTCTTTCAACCGCACGTTCCTGAGGAACTCATACACAATATCTATTATATCACATTTTGCATCGTTGACTTCTTATCTACCGGTTTTGCCTGGGATGGATCGGGCTTCCATCCAATCTGATATAGCGCTGTGTAATTCCAATGGACTCGGAAGGAGAAAAGGATGAACGTTTACCATGAATATCACCTGGAACGTAGCTGGCACAGTGCCGTCTTCGTTTCCGTGGAGTTCTGTGACAGAGGAAAATATCAGCGCGGTAACCACCTGGCAGGAACACAAAACATACCTTTGTATATTGCGGAGGCAGCGGTCAACGTGTCGCGGTGTATGAAGTGCCGTCTATACAATACGATCAGTGGCTTTCAAGCCAGCTAGATAAGCGGTTTACCGTCCGATAACAGCATTACTCTCCCCCATGTCTCTAAGGTCATCCATCAGCTCCCACATACTTGGATAGGCTACTTTGACTTCGTCGATATCAACAGTTAGGAGAGTGAACCCTGCGCGGCCTAGGAGGTTGGATACGTCGCGAGTATCTGATAAATGGAACATGAAAATGCCGCTCCATGAAAGGTAAAACACGCTTTACCGGTCATTGGAGAGACATGAGGAGAAATGCCTCCTTCACGATCCACCTCAGCAAGTTGTAATGACGTCCTGATATAGAAATTCTACTATCAGACCCGATGGAAAAGGAGGGAACATACCGAAGCTCGAAGAGCGTTTCACCACCAAACATTGCCCCAAGAAATAATCCATCGGGTCTCAGTGCTCTGTTGATTTGAACAAGCATGCCTATGAATGAGTAGTTATTTTAAAAAAAGCCATCATTGCATCGGCTTGCCAGGAACTTACCTGGTAGGTCATTTATCCACTGTAGGCTCAGACATGATACAATTGCTTCTTGAGTATTCGGTTCTACGATTTGCAAGAGTTCCTCTTCGTCTGCGTGGATTCTTTCTACAGGAACTGAAAAACGCGTTTCAGAGGAGATTGAAGCTAACTGAAATAGGCAAACCTTCAAAACTCGTGTCTGGATCACGGTAGAGGGTCTTTTCTGTTACAGTTAATACGCTGCATTCGTAGGATAAATCAAACAATGTACCACTTGGTTCTATCATGATGCATCTCGTTGCATTTTCTGGACCGAGTAATCTTGCGAAATGACCAGGTCCGGAGCCCAGGTCAAGGATCGTGCTGAACTTTCTGTTGATATCCTTAGACAACGGTGAGCGATGCTGCAAGCACACATATAATTCGAGTCACTTCAAGACGCTCCAAAAGCCTGTCAGCCACTTCGTCCCTCACGTAGTCGACGGTTGCACTCGACTTTCCACCGTCCTTTGCTGCTGCCCGGTCGCGTTGTAATTGTTTTGCTTTCCGGTCAAATACAGCGAAAGGGCCTACATGGCTGGAAGATATAGATGCCAAGGACCGGACAGAACGTGGGACGAATCTCCTCACCGAAGAGATCATAGGGAAAGACAAAAGCTTCCAGATTACATAATACAATACTTCTTGGTTCTGACTACATCCAACGTCGACGGCCTTGGGACTGACGACAGGAGTCCTTACGCGTTTTGTGCCCACAATGTCCCTGGAACGTGCCAATGACAACGGCGTATTTACAGCGGAGTCCTATCGACGGAATGTCCAGACTATACAGGCAATGGAGGACCAACTGAAATGGATGAAGCTGGAGAACGAAAAAGCGGAATTGGAGCGCAAGGTCAGGGAAGGCGAAACAGCCAGGTACGTCGCGTAGCCCATTTCTCCGTTCCTTGACATCGACTCCTTCCAGAGAGCAACTTGTTCAACTGCAGGGCCAAATGACTGCCACAGCACCAGGTAATGTCGGGAATGCTAATGTTTCAAACGGCCCTTCAATCTATCCGGTTCAGCCAAGCGCATATATCGAGGAAGTGGGATATGATAATGTAATCCGATCTCGTTTTGTTGTCCTGATGTGATTTAATGCATCCATATCAGCAGCCCAGTTCATCACGACCCACTCCCAACCACTCTCAACGATACCACCCGCGTCCGAACGGAAATATGAATTATTCATCTATCCCTCCCATCGCTGTGAACAATTCTGCTAACGTGGCGCGTCACCATCCACACATGCATCGCCAAACTACATTTATTCCCGGATCATCGCCAAGCGATACCAACTCAATACGGCCTGTGCATTGGCAAGGAGGTTCTGTTATGGTCATTTATTTTACAACCATTTCTGACATCCTTCGTCAGACCACGACTTTCGAACTTCAAGTCTGGCTAATGCTTTTGGTGGTACGCCGTACCCTCCGATTTCGTATGTGCAGGTACGTACGACTTCATTGATCTTATCCACATAGGTTGTTGAATTTTCCGGCAGCCTGCAGGAGCGACTACCGTACACCCAACTTCAGCAGCAGCGGCTAGCTTCGTCCAGTCAAACAGTGCGCGACAAAATATTGCAGCACAACGGGGAACTTTGAGTACTGGAAATGCACCTCGCAATGAATACGCGGCTGGTTTGGCACAATCTGCTAACATGAGGCAACAGGTACGTCGGCTAAGAATGAAATTGTATTAATCTGACGTGTAAAAGCCTGGGAATTCTTTCTCGAATCACAAACCACCAATCTTCAACCCGACTACAGCTGTGGTTCGGCGGTGGACAGCAGAAAGCGTTAGACAAATGCTGAATCAGTTCAAAGTAAAAGCACCGCCAAATACCCATCTCGACATTCCAGAACTACGGCTGCGTGTATCGAAGGATGAAAGCTCTAACCTTCTTTTGGCGATCGTCGATGACCAAGGGCAGTTGATAGAGTTGAAGTATTATTCAGAACTGCAGGGCCTACCTCAGAGACTGCAAGTGCAGATCGCTACTCTTGCCGTCAGCGCGCAAAACGAAGCGGGCGCTGGTCCTACAATGCATGTTAATTCACTCAGAGGCGTAAATGACGTTCGGTTGGATCCCCATTTTCCACGGGGTGGGTCCCAGTCATTTAACGACTCTCTCATTCCTCCCGATAAGCCCGCTTCTGAGAGCAATGAGCCCTCACAAAATGAAACGACACTAGTTATCCCAGCTTTGACGAACGATGCCGCACTGTTATATCCGTCTTCCGTCGATCCTGTGTCATCTGTCCCTTCTGTCCCTACTCGTGTGCACAAGCCTGGTACCAAGGTACCGACAGTGTCGGAACCGTCTAATGCGTCACTGGAAGTCACGAGTAGTAAGACGTTTCCCAATAAGTTGGGCGACACTGCCGGAACAAGCCGTTCTACACCACCAGGCTCGCCACCATCCGATGCTTTGACTCGCAGGGCAAACAGCACACTTCCTCAATCATCCGATGCTACAGCTTCTCCCCCACCGTCTGTCCTTGGGGGCCCCAGGACTCCTTCACACGCGAATAAAAATACATTGGCTCGAGATGTCCTTCGCGCACTCGGAGTTTCAGGCAAGCGTGGACGGGAGAGGGATTCAGAAAATGACGACGGAAGAGCTCCAAAGAAACGTGTAGTTGATAGCAGCTCATCGGTCTTGGTGACCAACCTGACGAGCTCCACACAGGCCCCTACGATGACAGGCACAGAAGTACCAATAACTTCCACAATTCCATTGTCGCGCCCCGCAACGAAAACTATGCCATACGCGCCTTACGGCTGCAACCCATATCGTGCATGGACTGTAAGGTCGTCCCCAACCGCTCAACTTCACAACCTAACTCCTACGCTCCCTGTGGCCGCACCAAATACGGTTTCTTTTAGCATGTCTACAATGGTGCATAGCGCAACAACAAACTCGTCAAGTCAGACAGCGACATTGTCGCTTCCTGTAGGCACAAGTAGTGCTGGCTCTGATCAGTCTGCAGTCAAAGCGTTGGAAATACCTTCGTCTCTTCCCACATTAACGCAGAGGCCTCCACTTGCCGACGAAGATACGGTGGCAACCTCTAATCTTGAAGTCTCACCACCGTCAGGGGTCTTGCCAGTCCAAAGAAACAGTGCTACGACCTCAACATCACGATCGCAGAGTCCAATCAATGACCAAGAAGTGGGCGCAGGCTCTGGCAAATTACCACTGTTTTTCCGTTCAAGCTCAACGCCACCGGGTGCCACTGGTGGGATAGACGATGAGGATTATCGTAATGAGGAGGACATCCGTATTTTCGGTCCTGCAAAGCCTTTATCCGCAAAAGCTTTTGGGAAGAGAAAGATACCACATGTTGTCATTCCGCCTCCGCCCAAGTGGGTTAAGGATTTCAAAGTCAGAAAAGAGAGAAGACCAAACGAAGCGATGTTTGATGAGGCCGATGATAGTGAAGTAGATGGCTTTGAGTCGCCGGCGCAGCAAGAAATAGGTTCTCAGCGACATGCTAGAATACCTGTGCTAGGTCTGTTCTTTTCTTCAATGCACCACTTATCCTCATACCTTACCTCTGATATTTATAGATCCCAAGGAAGATGCCGCTATTCAGGAATGTAGCTCTAGACTGCGGGAACATCCCTGTAAATGGAATGGTTGTGATAGCATTCTTAACTGTTCAGACAAGTTATATCTACACCTGCAATACCATGTTGAACAAAACAAGGCTGAGAAGGTATATTCTTTAGGCCTTTTCGAGAATATTTGCACTAATTTATTCTTGCAGTCGTTTCCGTGCCATTGGCAACGTTGTGGACGCGTCCTTCTGCACAGACATGAGATGATCTCGCATCTTCAGACCCATGCGTTCATGCCACTGCATTGCGCATATGAAAGTATGAACTGTATTCAATGTCCGAGGCATCATCTGATCATCTGGATACTTGCTACAGATTGCGAGGAAACGTTTCGAACGGCGCGGCAATATTTGCAGCATAGCCTCCAGAAACATCAAAACGACAAGTTGAGACCGTCGGCTGATCCGGTCATGCTACAAGAAGACATTGAGCTGCCAGATGTCCCAAGCGTCGTTCCTTCGTATATGGCAGTAGCCAGATCAGTGGCTCAATATCCCATCTCGCCGGAACGACACCAGGTAATCGGTCTTTGGGTAAATATATGTTCATTTCAGGGTTCTATTTTACCACTGACCTTGAAATAGACACTACAGAATATCTTCGGCAAGGTAGACTTGGCGCCGCAAAGGTACAATCTTGCGAAGCCGTTTCGACCTGGCGAGGCGAGCGCAGTGGAGTTGCGGAGCCGACACGAATACGATTTCATTGAGACGAAGCCACCGGTTTCTTCTTCCCCATCTAGGTCTGCGAAATGGGAGAGTGTGAAAGACCTCCCCGACCTCAACTCAGAGGAAGTCACGAAGATGTTCAAGGATAAAGGCCTTGTTTTGTGGGGAAAAGGAGGTGATGATGACCTCATTGATCAGACGACACAGGCAGGGAGTGATGAAGAAGCAGTTGAAGTATTGTTACAAGTGTAGAGCGGTGGTATCTAACAGATTGCTTAATAATGTGCTGGTACGTAACAGCGCAGCGGTCATTTTGGCTACATTCCTCCAGTGAACACATCTCCTTTTGATTGTTGAGATCATTTCAAGAACGCTTCAGTGTTGGTGTCCACAAGCGCGATCAGATTTCCGAAAAAGGATGTTCTCACATTACGGGAACTGTTGCATGAAAGCGGGTAACCCCCACCTCTCCTCTACACCACCATGGCTGGCGCTGTGAACAGCTCCGAAGGACGCAGTGAGTACTACGAATGGCGCGACGACAAACGACGTTACTGACCCTGGCGCCGCTTCAGATCCGTCGTACCTCTCCGCGCATAGCGCCGACGTCATTCTGTCCGACATTCGTCCCATTAAATTGAAGGTCGAGGCACTTCATTCAATTAACGTCTTTCTCGATGAATTCCTTTATAACATCATCAATACTGCGCAATCTCTCGTTACCGACAGGCTTAGAGCTGGATTGTTGAGCCTTCTACCGACTCCACTAGGAAAGGAGGCGTTGCTGGAAGCGGAAGTCGAGCTGAGGGCGTACAAAGACCGGACAAAGACCGCAAAGACTGTCGAGGATGACAAGGACACATTTAATTTGGCGTGGGCATTCGAGGTGCGATGCTAGTCCGCTGCTAATTTCCATTGTTTTCATGGCCATCTCCTTTATAGCTGTTGCGATTGAAATGCCAGGCATATTCGACTCTCAATGAATCGGACGAAGACCCTGCTGGTGAAGGCCTTCTTGAAGAACGAATGAGCCATGGTCACCTACATGCACCATCGCCGACGCTGGTAGCTCCTGCAGCGCTCTATCTCACCGCGATTCTCGAGTGAGTTTCCATACATATATTCGCGACATTCTCTCAATGCTTCTGTTACAGAGCCATGTGCGAGTGCGTCCATCATTTTGATTTGTTTCTCAAATCGTTTCATCCTGCTCATGCCCCATCATCGACAGGCATATCTTGTCTAACGTTGGACGGGTGGCATCAAGAGACAGCAGCAGAACATCCGCAATTGTCCAGGATGTCTTCGTGGCATTATGTGAGGACGAGACAATTTATGGGCTCTTCAAAATAATGAAGGGTATGTGAATGAAAATGGCAACCGCCGCAGTATTGCTAATACTGTTGCAGTGTATTCTCAGATCGAGGAAATGTCTAAGTTGAGTCGTAGCAAGTCCATATCGAGGAGCGATAAGCTTTCCATCTCTCGCACCTCTTCTCCGTACGACATGTCTTCCAAAGATTCTCGCATTTCCTCAGAAGCTTCGTCTTCCATGATGGCTCACACGCCGACAGGGTCCAGAACGTCCCTGGATAAGAACAAGTCCATGAAAAAAATAATTTCAAACAGCAGCAGGTTATCTTCTGACACGAACAACACCCACAAGCGATCCGAATCCATCCTTAGCGAGGAGACTAAGCAGACTTGGGCCGCTTTCAATCAAGGTCTTTCGTTTGACGACGTGAGTACACTAGCTTCTCTGTGCCTCTACTCGATGTTTAGCCGACCATTAGGGTGCTTCGCTCCAGGAATTCGACGACCTCATGCGTTCAGGTTCTACCATGAAAGTCTCCCTGACTCCAGATAGGCTGAAGTCTATGGAGGTTCGTCCATGCGATGCTCCTATTATGTCACCTTCCATGCTAAAGAATTAAGCTAGGCCTACAAACAGGAAAGGGACCGTGGTAATAGACGGCTCCCACCCCTTTTCTCATCTGAACTTGACCCTTCATCGTCACCACCGCGAGCAAACGGCCGTCGTCCGTCGTTGCGACACGTCCACTCCATCACTGAAGACGAGGAACCGCTCTCTTCCTCGCCGGTGCCGTCTCCTCGCGCACGTCAGTCTATTGCTACCCCTAATTCACCTCCACCTTTGTCCGGCAGTCGCGTTCGGTCATTCTCCGTCGCGAGCCTGTCTTCGTCGTCGTCATCCTCCCGTTTCCGCAAATACTCCAAACCATCCATTCCTTTCGCGCCTTCAAAGCCAGCGACACCGCCGCCAGCACCGATGGCCCAGTCTAGGCGAGGGGGGCTTAAAGGTTCCGATGCAAGTCCCTTCCCACCTAAGACCCGGACTGTCCAGCGCAACAGGGAGTCTCTAGATCTTGATGATGTTATGGCTGGTTCTGACGACGATGACTACGATGAGGCCGTGAAGGAGCCATCAAAGCGCTTGCCTCTGTCTGTTCTGACAACTCCTAAACGGGTTGCCAAAGTTTCGTCCAATACACGCGAACTGATGGACTTTCTGGATGCAGGACCTCCATCCACAGGCCCCCCTTCTACCGTTCCCAAGGTGTCCAGGGCTGCGAAGGACATGATGGACTTTCTCAATGAAGGACCTCCAGAATACATAATGGGGTCCACGTCCGTGTCGTCTACGGATATTGAGAAGCCGAAGAGCGGGAGGCTTCAAAGGATGATGTCGAAGCTCTCAATGGGCGGCGAAAAAAGCCGTGGAACTCAAGGAAACGATGACTTTGGAAGGTCAATTCGGCGCCAACCAAGCACTCCAATCATTCATAGTAAACCTTCCCACCCTAATCTCCCAGCCCTTGCCAATAGGCCCATTCCACCGCGTCCCCCTCCGATCTCGCCTCCGGCCTCGCCTCATGACCATTACGATGATTTCAGTGTGACGCGGCCAAAAATGCCTCTAGTTGCGAGTACGGTCATACCCAAGGTGGAGGTGGAGGCCCCGTCGGTTCCTACCAAAACAGATACCCAGGAAGTCGTACTATCTCAACCACCTGTCATTGGTCATAGTGTCAAAAAGGGTGAAGACGCTGTTGTCGCTTCTAAGGCCAATCATTCACCGGCCAGTGGGACAGAGAAGTCGCCTTCATCTTCTATGCATTCTAGCGAGAAATCTTCTCCGATCAAACCAACGGAGAATCCTTCATCAAGGGCTTCTAACATCATCCGCAAAGCTCCACCTCCAATTGTTCCCGACGCGCCGCCACAGACGGTCGTCAATGACATGCAGGATATGCATCGCTTGATGTCACGGGCGACGACCGTTGATGAGTGTCGTGTCATTTTGGAGCTCTTCCTTGCGAAATCGGGTGTTGCAGGAGACAAGGCCATTGAGATGGAAGTTCCATACCCCTCACCTTCTTCGTCTGATATCCCAGAGTTAACGACGTCTGACATTGCCCTGGAGCAAGCATTGGTGGAATACTTTTTGGGTTCGGAGGTCACACCAGAAGGACCCCCTCTTCGAAAGAAAAAGCACAGTTCGAGGAGGATAAAGGCTGTGCCCGCAGTCGAGGTTGCCCCGCCCCCCCCATCTTCCGGGGCAGTTACGTCGGTCATGGAAGATGTTACCCCAAAACATACCCCCGCGGTCATTGAAGTCAACTCGTAGTTTCCTTCTTCTGTGGCGACACTGATTCTATGATCTGTTTATATATGAGTTATATGTGAAGCTGGTACTTAGACGTGTGTTATACTGCTTATATCCTCATTCATTTATATTATGCTATATCCTTTTGGTGTATATAATGCGGAATCCTACTGATCTAAGGTGTGCAAGGATGGTAACCACCGAGCAAGATAACAAGAAAATGTGTGGGTCATGATTAGTACAATATTGAATGTAATTTTATGCAACGTCAAGTGCCACAGCGATACCCATTGAGGCTAGCTCGGCGCATAGATACCTGAACACATATGGAACCGCCACAACGTCCAAATCTCCGCCCTTCATGGTTCGATTGAGCACATTTTGTGACGGGATGGAGACCCTAACGTCAGTCTGCGGTCTTTGGGGCTTGCGTCCAGTGGCAAGTGCCTGCCGCTCTCGTTGTTCCTCCTTTTCTGCGGCTACGCGACAGACTCTACAATATTCCCCGCCAGGTCCTGTGGGTTTTAGCGAACCGGACGTAATGGACACTTCACCAAGACTGATATCATCGTATCCCAACGATATCAAACTGCCACATGTTCGACAGACCCATGCTGTTGAGTAATCTGAGCAGTTCATCAATCTGTCTTGCAGTAGGAATGATGTGCCGTGGGCAATAAGGGCGTCCCGTTCCATTTCTCCAAAACGTATACCACCAGCACGTTTGCGTCCCTGGTTTTTTGGGGTCAGCGGGATCAATAGCGAATTATAGTTTACTCTCACCTTCACAGGCTGTCGAGTCAGAGGGTCGACAGGACCAGTGGTACGGACTTGAAATTTGTCAAGAACCATGTGTCGCAGCCTTTGATAGTACACGACCCCAATGTATATGTCTGCGGCAAATTCTTGACCAGTTATTCCGGAATACATGGGCTCATTTCCATAGTAGTTGTATCCGGCTGCAAGGAGTTGCTCGCCGAAATAGTCGATGGCGGTGTCCTCTTCCGAGAATCTGCGAGAAAATTAGAACAGGCACAACATAAGGATGGGTAAACAACCGGCCTGAACGGCGTCGCATCTTGTGCGAGTCCATGCATCGCCCCGGCTTTACCAGCCATGCTTTCAACCAACATTCCAATCGTCATTCGACTTGGGAAGGCGTGAGGGTTGATGATCACATCGGGCTGCATCCCACTCTCGCTGAATGGCATATCGATGGCAGGCCATTTCTGCGAACATACACCTTTCTGACCATGCCGTGAGGAGAATTTATCTCCGATGACGGGAGCACGAGTTATGCGCAGAGTCATATGGACTTTTTGTGCCTCGGATTCACCGGTGTCATTTCCTGCACGCGGCCCGTGTAAGTGAGGGTTTCCACGCACAAAAAATATCAAAAACATACCTAAGATGCGGATTTTGTCTACGTAGGCTATTTCATCGCCTTTGTATTTGACGAACTTGGTGCGGTTTGTCACATCGTCGATATAGCCTGCGATTGGATCACCTGGAGACAACTTGCAACCAACGAACGGAAGACCATCCGAATTAAGGAAGGCAGCGCAGCTGTGCGCATTGTCACCATACATTCGAATGTCACGACCAACACCGAAGTGTAGCGTCACTTCGGATGACTTGGATGCACCCCGGACCTCTTTCAGGTCGACAATCTGGGACTTGTAGACAGTGCCATAAGCAAAACCACGTTCGTGCGCAGATTTATTGAGAATCATAGCATCTTCCATATCGTACCCAGTATATGATATGACAGCAACTATAGCGTTGGTGCCGTTGGGGAAAGCGTCCATGGCATAGGTGTTATGCAGAACAGGACGAACTACAGGACTTTGGCCGCTCTGTAGGCGATAAAGCTTGTTGTCCGTCCGATGCTGAAGCGCCGTAGAAGGTGTTCCCATCGTTTGTTTACCCATCTAAAGAAGACCATTCAATTGGAAGATTTTGAAGAAAATATGTTTCGACAAACCTGACACTGATAGATGTTTCGAGGACTCTGATGAATATAAGTGTTATAAACGTTCCAAGAAGACAATGTACTACACTGACCTGATTAAAATCAGAAAAAGGCGTAAGGTTAGCTAATATTGACAAGAAGTTTGTTGGGTCATGCTCGACATGCGTTGAAATACCGGTCTCAATTTCCTCGGGTGTACAAGCAATGTTCATGTACACCTGTTCGAAAGACCCAACTTGGTCATTACGCCCATTCATTAGGTACTTGACTGGTCGCATCATGCGGGATCTTGATGAAAATAAGAAGAGCCCTGGATACTGGCCTCCATTTGATTCGAGCACAAGACCTATTTCGAGGTCCATCGGGATGTTATTCTGATGCTCAGTTTTCCATATCCGAAGATTTTTAGCAAGTTGCTCCGCTACATGAGGTCGCGCCCAACCCACTATCCGACCGTCGAGTTGTACACAAATATTGTTACGACCATTTATTGAGGTCGTGAATGCTAGAGTCATGCCGTGGGTGGAGAGAAGAGCGGGTATATGGTTAACGGCAAGTGGGGCGGTGACAATACGACATGTTCGGGAAAGATGGTTCAATAAACCACAAGGTGAACCATCCGGCGTGTGAACAGGGCACAGAAATCCTAACATAACTGAGAACGCAAAAACGTACTATATGACCATAAGCTCACCCCATGCTTCCGGAAGTAGCTTTCGTACAGTGGTCGTCTTGAGCTCGGCGAAGAACGCTCCACGGTGAATGCACCTGAAGTGACTGATGTAGCGCTGCCAGTTGAGCTTCTCAGCAACAATAGTGAAACCAGATGCTTGCTGAAGATCAAGACCAGTCGGTGACACAAGATTACCCGTAGCAAGGAAGTTAGCCAAACGTGCGCCAATGTCGAAATTGACACGCGACAAAACTTTCGCAAAGTATCGTTCTAAAGCATGTAAGCGCAAGGCACTGATTACACATACTTCAGACTTACTATCACTAAAACCAACGACTACTCCATTTTTGACGTCTGCGGTAATGTTGTTACGAATGTTGTTCAAAATTTCATCCAGTCGCTCTTTGATGATCATTCCATATAGAGTACCAGGAAGAAGAACTTCTTGATGTTGAGGTGAATCGGGATTATCTGCACAACATGACGATGAAACTAACGCATATAGTTTGCGTAGCATGAAACTTAGAAGAGAGAATATGAATGAATGGACATTCTTATATGAAGAACATACTTACAGAAGCATTCTGAACTTGTCCCTTGGGTTGTCTAGGTGCACGAGTATCATTTTCTGGATGAGCCAAGCACCTGCAGCACCGTTCGTCACGTCGTCAGGTAGTCCAAGGACCACTCTGAACCTGTCTCCGATATAGTCAAGACACTGCTCTCTCGTACGCATGGCATAGGTCTTGAAACTTCGGAGAAGCAGCTCTACCCGACCGGCTAAGAATGTGTCTTCGTGGTCTTGCATCATAACACCGTCGAAGATCTCTTTATCGGACGCACCAACAAGTGCCTTGAGAACAAGCATGATGGGAATAACATATTCCTGTTTTCGCCAGCTGAATCTGAGCATAGCACTACCATTGGAGAGATAATGCAGCGTGTTTGTGATACTAGTCTGGTCGGGACGAACACAGCGGATTTGTACGGCATACTCGGTATACGACAATCCGCGGTTGCTGAATGACGGTCGAAGCAGAGAAATAACGTGGTTTCGACGCGGTAAAATGAGATAGCGAATGAGACGTTCGTTTCCGTTGATTACAAAATAACCGCCAAATTCCTCTGGTTCTTCGTGATGTTTGACCAGCTCGGCTGAAGACATAGAACGCAGGTTACATCGAACAGACTGCAATAGAATGAACATCTTGCAAGGGTTAGAATACTATTTTCCACTTACGCGAACCATGATGGGCACTAACCCACACTCCTTCGGGAGTTCGTGTTTCTGACCGTATACATCCGTCCAACAAAGCTTGATTGTCATGCGACCACGATATGATGTTAGCCGTTCCCGGGCCTTGCTTAAATTTCAGTCATCATACAGATTATTCAAGTTCAATACATACTTCTGAGGGATAGACCTGCTTGTTTGTGACCCCGCTTGCTCGGTCCGGAACTAGCGGTCTGGAGATTGAGACACTTTCAATCCAGACTGCATGCAAAGTACTGTTAACAGGACTAATCTGAATTTGGTCAATAACGCACCTCGCATTCTGTTACCCCATCCCATTTTTCCAGTTTCAGGATCGGCTGTTCCTGTCCCATCGAATACAACACGTTCTCCAATGTCTTTAAGACCGAGCGATATTAGGCCCTTGCCATCACCGTCACCACTGGGCAGACCGGAGTCGTCGAACAAGGCGTTGAAAGATTCTATGTGCGGAGTGACGAAATCATTGAGGATGTTGTACGTCGATCCTTTGGTTGGGGGGTGCTTGAAATTATTTTCGCGTTCTAGGGTGTTGAACGTCGGTTTTCTATGCGGCTCTCCATCAGACATGTCGTAGTCGGATTCCCGTCCTCGACTATAATTTTTTGAGTGATCGAAAGCTACGTTCGGCAGATGCCGAGTCGGAGTACAAATATAGTACACGAGCTGTCAAGTTCCGACCGGGAGCCCCTTCGGAGTTTCAATTTCTGCAGCCAACTCCGACCGAGTCAAGATAGGGCTGCACATACTTTGACCTTGCTTCCTCGTCAAAATGTTCGGTGGCGGCGGGATCACGTCCTCGTGGTCCAATCAGAATCAACAGCAGCCACAGTCCACAGGGTCAGCTTTTGGACAGCCTGCGTTTGGGCAGTCAGGTAGGTTGATTGCATCCCTCCCCTTTGTATTTTTTTAACATTTTACCAGCCTTTGGAGGCGGTGGAAGTACATTTGGACAGAACCAGCAGCAGCAACAGCAGCAACAGCAACAGCAACAGCAACAGCCACCTCAAGTCAATCCAATGTTCGGAAATCTAGCCACGCCTTCTACCAACACCAGCGGATTTGGTACGCAGTGTTTCGAATCGATAATGATCATCAATTCAAATCCTTCCAGGCGCGTTCGCTAGCGGCTCGGGCAACACTGGTACCTCTGCCTTTGGTGCTACAAAGCCTGGCCTAGGATTTGGCGCGTTCAGTGGCGGAACAGGTACCTTTGGATCCGGAGGCGCGTTTGGACAAAACAGCAGTGCCAGCACGTCGGGGCCAAGTGCATTCGGGTCGAGTAATACTGGAACAAGTGCTTTTGGCAGTGGTACCGGACTGTTTGGTCAGAATAAGACTACAGGAGCTTTTGGAAGTTCTTCGACTACCTCCACAGGCACGTTGGGCATTCTTGGGTTCATTCGTGGCGACGCTGCCTAACTAAGACACTTTCTAGATGGCCCAGTAGCTCCTGTTACTACCGGAACCGCCAATCCACCCTGGTCCGCAACCAGCGATAAGGACCAGAACAGCACGTCATTATGCAATTATCAGACTATCTCTGCTATGCCGGCCTACAGGGGGACATCCTTAGAGGTAAGACGATCAGCTTTACCCGATGATTTAGCTGAACTGCCTGGTTATATTTTAGGAACTTCGGTGTCAGGATTATGCGCAAGGACGCAAGACTGCCAGTACTGGTAGCACGTTTGGTCAAACTGCTTTCGGAGGAAGTCAAGTCACGCAACCCGCGGGTACAGGCCTGTTTGGTGCGCAGCAGTCGAACCAACAGACTTCAGCGTTTGGCAGCACTCCCAATGCTGGAGGTAGTGCTTTTGGGGCGTTCGGACAAAACCAAGCGAATCAGGGAACTACCTCAGCCTTCGGCTCTGGTGGAGCTTTTGGCCAGCCTCAGCAACAACAACAATCTGCCTTTGGTACATTTGGACAACAGCAACAACCCCAACAGCAGACCAGTGGAGCCTTTGGCGGTGCAAACGCGTTTAATAAGCCTGTTTCTGCCTTTGGAACCTTTGGTAATACAGGTGGTGAGCCATTTTACTATCTTAATAGTCGCAACTACTCACTGGTATTGAATAGGCACTGGCACGTTCGGAAGCGGTGGCGCATTTGGTCAAAGTACCAACGCCAATACTCAACAGCAGCAGACTAGCGTTTTTGGGCAGCCTGCTACAAATACCGGCCTCGGTGCCTTTGGATGTACGATGAGTTACTACACCGTTTGTATTACACAAGGCTGATCCCAGCAACAGCAGCCACTGCAAATAAGGGTCTTTTTGGACAATCATCACAACCCGCCGGCCAGACCACGAATGCGTTTGGTGGAACGAGCATCTTTGGTCAACCGAATCAAGCACAACAGACCCAACCGCAGACTTCCTCAATATTCGGTGGTGGTGCATTTGGTAGCAACCAGCAGCAGCAGCAGCAACAACAACAACAACAAGGCAACTCTGGTATGTCTCGCCTTTACTCCATACCGAATGGAGCGGTTAACCTTCTCAACAGTGTTTGGTGGTGGTACCACTCAGAATCCGGGATCCGGCGGTCTCTTCAACACCGGTAGCAGCCTTTTCGGCACAAACAATCAACAACAACAACAGCAGCAGCAGCAGCAGCAGAATCAAGCTGGCCAGAATGCGCTAGGGTTGTTCGGCAACAAACCTGCTGGTCAAACGCAATCACTTTTTGGTACCGGTTTTGGTCAACAGCAGCCGACCAATTCTGCGCCACAAAGCAATATATTTGGGTCAACTCCGAATCAACAAGGAACTCAGCAGAGTGCATTCGGTACATCATTATTCGGCAATAAGCCCCTTGGCACCTCAGTGTCGACCGGACAGACTACCGGGTTGTTTGGAGGTTCCGGGAATACATTCAACGCCTCTGCCTCCGTTCCCGGTGCTCAAGGTACTCTCACTGCTTCGATATCGCAACCAATTGCTTCAAATCTGCCGATATTCTCCATGTTGCCTCCTGGTCCCCAAGCCGTTTCTTTGGATCAATCTGCGAAGAAAAAAGTCAGTTTCTTTGTTGACGTTCCCACCAGATCTCCGGTCCCTCGTATGCAGCTCAGATATTCTCCAGCCAGCTCAAAGCTACGTGGATTTGCATCCTCAGGTTCCGCATCTTCGGGCTTGGACTTCTCTCAGGGAGCGCTCCTCGCCTTGTCGCTTTCCAAGTCAGCTGACATCAAACCCTCTGACTCCCTGCTTGGTCGCAGCGCCAGTCCATCCCTGGGGAGCGGTCAGAAGAAGAGTGTCAAAAAGCTAATCCTCGACAAGAAGGTGGTCCCCTCAGATTTGTACATCAAGTCGCCAAGCAACTCGTCTGTGCGCGGAAAGGTCATTTTCAGTCCTGCATTGAGCATCGCTCAGCGTGAAAAAGAAGCGGAAGAACGTGCTCGGTCAGCCAATCGGTTTATACCATCGTCCTCTCCTGCTCCTCGATCTGCTGCACAAAACACTCGAGCAACGGATGGTGTGGATGTCGATTCATCCAACACCCTTGATGAGGGTGACTACTGGGTGAAACCTAGTATGGAAGTACTCAAGGGCTGTGGTTACGACCAAATATCATCTTTCAAAGACCTTGCAGTTGGTCGTGAGGGATATGGCGAGATACACTTCCTTGAGCCTGTCGATTTGACAGGGCTACCAAAACTCGGATCTTTGTTGGGGGATGTTGTCCGGTTTGACGATAAGGAGTGCAGCGTCTATCCAGATAGTGAAGACGTTGATAAGCCACCCCCAGGTTCGGGCCTCAATGTTCGAGCGAGAATATCCTTGCAACGTTGTTGGGCCGTGGACAAGGCTAACCGGGAACCTATCAAGGACGAGACGCACCCTCAGGCCATTAAGCACTTGAAGCGGCTGAAGAACATGAAGGATACCCATTTTGAAAGCTTCAGTGTAAAGGATGGAACGTGGACCTTTACCGTGGACCACTTCTGAACTGTTTATTTTTTTTCTCTCTTGTGTTTCATTTGTGCTCCACCACACCATTTGTAGTTACAGTAGTACTTCCCGCTTTCGCTTCGTACTTTTTATTTACAATAACTCGTTAGGTAGTCGCATAGGTAGCATTAGGCAGTATTCATATGTACGCACGAAATATACAAATTTTTTCTCTCGATGGCCGATGAGCGTAGGGATGTGCACGGCCATACACGGGGTATATGTATGGTATGGTAACAGTCGTGACCTGTCTGTCCGCTGTTGATTGCCTGAATTGCCAGCGAACTCTTGCCGGGGATGCACATGCAAGGCCAAGGGGCATCTCTGAAGCGAAGGCCTCATATCCGAATCAGTTCTCCGTGTTCTTCCTCGCATTTTCCGAATTGACGGTCAAAGTCGGGTACTACTTGGGAACGGCCATTCAAAGCAGAGCTACTGTTTCATGCCGTGACAACTCTCGACATCATCTTGCGGATCGGGTATTCTCTGGCGGTCATTGGTCGGTGGACGTTGCAGACGGTCCCTGCGCGAATACCATTACACCATTACACAGCGCTTCCCTTCACCCGATGTCGTCCGAAGGCGTCCTTGATCACGTGATGAATTCCGATTCTTCATTGCCGCTTCAACTTGGCCCACCAAATCTGAGGCATCCGTATATAAGTTTCGGCCCCCTCGGTTGCTCCATCATTCCTCTTCCTTTACGGCCTACCTGTCTCTCCCTTCCCTTTGACGTTCAAAAATGAAGGTGTGTGGTGAATCCTACCTGCTTTTTCATCTTGGCGGTGTTGACTAGACCTCATACAGATCGATTTGACCGAAGAGCAACTTATCGGGCACAACAATGCAACCATGCGAGGAGCTGCCGAGGGTTTTGCTGCTGGAACGGGACTTGGCTTGGCAGGCTCAGCAGCTCTGAGCCGCTATTCAGCAGGATACCGCGCCCTTCCTCCTTCACTCAAGGTTCTTGGCATAATCTTTGTTGCGGCCCCTGCATTTGCTATCCAAGCTGAGCGTCGTGGTATCGAATTTGACAAGTCTCAATGGTGCGTGCTTCGTGCTTGAGAGAGATATCTCTGAATGACTTGTGATCGTAGGCGAGATTCAACTGCCTACCTACTTGACGAGAAGGAACGTCAGAAAGAAGAACGATGGCAAAGTCTGTCCTTTGGTGGAAGGGTGACTGATTGGGCCCAGCGACATGAATACTCTGTATTTTTGGGTGGCTGGGCTGCTAGTCTCGGGTTAGCGGGTGCTATCATTTCGCGAGACAAGTAAGCGGTTGTATGGTTCGATTCATGTTGAAACGGTAACTGACGTCGCATCAAGATTACAAACAACTGCTCAAAAGGTGCGTCTGCTGCCTCTACGTTACTTACCGTGATCTGACAACGTATATGAACAGGTTGTGCAAGCCCGTATGTGGGCACAGGCACTAGCGATCGCACTCATCCTAGGAACTGCGGCATTCAAGGCTCACCAGAGCCGGAACTCTGCTCCAGTAAGTATTTACTCTGCTTCTGTGCCAGAATACACGACCTAATGCCTGCCCATACTTGACAGGTCACGGATCATTCCTGGATGGAGGTGGTAAGTAGCGGCCGTATCTGACTTTGTCGTGCATGTTCTAATGTTTTCGTTGCAGCTCGAACAGCAGGAGCGTGCACGCAAGGATGAAGAAGCACATTTGAAACAACTTGCTTCACCCGAGGCACGCCAACTTGCGTCCAGTCTTTAAGGCTCCCTTGTTGGTTATCACCGCTGGTTATATGCTCAGTGCGATAGCGTGGACTCTTTTGCATCCCACGTAGTAGATTACCAGGCTACTTCATAGACGTACTGTATCTTTAGTGTATAATGACCCAGTAATGAGTTCTCATTGTTTTTGCTGTCTTCTCGGATCTTTTAATAAAAATTTTTTGACGGTTCTCGTAACTGTGTGGGGGGGCATCAATGAGTGGGGGAGTCGAACAGCTCCAGGCCTCGATACTTTGACAACAGACGCTTCCACCGATCACGGAGGGCACGACGCGCGATCCCCGAGGCCCCACCGTTCGGGACTCTCCGACTCGGCGGGGAACGGCGCGCAGCACCGCCCCGCACGTGACGGATTCGCGCGAATGACGTGCGTCTCGCTCAATTCACGTCTGTCGTCCAGCAAAGGATCAGAAAATGCTGACTGAACTCTGCACGGTATGGCTGTCACTGACATGTTGAAGATCCTTACTAACAATTGAAGTTTGCGTATAAAAGGGTGCTCAACATCTGTCGTTGATTTCACAGATACGATGGCTTCTTCCACACCCCTCGCTCTTCCCATTTCGAACGATACCCTAGATGCCATCAACAAACAGCTTGTTGACAACACTCCGGAAGAGATCCTGGAGTGGGCTGTACAACATCTTCCGGGGTTGTATCAGACCACAGCCTTTGGGCTCACTGGTATCGTTGCGATAGATATGCTGTCCAAGATCACGAAATCCCCACCGCCTCTGATATTTATCGATACGCTGTATCACTTCCCGGAAACGTACGAGCTTGTGGAAGAAGTGAAGCAGCGATATGGCGTCCCGGTAAATGTCTACAAGCCGGAAGGGTGCGAGACAGTACAGGGCTTTGAGAAGAAGTATGGTGAAAATCTGTGGGAGCGAGATGAAGAGACGTATGATTTTGTCGTCAAGGTGAGATTAACACCGTATGTTTCTTTCCTTCTAGTACTCATTTTGGTTTCAGGTTGAGCCTGCACGGCGCGCCTACGAGGAATTGGGGGTCAAGTCTGTTATCACTGGCCGAAGAGCCTCTCAGGGAGCTGATCGTGCTGGATTAAAGCCGCTCGAGGTGGACGAAATAGGTTTGGTAAAGTTGAACCCTCTTTTTGCTTGGCCGTTTCCCATGGTGGATTGGTACATCACCGATAACGAGGTTCCCCGGAATAAACTGCTTAATCAGGGATACCGCAGTGTTGGGGACTGGCACAGCACGGTGAAGGTTGCCGAAGGTCAAGATGAGAGGGCTGGAAGGTGGGCTGGGAAGGAAAAGACGGAGTGTGGGTTGCACAAGGATTATTTCGCGATGAAGGCGCAAGCTAAACGTGCTGTAAGAACCTCTTCTTTTGATTCATTCTGAGACACAACACTAATTTGTATTTTCTATCGGATTTAAGGCAGAGTCCGAAGTATCCAAGGTGGTGCCTTCTGTGGAGGTTGGCGCGTGATGCGTTGGTCGTCGTTGCCCATCATGTTTTTATGGATCTAGAGCGAATATTCTGTACTAATAAAGGGTCACCAACTTATTGTTTTTTTTTGGCTAGACAGTTAGGGTCGCAATTAGCCGATAAAACGAAAATTTATTTACGCATCGACATTGTTGACGCATGAATGACGCGTTCCGATCATTATGCGCCGATCCCCGCTGGTATTCTTCCTTCTACCATCAGACAAGGTATCAGCATCCAGCGTCCAAACGTTCGACGGTCGTCCGCTCGTCCCGTTTCGAGATAACAGCCTCCTGTGGGTCTTGTCCTGGCCGGCTCTTGCGTATATTGCGCCCCTCTTGAACGCATGCTCGCTCCAGTCATTTGATCACTGCAGGGCATACTCAACTTGCCGCAAAAGTGTCCCTAGTCAGCAATTGACATGCAGAACCAAATTTCTTTCCGACGGGATCCTTTCCTTGTGCTTCGGTGCCTGAATGTGATTCCTCAGATGCTCCCTGGAAATGCTTCCACCGGCAAAACTGTGCTGTGCACATCGAGGGTGTACATCTACAATGTGGCTAGGGCATTGAGCTGCTGTTCACGAGTTCCATTTTCTTATCGGAGTTCATGGCAGTACCCGAGGCGCCCAGAACGGGGTCGACGTGATGCGTCAAGTCGCTGTGTGCAGTGTGCACTGTTCATCAGTGTTCGTCGACTTCATAGCATCTTCCTTCGTTGAGAAGCAAGTACGGCATCCCGGGTTATGCCCGAGTACCTTGCATCCCCACTGTCCCCAAAGAATTTAAGAAAGGGTCAAGTTATTGCTATCATGTGACCGGCACTGATAGAATATGGGGGCCCTGCAAATCAATCATTGACTTTGAATCTGCGACACCATTTCTACTCAGCGTAGCGCTATTTCAGACGGAGAATCTGAGCGAACGAAACAGCATGACATCGCCTTGGATGCCTTAAAAGGCTGATCTGACCTTCAAATTGTCGCTATCTCTGTTTCATCGCTCCCTCCACGGTCTTTAGTACTAGCGATGGCGCTCAAGTATGTCCCGGGGGCCAATGTCTGTTGCGTTTATGCTAATGGATGACTAGACCAGATTTGGGACCGCACGATTCCCTACTTCCTCCGCTGCCGGACATCAAAGACGATAACATAAGGATTCAGGTGTTTACCCACAGGAGCTTTTTTGCACGGCCTGTGCATATATTTGAGGACCACCCAAATGATCTCAGCCCTGATAATGAAAAGTACTTCTCTGATCATGCAGAGATCGGCTGGATACTGACGGCGGTTAATGCAGACTTGAACATCTTGGAGATACGGTCTTGGGGTTGGTGGTGACACGCCTGATGCTGGACATGTATCCTGGGCTGCGGGTTGGTCCCTCGACGGTGAGGGGGCTCAAATGCATCATTCTTGATTGGCGGATCTAACTAGCCGACAGAAGATACGCGCGCTAATCGTTGGGAACGCCACCTTGGCGGATATGTATGTGATACCTTTGATTTCTGACGCCTGCGATGACGTCTGGCGTAGTTCGCTCAAGTACAAGCTGCCTGACAAACTTCGGTTGCATCCTGCGCAGGCTCTGACCCTGCGCGCTTCGACGAACGTCCAAGGTAAGCGCCCTGAGTCAAGTCTTGATCACGTATTCATGTAATCATATATAGCTGATGTATTCGAGGTAAGCGCCTGTGACTAAGCTCGAAAACAAGTTTCACTCGTGCAGTCCTTTGTTGGAGGTCTGTATGTCGACCAGGGTCTGGATTGCACCCAGCCTTGGCTGTCTGAGCTCTTCCGGCCGTACGTGGAGCTAGCGTACAACACCGTACGCATGCAGCACGGCCTGCCTTCAGCATGCGCCCCGCCTTCCCCCCCTCCGGCACACAATCAATTCCCGGCCCGCCAGCCCCTCGGGCATACTGATCTCAATGTCACTGAGACGACTGTCGGTCATCTCGGGCTGTTCAACCAGCACCTCCAGAAAGCCAACCAGCAAGTAGAGTGGATCTATTCCACCCATAACCCCGATTCAGATGACGGGGAGGAGGTCGACACAGAGATGTTGAAGGGAATCAAGACCACGCCTGTGTGGTATGTCAAGGTCGTTGTTGATGGGGAGCACTTTGGGAAGGGCAAGGGGAACACGAAGAAGGCGGCGAGGAACGAGGCGGCCAAGGAGGGCTTGAAGAAGTTGGGTATCAACGTTTAGTGAGTTGCCCTTTTGATTTTGCATAGTTTCTCCAGACTGGGGCTGGACATCGTGGGCTAGCTGCAGTGTGAAGAGACTGTGGGTAGGGAGATCGGTCATACATCCAAGTGGGTATCTAGTACAACATTGGAGGGAGTGGGGTAAATGGGTTATCGTTGCGAAGAAGTGGGTCAGATGATTGCCGTGGGGTACACAATGTAAATGTTTGTAAGAATTGCGATTCTCGCCGGCATCCTGCGTCTGGGCATTTCTCAAATTGTTCGTTTTGCGCAAATCATGAATGACACAACGGCCCGTGGGAGGTGACACGTATCTTCAACGCGCCTTGGCGGAAAATCAGAGATCGTAAGTAGCATTTAAAATTTATCCGGGGTCCGAGGAAGGGCTGATGAATCACGATCTATTACAAGCAGCACGGGGCCCTTGAAGATGTGGGCAGCGAAGAAATGGAAGAGTATCGGGAACAATGGAATAAGTACATGAAAACAAGGGATGACATTATTAATGTGTTGAGACGCTGCATGCAATCATACAGATCCTGTTGCGTAGAATCTCCAGGCAAAGTAAGCCCCCAACAGTGCGAGCGGGACAAAATACATCAAACTGGCGGGAAAAGATCAACATACTGTCGGCTGAAGACCACGGCGACGTACTTGGAGCCCTGCTCAACAGCACCAGATATCCTCGATGCCTGAGCGGCCGCTGCGCCTGACTTGATGTCCAGACCCTATAAAACGCTCAACGCACTATCATTGGACTCGCAAACGGGCAACGTACGCTATCTTTGTCAAATTCACCAATAAACAAACCGGGAAGGAGCGCCCTGGCCTCGTCCGAGTGACCAACATCCTCGAAACCCTCCGTCGCGTCATGACCTGGATAGCGGTGAGAACGGGTTCGAAGGCGAACAGCGAACAGAACCGGGGCTGACCTGCTTCAGCTAGGATGACTTCGTCTCCTCCAGGATGCTGTAAGGGCTGTGAATGGCTTACAAAGGCACTGTATGGTGGTAGAAGCCTACTTCATCGAGAAATTTGGTGACATCGTACACTGTGGCCCGTCGTCGTCAGACAAAACGAAGAACCCTGATTGGCCGGGAAGTACGCACCTTTCCCACTGATAAGGAGATAAATGGAGTCCTTTGTCGTATGAGCGCGGAGCTCTTCGTAGGTGATAATCTTCTCAGACATGGTGGACGAAAAGGAGGAAGCCAAGGAGCGGTCTGACTAAAAACGGGTCCAGAGGCCGTCCACGTCGCGCAACTTTTATAACCTTTTGTGCTTTCCCACGATTTTACCGATTCGCTGAAACTACTCTGGACCGACCAATCTGCAACATGATAGGACGCGTAACCGACTGATTTTCACAGAGATACTACATAATACAGAATGTACGCCTAGTTTAGTACTCGAATGGCCATAGCAAGGTGTACGATAGTAGCTGGCAGTTCAAGCGTGGACCAAGCAAAGGTCGATCTTCCACTACACGAGTAAGGGTAACGAAGGCAAAGGAAAGCCGTGTTCCCAGGCATTCGAGAGTGGAATATCCAACGAAAGGGCAGAATCAGGAAGGTGAAATTGTGAGTGTTTAGACAATTCGTATTGTGCACTGGATCAGGAGACAAGAAGTAAATAGCCCATCGAGCGGAAAAAAAAACTTTTATAGTCTCAGATCAAATATGCACAAATAGATTAGGTAACCCAAAAATACGGTTCCGCCCTTCGCCTTAACCATCAAAATCCAGTACGCGCAAGCTACGCGGCCGTGTCCAGTCATTCCTTCATCTCTGCACATCATGGCCGACGACTTTTCCGATATTCTGGGGAGCGATTCCCTTCCTGTCAGACGTGAGTTTTCACTCAGCGCCTGGTCAGCAATGTCGTTTCTCAAGTACGTTGGCTGGGCGCTCGGTGCCGTCGTCACCTACGTGATACTGGTACTTGGTTGGAATAGTTTCTCCAAGGCACGCGAAAGGGCTTACAGGCTGTGCGTCTCAGTAGCTTTTGTGGCATTAGGAACTACTCATGATTCCTCTGTTCCAGGTCGATGCGACGCCGACACGGGATTCCGGACAACGACCACCGCCCATTCAACGTAGCGTATGCCGCAGTTCGACGCTCTCGACAGGAAAAAGAGCGGCCAGTGTCGGCGCTACAGAGTCAGGGAAGCACAAACACGCAGACGGCCCATGAAGCTCGTCCTGCACAAGCCGAGCAGATCGTACGGAATCGCGGAGGTGCGTTGCTCATTCATACACTCGATTTGAGTTTGCTGACGGGTGTTTAGAAGGCCCCAGTGCTCCCCAATTACAGGCTGCTTCACCCTCCAACTTTCCAGGGCAGTGCGCCCCGGCGGCTACGGAACAGCTCTATCCATCTTTACCTACAAGTGAGGCTGCCGTGCCACCGCCGCCCGTGTAACTATAGTCTATTACTTGGAATGCAGCACACCATGGTCTAACACGTAATGATAGATCCACATCTCCAAACAGAGTCCTCTTCGCTGATGGTTACAATACCAGTCTTCTTCGCGTTAGCGTACCTGACTTTCCTGAGAGACCCGTTCGTAAGACGAACGGTATCCTCAAATCCACTCACACTCAGAGAAAGCGTGGACTGGAGGAAGAGCCTGTTATTGCTGATAATTCTAAGAAGTCCAGGGTCGAAGGTGATGAGTTTATTGATGGAGATGAAGAGGCCGGGTGGCAGAATTCGGCTTCTTCTGCATCGAAACGGGGCAATAAGCGTGGTTTTGGTGATGAGCCAGAGGGTGATAGTGAAGAAATCATGTTATCGGAGTGGGCCAGGGAGAAGAGACCGAGGAAGGTGTCACGGGGTCATGAAGCTGTTGCCTCTGATGAGGACATGGAGGTTGACGAGGACGAGATAGCGGAGGTGCTTGCTACGCCGCGAGGTAGGAAGCGAGATCGCGTCGAGGCGGGTCCTTCCTTTAACGAAGAAGATGAGGCGGAGGAAGTCGAGCCAAAGTCGAGGGGGAGGAAGAGACGTAATAAGCGGAGATCGGATGTTGGTGTAAAGTTGCGGGGGACGAAGCGGGAGCGTGATATTAACGATGAGGAGATGCTGGATATTGCTGAAGAATCGTCTGCTCAGCTGTCTAGGAAAAAGAGGGGTAAACGGGCTCAAGCTGTCCAGGAGGATGAAGATGAGCATGGTCGTTATGCCAATATCTCTATCGACGTATCCCCGGACAGAGCCAACCGTAGGGAGATCGGTGAGGAGTGGGAGAGCAATGGAGTAAGGTATAAAGTGGGTCCGAATGGGCAAAGACTGCGTCAGGCGCTCATCAAGAAGGCCGGGCAGAGGTACATTATGGTAAGCTTTGTTTTCTTGTGCGTATAAGATGTTTTACAGTTTCTGCAGCCAAAAGACTCCCAACATCCGGATCGAGAAGCTAACATTGAGGTCTGCGTCGAGAAATGGCTTACCGAAGATGAGTTCAGGGAGGCTAAGCAACAACGTTTGCTCGCGTGGCAAGATTTGATGCCAAACAAGTCTTCTGAGCCCTCGACACCTTCATCTGAAGTGCCGGTAGGATTTCTAATACTTCAACTTCTTTTTGCATTTTGATGAGATCTATATAGCCTTCTCCTTCTTCTGGCAAGCATCTTCTATGGAACTCTACAGGTTCACCCAAATTCAACAGTCTAAAAGAACGTTCCGGTAAACCGTCATCTCAGCAATCACAAAGCGCTGTCCACCAGTCCGTAGCCACTACTATTGGGCTCCAGCCAACGTTCCGTCGACGCATAACAAGCGCCTTCACGCCTACCTCACCTTCACCTACCCCTCCATCACCCGGAACCAGCCTCACCGACAGTACCAATGGCAGCCCGCGACAGCCCCAGAAGGTCTATTCCAAATGGGAGAAACAAGATTTGGAAGCCAAAGCGATGGTGAAGATGCGAGAAGCCAATCAGAAGAAACGCGAGGAGAAGGAAGCGTTGGATAGGTTGGAGAAGGAGAAGAAGGAGAAGTTGAAGGCGTCAGTGATGCCGCAGCCTACGATTCCAACAATATCTGTGACGAAGCCTGCGGAGAGCGATGGTCCCAAGAGTACATTCGCTTTAGGCGGGGTGGCTTCTGGATCCTCGAATAAACCCGCCTTTTCTTTAGCATCAGCGGCTCCGTTGGGTTCTGTGCCTCAGCCTTCGTTGGCATCCGCTCCTCCCTTAGGCTCTATGTCGGCGCCTTCATCTATGTCTATTCCACCGCTGGGCTCAACGCCTGCATCCAACTCTGCTCCTTTAGATGGGGCGTCGAAGCCTGTTACTACGAGTAATCCATTCTTCAAACAACCATCTGCTCCTAACGCCAACAAAGCTGCACTCTCCTTCGCTCCTTCTACGTCAAGTCCATTAGCAACCAATTCGCCAACTAGGGCACCTGAAAAACCCCAGGCGCCAGGCCTGGGCTTTCCGAGCACGATAAACCCTGCTCCTATACCTGCATCGGTCTCTACGCCTGCGACGTCATCCACTCCCGCACAACCCGTCTCGAAGTTTTCGTTCAGTCAAAATGTCTCTACTTCCTCTGCGCCAACAAATTCATTGTTGGCACGAATGGGACCTCCACAGCAGCAGCAGCAACAGTCAGCACCTGCAGCAGCTCAAGCTGCGCAGAAACCGCCGACATCGTTCTCATTCAGTACGCCTCCTGCGACACAGTCTAGTACACCTTCCTCTTCCTTCTTCAATAAACCCGCCGAGCCTACAAGTAAGCCAGCTCTGGCTCCTGCACCGAAATTTAACTTCAGTATCAACACGCCTACCACGAAGCCTAATGTGACGTCGTCATCGTTGAGTGGTGCACTGGGCCCGACATCTCAGCCTGGCAGTAGCAAACCAGCTGAGCCGTCCTCGAATTTCGGTACATTCCCCTTTGTGAAACCTCCCACTACGACTGGTATTGGTAGTAGTGCACCGAGTCCAAATGCGTTTGGGGCTGTCGCGGCCGGCAAGTTCAATTTTGGGACCAAGGAGTCCTCACCTATGCCCGCCGCTACTCCTGCTGCAGGTAGCTTTAGTACTCAAGCTCAAGGCCAGCCATCAATCGGAACTCCGGGAGAGTCGACATCCGCACCTTCGACTAGTACTCCTGCGTTTAGTGGTTTTGCTGGCAAGTCAGCGTTTGGCACGCCCAAAGAGCCAACGCCTGCTCCTGCTCCTGCCTCCACTAGCACTCCTGCGTTCGGCGGGTTCGGGACTCCTGCAAATTCACCCTTCGGTGCTTCCAAAGAGTCAACACCCGGTCCCGCTGTACCTTCTTCTACCCCTGCTGCTTCTACGTTTAATTTCGGGGCTCCTAAAGAATCAACACCTGCGGTCACTGCACCTGCTGCCCCTTCATTTGGTGGATTTGGAACTGCTGGACAATCGGCGTTCGGTACGCCCAAAGAGTCTACTCCGTTGTCTACCATACCTGCTACCTCTGCGTTTGGTGGAATTGACGGTGCGGATAAGTCAAACCCTTTTAGTGTGGATTCGAGCAAGCCCGTGTTTGGTTCTAGTTCTGGGACACCATCCTCGGCGTTTGGGAAGAGTGGGTTATTTGGAGCGGCGGCGAAGGAAAAGGACGCGTCGGGGCCGGATTCCAATGTTAATGGGACAACAAGTACCTATTCGGTGTTCGGCACTGGTTCTGGGACACCATCCTCAGCGTTTGGGAAGAGTGGATTATTTGGAGCGGCGGCGGCGGCGAAAGAAAAGGATGCGTCAGGTTCGGATGATGTTAATGGGACAATGAGCGCTCCTTCGGCACCTACGTTTGCTTCATCGTTGTTCTCCAGTCCGTTTGGTAAAGCAGCCCAGGGCAGCGATTCTGGAACGTTGTCTGCGTTTGGGACGAATGGGGCCTTCGGAGCTGCTGCTACAAAGGGAGCAGGTCCTGATTTTTCGTCGGCTCAGGTCAACGTCCCCACGACCTTCACATTTGGCTCATCATCATCGCCAAGTCCGTTTGGCAAACCCGCCCAGAGTGATCCCCCGAAGCCCGTTTTCTCATTCGGGACTGGTTCTGGCACAGGCACGACTCCAACCCCGTCTGCCGGTGGTACATCTTCGTTTGCCTCCAAGCCAGCCGTCTTTGATGGAGGTTCTGGGTCTACGACTCCTTCTGTGTTTGGAGCTGCTGCTGAGAAAAAGTAGAGCTCTTTTCGTGTCTTCGTTGTATCTTTCCTGCATGCATTTAGGCTCTGTACTGGTTGATGATTTGGTAGGTATATACATGTATTATTTAATACCAGGGGATCCCTGTTTTTGATCCCCAAATAATTGAAATTCAAATTGGCCCCTAATCTCGATTTCACGTGGTAGAGTGCTAGAACGTCAAGTCAGAATCGTATGTTTCTCACTCTGCGTTACCTTGTACTGCAACGCCGATGAGTACGCGCAGTACTCGTCTTTGAAATTATAACGCCAGGATAGGACGCGTCCAAGGCGTACATTCTATTTCCTTTGTGAGTCCTTGGATCTCGTCCTTGCCGTTGTATTCGAATGACATGGAGATTCAGTTTCTACCAACTAGCACTATCCTATCATTCCTCACTATTCGTATTCTAATTTTCCCGGTAAGCATGTTTGAATGTCGAAGAGTCGCCGTTCGACGCTCTTACAATTTGAACAGTATATTATCAACCATGCTAGCCAACGAAGGATCCTCCAGGCCCCGTCCTCCAGCTCAGATCCGCCGCTCACACTCTATGTTCAACCAGAAAGGTTCTCCACCCCCGTCATACGCCTCTTCGTTTGTGTTCCCTTCCCAGAAGAAGCCGTCGCGGTCCTCGTCGAGTACATTGCTGGGAACGCCCGTCTCTGCGACTTTCCGGAGGATAGAATGTGAGGCGGGTAAAGTAGTAGCCGAAGAAGGTAATATGGATTGGCTGAACGAAAAGTCGCGAGAGGAGCTGTCAGATTTGTTGTTGAAAGCGGATGGTCTCATCAAGCAGCGCGAAACAGGTATGTAGTCAGCCATTCCTGGTGGAAGGTCTCAAGCTAACTTGAACACAGAACTTGATCGCACCACTTCCCTATGCAAGAGCCTCTACGATGATAACGTATCTTTGAAGTCTAAACACCAAGACCTCTTTGCCTGTTTCCCAGGCAGCTTGTCACCTGCTGCATCGTCTTCGCCATCACCTATCTCTCTTCAATCGCCGCATCTTTACACCAATAGTATTTCTCGTTCAACCTTTACACAACCATCCAAATCCGATCTTTATTCTACTCCCCAAACCGATCTGCCTCGCCGTCGCGTTCGTAAAGTCTCCGTGCGTCTGGACGATATCAGCTTACTCGCCGACCAGAATGATGAGCTCCTTCAGAAAATCGAGCGTCTTGAGACAGAAGCGGCTAGTGCGGACTTGTCGGGCAGACGGATGCTCAGGCGGCTGGAGAATGAGATTCTTCAGTTAAGGGAGGATCTTGAGAAAACGCGAGCATGGAGCCAGGAATTTGAGGAGAAGGCTGAACGGATGGCACCAATTGAAGCTGCTTGGCGGCGAAAACTGGAACAAGAGGCCAAGGTGGAAATATCTCAACCGAAGCCTGATACCTCGGAAGAGGTAGAGGAAGAAATCAGGGACTTTGCCCCAGGTGGAATCCTCTCAGGGCCTTCAACGTCATCCATTCCGGATGTCACTCCTTTGCCGGAGTCCACGCCTGAAATGATGGCTTTGGCATGCAATCCAGTCATCGATCCATCATTGATCCACTCTGCCACTGTGGACTCCGCAACGCAAGCTCAGCCTGAGGCACCTCGAGTCCTAATCGAGCCTGAACTCGCTATCGTCTCTCAGCTACTGGCCAAAATTCTCGAGCTGGAGGAAGCAAACCTTCGGATAACGCGCCAACAGTCAGAAACGGCTACCAAGCTCATTGCTGTCCAGCGGGAGACAGAGAACATGAGCAAGGTCTACGAGTCGTTGAATGATTCCAAATTGGAGTTTATGGAAGGTTTTGATACCACTCCTGAGAAGCCACGGACAACGGATGACAGTACTATTCGATTCAAGAGCTTCAGAAAGTCGCTAGAATGGGACGGTAGACGGCCCTTTACAGATGATTCTTTCCTCAACATGGCAGGTACCCACAAGTCCCGTAAGTCCGTGATGGGCCTCTTCGAGTCGCCAGACATACCTGCAGAAACGTCGTCTCCGTATAAGTCGAAAGGGCTCACCACGCCCTTCAAGACGTCCTCCCCCCATCATCAGCATTCCTGGTCTACAGAAAGCAACGTGCATTCCCCGACACTTTCTTCTGTCCATTTTTCTTCTTCCGCTTGCTCCACCCCGCCACAAGGTTCCGAAACATTGTCACCTTCGCCTTTCTTTGAGGAAACCCTCCAGAATGAACTAGGCAGTCAATTTGGTGATGATTGGGGTTTGAATACCGGCTTTCATCACCTCCGTTCGAGTAGCATATACGACCTCAGCCAGATTTCTTCTCCCCCTTCGCCATCACTCATACCGCACAATTTCAGCTCGCTATATTCCGCCGATCTAGGTGTGGATCGTGAGCTCCAAACACCCTTTCCGTCTATGAAGGGTGGCAGCATCCTACAGTTGACGCTGGAGCCTCCTGATAAGAACGAAGATGAAGGCCCGGCTTTGCGAAGGAAGCGATCGCGATTGATGTCGCAGACCATACGTTCTCGCACGACTCGCTGGGTTAACGGGCGGTTTACAGATAAAGTGCTGAGCCCTCCCAGTTCTACAGCTGAACTGCTATCGGAGGTCCCGCACATTGAGGAGCCGGAGCAAGAATTGGAGGTGAAGCAGGAGACAGATACGGAAGAGACGCCTCGTGCAGATCGACGAAAATCTCTTCTGGTGGCATTTGTTCCTCCTATGCGGATGCCTCGTAGACTCTCGCGCGCCCTTGACACTGTGGTCACGAAGTTTTCCGGTCATGCGCGAGCTACTGAGGAGGAGTCTGAGGGTTCATTGTTACAACCCGAAGTGCCACCAGGACTTGAGGATCGAGTGGACGTCTATGCTGACAAAACCAAAGTTGCAGAGACGAAAGGCTTTACCGGTGTTTTGGTAGAGCTGTGGTTGTGGCTGCAGTTTGCTATCATAATTTTCGTGTTTTTGTGGGCGATGGCGAAGAAGGGACCTAAATCTGTGATCGGAGACGCGGAGAAGCGGGTAGTAAGGAGGTAGGGAGGAGAGTTCTTGTTTGACTACCTAGACATTGGTATCATACTGTTGTCACATTCGTTTCTTTCTTTATTTCTACACGTCTATCTAGTTACGGAACTGTATGCTATACGTGATGACTTTTATGATTCAACTGGAATTTCTGCTTGCGAGCGTTCCCTCATGAGGCTCTTAAAGGGTCGCAGTCTGTACAATCACTCTTCTCTGCTCATGTAAGATAGGAAAAGCAGCCAAAAAGTCCTGCTTCATCTGCTCCAAGCTCGGCTGATCTTTATGTTGTTCCCCGGTGACAACAATTGAGATTTTGAGTTTTTCAAGCGATGCTAACCGTGGAGCTGCAAGTGCTCGCTCCAAAGAGGACCATACTAGCATATAAGGCGAAGATAAAAGGATTTCGAAATTGAGAACATAGAGCGACAGGCGCAATCGACGGATGCGTGCAGGCCCGTCTCCAGATCCCAAGCACTCCGCAAACCACGCAAGTCCTGTGCATCGGTCTGCGTCACGCAGAGGTGGGTCAAAGATGACGCAAGGGACCTGCGAGAAGTCTACGATATGTGACCTCTCGTGAGGCTTGTGATCTACAATTTTGCCAGTTAGAAATGCGAATAAGGGAAGGATAAGGGACCTACAGCTTGCCACATTGCTATGGCACAGATGCAGCTCCTGGAGAGTCCCCCTCGTCGCAGGAATGAGCAATTGAAGGTCGCGTGTCCCCCGCCAGTCTATTACCCACGAAAAAGAGAACTTGCGTAACCCGCGAAGCGCAAATAGTGTCCCATCGGAATTGAAGAACGTGTCCAAGGCACACAAGTTGTACCGCGTGAATGATATGGACAGATTCTGTATTTCCGGTCCAGCATCGGCGGTCTCAGGGACCAGCGATGAAGGCTTGCTTGCACATACGCGAACCCAGTTAATGGTCAAGGTTTGGAGAGCGGGACAGGACCGCAGGGTATCGCGGAAATGTCGGGCAGATTTGATATTGAGGTTGTGCAAGGTGAGAGTTGTAACAGGGTGGTTTAAGAGAGGGGGGATCTCATGGGTGTTCACCCGGGATGGATGTGCTGGGAGTATGCTAGGGTCACCAAATATGCAAAGCGCATGCAAGTTGGGCAATGGATGGTTTCCGAGAGCTTGGAATGCGTTGCGTTGATATTCAGGGTCAATGAAAACAGTGACCTCTAATGACTGAACAAAGTCGGAAATATTTGAAGCAGCCGTGCATAGCTCGAGAAATGAATAAAAGCGACGCTCTCCTGTCAGATTAATGGAACGGAAAAGATGTCCCCGTACGTGGCATCTGAACGATCGCAACGTGGAATGAAGAGCACAAAGAGATTTGCGATCCTGGCTGAGCTCGTCCACAATAATATCGAGAAGCTCCTGAGGAAGGCTGGCCAGTGGCATAATATTTATGATCCAAATGACGTGACTTTAGAATTTCAACGAACGAAGCTGATATCTCCGGAGTACACACTTTATCAGATATCGTCGATATTCAATATGTTATCTCGTCGCTAGATTATTTTGCAATGTCTGAAGCGCAATAATAGTCATATACCAATAACCTTATTGGCGCTCGCGTACCCAACCGAAGTTGGCTTGCTCGGCCTGCCCTAAAGCTACGGGATCCGAGCCGACTCATCCGACCCCGTCCTCGTCGCAACTTAAACCCTTTACATAACCGCGCGACCCTCCGCAAAGGTAAGTTAATGCGTTTATCGCTGGTGGTGATACGAAATCCACCTCGTTACCCTTCCTCCCTAAACCAGCCGCTTCCTCTGTCCCAACACTCAAGTTCAGAACTCGAAAAAATCAGAAGTTTTCTGTCGGCTGTACCAAGCATATTTCACATCTGTCGTCTGCGATTCTGCGTTATCCACGGTTCTTATTGAATCAGGTGCGGTATGGTCTTAGAAAATGCGATATCTCTTGGCTGGCCTGGTCTTTGTTTGGTTGTGTCTCGCTACGCTAAATCTTCCCCGGGTCTATGGCTTTCGTACGATGCTGTGGTACTACCGACAATGACTCTTGGATCTAGCAGGCCATTGAGTCTGCGTTAAACTGATACCAACACTCCCCTATACCACAATCGGAATTCATCGGAATTTATCTGAAGGCTCTTCGACATTTCTCCGTTGTTTCAGAGCGTCATCATAAGGCCTTCTTTTCTGACACGAGTCCGCAGCGGAAGTACAGAGGATTGATGTAAGGTCATATAGGTGCCGAGACCTACTTAAGGTTAAGTAGAGGCCGGTATCCGTGTATCCGTTGTCTCAAGACTTTCTCCCCGTTTTCAACCACAATGGTGGACTGTATCGTATGCGGCCTCAGCTGCGAAGATGATCAAACGTTGGAGAGGCATTGGGACCGTTGCCATCCTAGTCTTGCGAACATCAATCGTAGTGTAAAGGGCATCCAAGTTACAGTGAGTCCTTTTCTTTTATTTTACTTTTCACGAGCTTACACGACACCTAATTCAGCCTCCAGCACCTATCTTTTACTGCGATGAGTGCTATATGAGTTTTCCAACTATGGCGGCGTGCTCAAAGGTTTGATATTTCCCCTGCGCCACAGTTGATATTGTCTGACACCTTCGTCGCAGCACGTTAACCGTGACGTGTGTCGAGGTTCAAGACCTTACGGAATGGCAAGAGACGATTCATGTCCGCTGTTAGCGAAATGCTCGACAGTCTCCTCGACTATCATCACATTTTTCGATCAGATCAAACCCAAGCGGGTCATGGCAAAAATGAAGAGACGCAGTCGATGGAACTGCCATCGGTATTCAGTTATCTGATTAACAGACGCGCTCCCTCTTATGTACATATCACAACCCTGTATATGCATTTGTATCACATTGTACAAACTCGTGTCCTTTATATGTAATACCATTGTCTATGCGAAGAGAAGACTAACTAGTACGTCGTGAATCCCCCTGGCTTTGATGATCCAATCATCTAGCTGTAATGCCGGAGATTATGCTTCTAAAAAAACCTAACGACGCTTTTCATAATCTCGCCACACAAATCAGACATTGTAGGGACGGATGTCGGACGTTCGGAGCTAACGGAATAAATAAATGTTCACCCTCCCATCTCAACAACCTCTGTAACTTCGAATTCAACTTCAAGTTATACTGTTGTCTTCTACTGGTTTAATCCCAAGTTCGGGTCATTCCTCGTATAGATGTACCTCGCTCATATCACCTATAACATTCAAGAGCAATATGAGGATTGCATATTCGATGATATCTATTCCACGCAAATCGACATTCGGCGTAAGCTGCAAGCTAGACCTAACTCGATACTAATATCCAATCTGCTGCTATCCCGCCGTAACATATACAAGAGTATTATCTCTGTGCCATTCAAAATGAAGATACGAATCCGGCCACTGAAAATCTACCACACGCAAAGCCGACGTGAAGCCGACTAAATGCGCATGCTAATATCGAACTTTTTGTCATCCTGCCAAGCCTTGAGCTGCCTGATTCAGCAGGGAGAATGTCAAATGGGGCGTCGAGGCGTAAATTTCAATGCACCATAGTGGGCTTTCACAATTCAAACGCACTTTTAGCATTCAGATAAAAGCGCTGTTGATAAACCCAACTTCCACGTCCTCTACTATATCTCAGTTGGGATCGAACATAGACACATTGAAGTCCTTCAATAGAGGAACGAGAACAAGTTTATGGGAATCAACGGCGGCCGTTTCGGTCATCCTCTCGATGATAGTCTGGAGAACAGGATCATTGGGATCAGACTCTGTCCATCGAGAGAAGCGCAATTCTAATTTGGCGAGTTGCGAACACAAAGAGAGGATGTGGAGAATATGCTCATCGAGCTGTGTATCTGTGATGGTTAAACTCGTGAGGATGCACCGCGAGCGTACTATGAGGTCATGAAACGCGGGAAGCACATCTGGACTAGTAGGGACCGCCTCCCAGGCTGAGGAACATGTTTGTATTGTAGCTGAAGTGAGATTAGGCAGATCAAGGCTGCGCAAGAATGCACCTTCGCAAACAGTCAAGTCGTGGAGGACTCGATGCACGATTGGGGGGAAAGCGACAGGCAGGGCGACGAAGGCGCCCTGATCCTGATGTCCAATGTTAAATTTCTCTAGTGAGCGAGCGTTGTAGATTATGTCCAGATACATACGATATAGGATACCTACATGATCCACAGACCTGTCGTCGCGGAATGTGACCAGGTGAGACGTCTCAAGGATAGGAATTAGGTCAGATTCCATCCCGTCAAAAAACAGACGTTTTAAACACGGCGCGATCGCCAGAGCATCAAATGTTCCAGTAATAGGATCATCAAGAGGTGGCAAGTTGACACGGATATGTAAGGCTACCAGTTCAGAGATTCTTCCATGAAGGGAAGAAAGAAACTGGAAGAGCCCTTGAGAAATGTAAAAAGTGGCCGAATTCCATTGTTGCGACTGTGATAACAAAATTTTGAAAAGGGACTCGCTAATTTCACGAGCCTCCGCATTCCAAGTCCGGGAAACATGGAACCGCTATCATGCACGGAAAGCGACAGTTGGTGGCCCCCACGATCCGAGAGCGCAGCTCGTGACAAGGAGATAGGATATTTTCTCCTTCGACCCAGATACCCCGAAACCCAAACTGACATAGTAGACCAAATCTCTGCGCAGAGAGTGTGCGATACTTGGCGCCAAGTTCGGCACACTCTAGAAAGAGCCCACGGACCCTTTTGTATGGCGAAAACATCATAATATGCATCCGTGTTGTATCCAGGCCTGCAGACCGCAGATAATATCTCCGCGAGAACCTCTAATGGCACACGACGGAGAGACGACAAAACCGCCTTGTATTCATCGTTGATCGCGCAGAGCCGTCTGCACTTATTCTTCAAGAATTTCAGAATTCTCGGGTCGCTTACGCGAGAAACTTCGGCCTGTACTTCGTCGATGGCAGCGGCTACGCGATATGCTGATGATTTTAAAGGCAGCAACGTTTCTTCCGTCGGCGGCTCATTTCCGCTAAAAAGGGGGGGAGGATCGTTGCGGATGAACACTACCGTAGTAATATGGTTCGTTGCACTCTGTATGTGTTGGGGGAGGTTCCATCTACAAAGTTTGCAATCAGAAACCGACTGCTCGAGATCAGAGAGGTATACCTTCATGGTTCCAGGAATTGTACGTGATGGACAGTGGACACTGCGCAGGCTCACAACTTTCGGTCACCTAGATGCGATGTCGATTTCTTGACGGTTAAATCGGCCTGATCAAAGGCGAGTTCAACATGGGAGAAGAATGAATAAACAGACTCAGGTAGATGTACGCACTTGGAGGTCTTTGTTTGACGATGGTGAAGAACTGAGATGAGTGCCGTGCGAGAAAGTAAACCGGGCCGCTTATTTAACGCAGTCAACTTGAGAAGCGGAGATTGAGCTGAAAGGTTAATCAGAGCATGTAGTTTACCAGACTCTGAGCGATAGTTTAAATGAATGTCCTGCTGCTGCCGGTGCAGATGCATGGAAAACCTCAGGCCCCTCACCTACTAAGCGCTCTTTAACTTGATTTCTACATGTTCGCAGTAAGCCCCGATTAAAAATTACAAGTTTTGTGGAATATAAACAGTCAAAAAACCACCTAGTCCTCCATATCCTGGATCTGTACTTTAATAGCACCTTGTGTGAGGTCAGCTGCCACATTGAAAGCATCCATGGCGTCCTCAAGGGCAAATCGATGAGTAACAAGGGGTTTCATATCAATTAGCCCTCCAGAAATGAGACGGATAGCCTTTGGATACTGATTTTCAAGTCAGTATAACGACAACGTCCGAGTAGAAACCCAAATATATGCTCACCTGATCGACGTAGCGGTTGATAAATTTGAGACTGATTTCATTCAAACTTAGCTGCATGAAAGGATACTGCAGAAAATGATCAGGAAGGACGGTGGTGATGTCCTCGTTGACGTACTGTTTGCGGACTCTTTCCTACCCCAATGACCATGAGCGTACCACCAAACTTGATAGTCTGTAGGATATAACTATCAGTAACACCGACAACCGAAGGATGTAGACATACATAAGCGGCAGTAGCAATGCTGGACTCTACACCAGTGCATTCCAAGCCTACTCTGAATGCCATACCAGCGGCAGCTTTGATCTTCGCTGCCTGGTCCTCTAAACTTAGGTCGCGTTCGATGAGAACGGTGCGAACAGTAGGGACCAATTTCTTCGCAAAGTCGAGACGGTTTTGGAAGAGGTCAGTAATGACAATAGGTTCGGCACCAGCAGCACGAGCGGAGAGAAGAGTGGCTAATCCGATGGGCCCGGCACCACTATTGACAATGAACATGAGCCAATTTGGTGTTTAGAACTGAACGATCAGAATACCAGATAAGCGTTGGATCTCCTAAGCGAAGACCTGAGCCCTCCACACCTGCTAGTGCGACAGTCAAGGGTTCACAGAGAGCGCCTTCTTCAAAGGACATGTTGTCGGGGATACGATGCAACCATGCAGCGGGATGTACGTGCCATTTTGTCAATGTGCCTATTTTCCGTTAGAATAAACGACGGGTCCAACAACACGATTACTCGCCGTGATATGGAGGAGCGGACAGAAAAACGACATTCGGACATCCGTTGTACTTGCCAGTTCGGCATGGCTCGCAGGAAGGTTGGAAGCAGGGAATTTCTGCCTCGATGGTCACTCGGTCACCTGAAATAATGTGCTTGAATAACGCAGCTTGAAAACATTAACTTCTGATATAGCTCACCGACTTTGAGCTCGGTAACGCCTTCTCCGAGTTCAATCACCTCCCCGGCAGATTCATGTCCGGATCCACACTGGATGACACAGACGGTATGATTTACAGACGATCATCGGTGAGATTTGAGCGAACCTCGTCATGAAGCACCATATTACCGATCCTTCCGTAGCGCCAATAATGAATATCGCTTCTGCCATCGGGACCGAGACATCAAAGACGGACAGGAGATACGAGAGAAAGGCTTACCCACAGATGCCAGACGCTCGAATATGTAAGAGAACCTGACCTGGACCAGGCTTGGGACGGGGTTTCTCTACCATATGCAACTCATGGTGGTGATTGTAGAATACGGCAATGTTAGCATCCTTGGCTGGCTTGTCGTTCGGTCCAAGGATCTTGAATTCTGGATGATCAAGAACTTGGCGGGGATCGTACAGTTTGGCGTTCGCAGTGGCCATGGTGGATGTAGGAAGAAAGGTGACTGAACGTTTTGAGATGTCTTAAGTAGTCGGCCATTTACCGGCCAACTCCTGTAACCGGGCCGTTGAGAGATGTATTCGTCTCCAGATGCAATCCCATTGGCGCGTGCTCATATAACACCGTAAATCAGATAAATAGCAATGAAGACAGTACAAAGTACATAACTACTTGCGTTACTGGAATCTTTTGTCATATTGTTACATAGCGAATGCTGCAACCGAAATTTTCATTCCAGCATGTTTGAAATACTGTACATAAGTCGAGACCTTTTACACTCTGGTCGATTTCACTCATTTAAAAGTGAGCGCTTTGGACCACCAGACCAGCGACGCCGGACATTGAGGAGTGCAAAACCAAATCATGCATTAAGGGAACGCCCACTGAACTTTCTCCAAGCTTCTTCAAGTCATATTACAACTTCCACCTCAGCAAATGGTGCTGATCCGGTTTTTCCGATGAATGGTGCAATGGTTTTGGGGTATAACATGTAACTAATAGTACTGATACTAAAGTTCATTATGTACATTGTAATAATATGCAACTTAGTGCACGGACATATGCATAAATGCTGGACAGGGCGCAAAAAGTCTTATGAATCTGCATGAACACCTATCGGAGTATGATCCCAGACCCCATTGATACTATCCTTCTTCTCTTCTATCCGTCGTCCGGTCCAGTCCTCCTCGCCCACTCTATCTGCCCAGTCATCCTCATCTCCCCATGAATCGGCCCACTCCTGTCCCGCTGGTTCCACAACAACCACAGGTCTAGATGGTTCCCTCTCCTGTGAAGGGCTTTTCGGTCTAGGAGAGGAAGTGTTTACAGCGCGCTGCCTTGTTGGGCGGATATGGAGAGGTGTAGGTGGCGACCGACGCTTCTTGTTGAGCTTTGTTGCCTCCCGGAGGCTTGATGCAGGTATTGATGCCATCGTGGAAGCCGACGCTACGCTACTCGACAAGCTTGGAGGGTACGCATGCACATTATATGTCTCGCCAGGGATAGTTTGGGGTGTGCTCGAGCCGGATAGCTTGGGCTCTGAGGCTAGTGGAGTCGTGCTGCCGCCTGATGATTTATCATTGGAATGGGACCGTTCATGTTGAAGGGTTGGGGACCGGGATCGCGGGTTTTCGATATCATGGTGCTGAGCACTCATGCCATCATCGTCCTCGTCGTCAGATGCAACTCCAAATAAAGGTTCGCGATCTGCATGGTCAAGCACATCGTGGACATCTGTGTCTAGGGATACGAATTGTTCGTTTGAGGCTTTGACGATGGAGTCGATGAGCCAAAACTGAAGGATGTTCATGATAATTGGGAAGAAACCCATTGTGCTGAACGCGCGAGGATATAAGGTGAAGGCAACATAACAGTAATGGAACGTACAAGATGACTTGCAAGGCGTCGCCATCTCCTGTCCAAGTCCAACTGAGTAACCATGCACCAATCACGAACAGGCTAGGGAAGAAGGCCAAAAGTGCGATAACCAAAAGCTTCATGGTTGTAAGAGCTACGACATATAATGCGGCCTGCTTCCCCCAGAATTTTATAGAGGGTGGACTGCCATATACACCAGATTCGAAGCCTTTCAAATGAAGATTCTCGACGAATATGTGGGTCAGAACGCGAAGAATGATGTAGAGTAGACCGACACCTATACCACAAGTGAGTGGGATATAAAAAGGCTGGAATTAGGAGATATACCAAGAGTCGTGTCGACTAAGATGTTGAAGAAATAGAAGACACAAGCGTTCCCATCCGAATTGTGAGAAACGATATCTGACACAAGGACATTTACTCCATGGACGAACATTTGGCCCACAACCTGCTTGGAAACATCGAATAACCTGTTCTCGGTTGGCATCAATTAAAAAGTTGATAGATTCAGTCAACCGCACGCACCAAATTCGCCAAGGACGCTTCGGTTTCTCTCTATGACGTTTGTATACCAGCGACAGAATCACCAGAACCCCCATCAAGCCTTGGACAATCTACGGACCACTGTAAGATAGAGCCGTTCTTTATGGATGAAGTCACCAACAAGCGCGGTCGGGCCCAGAAGCTGACAAGAGCGACCATCGACATCTGTGAGGTCATCAAGGATGCTTTTCGCTGCTTCGCCAGTCGAGATCAATTCTGTTTCGTTTGCAGACATTGAAAAGAACGTCAAGCCTGCTGGAGGCAGTAATATATTGCCCATCACGGCCGCCTTGATCGAGCTTATCTGAACAGCCGCTTGCCAAGCACAGACAAACTCCAGTCTCGATCAGAGTCTCCTCTCAGCCTGGCCAGTTACACGTAATCCACCACGCTCCTGATCTCTCACTGCCACGATATCTTGACGACCGGACGCTTACCGACGCGCGAATAGATATATACGACCCCAATTGTAATACCCATAATGAGCTTCTTTGGCCGGTCTTCGAGTAATACGCCTCCCCCGCCTCCCGGTGGTTATAATCGTGTACCGGATTACCACTCGTCACCTTCAAGGGGTGCAACGAGGCAGCCTCCTCCTCAGTCCATGCAGAATAATATGCCGCCGTACGGTTACAACGATCCTTCGAGCGCTTTATTCGAGAAACGTGGCGCCTTCGACAGGAAACCTCCTCCACCGCGTTCAAGCGGAAGGTGCGCAACGATTGAACAGCATGTCTTACGCCTCATAATTCTTGCAGCTATTCAGTCGTTTCGTCTCCAAGTGATGCCTTTGCTTTGTCCAACTGTCTTGCCGTCCATCCATCCGACTTCACCAACGGTCAACACGTTCTCGTGAAAGGCGGGTTTGCATTGACTGTAAAGTGAGTAGCACCTGCTCGATTCATAGAATTTTATTATATGTATGATGCCAGACATGATAATACTGGAAAGATTCAACCAGGATGTATCGGTGCATCTCAAGTCCAACGGCAATGGATAGGTCTTTCCGTTCAAGGCGATCATGTTAGCATCGAGCCCTTACCGTCTCCTCCCCACCCATTGGCACCTTCCTTTCTCCAGTCGATTGACATCGAAGTTGGATTTCTTAAACCTCGACATGAAATTGCAGAGCAGTTTTCTGCTGATGAGATGGCTCATCATGTCGTCAAAGCGTTCAATGGCATTGTCATGTCCACGGACGAGATAATAGTGTTCGAGTACCACGGCCAGAACATCAAAGGGGCAATCAAAGGCGTATCTGTTCTAGATATCGCCGATGAGCAGAGACGTGGTGGGGCTACTGGTCAACGACCAGTGAACCATCAATTTATGGGAATAATCATGAACAAGACGGACGTGACTATCATGAAGGCGGCTGATAGCTCTATTAAAATCAAATCTAGTGCAAAGAAGTGAGCATTGTTTTGATGAACTAACACATATTCTTTACTGACAACTGTAGGGCGCGGCCTAACGCAATTCTTGCTCCCAACTTCAAGTTCGAAGATATGGGGATTGGAGGCTTGGATACAGAATTCAGTGAAATTTTCCGCCGGGCGTTCGCATCTCGAGTTTTCCCTCTTGCACTTGTTGAGAAATTAGGTATCGAGCACGTCAAAGGTATCCTGCTTCACGGTCCACCAGGAACGGGCAAGACCCTCATCGCTCGCCAAATCGGTAAAATGCTGAATGCGCGCGAACCAAAGATCGTCAATGGACCAGAGATTTTGAACAAGTACGTCGGTGCCTCGGAAGAGAACATACGTAAACTCTTTGCTGATGCCGAAAAAGAGGTAGTCTTTGATCTTTATTTGTTTATCTGAAAGCTAAGTTAGTTGTGTAGTATAAAGAAAAAGGCGACGAGAGTGGCTTACACATTATCATCTTCGACGAGTTGGATGCCATCTTCAAGCAGCGTGGGTCAACAAATAGCGGTACAGGTGTTGGAGACAGCGTCGTGAACCAGCTTCTTTCGAAGGTCCGTCCGCCGTTTTTGCCTACAATACCGGTATTCACATTGTCGTAGATGGATGGTGTCGACAAGCTGAACAACATTCTTATCATTGGTATGACCAACCGTCTCGACATGATCGATGAAGCTCTTCTCCGTCCGGGTCGTCTCGAAGTCCATATGGAGATTTCTTTACCTGATGAACATGGACGGCTCCAGATCCTCTCCATCCATACGAACAAGATGCGCACAAATGGTGTTATGGACCGTGACGTTGACCTTGTGGAACTCGCGTCCATGACGAAGAACTTTTCTGGTGCCGAAATTGGTGGTCTTATCAAGAGTGCAACCAGTTTCGCGTTCAATAGACATGTCAAGGTATGTCTGATTGATAGGAATTTTTTTGATATTCGCTAATGGTATTCTAGGTCGGCACTATGGCAGGTATATCCGACGATGTAGAGAATCTTCGCGTGAACAGAAGCGATTTTTTAAACGCCCTAGAAGAAGTGCATCCCGCGTTTGGTGTGTCCGAAGAAGAGTTACAGCAAGTTATCCAGAACGGTATCATCCACTTTGACTCCATCATCAATGTATGCACTTTTTTGGAACGTCGTGTTTCCTAATCATTGAGACTCTCGCAGGAAATACTCAGCACGGGACAACTATTTGTGAACCAAGTACAAACATCCACAAGAACGCCCCTGGTTAGTGTTTTACTGCACGGCCCTCCGGGCTCCGGGAAAACGGCCTTGGGCGCGTCGATTGCGCAAGCCTCTCAATTTCCTTTCATCAAACTGGTGTCGCCAGACAACATGGTAGGGTTCGGTGAGAACCAGAAGGTGACAGCGATACAGAAGGTCTTCGCAGACAGTTACAAAAGCCCATTGAGCGTCATTGTTGTTGACAATCTCGAACGTCTACTCGGTGCGTTTATGTTCCGTTTTGGTTGCCGTAACTCATACCTGACGACCTGGATCAGACTGGACACCGATAGGCCCTCGATTCTCCAACACGGTTTTACAAGCGTTACTTGTTCTTTTGGCTCGGAGGCCTCCCAAGGTACGGTTCATCGATAATGAAAGTTATCGAGCGAAATCTTATGCCATTCCAACCCCTTAGGGTCGTCGCCTCCTTGTGATTGCAACGACATCATTACGACCGATCCTAACAGAGCTCGGCCTTTCAGATACGTTTGATTCTGAGCTGCGAGTGCCACCAATATCGAACCTCGAGTCGTTGGAACGTGTGTTGCGTGAAGTAGAGCTGTTTAACTCGGAAGAGGAGTTGAGGGAAGCCGTCCACATGCTCGAGGACTCTGGATTCGCCCTGACGCCTCAGGACGAGGCATCGTCTCGGCACCACATCGGGATTAAGAAGCTGCTGAGTGTGATAGAGATGGCAAGGCAGGAGCCTGATAATGTAGTGTCACGTTTAACTGGGGGTCTCATGGGGTTGGGAATGTAGGAGAATATAGGGTAGTCAGTAGAAGTAAGTAATCGTGGGAGTGTAATTTTAGACTACGGAAATTTCCTATTTGGGAAAGTTGTGCGCTAAAGTTGTCGAAGGCGCCTCTTGTTGAACTGCACCACCATCATCGTACTTTCGTCGTTGTCGCAATGTCCGCTGAGATCATTGAAGACCCTCCTCACCTTGCACCGCTGCCGCGATCTGCATCGAACCCCAAGCCCAAAGGTATTCTGAAGAATGCACAGCCGCTTCCGGGAGCGAAGGAACAGTGAGTGTACACAATTGGGAGATGCCGGGTCGATGTATAACGTGGCCCCTCTTTCTCTAGCAACCTACAGTGGGATGAAGCCAACATTGCTCTGACAGAGATACAGAAAGACAGTCTCATGAAGATAACGGAACCAAAGACTCCATATGTTCGTTACAATGCAGAGACTGACGAGATTGAAGGAGGTGTGTGTTACAGTACCCACTTCTCGTCAATTCTAATCCTGTATAAAGACATCCCTGATCTTGACCTGAATGGTCAATACATTTCAGGATCGCCCGCCCGTTCGGTGTCACCTACTGGTGCGGACGTCTCTGGGTCCTCTTCGCGTCGAACGTCGTTCTCGAGCACTGGAAGACCTTCATCTGGACGATCAGCGAGTACAGCTTCGAGCCGTAGCACGAGCTTCAACCTGTCTGATGAAGCGCGGTCGGGAATTCGTGAAGATGGTTGCGGAAAAGATCCGGGAAGCGAGGTTGAGCTCGACGAAGAGATGGACGAAGAGAGTGAGTTGGTTACCCTGTGGTGATCCAAGTCCTTTAGCTGAGGATTACTTGCTAGCTGCTGCGAAGCATGCAGCGTTTGTGCGTGCCCGAGGACGACACTACTCGAATGAAGCTGAAGCCATGAAGGTAAGGTTTCACCTTGATCACCGAGGTTCTAAGTTTATTTTACGTCTCCTACAGCGCGCTGCAAAGCTCATGGCCGAGGAGGACGATGACAATGCTGAAGGCGACGACGACGCGTCTGACCACTCAGTTCCTCCTGTCCCCCCACTGTCATCCAAGCTCAACGGAATAGACCACTGATCAGTTAGCATTGGACTATTTAATTTGAGTTTCCAGACATCTAATTTGTAAACATAGCTCGTAGCTTTTCCGTATCCAAATTCGTTCAATCGGGATACGTATATGTTCTTTAACTTTACCTAGATACAGTACCGATTTCGTCGCGACCGTTCTAAAAACTAAACGATCTTGTTTTTTTTTGAATTCGCTAGACCTGTAAAACATGCCTTTCTGACTTTTGAGGTTGTAAAGTGCGCAATGGTACAGATGTTCGTTCAGAGAAAACGTAACTGACAAAACGGACTGATCACTCGACGAATAAGAGTGACTCAGGCAGCTGAAAGACAGCCCCTAACACGAATAGCTAATTCGGTTCCACGACCACCGTGTCTGCCGTAACCTCAATAAACTCTGTTCTGGGTTTACTATCGAACGCGCTCAAAGATGACCCTACGGCAGACCTTGAGAATGTGCTGCAAAACATACACTACAAGCTATCCATCTATGTGGAGGAACGTCTCAAGAAATGTCTGAAAGGTACGTCTCCAGCAGTATTCTTCGCTATCACTGGAATTAGATAAGCCTGCCCTCTCTAGATGTTGCCAAGGAGGAACAGCAGTGAGACCCCATAACGAGGCAATGTAAGATTTATACATCACTTCCTACACTGCCGTCGACTCTACTTCCACCATGTATTGTTTTCGCGTAATCTCTTGGAATTTGCGATATACTTGATGTACCATTAGACAAACATTCGGCTTCTCGTCTCTCCGAAGACATAATACGCTGCATCTCCGCCGGGACACCCATCTGGGAAGGTAACGGACACTCTGTCGTCCAGATCAGCGACAACTTGGTCAGTGTAAAGGTCGGCAAAGATCTTGGTTTTCTGAAGCCCCTAGCTGAACAAGTTCCTGGTGTTCCAGCCCCTCGAGCTCTGGGACTAGTCATTGTTGGGCTGACTTCATATATGTTTATGGTATCATCCTGGAGCAACGCTGGCCGACACTCTCTGCAGAAGTGAAGCAGAGCATACGGACGACTTTGGACCACATTCTGCAAGTTTTACGAAGCGTTGCGGTACCACACGGAGCTCCCCTTAGCTCACCTTGTGGACAGCGTTTATGTATGGACGTTCGAATGAGCACTCGGACTAGTTCGAGCTCCATATGCAGCGAAGCTGATTTCAACGACTTCCTCCTTCCATTACCATCCTCTCGCGCGTGAATACACGAGCCATCACCGACCCAAGTGATTGGTGGGATTATCTGCCTGAGATTATCCTTGGTTACGAACGCGACGTGGCAGTGGATCGACTCCTCGAGCCGGCATCTAATAAGTATTTCCTTACTTTTTGCTTACTCTCACTGTCTCCAAATGAATCTACCGTCCTGTAGACAGACTGTAATTGAAACTGTCATTAGTGCGAACCTTCCCTCGTACTAGTTGAGTAATGGTATTTCAGTGCTTTTCGCTGGCAGTACGCTTGGTACCCCAAACGTATTTGTAATCTTTTTCAATGAACTCTTTGATGTCGTTATTCTCATTCATCCATTGTATGCTAGGCATCAACAGCCGAACTGTTAGGATCGAGCGATGAATCGAGGAAGGCACTCGTCTTCCTGAAGAAGAGTTGCTAGACGAGGATTGCAAGGAGGCGAAACAGACTTGGAGGAATAATATTATTTATAGCATCGACGTTGAGGTACGTTGGTTTTCTTGCTTCGCACTCAGTCTGTCAATTGCTGTATGTGTAGAAAATATACAGCGCGCATTGCCATTTGACGATTGTCACTGTGATTGAGAGGGACAGGGCGGACGAGACCGTGTCACTTTTCCGGCTGACTTTTCCTGACAGTCGCGAACCTAGCAGCACTTCAATTCTTCGTGGTTTTGAGTAGGAGATCGCTCGAGTCCTGCCATTACTGTACACAACTTGGCTTTTCCCTCAGCGACCGTGGAAGTCGACCTCTCTCGCCTATTATTGCGCTTTTTCACGCGTTTCCCCAGGAAATCGCAGTCCAACTCGGTTCTCATTCTCGACCCGACCAAAATTATATACGGTTCTGCAGCTCCGAACTACTCAAATATCCTCAAGCTGACAGATCAGTGGTCTACTGTTGTATCTTGGCATCAACGACTGCAGCAGGACACCATCCGATAAGCTCGAACCCATAGTTGAGGCGCTGTCGGTTGCTGTTCATGATCTGTGGGTAAAGGCGGGTACTCGGAACTTTGTGCTTGTGGACGTCCCTCTGGTTGACCGTTCGCCCAGCGGTACAAACGCAATCCTCAGAGTCCTCCTGGGTCACTGATCCTTTATATAGCCCTTGACTCGTCAGATGAGGTGCAAGGCGCGTCGGGACACGGAGCGACCTTCTCCGTGCGCGTGCATCCGAGTTCGCAATGAATAGCCCGCAGGCGACGGTTCTTGTCTTCTCATATAAAGTGCTCACCGATGTGCTCGGCGATCAGCTCGAGTACGACTTTGCTGAAGACGACCCAACTGACGAAGGAGGCTCCATCTGGGAGGACGATCTGCACTGACACCAGCTGTCCATGCGATCCTGGCGGATCGTTTGCCCGTCTCGCTCAAGGCAGAGGACCCATAATGGTGTTATACTGTTACTATGCTTCTTGTTTTGGGGCCTATCGATCGCATAGAAAACTGGTATTCAATAACAACTTCATCCGACGACTCTTCAGGAGTGCGCCTCATCAAACAGCACTACCTTTCGATACCTCTAGCAAGGAGCTTGGCAGTGCTTTCCGCTGTACCGTCGGGTGCGATGTACAGTACACATGGGAAATCCTAGGTTGAAGTGAGAAGGTTATCTGAGCAGAGAAGGTTCTACAGAAGTGGATACACGAGAGAGACCTACCGCTAGGAGCCCGGCTCAGAATACAGAAATTGTAGTATTACTTTTACTTGCTTCATCCCTTCCGTAAGTATCCAAGACACCGTAGGCAAACAGCAAGACAACATAACGATGATGGAATCACATACAAAGGCTTGACAGCCAGGAGGTACATGGGTGTGTATTTCAGTATGTGGTAGATACGCCTTGTAGGGTTGCGAGCATGCAACAAAATCTAATATTAGGACCTCGGCCATGAATGATGATATTTTCGGGTCCCCATCTACCGGCTGTATAGGTCCCGGACTGCTTGTATTGTTATGTCGGCGGTATTGTTGAGACTTGGTCGCCTGAATTCCATGTGTATGTATAGTAGTTCCCCCTTATATCTGCATGAAGATTAAGCCGGGGTAAACACGTAGTTGGGCGGCAGGTACCTTTCTAGATCACTGTCTTCTGCGCCTCCCTGCGCCCAGTATTAAGCAAGACTATTGGTAATGAGCGGACTTGAATCGTCTATGGTGGTGTTAAGGACAAACATCCCACCCACGAGGAGAAAAGAAGGCAATGTCAAAAAGAATTCAAAGGGAGTGAGTCTCCCGGATGGATAAAGGACATTGGAGAGACGATGTCAGTAGCCACATACTTATAATATAGATATTCCATATAACGCTTCAACTGAGATGATCAACTGATCTGTGAAAATATTTGTCGAATGTAGGACATACCCAACCCTCCGCTCTAACTACGCTGCCTAGACATCCCGTTTATTATCGAAGCATGGCCGTCGATCTCTAGTGGAGCAGCTGATGCAAAAACCCATACCACTACACCATGAAATTTTGGTGCCACAACCTGGCTGCATGGAATCAGGGTTTTCTCTGGTGAAGGTCTCGCGGCGTGATAGAATTGTCGTTATCCTGATCAGAAAGATATTGGATGGATATACGAAGCGGACCCTACCCAAAGGCGACGTTCCGCCAGCGGTAATTGTGTGCACCTACTCCAAACTTTAGTAACCGCGTATCCAGTAAACTGAAAATCTGTTTGACCTAGGCTCCGTCTGTCATGACCATCAAGATAACTGGCGGTCATGTTACGACCAGTGGTGGCATGCTCTGCTCCCGTTATCTCGATTTTCGTAAGCGTAACAATCGTGGTAGCAATCCTTTTTCGATTCTTCCATAATTGCCTCGTAATACCCATAGGTTGGCCACAGGTCCCATGAGGTTCTTCACTCAGATTCAACGGGAGCTCGTACGGCCTTGACGTTCCTGGCATTCGTCTGTGCCATAATCCACAAGGGTTTCTGAGGTCCGACGCAAGTCTGAGGGACTATTTTCAAGTTTCGCTACGTGCGATGACAGGCTCCTGAAGATCCCACCGCTCAATTACGCGGAGTGCCTGAGGGAATGAAAGCGGCGGGATTTCGAGAGTATGTAGAGCGGTAGTAGGGACTCAGGAGGCTTGATAACAATGACGACTGGGACTGCTAAGCAAGATGGGAATCAATTAGGAAGTTTGGAATGAGAACTGAACGTTTGAACACACATGTGTAGGTAAAGACAGAGGCTTTGGGCGACCCTAGACTTGCGGTATTATCGCTATGATGCGTCGTAATTTGCTTTCAAGGGTCTGCCTACATGGACGCCCCTCCATGCTTTGGCGGCGCCCTATTAGCCCTAGTACCTGAGCCATGCGCTGTTTTGACTATAGCATGGGGCAGTGGGCTTCATCTCCGTGACTGCAAACGAAGATAGAATGGGCGTCCATTCTACAAGCTCTGATATGAATCGATTCGCGGAAAAGCCTTCATTCTGCTTAGATGCCAAGTCAGGGTGCGGAAGCGGGTTTCTTGGTCGTAGGGAAACACAACCCTGCTCCTAAGGACATCGCGCTATAGGTAGCTGAGCAATCTAGGCATTGTCTCCCGTCTATGCTGTAATAGCGAGTGATGCGTCAGGCCGACTCTGAAATTTTATCACGCGGACTAGTCATGATGGATGTCAGGAGATCCGGGAACGATCAGCAGAGACAACTTACGATTCTCGAAAGCCTGGACAGAGCCAGAACGTTTCGCTAAAGGTTGGTGAACTTCCCGTCCGAGCTGTTCATGCCGCCGGATCGTTAGATTTCCCTTTTCCCTGCGTTCTGGACAGCTCTGTGATTCTAGACAAAAAATGTAACGCGTATACTTAAAGATAGTGGCAAAGGTGCGTGTGCTGTCTATGTCCAAATTGGTCAAAGAAAAGCATCGCGGCTTCGGATGGGATGTCGGGAATACATTTGCTGAAAAAGCATAGGCCTCCACTGCGTCCGAAAGATCTGATCGTTGAACCGGTCCACTGACTGAGCCAGATAAACGGGGAACCTTTCTGAAGGGTAGACTTACGGAATGAATTGGATCGCGGTTAGATACGGCAATGGCTCATGTAGAGGTTTCCTGGGGCGCGTCTATCCAAAACAGGCATATGATGCTGCTCCACAACTCTGTTTCTGACATGAACTAGCCGATTCATTTGTATAGTGTCCGAATCCGAATGCGCTGAGAGTACTTTAGTCGGCCATCAGTTCAGGCGGCCACAAGTAATTTGCATTGGGCGAATGAGATATGTTCAAATCGCAGCGAAGTTTAGGCGCTATTTAGTTGTTCAGAAGTACGTACTCCCGCAAAAACATCCTGAAAGAGAAATAAAAGCACACAGTTCAGGCCAGTGTGGGGATTCTGTGACCACGACGGCGGGCCGGTAACATCCATCTGGTACACGATGCAAGAGAAACGAGATGACGACCGGCGTCCCCAGGAAAAAATCGACGAGATATTCTAGCGAGAAGACAGGTGTTACAACGATACCGTCATCCAGACCGTGTCTCTAAGATTGCTTGTAATGTCAAAGACGAACCAAATGTATCGGAGTTAATGTTGAACTTTGATGGCTCTGAAACTGTACCGCCAGTTCATGGAAAAACATCACGGCGAACACACGAAGTACGCTAAGAGAGCCTAGAATAGCAATGGTTAGACGATGGGCACAGGGAAATCAAAAGAAGGCCAAAGTCAACACCACAAAAACATGTTTCAATGCGGGAAATATTGCGGAATAATATCGATGTATTGGGTTTTCGTCGTGAGTAAAATGTCTTTTCCTCGTAGAGGAAAAGGGATCCAGATCGACATGAAGAAAGAGGATGAGCTTCTTGTTTGAAACTCCGACTGAGAACGCTGAGTGTGCCTGACGCACCAATCTTATTCAACTTGGTGAAACAACCGGGATTGCAGTAAACGAACCAAGTCCGTTTTATGTCTTGATGTGACACCGTATGCAGGATGAATGTGATGAATGACTTTATGATGCGTGAGCTGCCAATAATCGATTCTTGAAGTGTTCTTGGATCGGGTAGACTTCGGATGACTCACAAGTTCCCAGCTGGCCCAAAAAAGAGCGGAAGGTGTCGCTTCTACTTGAGCAATACAGTCCGATCGTATCATCAACCTCAAATCCCGAATTCTCGAACACTACGCCACCAAATGGAAGGAGAACGTGGGTTGTTTCCTCGAAGGCTCGGGCTAGACTCAAAACTACAGAGGTAGCGAATCGGAATGCATCGCACGAATGGCGCAACTGCCCTTTCCTCCGATGTATTGATGCTTTGTGCGTGCCCAATGTCCATTTCTGTTGCACCGCGGAATTGATGAGATGGTTCGCCCCCAGCCGACTATCTGCCGTCGGCCACCTGCCCTTCTTTCCAAGTACTAGGTGCTTTCGACAACGGCATAGACTGCGACGTCTTCAACGCCCCAAGGAGGGTAAACTTTCGTCACGGATGGACCGGTTTCCAGAACGATGTCAGCTGGACAGGTAGCCTCGAAGACGATTGGTCGATACGACTTTGGTAATCATCGTCGACGGTCGAGAGCATTGGCTAGGCTCTTCTCCAATAAGATGAGCAAAAAATTATTGTTCGAGGCCTACAGACTTGACTGGCCATTCGATCTCATTGGTCGGTCCTGGGCATGCATATTACTGGTCGCCAAAAATATGCTTCTATCAGAGACACTGCGCGTATGCTAATGACTTCGCGTTTTACCGTACAAGACTTCCTCCGTCCACAACTTTAACAGGGGGATTGTGATCCTACGACCACGGTGACTGGGTCGTGTCCAGGTTGTCCATGAAGGACGTCCAAAACTCAGGATCCATAAAGATGTTTGAGTTGTTTGACAGATTGGCGCTGCTCCACTCCGTGAGGGACGGCAAGGTACTAGTTTCGAAGCTGGCGGGGGATTCGGTCGGCGTAGTACTTGAGCAATTAAGGCTAGGCACCGGCAACTGGCTCTGCCGTTCCCACAGATCTACCAATGTCGCGATAATATGCGCGTAGTGGGTAAGAATATGCGTAGGCCCCAACGCCAATCGCGAAAGCAGTTCCACCGTCATAGATATCAACCTATCACATGCGGCTCCTAGCGGCGTACAGTTCAACTGATGCATCGAGAAATTGGCTACTACGAGCCAAGTCGCCGCGAACGAGACGGTGGTGAATATGCTGTCGGGGACAGCAACCAGAAGGTTGGCGTCAACCGAGTGCACCGCGGAGAGAACGGATTGCGCCGATTTGATACTGTCTCGTCCTAGGCACATCGCGATGGAGGTGCCGTGATATTGGGCACGCAACCAGGTCAGGCTGGGTGTGGCGTTAGAGCCTGAGATAACGGTGCGCATTTCCCTGAGTGCGTGTTGTGCGACAAGCAATCGAGATCCGTGGTACTGTAGGAGAAGCATGTGGAAGGCAAACGGGTCATGCTGAGACACGACTGGGATTGGCGGGGTCAATAATAATTTCGCCGATGGCTATCCAGACTTACCGGGAAGAGGCGCCATAGGCGTGTACAGGCAATCCATGCGCGTCAGAACATCCTGGACTTGCAGATAAAAGCATTCAATTTCGGCACTTTGTGGACCCTTCAAAGTGATTTTGCTACCCTTTTCCGCGAGATCCATCAATTTGCCCTGGATATTAATTCTCAGGTCCCTTTCTTGGGCAAGGAGGCCAACGGAACCGGTACTCAGCACTCTATAGTCGAAAGCGGACCGCGAGGACAGTGAATCACGCCTGGTGCCAAGGCAGACCCTGTAAAATACAACCGATGCTAAACAACCGCACATATGAACAGTAATTCCAGGCGCATATGACTCACATCGATTCCGTGGTCGAAAGGAGAATCCACTATAAACAGAATAGCTTGATCAGCATCGCATCAGAATACTCGGTGAAGAGTCTATTCCTACCAGGCGAGACCTTTGGATGGCTTCTTCATAAACCTGAGAATCTGTGAGACCCTGTTCTTGCAGTCTGACCGCATGTGCGGAAGCTTCTTTCAGCCGAAAGTTCATGCCCATACTAATAGCCGAAGCAACTAGCAATCGGCTATCTTGGGCAGGACATTGCAGTGGGGACCATAAAGATAGAATGATGAGTGCCCCGATCGATTCCAATGACGGAATAGGGTGGAAAAGGTGTTTGAATAAAATATTGTCGGTTAATCGATATAATCTGGGAGCCACGGAAGTCTGGGTTATAGGATCCAGATGTCTGGAAGCAATCGTACAGCGGACCAAGTCAAGAACTCCGTCTTGTTCTGATATAGTTTGAAGCTGGCATACCCAGCGCGTGTACCGTGTTTCGAAACTGAGAGAAAATTTGGAGATGGAGATAAGAACGAGTGATTCCTAATGGGGTGGAACAACGTCAACGTACATCTGTAGCAACCACGTAATCTGTGTTCTGGTCAAAATGGTGGATAAAGATTCATCGCTGGACTGATTGGTTGATGAACTGGAACGAGCTTGGGTTGCTGCTGATTCCCTGCAGTTCGCGAGCTCTCTGATCGCTAGCATAGGTGCTGCGGTCCAGTCAAAACTTGATATAGGTCCGACAGGACTTTGTGGGCGCGGAAGAAGGTCTTCGATCCTCAGATCTCGTGTGCTGGCCGCAGGCGCGGAAGAAGGAGGCTCCCGAGGTATGTCCGGCGTTGAGACAAACACCACGGGAGGATCCAAATTTACTGGAAGGAGAATTGTAGATGTCGACTCGCTGTTACTCTTTGATCTGACATGGATGATGTTCGATGTCTTGAACGAACACTCAACGTTTAGGACATTGCAGCGATGACAGCGTAATTGAACACGATGGTCGGAGCTGTTGCCAATATCATCGGGAAGTTCGCAGCGCGTTTTGTGTCGCCTGCAGGAAGCACAGGCCTGACTGGCTTTACGCCGTTTTGGTTTTGGCGACACGGTGTTTGAATCCGCACCAGCTTCTTCGCCGGCACGTTTCATTGGTAGGCTACAAGTTTAGATCAAAGCCTCAAGTCCTGTGGACCCGACGGTCAGAGGAGAGTCAACGTTACTCGCCTTGAAGCTGAAAACAGAATGATAGGGGGTTGTTGACGAATCGGCACGCAATGACGTATTGTGGCCGGTAATTATCCTTGATTTATGCCGTGTTGCCGAAATCTGAATCCTTTCCGCCCGGCTCGGAATTTCGAGGCATATCATCTGGAGAAGCAAGCTATGATATGGTACTAGTAGAAGAAGAGGTTGGCTGTATTGGCAGGCACACGTCTATTCTTTTAAGCAGTCAATTGGTCAATAGTCAATACCGCCGACATTATTACTTGCGGGCCGCCGTCCGTGATCGTATGCTTTCGTGATGGAAGCCTTGTCATCGCCGGCCGTGGCCCTTCAGAGTTCTCGCAATAAATGAACTTTTGAACGTAACTGAACGGTGTAAAAAGCCAGAGGGTTGCAGAGGGCAGCAAGGCGGATTCAAAGGCGCGCGATAGGTGGGGAGGACATCAACAACGTATCGCGGAACACAGTCAGCTGTTCCAGAAAAGGCAATCGTTGATGGCGCCTCACCCAGGTCCGGTGAATCATCCGACCTTTCTTTGTCTTTCTCTGACTTGCTCCACCCGTCTCCTCTGACAAAGCTTTTTTCTGTCCATCAATGGCCAGATATCCAGCAAGGTAGGCTCTTCTCTTTACCTCCATCTGCTGGTTCAGTTCTTCCCCTCTGTCCCCCTCCCCCCCTTCCTTCCACGAGGCTGACCAGTTCATTTTCTTCTAATGTCTCGGTACTCTAGGTCTGCCTCCTTCGTGATTACACTCTTCGGTATTATCACCAATTCAGCGCTAGCCATACAAGTCTTGGCAGCCTCACGGTCAATCAAATGGGAGCCTGAATTTGAGTGGGAGACGTCCAATGATACGTGGAGGGTGGATGGTGTCAAGGTCGTGTGGGGGCTCCTGCTCTCATATTTCGTCTCAGCTGCCACTGTATGTGCGATAGGCTTCGTAGGCGTGGTTAAGGTGTGCTGTCATTGTTCTCTTAAAACTGATGCCGAATCACTCATCGTCGCCCCTGCACGACACGACAGAGCAAGCCTTCATTTGTCAGGTTCTACCGCGATTACTCTATCGCCGATTTTTCCTTCTGCGCGATCGTTACAGTTTTCGGCGCCTATGGGGCTTTTCGTGGCACAACCCGTACCGGTGTCTGTGAAGAGCTCTCTCGTCAGCCCGAGTTAATGCGAGATCTCGGTGAAATGGGACTCAGCCTGGAGAACTGCGAACGGTGGTTCGAGCGGGCCGTCATGGCTTTTGTGGCATGCATGGTTATTGTGATTGTTGTCCGAGTAAGTAGATAGATGTTTCACTTTTATCTTTTTGTTCGTCCGCTCTAACACCCTAACTTGGGTACCCCAGTTGCACTTCTTGTTGGCCGTGTCGAATTATTATTCACACGTCTCGAGACACGCGAGCCAACGCACTAGCGGTCTTCTGCCTACGTCACGGCCTCACTCCCGCACAGATTCGCTCCAGCGAGTGCTGCTTCTCCCGCGCTCAAATCCATCATCGGATCCGGAGAGTATCACCGTATACGCCCCAGTATCATTAAAGAACCTCACCCCAGAGCTCCGCCAATCAGCAACTGAAGCGTGGGTACGCAGGACAGATTCGCACCGACACACAAGGTCGCAATCAAATACGAACACCACCGGCAGGATAACCCTTCCCATTCAACCTAATGAAGGATTGCTACCGCCGTATTATGACGACGTAAAGGCATAAGCTTAGGTTATGTAGGCTTTTCTTTTTGTTGTTGACCACATACGTATTACACATATCTCCTTCATTTGCATGCCTAGTGTCGTGTTGTCCTTCTTCCTTACATTGCTATTTAGTTGTACAGTCTCGTCTATTTTCATGTTGTACAAGACATATTTTTTTACGGCTTGAAATGCAGTCTTCATATTATATTCTTTGTTGAAATACGAACGGATATACATATGTATGGCCGAAGCAACACGATGTTCAAGTCGAGTGATTATTGGCTCGGAAGTAGGGAGCGTTACATGTCGTAAATTGCGACGGCGGCAGTGAAGTCGAGAGCGCCACAACAACGAGATACTGAATGACGCCACAAGGAAAGCTGCGAGGTAAGGAATGAAAAGGGATAATTTAAATGACAAGGGGTTAGTGCATAAATGACAGACATGATGATTGAACGGACATGACGCCGATTAAAGACGAGGGACTTTTTATCCAAGGAAAAACATGGGTCGCTAAGGCGAATGCCGAGCGAGGGTCGTCGGAACGCCGACAAGCGACACGCGCTGACGATGCAGCAAGTCCAGATGCGCCAGACACGCGCCGCTGAATATCGAATAATTGGGGCAAGGGTCCAGACACGCACTAAAATGCAGCTCGGCGAGTCGGGATTGAAGCCCCAGTCGGGAAGGGAGACCGACGGGAGATATCAGCCAATAGCAGCGACGCAGGTGGTCGATGATTGGACAAGTTGGTGGGAGCGAAGGGAACCAATCTGGAAACAGGAAGCAGAGGAAAATTTGGAGGACCGGGAATCTCGACTCTGACGGCAACGGGGGCTTGCGTGTAGAGGAGGATCAAGTAAGTATTTGTAGTGGGCGTCAAAGTGAGTTCATTTTGTAGTGAGCCCAGGTTAGGCCAGTCCACGGTAAAACTAGCTCTTAGTGGTTCATCAACGAACCAAGGAACTGTATAGAATTGGATGTGGACACGGATCTGAATCTTGCAATACTTGTGATACCTTTGCTATAAAGTCCGGGAGGTTACACGGCAAACATGTGGTATTACCCCCTCTGGATCCTACAGGATGCGAGGTATGAACGGGTATAGACTTCAAATACGAATCGTCAGAGGCAGGTACAGCCAGGTCCAAACAGGGCCGAGATCCAGTCGAGACTCCCACCTTCCTAAACCGGCCATCACCTGGTTGCCGGCCAATTTTTCAACTTGCATTTTTCTACCATTTTCGTTCCAAATCCTTTCGAGGCATATATCTTGCGCATCAACATATATCTGCCTTTTGTTCCCGTTCCCCGTCCTCGTTGTTCTGCCGCCTTCACCATTATTGGGTCAGTCGATGGCCCATTTACCCTTCCCCGCATTCTCGTCCCCGTACTGATGACGACCTTGCCGCCTTTCTTTACAGGCACTCGACCCACCGCAACCAACCCAACTTAGTGGGCAATCCGCCACCGTTATTACCAACAGCGACCGCCTAATTCCACTGGACGAGTACGCTCTCGACCTCCAAAAACTGCCATGGCGCGCCCTCGATCGCCGTCTGCAGACCAATCAGACACTGTATCCTTGTTGAAGCGGCTCAAGACCCAACATCCCAATAACGGAACTGCAATTGAGGACCCAGTTTCTGCCTTTGCGACGGATCTCTTCGACCATGCCAATATATCGAGACTTCACACCTCCTACCTCGAGAGCTCCCCGTTTCACTACGCCATGGTCGAGAAGCTTTTCCAGGACGACCTGCTCAAGAATGTCAAGGATGAGTGTCTTAGCGAGCTGAGCTTCACAGAGAAGGAGACTGACATTTACAAGGTTTGTTTCATTGACTATATGCGCCGGTTTCATTAATCATTCCCGTTCCTCCACAGGTAAATCAGACTGGGGACCTTGCTTCGCTCAATTACCTTACCTCCTCTCAAATCTCCCTCCTACCTAATCTCCTCAGACTCCGCGATGCGCTCTACTCTAATGCATTTCGTTCTTTCCTTCGAACCGTCACTGGCTGCGGGCCTCTGTCCGGTAAGAAGCAGGACATGTCGGTCAATTCGTACACGAAAGGCTGCCATCTCCTCAATCATGACGATGTCATTGGCAGCCGACGCGTTTCCTACATTCTGTACATGCCCCTGCCCAACTACCAACTCTGGCAGAAGGACTGGGGAGGCGCTCTTGAACTCTATCCCGTCAAGGAATCTGCTGATGGCAACCTGGAACCGCTGCCTGTACCGGGGAAAATGATCCCACCAAGTTGGAATCAGTTCATCTTCTTCGAGGTCCAGCCCGGTCGCAGCTTCCATTCTGTCGAAGAAGTTGTCGTTGGCGGAGAAGGCGAGGATGGCAGGGAGCGCTTGAGCATTAGCGGCTGGTTCCATGCTGCCCAGGAGGGTGAGGAAGGCTATGATCCCAAACTACTCACTGCTGAGGGCAAGAGCTCACGAGAGCAGTTGGTTAGTGCTCTCCTCTATGTTCTGTACACCGCTGATGTTCTCCACAGGCTTCTACCTCTACCATCTTTAGACCGTACACAGACACACCGACATCCTCACCGCTGCCTGACGGACTTCCTCAGCTAACAGACCAACCGTTATCCGAGGAACACATATCTTTCCTTCGTGAATATCTCAACCCCGTCTACCTCCAGTCTCGCACCATGAAAGCCCTCGCCTCTCGTTTCGTCGAAGAGTCGTCGTTGGAATTGCACTCTTTCCTTAAGAATGATCTCGCCGAAGCCCTCGAGCCACGTCTACGGGATCTTGATGCGACGGACGGCCTTGGTCCCGAACGAATGGGGCGCGTCCCACCACACTCCTCTGGTGTCAACCTCCCGGCGTCGTCGAACCCAACGACACATATGCCCCATGGGGCCACCAATGGCCAAGCACCGCTCGTTGCCGAATCCAATAGCGCCTGGACCGTCAAAGGACCTCCGCACAAGTGGCGGTACTGCACTCTTCTCCCGCCCTCTCCCTCTGCTCCTGTTACGTCCGTCACCCCACTCTCCGCCCATCCTTCACCGTCTGAGATCCTCAGGGTCCTCCAAGATGAATTGTTCCCGTCCCAGGCTTTGCGAGCGTGGATGGCAAGCGTGACTAAACTTCTCCCGTTGAGACATAATGTCGAAGCGAGGCGGTTTAGGCCCGGGTTAGATTATACGCTTGCGACGAGCGAGGAAAACGAGGCTAGATTGGATGTGGTGCTTGGACTGACGCCCGAGTCATTGGAAAACGAAGATGATGACATGAGAGGAAGGGTTGGCAAAGGAAGAGGGAAGGAGCTTCGTGGGTGGGCCGCTAGCCAGTGGGGTGGTTGGGAGGTAATAAAAATTTTCCTTCCATTAATTTCCTTTCTAATGAACATCATTCTATCATATAGTGCTACATGGCTCCACATAATGAAGAGGACGACCCGGCCGTTTATCGTGCCGGCACGTACAAAAAGTCGGCTGTTCTTAATGGGACCGCTTGGACGATAGACTCGAGCGGCGCTGGGAACGGTTCTACCAACACTAACGGTGGCTCGGCGGCAGCAACAGCAGCCAATGGCAATGGAGGACAAAGCCCGGCTAACAACGGTAGTCCGAATGGGAAACATGGTAGCCCCGATCCAATTCCAATGGATGCTGACGAGAGTGGGCCCCCAGAGGATGAAGAGGACGAAGATGAGGAAGACAGTACACTACTGACAGTGCAGCCTGGATTTAACCGCCTGCTACTGGTTTTGAGGGACGAGCGTGTAATGCGATTCGTCAAGTATGTGTCGGCTGCTGCGGATGGCTCACGATGGGATGTATGTGGTGAGTATGAGGTTGGGGTGGTTCAGGAGGAGGCAGAGATGGAGGAAGCTGATTGACTGACTGATTTTTCCCCTTGCATTCTTTCGTTGGTACTCGGTTGTTATATGTGTATTCCATCTGCTCAGTCTATCTCTTACGTTCCCATCCATCTGGTTTTCTATGCTTGCATTATTTTATATCACTCCTCTCTGCAGACACGCTCTTTGTTGTTGTTCTCCCCATCTTACATAGTTCGTAATCCTCAGGTCGCCGCACGCCGTCTGATTAGAAACGAATGAATGAAAATGATAATGATCATCTATGATATGAAATGATTCCCATTCATCATTGCTTGAAACTTTAGTGCACTAAGAACGTCTAGTGATCCGCCCTTGAACGAGGGCATATACTGTGCGAAATGATACTAATATGATTGTTGGAAGAAAAAGAGTCTGGACCAGATTCAGATGAACGGGGATCTCCATAACTCCTCCGAGCCCCAGTTCACTGGCTCGCCTTATCCCCAGATCTTGTTTCGTGTTAGGCGGTTTGAGTCACTTGGCAAGTTCTTCTTCATCAATAGCGGCAACGAATACTGCGCTTCAAAAATTATGCTTTCCGCTTTCTGCGTACTTGCTGGTTGAAACGTGGTGTCACGTCGAATTAGCTTTACCTCAGATTTGGACAGCCAAGGGCATGGATCGGTCCTCCTCAGAGTCTAGAGCGTGAGTTGCTAGGAGGAAGCTCGAACGCTGAAGTACCCCCTGCGGTGTTACAAATTCACGAAGTTAGAAGAAGATGAGGGTAGGGGGGTTCATTTTTGCCGGATGCAAAGCTCAAAATTGGTAGACAGCAGTATTTGTACTGCTGTCTAAAATATTTGAGGCGGATCAAGATTCCACCTGAGTAGTAGTAGAGATGAGCTGAGGCCGTCCTTCGTGTCCCTTTGTTTGAACTGGGCTTCTTGCTTTACCATTTCCGGTTTCGGCGATCAGCTTTAGTGAGTGGGAGGTATACCTATACGGGGCAGACTTGGATAGAATGATACGTATGCCGGCCCTTCTCTTAGCTCGTACCAAGGTGAATCCAGGCCCGTCTCTCGAGTGAGACAGAGCAATTATTTTTATCGGGATTATGTATGGAGCAAGAAGGACCCATACGGAGTAGATAGCAAGCCGATATTGTAAGAGATCCGTAGCCGCTTAGTATTTTGCTGCTAGAGAATCCAGACCCTTCATAAAAGAGAAGAGATGGTGTTCCGTTTCATAACGACTATAGTGGATAAACTCATACCGGCTTGACATTTCCAAAATGATTTACTGCGAGAACGGTTCGGGGTCCAGATGAAACTAAATAAAGAGAGGCTCCCATTATTTCTGCAATCAGCGAGAAACAACTAGTACGCACCGAGCTCTTGAAATTCTCTGGAGAGTAGCAAGAAGGACAATGTCAAGTCGCAATTTTCTGCAGTAATCGAAAGGTTGGTTCCTGCGATTGATTCTCATACCTACGACGCCGCTCTCTCCTCTCCAAACCTATATGATCAACGCCGACCTTCGCACTTTTTTTTTCTGCTAATGCAATACCCTCTTACGGGGAAGGGGATGAGGAGCGAGGAGCGAGAAACAAAGCTAGTGCGAATATAGATGAGTTCCAAACCAACGGACGTATGTGCCTCAGCTTTCGCTTCGGTTAAACGTCTGCATGTAGACAAAAGATTATGGTGGACGCCATGGGTTTCACAAAGTCGTGGCATTGACAAGCCTTCGACAGACAGTAAGCATGTGCATCATTTCTGAAGAAGCTAGTTCATTACGTTGGAACAGAGAGACGGGGATGGATCATTTTTAATGCCTAAAGTCATCGACCCCTGCTTCAGGACTAAGCAACAGAAAGCCCACAAGGACGATGTCGGAGCACTATCGGCAGCCTCAGAGAAGTGAGGAAGGAATATTCGGATCCAGAAGGCCGACAGTTAGTGGAACAGCCCTTTCGGTAGTCTGACACTGAAAATTCATCGGTCTCTTTTGCTGTGGACAGAAAATCATTGGCAGCATGTAACAGTTTAATGTGGCTGTCTTGAGAACTTGATTCCTCTTCGCGGGATTGATATAAGCTTCGGTTACAGAAATTCCAAATCGTTCTTTTCATTTGTAGACAACAATTGCAAGCTCGCCGATAGATTGATAAGACAGTACATAGGAATGTATATCAGCTAATGGAAGATACTCTGAGAAATGCTTTGAATGCCTCTTACGACGAGAGAAACAACATTGGCTCATTAGCGACATGTGCTTAGGGACGTCTTTCTAGAACTGCATCAACGAACAACGATGTACTCTTTGCGCGTCGGTTAAAAAGGATCTCGCTAGAACAGCAACAGTGGAACTAGGATTGTGAGATATAAGTTTTTGACGTCGCGTATGATGTCGGTGAATGAAGTGCTTAGCTGTGATGACATAACTTAGAATGAATTAACTCTCAGACGACGGAAAAATCGTTATCCACGTTCATCCTAGCCGGTCCTCGAAATCATCTCGAGAAAAGATGGTCCGATTCTTTGTCTGCTTCACCCGATCGTCTTTTAGCATTCTAATTTCAAAGTCAGCGCTAGCATCAGCGAAGACCAATATGAGCGTACCTAGCATCCACCCTAGCATCATCACCCTCTACACCGACAATCGCTTGCGGCGTCTTTGCTTCAATGACCTGCACGTAATCCAATGCTATCAACAAATCCGTATCCATGGGATTCAAACGCACATAATGATTATCACAATGCGGACAATATTCGTCACTCTCCTCGTAGCTTGTCATGTCTTTACGGAAAGCCTTCTTGCATTTTTTGCATATAAACGCCATCTCGGTCGTCCGTGCCAGTGGATGCGCCTCGGATTCAGCGTGACAGTCGGAACAGTCGAACCATTTCTTGCAGCAGGGCGCTCGGATGGAAACTTGCGCGTTTAGAATGTGTTTGCTGATGACGAGAGGTGTAAGACAGTAGGTGCGCGTTGGGCGAAGGACACTGACCACATCGTTCAAAGATAACCGACGTTGTGAACGAAAGATTATTGGTGGTCACCGGACAAACCGAAGCAACGCTCCCGGTATCTACACGAGGTTTGTTCTTATTATTTTCACCAATGTATGAAAAATTATGCATAGATATGGGAGTGGGGTGCAAGAGACATAGTAGCATTATTACGAATGCCTGTACATCGGACTGGTTATACGTTTACTCTTGGTAAGGGTAAGCCAACTTGGGGGCATCCTTGCGCCTCCACAACTTCTTCCTGAATTTGGATGCCTTAGAAATGTCCCAGGAGATAAGAGCACGGTACGAACTTTTTCTTAGTCGGGACATGCTCGGCAAAGACTTCAACACAGTACTTAGCTTTGAATTCGCGAATGAAGCGAGGATCCCTGAGCAGCATTATAAATCTGACTATATCTGATTGTGAAAAAAAGCACCAGAGTTCACTAGCAATTCCTAGGTCCTTGCAGCAGCGCATCAAGGCATTGCTCTTGCACGCTTCGGTAGCCGTGGCGACTCCGTTGACGTCAAAATACTCTTGTTCGCCTCTAGCGATGGCGACGAGTCTGAATGAAAATGTTTAGGAAAGGAACCTCCAGAAGACGCGCATACGCACCGCCCTTGGCACACGAGAGCGTATTCCCGGCTGACAATTTTCGCACTGACATTAGTTTCACCGCGAGGCGCTAAACCCCATGCACCAGGACCGAACGCCCTGTTCAGAATGCGACGGTACTTGATTTCAGGAAGGTAAAGAAGGCCATCTGTTCGAAAAGAGATGAGCAGGCGCAACAAAAAACAAAAACAACTCACCTGGCTTGCATTCTACGTCGAGGGGCTCCACAGGCGCAAGAAGGATATCGGCAGCCTCTTTGGGGAAAGCCTGCTGGGAGAGGCCGTAGTAACTTTTGGACCAATCGGTTTGACCTTCCTTTTCACCACCAAAAGGCACTGGGGCATCGTTCGGCTGTGGAGGGATCTCTGCCTCCACGTCTTCGCTCGCGGTTGCAAAGCCAGCAAACCTGGGAGTTCGCAACATCGTTCTTGACAAGGCAAGCGAAGACCTGAGACCTAGTCCCCGAAGTGAGCGCGACTGGTTGGTCAAAACACTCCGAACGAGGCTGGCCATTGTGGTACTGTTGAGACAGAATTTACAATTTTGAAACAAAGAAAAAGCGACTGTCAGACCCTAACCCTATGTCTGCACGTGATCCAGTCGCGAAACTACATTTAACAAACAAGCTCCCACAAAGCCCTTTCGAGGCAAATTTCAACTTTTCAAATTCGCATCCAGCTTCTGCCACTCATTTTACGGCCGCATGCACCATGGATGATCAACTGATGGACATGCGAACCCTTATTCAAGACTCTTTGGACGATGCGAGTGCTGTCTTTCTGCACCAATGACAGCCTGTTGACTTCGCGTTTTGACAGATTTTGTCCCCTCGTACGGCATATACTGGTAAAACAACTGCCCTGCAGCGCCTAGAGCATCAACTGTCGATCTGTGTTCAGAAAGAATCAGAAATCCTTGACTTTTTGTTGGCTCTACAGCACACATTTGAGTGTAATAGTGGGTATCATGTTGGTCTGTTTCCTTCTTGTTTGCTGATCTGCATACAGTACCACTACGGTTAATGCCATGGATAGCAGAAGTTTCAGCTGAACTTCAAACCCTCTTAAATAGGGGAGTACCTGACGGTCGGTACTTCTACCGTCTTACACTAGTTCGTGACTGATGAAGGGAACAGACAATGATAGCATTCAAATATCTCAACTCTTGGACCAACTCTCACTTTCTTTGTCTCTTATTCAAGGCATTGTCATGTTGCACCCTCCCAGCAAAACGTATCTTGGTCGGAAATACCCCGTGGAGGTGCGTCATCGTGGACGAGTCTGATGGCAATTAAGTCTGATAGGCGTTAAAAGATATTCATTGATCTACTCGTGACTTCACGTCGCGCATCTTGTCCATCAGATCCAAACTCGTCCGGCTCTCTTCTCAAATCCCGCGAATTACAAGCGCCACTCTCATCCATTGTCATGGACGCCCTCCTTTGTATATTAGTCGACTCTTCTGTTGCTCTGCGCTCGTTTGAAGAGTGCAATGGAGTCCAGGCTATTGTCAAAATTCTCAAACGCGCTGGGACTCCTCGTGAAGTTAGGTATGTCATATCCATGTAGTCGCCGGCAAGCATTTGACATCCGAAAATTAGAATGAAATGCTTAGAATTCCTATACTTCTACCTGCTGGACGAGAGTCCCTCTGCAGAGACTGGTGCTTTGAAGCACCCTACATCAGTGCCGCCCATCACCACAACTCCGGTGACACCTGTTGCTACGACATCCTTGCGACCGAAAAAACCATACATCAACGGGAAGCCGACGCGTCCCATGTCATGTTATGGCTCCTCCACTTACTCCTTCTCATCTAGTTCTGGGAGTGCAGCATCTACCTCTCAATCTGGGTTCACAACGAGCTCTGGAAGTACAACCCTTTCTGTGAGCTCCAGCACCTTCTGTTCAGGTCAAACGTCCCGGTCAACATCCACCAGTTCTGCTGAATCCTTTTCATCGACGTCGTCTGTTGCCTCAGCCTCGACTGCCGTGTCTTCTGTACAGTCATCCCCAACAAAGACGACGGCCGACCCTTTACCTGTATCAAATACGCCAGTCAATATTCCTCCACCAGTATTCAGGCCAAAGTCTCTGTACATGTTGCAGCGGGACCTCGATTTCGTACCTGAGAGTCCCCAAAGGCCCACAGCGAGCTCTGTTGCAAATACGAGCCTCTTGCGACCTCATCCGGGGAAAAGTGTGTCTCAAACAACTACAAGATGCCGATTGGGCTCGGCCTTTGTTCTTGACACGAGTCCTAAGAGGACCGGAGTCGTGGAGAAGGTTCGGACAACTGAAGAAAAGAAGGAAATTCTTGGTACTATGTTGGGGAATGTCGATGCGTTGGTGGAAGGTGTTCGGAGGGTGGGTGTCTGGGGACTGGGATAGGTTTCGTGTAGCTATATGTATCGCATTTGGGATACCCCATCTTTTCTCTGGAATATTTCATGAACAGGAGAGCACTGTAGAGAGAAGTAAGAGCATTAACGTGATTATAAACACACTGTATGATTCCGCCGTGCACCCAGTTGTAACGTCACCACATAGGTTCTACTTCTTCCCAGTAACAACAGTCTCAATCGCAGCATCCATGAGCCCTTTCTCCTCTTCCTCCGTTAGATGCCCAGCATTCACTCTCGCCAGTGATGTTGCGCGTGACTTGACCTCATCATCGAGGTCTTCGAACTCGTCTTGTTTCACAGCGTATATTGAATACGAGTATACCCCTACGGCGAATGCACCCAAGACAAACCCCGTCAAAGCGTTTGGTATACGAAAGGGTTCGCGAGCGCGTTTGAGCCCGGGGGACATAGCCTGTGTTGTGTTCTTACCTGAGGACCAGCGATACAAGATAAGAGATGGAATGATGAAACGTACCCCGGCTTTGGGTCTGTAGGATTTGGCGACTTTGCGCGGGTCAACGTATTTTTTTGACCAGCCTTCCATGATTGAAGGTGGTAGCGAACTCAGAGTAAGTATCGGCAGATAAGATCATAACAAACGAAAAAGTGAACCTCAGGACCATTTGAGGTTAATATATCGCACAGTGGATGTGACTCCATAGCTAAGTGGTTATAGCATGAGATTGCAGTAATGTTTATCTCGGGGTCGCGTGTTCGAGTCACGCTGGGGTCTTAGCGTTGTCGATCCTCCATGGCACGTATTCTTATTTTTATTATGCTTTCGAAATTCGAAATTCGTACCACCGAAGATCCTTCGTCTTCCTGGAAACATGTCTGATGCTGGGTGTAAGAGAGTGATCGGGCTGCATTAAACACTACAATAAGCTTTGGGGGTGGGGTTATTGTTATCGTCTGTTATGTAACTTCAGTACTGGTAAACGAACGGTTATAGACCTGATGTCGCAGGCTGCAGATTTACTACACCACCCATATTGTCTAGAGTCCAACCTGATTCACACTGTGCAGCGTGTGCTTAACATCATTATCAAAACAAGCTATTCAATGGTCTAATCGACTATATTCCTGAACTTGGATGACCCGCTGTTGATGTTATGTTAGGACAAAAATGGTGCCAGTGCATCATAGGAGAGGCAGAGAAAAAAGTGTTATCATTCAGTGCTGCATCACTCCAAGGTGAAAAGGGTCCGTCAGGACCCTTGATTCTTCTGTAACTTCAGCACGCTACGAAAATAGGATCTGCTTGGTCAGGTTGCTCTTAGAGCTGGGAAAACGCTGATGCCATGAACATATCAAAATATATGCCAGGGACATGATGGTATGCCACAGAGAGATAGAAGACTTTTCTTCCTCTGGTGAGATGGAGTGCGCAAGCGGACCCAAACTTAGCTAAGGTGTTCTGGATGGGGCAATATCAAACAGTATCTGGGATTCAAGGCAACCAACGTAAGTACTACCAGCGGTGGAGGCTGATTTATTTCGCACGTTCACAGAAGGACGCTCTCAAGAAGCTCTCGTTATGTCGCCCAGAGGCAATTCGATGTTCTATACCTGTATGACTCTGAATGGTCACGGTTCACCTCGAGAATTGTCAACTCTGGATCCTAATTTGTAACATTTCAGAAAACTGACATGCACAGGGGAGCATTATTCAGTTGAAGAGAAACAGCGCTCTTCCAATTAGTGGTAGAAGTATTCAGTTTGCTCATAGGCTCCATATACAAATCATGACGGAGGAAAGGATTAGTAAGTTTTTTCCATCTGTTGAAGAGATGGACATCAGCCTGACTTCCAGCGCCCGTGGTATCACATTGCCGTGTTGTCATATCACGACTATGCGGTAGGCCTGATTGTAACATTGTAGTAGAAACCCCTGCATGACGAACACGGCCCCGAATACAAAGAGTTGCTGATGATCAAGAGATCTGGATCCAAGAAAAAGGGGTAGCTAGAAATGGCCGCTGGTGAGGCTAGTGGCAAAGCAAATCCTGAGTGTTGTTAAAACATTAAATTTAGACAGCAGACTAGGCGCCTTTGGAGGAGCGTTATCAGTGAACAGTAGAGCTAGTCTGGCGGAACCGACGTTGTAAAGCCAACCGGTTCGGGACGCCAGAGGCGTTTGGTACTATCTCATCTTCCGATTCTTTACACGGTACCTTCAACTGTCATACAAGGCGCGAGCCCGAAAGACGAAATATCTGGTTTCTCTGTGACCATCGAATCTACTTTTATCGCCTTTGGTATGTGGTTATTACTGTCCTGATCTACATGTGTGCGAACCTTTCTCAGCAGCTCGTTCTACTGTCATTACGGTATCCAGGCGGAACTGCTAGAACTCAATGACTGCGATGGAATTACCAGGCAATTTGTGGTACACGCAATCTAGCAAGTTCTACAGGCTATTGCGCTCCGATTCGCGAGGGAAAGCTTGTCATCAAGGACGAAACCTTTTGGGTTCGAGTTTATCTTCTATATGATGTTGATGTGATGTTGATGTTAGTTCCTTCCCTTCGTATGCGTCGCGCACTCACCACGCATCACAGTTTCAGAGGCATACATGAATGATGAAGTAAACTCTCCTTCTATGAAAGACGTGTTGAATGTGGGTCTGCGCGTCTCTTACCAATAATTAAGTGTTTGATCTCGCAACACTAGATCTATATCGACAATTTCCCCCATATGAGCGGGGTATGGACTTTAACTTACAAGGTCAAGTCTATCCTAGACCGCATAGTCATACATCGCTTCTTGTACCATGGTTTGAGTCAATCAATTCTCAATGTACGCTTTTTCTTGGACTGTATCAGGTTTACATTCGCACAATTCCTTCTTCCAGGTTGCAGGATATGATGCTGCAAACGACTTGTACAAGGTAACTGCAGGTGTTTCTCTGCATTGGTCTCTTTGTGAATGCGAAATTAGGCTTTTCTCAGTCAAGAGATGCAATATTCTTGCCCCATCTGGAGTGACAAAGAAGGTGGCGTCCGGGGTGATCTGGCTGGACAAAGATCTCTTGGTGACCTTGAGCGCGCTCAGGAACATAAGATTGGATATATACTGAGCAAAGCTTCTGCCCGGGCACCGGCTGTTGGAGATAGGGAGTGGGTGGGGAAGTCTCGCTATCGCGATGTGAATGATTTCCTAATCCGTTACTGGATATTGACTCTTGCTACTTCTGAAGGCGGCTGAAATGGGATGTACAGTCGACTCTTTAACGTTATCGGTAGAGCAAAAGGCTCTGGCGGAGGAACGAGTCAAGAAAGCGGGATTTAGTCCCAAATTCGCATTCATTTAATGGATTACAAAAGCATGCCTCCGAGAAGGCCTTTGACGCCTGTATTGCCCTGGAGATGGTCGAGGTGTGCTCCCTAGTACAGCTTTCAGACGAAAATATGTATGCTTGCACAGGCTGTGGGAATACGATACATGCCAACCTTTATCAGAACCATTGATTGGGCACTGAAAGATGGCATCGTCGCTATCGTTCTTTCTGCAACATGTTACCCAGACTCTATGTTTAGCCCATACAAGTACGGAAGTTCTTTCTGGTCCGTGTTCGTTGCTCATCGGCTTCATCAGGGGTGGTGATTTCATCCGGAAATACCACTAGCCATATACCCCATACCTCTCAGCGCTACTTGGCTTGCACAGCAATTCCAGACAGCTGTTCGCGAACGCCTATCTCTGGAAAGCGTTGAAGATTATGGCTCGCGCGAGTCTTGGACAGCCCGTGCAACTGACTTCCATCTCAATATTCATGGCAAATTATTGTTGATGTTTGCGTGGATGGGCGAGATTGGATCCGTGTATTTTGTACTCTTGCTGCTGCGATTCTTATCTTTCCATTAACAGGCGCCTCGAAGAAAATTGGACGCAGAGCTTATATCGTCTCTACAAGAGCGGTAACAAAATTTTTAGATACACACGCGTTGAATGCCTACGAGCAAAGATGGCTCTACATGTTTACATGGAAGTAATCTACTCGCGTGTCTGACTGACACTCCATTATTGGACCTTCGTACGACCGGTCAGTCAATACGAACACCATCATATTGCTCGTACGCATCTAAAATTCCCTTAGGGATGCCCTGTTATCGAATGCACTTAATTTTCCTCCGGCTCCATACTCCCACTTTTTTGGCGTTTGAGACGCGTACACTGTATTTCGCACTTGGGGACGAAGATGCAATTGGTTTCTATTTACTGTAGGTCTATAGTTAATTTGACTACATGAGACCTGTTTCGGTAGGGCAAAGCTATAAACGTGCTATGGCAACCTTTCTTCTTTTATAACGCTTGATTCCGGAACATACTGTAGTCCTTTGGCATGCGATCCATGTACATGAATTAGTCTCCCAAATATCAGCACATATACACGGGCAGATGAAGTCAGCAGATCGAACGAAGATTTGGTGCCGCATCAAGAACGTGAAGCTGCTTCTCGCTATTTAACCGTTTGAGTCCACATCTCGCAAGCTTAACGTATGATGCTGCTACGTAACGTGTGACACTAAAGCCGAGGTAGGACAATGCAGGCCTAACAATGCACGTAAGAGTCACACTCTGGTCCGATACGCAGGAAGTGGGGGGGAAGAAACATCAGATCCAAGCAAATGGCTCGACCCATTACGTAGTCTAGCATCCAACAGGCACAAGTTCAATAGTCAAACCATTGCCATCAAGTCTAGCAGAACAACTTCTACAATGTCACACAACGTTTAGGGTGTAGCACGTCCAGGCCACCTACGATGCACCATGAGCCTTGTATACTACAAAAGACAGAGGCACAAACCTCGGGTACAAGGAACACTCTCTCACTGTAAACCTGTTCGCAAGCCACGCAAGGAATCGCTAAACACACAACGTCAATATCGGGTATTGGATGCAAGACTATAGATCAAACATACCTCTACTCCCAATCCATACCCGCCATGCTCGCAAGTTCCATATTTACGCTGATCAGTGAACCAGTAATATGGAGCTGGATCAATCCCTTCTCGTTTATATGCCGCCAGCAACTCCTCCACATCAGAAATCCTCATTGATCCACCCACGACCTCACCGACGTTCGGTATTAGCAAATCACAACTTTCCGTGTACACAGTTTTCGCGCCCTCCTCGGCTGGTATCTTCTTCATATAGAACGCCTTAAGTTCAGCTGGGAATGAATGCAGGAATACCGGCGTCCCAATGATGTCCGTCATCTGTCTCTCTGCGGCCTCCGCAATGTCATCTCCGACTATATGGTCCACCATCTTTACCTGGCCCGACTCATCGAGGATTACATTCCCCTCTGCATCTTCGGCTGCGCGCTTAATCCCATGTTCGACAAGCCATGCAATAGCATCAAAGTACGACATGCGCTTGAAAGGCCGTTCTGGAGCTTTGAATCCGGGGTTAAGTTGCTGAATGAGGCCCGCAGAGACAGGGTTGGCCAGAAGCTGATCAACAGTCTCACAGGTGACCGCCTCGATGTGATCCATGAGATCTTCAAAGCTGAGGAACGCGAGCTCAGCCTCAAGATGGGTGTACTCGCTCAGATGCCGTCTCGTGTGGCTGTTCTCGGCTCTGAAACTTTCTTGGACACAGAATACGTCCCCGAGACTAGGAAGACACGTTTCGAGGTACAGTTGGGAACTTTGTGTGAGGTAGGCGGGTTGGCCATAATAGTTTAAGCTGAAGAGTGTAGCACCGCCCTCGACTTGAGTTTGCACAAGACAAGGCGGAGTTACTTCGAGGAGGTGATGTCTAACGAGAAAGTCACGGAAGGCGCTGAGTAGGTGCGCACGGAGCCGAAGAACAGATGAGGCGGTCTCTCCTCTAATGACCAAATGACGAAGATCAGCTTGGATAGATGGGTCAGATTTCTGAGAAAAATCAGAGCCCATAACAACAAATGAAAAGGGGAATATACCTCGTTTAAGCGGTTGGTAAACGCATCGTCAGCTCCTGGGGCAGCTCCAACGACTTTCCAGTAGTCAACGATGAGTTCATGTCCGCCCGGTGCAGTCTTTCCTTCTGGGACGACTTGCAGGGTGCCGGCAAGCTCGACTGATGACTCCAGTGTTAGTGTCAAGGCATCGTATGTTTGACTCTGCAATTTAATTAATGATGAATTCTCACATACGACAGATAGAACACACGCACGACCACACCCGAAAGAACGGTCTGTAGATATCCAGTCCCATCTCTGAGGACCAAGAATATAATACCTTTTTGGGATCGCAATCGGTGAACCCATCCAAATACACGGACGCGTTGAGAACGTAGTTCAGATAGCTGGGATATCTTTGCCTGATCACGAACTTAAATGAGACGTAAACGGAGAGTAAAGCGCAGACAGACTACCTTCTTAGTCGAAGGCAACGACGCATCCTCCGTTAGAACAATCTTCTTGCTCTCCTCGAGCAACTTGTCCCTCCTCTCCTGCTCATCACCCTGTGCCTTTGTTTTTTGCTCGGCAAGCTCCTCCTGCTTTTTGCGCTTCTTCTCTAGGCCATCAGCATTCTTCTTGGCCTTTTTCAATGACGACTGGGTAGGTTCCTCGTATGTTCCCGATGACTCTTTTCGAGTCAGAAAGCCGTCAGACGAGCCGTGTGTGAAAAGCGCAAAGGCCAGTGACTGATAAGGCTGATCTGGGGTGCCTTTCCCTGTGGTATCAGAACCTGTAGATTCATCGACATAAATGGGAGCCATGCGGGCTGTATAACGCGATGGTACGCGTAGGCAAAGGTATCAAGTCAAGGTACGAAGTTAAGTCGAGAATGACTCAGTGAATACAATTATGGAAGGTCGGAGTAAATAGAAAAAAAATAAATCATGAAAATATCACCCGAGGTCGGTCCGATGTCGCAATACTACGCTGCCATAAACCTTTAAAAATGTGTGCTACGGATACATGGAGCTTGGAGACCCATTGCTTTCTAGATAGTTTCTCTAATACTCCGCCGATGGATAGTCTGTATAACCCTTCTTTTCTGGTTTTATATCTTTCCCATGCCTATGTATTGTAGACATATCCAGTTTTTCGTCCAAAGATTTTCCATACTGTAGCCGCTTAGCAAAATCTGGGTGTGCAATCCACGAAACACCGAAAAACACGCCTAGAACTTTTCCCTGTAAGATATAATGAGCTGCCTCCTCGCCCGTGAAACCAGCATTCGCAAATGCCATTACATCATTCAAGAGAGGTGAGTATGTGGCGACGACATCATGTTTAGTAGCACGGTGGCAGCTGTCAATGACAGGATCAAGAAACTCAGCCCACTGTACCAGAGCAACATACGCAATTTTCAGCTTGTCGAGTTCGCTAATGAAGTAAGTGAATGTGTCGAAGGTCTCTTTCAGAGGCATTCTTGTGGAGCCCAATAACCTGTCAGAATGAGTATGACAAGATACCTATACAGAATAGAACTCAGACTTGCACTCGATGTGAGAGAAACACATCTATTTATCTATACAGAATGGAACCAAGGTAAATGTAAGTAGTTTGTAGGTTGAACTACATAGAACAAGTACACATCTCAGACTTGCACTTGGTGTGAGAGAAACACATCTGAAGCCTACATAAGGTTGAGCTTGAGATATATCTACTTGGGGGGAATGTAAAGATACAGTAAGAAAAATGGAAAGATGTAGGTACATATTGACCTATGTCCATGGGTGTAGATGGGACCGATTAACGGTGCGCTTGCCTGCTCCAACAACAGATACTATCAATCAAATCCCGAATCGGAACAATTAAACAAGATTAGTACCTTTGGCAATGGTGGACACTCATTGAGTCTGGTCATTAGCAGCTACATCTTCGGCAGCTGCCAGAGCGACGTCGAATATGTCTTTCAAATTCTCCCAGTTCTCCATTCCAATGCTTATTCGTACCTACGACACTGTCATTGAGCAAGGCTGATGATACTGAGGAAAGTCACTCACTAAGGCATGATCAACTCCATTCTCTTCCGCCCATTTGAGATTCGAGTGGAACGACATTTCCGTGAAAGGAATAGCAAGCGTGAAGATTGTACCAAAGGTGATACCTTTATAACATCGCAGAGCATCATAAAACACTTTCCCAACTGCCAGGGAAGTGAAAGAAACCGACAGCAGACCGCCGTATCCCGGCCTTGCGCCAGATTCTTTATTAAGGTAGCGTTCATAGATATCACGGTCCTGATATTTGGGATATAAAACCTGCTTGATAAAGGATCCTTGGGACATTTGTGAGCGCGCATAGAGATAGTCGGCCACAGCCTCAGCGTTCTTGTTCACGATCGCAATGCGCTGCTTAATATCTCGCGTGTTCGCCTCCAAGCAGATAGCATCCTCACTAAAATATAAGTCCTGATAGGTCTCTTCCATGCGAGCCTTGAATGCTGAGTAGTATGGAGACGTCGGGTTGAGGAGAAGGCTAGTTGCGGTGATGAGTTTGAAAAAGATTACAATTAAATACACTTACGCCCCACCCATGACATTTGCGAGCCCGCTGATAATCTTGGTCAGGCTACATACGACGATGTCCGCATAAGGGAGCAATTGGACGCTGATGAAGTTGCCGACAGTCTCGTCGATGATCAGAGGAACATGATACTGATCAGCGAGCTCCCGCAGACGAGCAACATCAGGAGACTTGAGCATAGGGTTGGTGGGAAAGTCTATGTAGAGCGCAGCGAGCGGTGGCTGCTCAGGATCTTTTATCTGCTCTGAGGCAAGCAGGGCCTCGAGTTCGGCGATAGATCCACTTCCGATCACGTGGTGTCCGGCCCCCCATCCTTCGATGAGATTATGAGAATGAGAATATAAAACACTGCTCGCTGTCAGATATAAGACGTGATTTCTAAGAAAGGAAGGACTTACTTGAATGCAGCACTCTTCAGCCCCTTGGGACGGGTATCGAGAATCATGAGATGCAAGTGCCAGATCGCATTCATGCCACTGGCATACAGGTATACATCATCCGAAGACACGCCTGGCACACCTCGTATGTTGGCAGACCCATCACCCAAGTCTCCGGCAAATATTCTGCGAAGGGCGCGTTTGGCCTCCGATCCAGTTTCAACGGGCTTATGGGCTTGATAGTACTCCAGACTACGCCAATTCACGGTCCTGAGGGGTATAACGAAAGTGCTAGTATCAATCAACTCGTTGGGGATGCACTCAAGGCACAGCTCTGCGAAACGTGCCGATATCCCTGAGCCAGTGTACATCATGAACTGAGATGCCTCAGTGAAAGCGGATGAAGGAAAGAATACAGCGAAGACCTCCGGAAACCCAGAAACATCTATGCCGTCCTTGTAGGGAACTTCAAAACGGCATGCACGAGGTTCTCCAGGTTTCTCAGAATGTTTCTTCACGTATAACACGCATTCTTCAACAGATTTACGTGAAAACGAGAGAGCGCACTCTTCTCCTTCAATGCCGTGAATTTGGGAACAAACTTTCCAAAGCTACGCGAGCAGAATAAGATTCAAAGGCACCATTTAATCCTATCGAAGACGCACCGCTTTCACGTAGTCATGGATCTTTTGCCGGGGATAACCCGCCTTTAGCGAAGTCACAACTCTTTCCTCCTGTTCTGCGAAGCCGATGGCGTCCTGCCAGGTGGGTAAGGAACAGACAATCGTATGTGGAACGTTGGGTGGGATTGCGTCTCCTAACGCTGCTGGCCGGATTCCTCCAATCATAGGTATGCTGTATGAACTGAATAAAGAGAGAAAAACACGGAAGATGCGCTCAGATTTGTCGGAGAACCGGAGCTTAAAAAGACGTTCATCGTTGAGAGTGATATCGGAATTCAGATGACTCACCAAGCTCGGAGCCGTGGCGCTTTCAGAATTTCAGACATCCACAACAGAATTGAGCCTTGACATGGAAGAGTAATATGATTGGCATCTAGCATGGATATCGAGGCTGGCAGGGTAGAATGAACTGGCGATATCGAAGTGAAGATGGAGATTGGATGGATTTCAGTGGATTTCACAAATCTTTTTGTCATAATATTATTTATATAAATATTTATCTCTTCCTTCACCTTCATGTCTTCAACGCCCTCTGCTGCAAGCAGTACTAGCTCTAGCTCGAGAAACTCTAGTCTAGCGCCATCCTCTGATCGTCTTAAACGAAAACGTGGATCCAGTTCTTCTGACGAGGACGAACCATCTCACGATGACCCCGTTCTTTCTCATGCTGAAAAACGCCGACAGAAAAAGAAGGAAAAGTCGGAAACGGACCAACGTTCCAAAGCTAAAAAAGCCAAACTCGATGTCTCTGGGAAACGACAGAATTCTGTATGGGTAGGGAACCTATCATACAAGACGACTACAGATGCTCTTCGAACCTTCTTTGAAGGTGTTGGAGAGGTAATGCGCATACATATGCCGACGAAGCCGTCGGCGAAACCTGGGGTGAGAGGGGAGAACCGGGGGTGCGTATCTATGCGTCTTCCCGTTTGTCGTTTTGACCAAGTTGTTCTATAGCTTTGCATATGTCGATTTTGCGTCTCCCGAAGCGAAAACTGCAGCCATTGGTCTATCTGAAAGGCATCTAATAGGAAGAAAACTATTGATTAAAGACGGTGCGCACGTATTCACTTATCTACTTGGGTACTCATTGAACCATCTTTTTCCAGGTGATGATTTTGAAGGAAGACCATCAGTTCCGGCCGTAGAAGATAACAAATTGTTAGCTGGTGGTAAAAACCATTCAAAATCAGCACAGAAAATTTTGCGTGCACAGAAGCAACCTCCAGCACCTACATTATTTCTTGGTAATTTGGGATTCGACACTACCAACGATTCTATTCGCCAATTATTCGAGGGCCATCGGAGTCTGAAGGAAAAGGACAAAGCGGTGGTTGAGGCGCAAGAGGCAAAAGATCCGTGGATACGGAAAATACGTATGGGCACTTTCGAGGACAGCGGTGCATGTAAAGGGTAATGTCCATCCCGCAGTGGGTCACTAGTTTTCATACTTATCCGTACCCCAGATTTGCATTCGTTGACTTCTCGAGTGTCGAAAATGCCACCGCCGCGCTGATCAACATTAAGAACCATCACATGAACGGTCGTGATCTCGTTGTCGAGTACGCTTCGGCAGATGCTGTCAGGCGTGGCGCGTCAAAACCAAAAGGTCCAGATGCACCAGAAAAGCGGAAACGGCCTTTCGACAAGTCGAAAATGAGTCAGGGGCCAAACCGAGGACGCAAGCTCGTCAGGGATGCCGGGATGGAGGAGGATACCGTGAAAGAGAGAGACGAGGATCCTCATCCGCCGCCGCATCTCAACACGGCTGTGGGCAATGAGAGACGAGGTAGGGTGGGACCTGCTAATTCTCGTAGTCGACCTAGACCTGGAGCGGCGCTGGCACAAGCCCAGCGACAATCTGCTGCCATCCTCCCGACCTCAAACAGCAAGAAGATTACATTCTGAATGATATAAGTTACCATTGCATGCCATACGCCAGCAAAGTGGAGAACCGCATGCATTATTTACTCAAATTCTTGTCATCAAAGAACTCGTTCATCCTACCGTTTTCGGCCACTGGTCAATTATCCAGACTGGAGTGAAAGGGCGGATAGCTATTTCTGGCAACCAATAGCGGTCATCATTTTATGTAGGTACCTCACTGACACTAAGTCGTACAGGAAAGGCCATTATTGTGCGTCGGGGACTTTGTTGTCAGTTATCTATTGGGTGCAGCTGCAAGACATCTCAGCATGAAGCATCAAAAGGCTCGGGGCTCAGGGTTTGCTCAGGCTACGTCGGGGCTCTTTGTATGTCCCAAGTACTGATGAGTTAAGCCGACATCTCGTATCAGGGGTTTTCAACTGCCTGATTTTCAACTGAGATCTGAGTTCAAAAAATAGGCTGATGCGGGTGAGTGGTTAAGTGCATGTTCATTCGAACGTTATATAGTGCCGTCTTTGATGTTCAGTAAACACCGACGGCGGTCGCCACCAACTGAGGTCTTCACCTTGTTTACAACGCTCGACCCGATGGCAAAGTCTCTGTAAAAGCATGACAACTTTATGTATTGAAGAGAAAGTGATAGTATCCTTTGATTTAAGTAGCTGCACCGAGGTACCGGAGTGTTTAAGTCAGTACTGAAGCAGGCGAAGGAACATTGATTCCATGCACATTCAGAAAATGTCATTAAAATATCGTCCCAAATCGAGTATATAGATAGAGTTCCGATAGTACAAATGTGCAAACGCGAAAGATTTCAGCTGCATTCAATAGCAGAATGTCCCTAGTAAAGAAATCATAAGCGAGCATCCACGCATCATAAAATGATACCACAACCTTACCGGCGGGGCGAAGGTCCAGATATGAAGTACAAGCCAGACAGGCGAGTAGGCAACCTTTCCATGTAAACGAACATGTACAACCACCGACGCTTGTACGCGTTCCGAGCATGCAATCTTCAACTTATACATCTGGAGGTTCAGGAATGGCTACAGCAAAGAAAGTCGCTATCCGATGATATGTCGTCACAAATAGACCTTATTCCTTAGAGGTTCTCCTGGGAGGAGTCGCTTGTCAACGTCACACTGTGGTTTAGTTCCATGCCTTCGCTAGAATACAAATGCACGTTTAACATTATGTCCCAGGCACACTTTCCAACGCCAAGTCGGTGGATCAAAGGGCCAGATCCACCTCCTCCGCAAGGACCACCTTCCTTAATACCCTCGGTCCCAGCTCGCCCTCTTGCAGACCATTCGTCTTCTCAATCCACGGAATCTTCCCCTTATCCGGTTGAGGCCATTTCCATAGTTTCGTATACACCGTCTCCTTCCCCAGAAGCGCATCGATTACTTTGCCCCCAAGGTTCGGCAGGAACTTGAACATATGGCCACTCCCACCGCTCACAACGAACAAGCTTTTTCCATACCCGGGCACGTAATCGATGAGGAAATTGTTGTCGAGGCTATCACAGTACCAGCACAGGCGCGTGCTCGCGACAGTCGCCTTTTCAGCGATGTCGGGGAACAGCTTGCGTAGTGTATCCTTGATCAGCTCAACCGCGACGAGTGGTATCCGGGTCTCCTTGATGTCGGTATACCTGGTCTTTGGCACGGAGATTCGCAGCCCAGGTTCAGACGGATGGTCCACAAAATTGGTGTACTGCGTGTTGATTAGCATGATTATTTATGAACCATATAGACTCATACCTTCAAACCGCGATATCCCACTTTAAGTAGCCCATCCTCAGTAATGGGAAAGCCGTACACGTTACCGATTGGGCTGTCGTTACCGCTAAGTCCCCATGCCCAAACGAGAAAGTTCTCTGGAGAGTACTTTGACCAGAGTTCGGGCTCCTCCTCTTTGGGAGGGAACTGATAGAGCATGACGGACCCAGCGGTGGTCTCGAGGCGATCGGCGGTTTCAGGAAGAAGTGACGGCGTCCAACCTCCTGCTGCAACAATGATGAGGTCGCCGGTGTGAACGACGCCATCCTTCGTCTTGACACCCGTAGCCTTCTTCTCACCGTCCTTATCATCCTTAATGATCTCGACAACCTTGCCTTTCTCTGGACCAAGGATAAACTTGACGCCTGCTTTACCAGCAAGGTACTAGACAATGTCAGTGGATGTGTATGAGAAGATCAGGTCAACACACCTTTGCATACGCGCAACCCTTATCGGCTCTGGTAAAACCGCCGTTCAAATCCAGCAAACCGTCTCCGTTCCAATTGACCGCGCGCACCCTCCTACTTTCTCCTCCGAGATCACCACCCTCTGACAAAACATATGCGTTACTTCGCTGCTCCGGTGTGAGCGTCGCCAGGCTATCCCGGTCAAACTGGCTGATAGGTGAAGATTCTGATGCAGGAAGACGAAGGACGCCAGATAGATACAGCAGTTCTGTGTTTGGGGTCAGCGAGGGTGGAAGGTCCTCGGCAGGTGTTGCTGCGAGATCCTTGTTCCACTGGAACCATTCCTCCCTTGCTGCAAATGCGAGATGCTGGTAATCCGTTTCTTTGCCATCTAAGGGAGATGTTAAATAAATGGAGAGAGACAGCTAACAAAGTACTTACACCAGCAACGAAAGACTTTGTTCACATCGGCTGATGGTGCATCACATCCCTTGGATGGCGCATACCCGTTCTCTCCATATGGCTGGTAGTCGATCACAGTCACGTCGACTCCGGAACGAGCGAGGTGAAGGCTAGTGCTGAGCCCGGCAACGGCACCCCCCACGATAATGACTTTCTTATCTTGCAGAGAGACCATATGTTGGAATTTGAGGTGGGTCCTATTTCAACGCCCATTTTATTTTAAAGTAGCTATCTTTCGAGGAGCTGGTTGCAGGCAGAGCGGCACGGACCCTCGGATGCTACCGAGTGGCGACGATTTGCGTCTTTTTTGGTTCGTTTTTCGTCCTTGCTTTACCCCTCTCCTTTGCCTACCTCTACCTACCAACGACGTAACAGAACGTACTCCTACTGTAAGAGAACGGCCCATTTTTAATAACCCCATCGCAGACTTCTGCCTTATCTCAAAGTGAAGGGTCTATATTGCCTATCTCTGTTCACTTTGGGACTTGTATCAATTTTTTACCATTTCTTGCACCATCTTTCAATTCTCTTCGCCACCGGGTCTTCGGAACTATCCAGGAACAACATTCTTTATCTTTTCTCTGATAAACCTATCTCGGCCGATATGTTTTATCAGTGATCACTTCTGCTATCCTCCTAACTTTTCACGCTTTGAGGTCCTACTATGTCGCAACGCAAAAAGGTCTTAGGAATCGGTTCGCCTCGCTTTGCCACTGAAGAATTTGCTGCTCTCAAAGAAGTAGCCGATGTTCATTGGTTCGTACCCGATGACCATCCCCAGGTGATCCGCGAGGTAAAGAGACTATGTGAAGAACACGGTCCATTCGATGCGAGTTATGTTTTATTTGGGACAGCGAAGTATGGCCCCTTCACTGTAGAGATGCTACGACCGCTCTTTCCTGGATGTGGATTGTTCGCGTCTGGCGGGGCAGGGTACGATGACATCCCTACAGAGTTCTTGGCGGAGAACGGTAAGTATGCTCTATATACGCATTCAGATCTTCATCTGAACTCGCATCTAGGTGCCTATGCTGCTAACACCCCCACCGCGGTAACTAATGCAACCGCCGACATGGCTCTCTTCCTCACCCTCGCCGTCCTACGGGATACCTCTCAAGTCGAAGCCAACTGTCGAGCCGGCAAGTGGCGCGACAATTTAGAACTGAACGAAGATCCTTATGGGAAGACGTTTGGGATATTTGGCATGGGCAAGATCGCGAAGGCTACCACGAAGAAGGTCCAGGGCACTGGGATGAAGGTCATCTATCACAGCCGGACGAAGTTGAGCGATGAAGAGGAGAAGGCCCTGGATGTCTCTTACGTTACTGAAGACGAGCTCCTCGCCTCTTCCGATGTTCTCAGCTTGCATTGTCCACTCACGCCTGATACGAGACAGTGGTTGAACACGGAGCGTATAGAAAAATTGAAACATGGCGCTTTCTTTGTTAATGTTAGGTGTTTTTATCCCTCTTTCTCTTCTTTTTCTGACGTCCCGTACAGACCTCTCGTGGTGCTATTGTGGATGAAACCGCACTTATTAAAGCTCTTGAGAGTGGTAAAATCAAACGTGCAGGCCTTGACGTGTTCGTCGGCGAGCCTAAACCCAATTCATGGTTCCTTCAGTCTAATAAAGTTACCATCCAACCACATTGGGGTGCATTTACCACGGTAAGATATTGCTATTCTGCGCGATGTGTTGAATCTCACCAGTCACGTGTAGGGAACGATATATGTTGGTGAATGCCAAGTCCTGGATAACGTACGGACATTCCTTGAAACTGGCCGACCTAGGTATCCTGTGAATAAGCCCAAGGGAAAAGAGGCATAGATATGTAGGAATAAATTCGAATATAGAGATGAAATAGTATAGCGGCCGTGAAGACGAATGTTTTTCTTGAACTTATCCCAGTTTTAAGTACCTACCTTCGTACTTGCGCGAGACATGAACGTTTTCCCAGCAATATTTCATTGGTCAGATACATTATTGCGAGTGTAGATTGTTACAGTTTTGCTTTGACTGGGGCCTTCGCCTCCTGCACATCGTTTACAAGTGTACCAATACCGTTCCCTACCCACACCGAAATGTTGTCGCCGTCTTTGAGATACAAGGGTGGCTTGCGGACAAATCCGACACCAGCAGGTGTACCTGTTAAGATAATTGAACCCGGCTCTAGCGTAGTGCCTTGGGATAGGTGGGCAATTGTTTGCCTGACATTGAAGATCTGGTCGCTAAAATGGATAACAGGTTACCAAGGGTGAGGGACTAATGGCACAAATACTCACGCAGTAGTCCCGTTTTGTACAAGCGTTCCATTCAAAATGGATTTGAGGGACACGGCTTGAGGGTCAGGGATTGCAGATGCAGAGACCAGACAGGGTCCCAATGGATTTGTGTTATCTGGAAGACGTGAGCAAAGAACCAGTCAAGACAATGAGGAGATGAATGCACCGAAGCTTTTAGAGAATCCCCATTGCGAAACGATCATTTGGTGTTTTCGGAACGATACCTACAAAATTATCTAGCTGGTAAACAGGGGGGAAGCCTGTGAGAAAGAAGATACTAACATCATTCGCCCCGGTGTATGCGAGGACGTAGTCCAGAGCGTCCTCCTCCGATACATCCTTCGCGGGTTTTCCAATCACGATAGTGAACTCGACTTCATAGTCTGACTGGTGCTCCTTCGGGGGCTGAACAGCCGTTGGGATAACGATGGGTGCCAGAGGTCCGATGAGAGAGTTGACGGGTTTGTAGAACAAAACCGGATACCTAAAGTAAGTCACAAGCCGTCATTATGGCGAAACGATCTAGGATAGCTGTCGATCTCACATTGGTTTAGCCATCTTCGCCTCGGCCTTTCATGCGAAAGTTAGCCCCAATGAAAAGAGCGCCGAAAGAAATTAGGAAACTAACAGCGTGATCCGAATAATTCAGCCCCAAGCATCGAACCACCTTGACTTCTTCTGCGGCCAGAGGCGTCAAGAGTTGCTTCACGGTAAGTATGTTCTTCGAAACCTGAGCGGCAGGGTCTAACGCAGAACCGACGATTTCATACGCCTTGATAGTCTTGCCTTCGTGGGCAGCCAAGCCCACTGCAATGGACAATTCACATGAGCAACAAATATGTACTGAGAAATGACGACGACGTACCATCCAACAAAGCATCCACAGGCTCACCGATGTGCACACGCGAAGTCTCGATGGCTACGAACCGAATCAGACGTGTCCATTGCTAGTAAGCAGAGCCGTCAAGGGAGTGCGTCTAAATCATTTATCGGGGAGCTTACTGTCTTGATGGGCGCCATTTAAATTTCAATAATTCAGTTCACAGTACAGTCGGAAGAGCTGAGGGAAAGAACTAGAATTTGTCAGACACCTGCAGGTGAGAAATAATGGAAAGGCGCAATTTCTCCGCGAATCACGGCTATCATTGGCCCGGGCCGGTTTGGTGAGCACCTGAGGAGCACGAGTACTCCGTCGGAAGTAACAAGTGCAGTATGCGGAAGCAAGGGAACTGCATTGCACGGTAGACAATACAACTATTCACGAGATTCAGGACAGAAAAGTATCAATACCGCTAGTACTCGTGCTTTGCGAACCCTATGCTCAAAACAAAAACGCGTATGGTAATCATCACAAGAATCTCAGCGGGGCTCCATTGTGAGGCGCAGTGAGACGGAAAAAGGATCGTCAATTCCCTGCGGATATCATAGTAGTAGAGCAGGAGTGGGGGGAGGTTCTCACCTGTGGACGAAGCAGGGCTGAAACCTCCCGCCTCATGGCACGCGATTGTTGATAGGGCATTTATCTACATCTATTGAACGACCTTCATACGGATCGTTGAATCTGGTTTACGAGATTAGGACATTTGGAAGATGATAATCTGTGGGCCTGAGCTTGAGTTGATCCTTTTCCTGTTCTATTGTATCATCGGCATCGAATGTAAAACAGTATTATTTACATATACTAGTGCGACATATATCCTTCGCAAGACTTGTACTATTGGCGGTGGCCGGTAAGTATACCTGGACAGTGAATTCGATATGCCCGGTCGACAAGGCTTCTTTAGGGCAGGCCCGCGCATATTCGCGTTTCCCAGTCACCTGTCTGACGCTACCCTTCCTCTCTCATGCTGTTCCTAATTCCACGAGAAGCATCTCCGTCAAGCTTTAATTCCCATCTGTATTGACATACCCTCTGTGCCACTGTTGGAACAATCGAGAAATGAGTTTCCGACGCTATGGTGCTCGAGTCCATTGACGTTCGCATGCCACACACCACAGCTGGTGCATGTTCGTAAATGAGCTTGTCTCATACGCTCTCAACGCTCATCTTGCCTCAGAGAAAGTCACGACTCTTCAGAGCGTTAAGACTGTTTAGGTCGCGTTTTGGCGTCGTTCTTAAAAACTCAAATCTATAATAGGTGGGTGGGAAGTTGCCTTTCAAGTTGGCATTATCATGGTATGGACTCTACCTTGTGGTAACGATTTCTTGCCGAGTCAGTCGCTTTTCTTCCACGCCTTCAGGTTTTCTTCAGACAGTTGACATCTTCGCAAACGGAGATTAATGGTTCTTGGCCTAACAATCTCTTGAATTCTCACTGGTTCCCGACATTGAAAGGAACGTCGATTTAGATAAGCTGATTTGAGCCAGTTATTTCGAGACTGGCTAATTTCATTCGTCGTTGACCTATCATTGACCTCGACACACATAGATATGTATCTTTCAATTCGCACGTGTGTAAGTTGTACATTTCTATAACCCACACTATTTTCTTCCATTAATAACACACTTCATTGGTTAGCCGATCGCCTGGCGGTAGTGTATCGGACACATTCGGATATTCAGATCCTCGGCGTAGCTCGCGCAGCTGAACTTGAATATTCTTCCTCGAGCGCTAAAAAGAAAACTCCCAAACATATGCGGCATGACTCCCCCATTCCCTGTAGCCTCAGATCCCAGCCCTGTCTCTCGTATCAGAAGCAACCCTTCTTTTAGTGAGACGCCTCTCAATTTTCGGATCATTTTCGTCGTTTTGGAAAAATTTCAACTTTCAAAACTCGTGGGCTGGATCCTCTTTGCCATGGGAGGACTGAAAAGGCAATACGCGTTCTCCCAGGGAGCAAAAATATAGCTCGTCCCGACTTAGCGCATCTCTGGCATTGCTAGAACTGTCGACTCGATCCTGTCCTCGTGCATGTAGACTCAGACCATCTTTGATAAGGTCGTATTTTGAGCTACGACCTTTCGAACCTCAGGTTAATATCCTAAGTTCGGAAGGTGGAGCTAGTTTCCGATTTGAACGATACGAGTAAATCAATAATCTTAAGAGACATCGAAATTCAGCGGTGATAGAACAGTAATCCTATACCCGCATAACTCGCCCTCATCCGCTTCCGCACAAGCCAACGATAACCTTCCTCCATGATGTATCTCATTTTGCAATTGGGTGCTCGAAGGACATCCTCACGGAGATTGACAGAACCATGTCTTCTCCGCCCGTGTCCGATTCCCATTTGTTTATGGCACTCAGAAGGTCTGAACCTAGTTTGCTGAAGCGATCTATTGGGACATCTACAGACTACGAATAAGTTATACTACTCAGGGCTGAATTACGGGCTGCTCCGTTAAGATAGAGAACGTGATCAAGAATGCTGCCGCCCCGGTTTGTACAGTGCTGAGTGCACCTTTTGCAAACATTCAAGCTTGTGACTGATACTTTTTCAGTCTGCCTTCTAAACTGTCGTTTCCGTTTATCGAGCAGACTTTGGGAACCAGTGCCATTAATACATCTACCGGCACTCTTTCCGTCCTCATGTCCATCGAAACCATCATCAGACCTGGTATAATGCCGTCAGTGATCTCAAGTCGGGTAAAACACCTCTTATCCTAGTTAATGGGCCGCAAAATTCCAGCCAGGAATAGTACGTCGTTTGTTCTAGCTGTTGTCTGATCTCAGACTAATCGCGCACTTTGTAGTATGTTGCGGGTGACCTGATTCGATCCAGGAGCATTGCTGGTATCGCTTACCATTCATCATAGGCCTCATACGGTTCTGATGTCGACAGGGTATGTGCAATCGTACGATCAATAGTCGTGTTGACATAGCATGGACTCAATATGCCTTTCTACGATACACTTGGAAGTGGCCGGTCGACACATCTTCCGGAAGCCCCGGAAGACTTCTGGACACAAGAGCTATACATGAATGAGCTCGAGAATCTCGTCTCTCATCTTGGGATCTCCGACTCATTCAATATTCTCGGGCACTTTGGGGGGGTAGGCCCCTACTGGCGTTCCTGTTCATTCTTTTCAAGAGCCAACTGTAGTCAAGGAATGCTCGCAGGACAATATGTGGCAACACGTTCACCGAAAGGTCTCCGACACTTAATCGTCGTCCGTGCCATTGCCTCCGTAGAAGGTGGAAAAGTTCTCTATGGGAAAAATCGCCTTCAATCCATCTTCGTGTCTCATCGCAACCCGTTGTGGACCTGGAAATATCAGACGTCGCTGTGGAGGATATCATGACGACCTGGAGAGCCATGGTGGAGGATAAAACCATCTGGAAAACAATGTACGTTGAGGTTCCGATTTCATCCTAGTCCCCAATCCTCGCTTGCTCAACGTTCTTGACGATTATCAGGTTCGGTGGAATAGTCGATACCCGTCCGATACTTGAAATAAGAGGGACCCTCAGCGACTGGTCCATCGTGGATATTTTGAGGCGCATTTCATGTACGATGCTTTGTATCTTCGGAATGAACGAGGATAGATTCAAGGCATGGATGACTGTTCCAGACACAAGGTGGGTGAAATTTGAGAACTCTCTCAATTTCCCAATGTATGAAAGGTGTGAACAGTACAGTACGTCTTTCCTTGCACTATCATTGCCCTTACTTATTCTCGTGACATCATACGGGTACCTACGGACAGCGGCAGATTTCTTGGAAGCTTCATGAAGAAGAATTGTGCCTGTTACTTTAAGTCCTTTACGTTCTCGAAGGCTATCAATCATGTAATTAAAGAACTGGGATTTTTGTATACGACTTCAGTGTTATCTGACCCGTCCAGGAATGTTGTTAACGCGCCATTTGATTCTCAATGACTATTTCAGAAAATCAAAATCGATACGCCCACCGCGTCCTTCATGACAAGATCTTTTTCCAAGACGAGGACCTCCCCTTATCCGAGTGTGCTCACAGGATCAACTTGATCCACGATACAAAGAGAGAGGAAAACTTAATCTTTTTTGAAACAAGTCTTTCACTAGTATCCCCTCACATTCTCCTTTTCGAGACTTGGGAAAAGTGTTGGGATAGCAATCCCGAGCGAGTACGAGAACGTACTCGAAGATACGATGCCAGTCAGCGGCAGCTGACTTGGATCGTGATCCGGACTTATTTAGTATCTCGTAGAAAGATCTCGAAGTAATACGAAATGTATTTAAGTAGAACGTTTCTCTCTCGAGAGGCTAATTCTAGTCCTCTGTTACATTACTCTGCTCTCTACTTACAACAAAAAGAACTTGTCGTCATATCTATCGTCAGACTTTAGTGCGTAAAAAGGATTGGGTACGGTATTCCGTGTCTTTCAATGCCTCCCTGTATTTCTTTCTCATATGAATCAATGTCCTTTGTACATCATGTTCAATTCTCAATGTACCCTATGAAATGCCTCTACTCCGCGAGATGTAGTACGCAACCGTGATCACAGCGTCCTGTGCGTACCACTTTGGGAACGCGTTTGTGGCGTGGGAGTACCAGCCATTTTTTTCACTTGCAAATGTTTAAGCCATGTTCCTTTGCTCTCCGGCACTATGGCCTGCATCGTTCGCTATCGACCTCAGCGGCAGTGCAGAATTCTCCTTCCCCCTCTCGCTTGGTACGAATAGGTAATCTTACCGAAGATTACGACGTTCAGAGGACGCTCCACAATGCGAAAGCAATACCCGTCGAGAAAGCAATACTAAACAAGGACCATCTGCTTGTATGGTTTCCAGACAGTGCTAGCGCGGCTCGTGTTGTCGATTCGATCTTCAAACGTAGCGAAAACTTCACCTACGAGTACGAGGACCCGACACCACCTCTGTCGGCAGAAATCGCCGCTCATATTGGCTTGGGTGCTTACCGGAAAATACGTATATTCAATCTGCCCATTTCTACGAGCACGGATTCGTTGAAGGAGACCTTTGCTGACTCCTGGGATGCGATGGCCCACACGGAAATAGTGAAGAAGGAGAAGCGGGGTACGGCTACCGCCTATCTGGAATTTGCGGATATACGCTCTGCCATTAAGGTTTTTCCTTTTGTTTTTAATAGTATTCAACATGTCTGATCATGGTGATTGTGGTAGGCTGTGGCCACGCCCAAGGTGGGACTCCTACAGGACACTATCATCGACTATTTTAACAATTCCCGAATTTATAATTACCCTCCATTTGTGCACGTACGCAAAGAGCTTACTTATGGAGGGAAACGTGGCATAGTCATCAGCGGCATTAAGGATACAGATCAGGTTGAGCAGGCTGTATGGTCTACTATAGGATCGAAGACGGAAGCCATGGTGTTGGACTCCGAAGTTGTTGCATCTCAAAACGTGAGCTAACGTCTTCGCTCCATAGTTTTCCTCGATTGACTCGTCCTAGTCTATCGTTTTACAGTTTGCTACTGCCAAAGCCACGTTTGAGTTTAGAGACAAATTTGCTTCTGCCGCCAAATCTCTTGGTGTCAAAATGAAGCCGAAAAAACTAGATTTAGACAAGTCAGCGATCTCAGTCATAGAACTCGGTGGAAGCCGAACGTTGTACATTCGCGCAAAGAGCAAGCGCGGGATCAAGAACTCTGCCCAGTTCGAGCACTTTGGACCAGTGATGCAGGTTGTCAAGAAGTGAGTGGCCCTTTACAATTCTCACAGAAACGTTTTCTTAAACTGTTACGTCAGCGGCGACATCACAGAAATCACATTCAAGTCCTTCCATGATGCCATGAACGCTCTTATCCAGCTCGAGGCCGGAACCCATAGCCTTACTGGGCTCAAAGGCGCCTCGATATACATACCGAATACAGAGCCTGTGACCATCGCACCCCCTACGTTAGCGCCGCAGACGGAAGCTATCCGTTCAGCAAAAGGGAAGGAATTTCTTGCGAAGGCAGAGGAGTTCGCAGCGCAGGCAAATGCCAGCCTGCCGGCGTCATGAAGCCGCGGAACTTTAAAATCGTTTGTCCATGAGGCTTATAGTACTGGGGCACGTCCTTGATATTACAATCTCCATCAAATATCTTCTCTGCCTGAGGGTTCAATTGATATTAAGCACTCTGAGGAAGCTTCAATCCTTTACATTGACATGTGTTATACCGATGTCGGATGAGCACCCTGAGATCCAGGATCCGTTGCACTTTTAAACCTTTCTAATATATCAATTAAGCCTCGCTTTGTAGCGCCTCCGCAATCAGTGACTCCGCCTTCGCTACAAACATTAAGCCCTCTAATGATGGAGAGGGTTCAGATGATGGAGGCAATCGGGGCGGAGCAACGGTGACAGGCGACGTCTTTGGGAAAGATATTGAAGCGCCGTCAAATCCAGTCACACCATGATTGCCGGACTCAAGCTTGAGCAGAGCGTTCATGGAATCCCAGAAGCTCTTGTATGTGATTTCGATAACATCGTCACTAGAGAAAATCATTATCTAGTGTGGACGGAACACTGATATAGGCTCACTTCTGGACGGTTTGCAGAACCGGACCAAACTGGTTGAACTGTGCTAGGTCTTGGCTCCCGCCTCCGAGAATTTGCAAAGTTCGACTCGCTCCCATACCAATGGCTGAAACCTGGTCCTTATACATATGCGACTTGACCAAATGTACCTTGACCTTTAGACCTTTGGGTTTGAGTTTCTCTTTGAATTCTGCAGCAAACGCCGCGGTAGCAAATGAGATAACCATGACCTATATGCGGGATCATACCAGATTGTTCCGAGTCGAGGATACAGGTGTTGACTCACTTTCTGCTCTGCGACAAGTTGGGAATCCAGCACTCTGTCGCTCGTCTTTGACTCGACAACTGACCATACGGCTTCCTCTACTCTATCAACGTTTTTGATATGGCTAAGAATAACTGTCCTCCTTCCATCATGCCTCATTTCAGAGGCTCTTGAAACGAATGACGGTACTCTGAGTTGTCTGCTCGTCTCGCAATAGACAAACTTGGCATCTACAAGGCCTTCTATCTCAGGAGAACTGACAGCCTATATTAATCGTAAAACATGAGAGTGTGCATAACCATCATAAGTCGAACAGCATCGAACCTTAATAGCAGTATTTACATCTGCAAAGTCGATGAAAGCGCTGCCATCGTAAAGTCGGATATCTGTGACCGTGGGGTCCCCAAATTGTGAGAGTGCAGCAAGAGTCGTCTCTTTGGTTAAAGGCGATGCGGCCGTAAGCTTGACTTTGCGTGAAGCCCCCAGGCCGCAATAGGCTACTGTCTTCGCAGAGACGAGCTCTACCGGGCTCTCATACGCAGAATCCATCATGTGGGCATTGGACTTTGCGAGGCAAAAGCGCTTAGCGAGATCTTCATTGAAAAAGCGTAAAGTGATATGATTCTTGTCAGGGAGTATCTGTTCAAGAGGTGACAAATTGGCTTTGGAGGCCTGAAGCACGTCGGCGAGATTGTAACCCTCTGGAAGATTTCCTATGCGAGCGACACGCAAGGTTTCGGGAGAGATGTAACGTCCGTTCACCAAGACATGACGACGGAGGTCAGAGGAGAAGTGCCTCAACATCGCTGCCAGAGAGGGAAAATGGCCGGGAGAAAAGAAATTGCCGCCGGCTGTCGACTTCCCACGCTATACACGCGCGCTGGGTTGGGTTTGCATGTTGATTTTTTACCGTTGCACTCCGCCCGATTTCCTCAGCCAAGGTATGATGCAATACTCAGCTTGACATTCAACTTAAATGTGCGTGTAGATGGAATCCCTTCCATCAGAAATATTGTCTGCAATATTCACATTGGCTGCCGACGAGGACGTGCTCTTTCATCATGCGCTGCCGACATCGATGGCTTGTAGTGCGTGGTTCAGTAATGCCTTTAGCTTATGGTCCTTGCGCAGTCCCAGTGAGGCCATAAATGCGCTCCAACGACGCAGCTACTCCACGAAGAAGAGCATTATCTTGACCTGCAAAACGTTCCATCGCGTTGGCTACGAACTCTTCTTTCATTGCCTCTTCTTCAACGGACCGTCCAAAATTGCCGGTCTCTGTGCCGTTCTCGACTCTAACAAAACTGATCCTTCCCCTGGATGGTGGACCAAGCGCCTTCACCTCACCTCTTACTCGGACGTCGTTCTCACTCCGGAATCGGCAGACGCGCTATCGACTGTGATAAGGCACTGCCCTAACCTAGAAATCATGGTCATGTCATTTCCAGTTAGCAGCGGCGCATTTACTTCTGTCGCAGATACCATCAGCACCTATGTGAGGCGCACAATCCATACCCTTAATCTCAACGTCCCAGTTTCAAGCCTCCCTAAGCTCATCTGGATGTTATCATCCCTTCCTCTTCTCACCTCAGCCCATTTCTCCTTCAGGTCGCACAAAAACCTCGATGATGAAGACAATCCGCCCCTTGGAGCGGCCGAATCCATCATTCTCACCCTACCTCGCCTCACCCAGCTTTCCTTGTACGGAAATACCGCGCAGTTCCTCGAACAGACCCTGAATTGGTCTCTTCCATCTCTTCGATTCCTATCGCTCAACACCTTCCAATCCGACATTCTACCTGTCTTGGACGTGCATGGCAGCAAACTCATTCTCCTTGACGTGACATGTTCGCATCCCATCGCGATGGATCTAGTCCTCCAACGCTGCCCGAACCTTGAAACTGTTTGCTTTAACGCTGACTGGCGTATCGAGGGTCAGATGATGCATGATAACATCCGCGATGTTGGCCTGCATGGCCTGTCTTTGGCGTTTACCACTGTGAAAAAGGACGGGGCTTCCCAACTATCATTACTTGATTCAATGATTCGGCGCGCAAATGACTCTAACTTTACCGCTGTGCTGGACAAGTCCAAGTTCCCAAAACTGGCCAGGGTGCGGGTACTGAGCCCGAATGTCCTGACGGCGTTGGAGAAAAATGGTGGACCTGAGAGTGCGCCAGCCAATGGATACGGGTATATAGACGAAATAGAGGATGGGCTCAAACGGTGGGAGAGGTGGTGGGATACGTGTTACAAGGCTGGAGTTAGATTGGAAGACTGTACTGGGGGAGAGCTGGGTGTGTTGCCTGGCGAAGAAGAAGATACTGTCCAAGAGGACGAGGATGAAGACGAGGATGAGGAAGAGGATTTGTCTTGGGAGTACGAAGTGCCGCCAATGGATCAAGAAGACACATCTGGAGTGGGCGAGTTGCGAAAGTTAATTGAGGAATGCAGGAAGATGGAGCTGGAACGGGATACGTTCTGATCTTAATGCATCCTATTTAAAAAATATGTGGAATTTTCTTCTATCTATCATAACATAGATAAAGGCTTATATATATGTTACAACCCTCTCTGCGTCGGAAATCTGTATGGTTCATCACTTACAGTTGCTCTGTTCCGGGGTGGCGGATTGATGCGGGTATCGCGCGATGACGCGATGACGCGTTATCATGGTCACTTGTTATAAATTCGAGTGGCGTTATTCAAGACCTCCTTGCTTACTTACCACCGTCACCACCATGGCTCTTCAACCTTCCCTTCGTCCCCTCATCATCGCCGGGCGCCCTGACGCACCTCACACCTTGGATATTTTCTGTGCGAGATATAATTATACCATCATGTCTCATATCTTGACCACTGCCCAGTGGACTATGTTTGTCCTTTCAGGTACTCCCCTTGTTGCTCATGCAATGTCGCATTCCTGACATGCACCTTGCAGCGCCAAACTGGCCCTGACCATAGACACGGTCCTCAAGCCTTTGTTGGGACCTGGCGGAAAATACGACGGCAAAGTGAAAGCCATCTTTCGTCCTCAAGTCCAACCATGGCATGGTACCTCGACATTTACTCATGAGGCTGGGTTAGCGGTGAGTCATTATTCGATCACGTCGGGAAGGACTGGGCTGGTATTGGCACCTTTCTGAATCCGAAGTTTTCTCCTTCAGAACTTTCCTTCCGGTGTCTACAATATTGTCCATGGTCAGCCTTACTCATCTCCTTCTCAGGTTGCACGTGCATCTCCGGAATCGTTCTGGTCATTTTCTCTCGCGGTGAGTCTTCTTTACTTCTTTGCTTCGCTGCGCCCGCATAATCGAGGTCATATGGGCAAACTATACCATCTACTTGTTTGGGCATTTGTCCACCGAGATGCCTTGATAGATCTATTAACTAATTCACCCACAGCTCTTCATACATCAAGGAGAATATTATGACATTCCATCTTCCACCCTAACTCCGCTTCAAATTCGCGAAAACCTTGCTAAGCTCGCGAATGAAGTAACCCAGTCGCAGAGTGTCACGGATGAAATCAAAGACTTGCTCTCGCTCAGGTCAAGCCCGAATGGAGGTGTCGCTGTAACCAATGATTTGAAGTATACTAGTACGTATTGCTGTCTTGTTCCATCATAGCTTCTCTCATGTGGCCCCGGTGTAACAGTCAAGTTCTCGAGGCAAAATGGTATTCATGTCTCTCCGACGGTCCTTTGGGATGGCCTCATTGCAAACGAAATCTCAAGCAGTTGGGGAGAGAAGGAGTGGACCGAATTTTTAGCGACAAAAGTAGTTGTATGAGGGTGTACCATATTACAGAAATAGAAAACTGTACAATAATCAAATCATGAATTGGATAAAGTAGAAGGAAGTATCCACGTATTATGCTAGTCTTGACGTCACGAATCATCAAACTCATGTCCATATTCATATTTCCACTGGCTCATTGCTTTCTTCTCCAATGGCGCCTGTGTATCCAAATCGCTTCTTAACGCTCGAGCTCATCGTAGTAATCACAGTTTTGGGGCCGCCCTGCATATAGCCCATCGTCATTTTGCTACTCAGCGCATCGAAGTCGAGTCTGGCGCCGATTTTTAGGGTGTCCGATTTCCACACTCGCTGATAGATATGTGAGTCGGTGAAGGGCGTGATGTTATGCATTGTATGCTCCGACGCTTGTCCGCTGCAGGAGGTTTTGATCCAGACCCGCAGTCGATGGGATGCACCGACGGGTAGGGACTTTAAAGGAACGGTACTTCATGAAAACGTCATGAATAAGACGATTATCAGCAGACGCAGTACTCACTAGATACAGAACGTCACTTCTCTCGGATCACACTCAAGTTTTAGTCTTAGGTCTTCGAACAAGACTGCTCCTACTCCACAACACTCATACTCCAAGGAATAATCATACACGCATTCGCTAAAGCGATGCCATCTGGAAAAGCATCAAAATGATTTTAGGCCTTGTCACTTCGCAACGCCATACAAGACTCACCGAATGATAAATTGAACCTTGGCCCTCCCAACGAGCGCATCATACACCTGGGAACTGGGCAGCACCCGTCTTAGCCGGGCGAACGATGCATCGGCAATGCACGAGAAATCCGGATCCTTCCCTATCCAAAGGTCGTCCTCCCCGAACAGGCGATGACAGAATTCGTTGACTCGCAGCCAGACACGATATGAGAAGAGTGTTCCTACGGGCAGGCTTGTCTTTCCGGGAATAAGGCTGAGGAGAGGTGTGAGTGTGTAACACGCAAGTCGCCGTGCAAGATACGCACAAGACGACAAAGTTTAGTTGTCGGGGGTCCACGCTGAGTTTGAGCGTTACGGGTTCAGATAGGGAGCGCGTCATTTTGTTGACTCTGAGGGAGAGGGTCAGGGTGTATTTTCCTGGCGTTGGGGTTCCGTGGACGGGCTCAACCCTATGGGTGGGGTGTGTTAGGATGATATCTAAGGTAGGCCAAGCAAAGAGATTACTGACGATATGACGAATTGCATTTTGGCTGAAGCAGCGTAGATGTCGTAGGCGTATTCGTATCGTTCGTGAGCATGTCGTGTGGTGCGGCGTGCAGAGGAGGGTCTATCACCAAGGCTTGATGATTAAGCTTTTCGTAAGCGAACAGAGGCATTTTGCAACGCGAACTGGTAAGGCACACCTTAAACTTCGACTGTTCTTGCGGAGATTGTCGACAGACAGAGAGCGACTGAATGTGCTTGAGCCTGTTGTAGTGGTGTTACTGTGATTGGATCGATTCCAAGTGAGCTCGATGACACAGTTGGTAGTCTGATGGGCAGTTGGCTGACCTTCGAGTTATCGCGACATAATCCGGAGCTGGGTCGAAAACAGTGCGCCCGAAATCTGCGGCGTAGGACATTTTCTTGACAGTCTGAGGAAGGAAGACGGTGGGATCCGCAAGACAGCAGCGAACGTGTGGATTGTTTGTTAAACTAAGCGCTTGCCCATAGCACTGGGTACCCCCGGATCACGCATCAGACTTGTCATAACAGTTCTGGCTAGATTTTTCCTTGTGGGATTCGAGCCGCCTGACCAAACAATTGTTCGTTGATGAAGTTCCCCTTGATAGATCGTATCGGAACGCACTTTAATAAATTGCGGACCGCGCCCTAAGAGTGTCATACAATCGTCGAGGAACAATGCCAATACGTGGTTTATCGCCTCTTAGCGTGACCCTCTCCTCCCTAGTAAGTTCGCGGACATAGAATCCCATCTTCGGCCTACACATATGCACTCTCCAGATTCGATCTATCTTAGAATCATTGATAGCATCCTTCCAATCGCCCGCAGCCTGACAATATTCCCTGAGCGTACACAAGACCCTGAACCCACGATCAAAAACGTCTTCGATGTCCCATGGCTGTTGCACTTCCGTCGCCCATCGACCAATCAGCTCATTCGCTTGAGCTGTGCCCAAGAATCGGCTTTTTGAGAGAATTTCCTGCTTTCTGAATCCGAGAAATATGACCGGGATATCAAGCAAATGACAGCGAACTCGCCACTTTTTCAGATCCTCTGCCAGCTTCCTGGTTACGATGATCAGAGACGTGCAGACATCAATGTACATATAGACCTACTGTGGTTCGCGGCCATCTTTCTTGCATCTGAGTTCAATATAGTGATTGGGCTGCCCGTTGTAGTCATCTACACAGCAAAGTCAATGGTTGCAATCTAAAATGAACTGAATGGTGATCATGCCCTGGACACAATGTATTTCTCCAGATGTGAGGAGCTGTAAACCGCCCAAGGTGCGGGTTATCACTGTATTGAAGTCATTGACACCGACGGGATCTCTTGGGGTAGAACACCCTTCAAGAATATCTGGATCATACAGCTGGGTTGCAGCTCTTCGAAAACCGTAGCCCCTACAAAGTGTCAATTGAGATTACAGTAGTCTTAGTCAACAGCCTGACAAACCCGACGTAGCTCTCCATAGTACTTCGCCTTCTGACGTTATGAATAGCATCCTGTCAGCCTGTGAATAAGTTTGAAACTTGTAACATACATACCGTTTCCAGGTATGTGCTTCTATATATAGTTTCCCTCTGATGTAGGATACGTTGAATTCGCCTAGGCCGCGTATGAGCCTCAAACCAAGTTTAAATTGCACAGCCGGTACGAGAAAAACTGGACACATACTTGGACAACGCTTCGCATGTCGCTATAACATCAGACTTAAGCCAGCTGTTACGATTCCCATGGTTAAGGCAAGCCTCCAGCATATGATCAACTCTGACAGCCTCATGAAGCCTACATGGGTCTTGGGCTGCGTAGAGCTTGGAGCCAATGGCCAAGTTTCTTCCGGGCGCCGGCCACCGGAATCGTCGTAGAAGAGTTTTATCGTACTTGACGACGGAGTGATCAAGACGCGAATAGCAGGCAACCTGTGTTGCAGGTCCTAAGAAGACATTTGGTACATGTTCTGCTGCTGGTACAAGTTGGAAGTCCCATCTCTCTTCATCGTATGAACTTGGCCTTGAATAGAATCGGAATCGACGTCGAAGGTGTTCGTGAAATGGAAAAATGCGCGTCCCTCTCCGAGCAGACGGCTGAATCATATGAAAGGAACGTCAGTTGGTTCTTCAAAAAGAGCCTGCGCACATCGAAGCCTGGTGCTGAAGGCAAGCAGCTCAGTGGACGTCGTGGTCAAAAACACGAAAATGTCGATAACGTAAGCACTGTTCCTTGCACATGAACCTTCATCTGCTGGACTTGCAAGCCTACATCAATGCACTGACAACTGAATCAAGCATTCAAGTATATGTGCACTCTTGTAATAGCGTAGGCATAATTATACATTTTATAGGAACATCGGACCCCCGGGCCCGGCTGACTCGAAAACATACAAGAGATGATTCAAACTCTCATTTGTGTTCTACCACAGATTGTATCCAATCCAGAAAACTAAGTACTGTATGCATTCATGTTTGTATACCCTATGAAACCTTGGAACAGATTCACTACATGGAACTACTTAAGTAGCTTCAATATTCATTTCGGACGGGAAGCTTAAGTTTGAAGGCTTGTTATCAATTTCTTGAAATAATTACAGCGTTTCCATGGCTATGTCATAATGGTTTGGACACTCTCTACACTGCTGACACTGGGGAAGGATAAGGCAGGTCCCATCCCTTCTGAAGTTCTTTTATGCTATATGCGCATGCATCGCAATCAGACTTTGTTGTCTTCACGCTAATAATGCCCTATTTTTGATTGCACGTAGATTTTAACACCAAGAAGCAATCGACAGTCTACGTACTCTCCTCTCTTGTCATCTCCATGTACAGGAACCTCGCTGGGTATTCGCCCCCTTCTTTCCAGCATCCTGATGTTTCGTTTCATTCATCTTATGCGGAACAACCGTCAACAACACTACCGGATACTATCTACAGCGATACAGCTACAATCGAAGCACAGCGGAGGATTAAAAACCACAAATGCTTAGGTGAACCAGAAATATCTGTGGAAACCCTAGCTTGAGACTCAGAATCAGCTCGACGAAAAACGTCGTGAAGAATATTTTGATTGATAGCACTCGTTCTAACCCGTCGGCTTCCTGTAAATGGACGGAGAGCGGTTCTCAGATTAAGTAGGTCCATAATTCAACGATAAAGTGGACAAGAGCAAAAACGCAAGGACTTTGACAAATACTGAGTCGGACTAAAACCATCCTGAAGCCCCGACATAAATCGCCAGAGTTCTGTTCACCTTCACTCTTCTTAACCATGTACATCGGAGCTTGCAGGCGTGGGCACACAGTTCCCTTCCCCCGGACTACCATCCCTGCCTCTTTTATCGCCTCGACCGAGGACGAGGATTTTCTGCGTATACGCATTTCTTGCCAACTCTTGCGCTGGTTGAAGTAAGGTTCTCTTGCTCTGCCTCTGTGAACTCGTCATTGGTTTAGAATGATTGGCAATCTTACGTCGCTGTAAGTCGCCTTGTGCACAGAAATCGATATGATTGATTGTCACCAGATCTAGCCTGAATGTAACCAAGCATGTACAGCGTTGGCGGAGATGACGACAATGCCAAATTAAGAGTCGGTTTTCTCATTCAAGTAATTAACAAGATTATTTCTCGCATGCACCTGGCAATTCGCACACGTTAATAACTGTCAACGACCTGGGCGCGTGCGCGCAATAAGTAGTCTCACGCCGTCCCATACAAGCTGAACCAGATAGCTCGAGTTACAGACCAGCGTCTCTCTCGGAAGGGATCCTCTGTATAGACTGCATAAGATTTCACAGGCACACCGCAATGACTCCGAATTCAGAGCGAGCGCTCACAGAATATCAATCTGTATATGACATAAGAAAGGTTTCTTGATAACTGCGCATCCTTTGACCCACATAGGTCCCAATGCTACCACGTGTGAAACAGATTAACTTCCTGATGACTAAGTCGGCCGCTCCGATCTGCCGGAGGGCAGTGATTGCACTGCAAAAGTTATTTGTGGGGCGAGGTTCTCTACCTATCTCTTTTCCTTCACCCGCACCTACTACAACGCCATGAAGCGATCTCGCGACACAAAAGCATCCCCCACCGAAGACAGCGTCGCGAGATCATCGCGGTCGCGCTCAAAACGTTCCAAAGTCCAAGCGTGTTCCTCGTGTCGTAGGCACAAGACGCGCTGCGAAGTTCTTGATTTGGAACGTAGCGTCGTGCGATGCCATCGATGTAATGTTCTAAAAATCGACTGCTCTTACGAGGACATGGATAAATCTCTTTTCGCTCCAGAGCCTTCGGTCGCCAAATCTTTCCCGCAATCCAGCGCAGAAGCCGCGACAATGCAGTCAGCGTATGATTTAGGAGTGGGCGGTAGACTTCTTGATAGCGGAATGAGCTCTGGAAGTCCCAGTACTATATCTGACTCGCCTCTCGCTGCAGGTAGTGACTCAAACAGCGACTTTCCGCGCCCTGACAATATGTGGTCGTTCGTACCCCACCGTCTTGACTGGTCGATGCCTTTGGTAGCAATACAGGAGTTAGCGAGGCAGCCCCAGCAGGATCAATTCCATACCTCTGCGATGAATGACCAATCACTATCCAGCATCCTCTCCCAAGCAGAAATTGATCATCTCGTCACTCTGTACGTTGTATCTTCCCTGTCTGTCTTTTACGAGACGAATAACTTCTTCCCACTAGATTTTCTGTTAATTATGTTCCTTGGTTAAACTTCACGTTAGCTGGAGAAGGTCCAACACCATTCCTGGATCTTGTCTGTTGCACAGTGGCATCGCGCTACCTTGATGCTTCTACACGAGCGCTCGTAGCGCCACGACTTCAAAGGTTGGCCGAGGATACGATCGCTCGCATGATTTTCAATCCTGAATTATTCGAGTCTCAAGAGACTGTAAAGGGTCTTATCATTCTGTCGCTGTGGACGCCTATATGTGGCCCCTCGAAGGGCGGTGGCCGCGATGGTCGGATGCTGATTAGCATGGCTGTCAGCATGGCCTTAAACCTCGGATTAAGTGAAGCGTCTGCAACGGCAATTAGCATTCGAGATAAATTACCATATGACCAAGCAGCTGTGGATGAGGCTACGAACAAAGCGAGACTAGTAAGCGTTCTCTTTCGATGAGAAAAAGCTTCTATTCATCCTTTCACAGTGGGTCACACTCTCGACCACCGAATCCATGTGAGTCCAGCCAGCAGCTGTCTCGTTTCTCCGGCTCAAACTATTGCAGGCTATGTATCGGCACACGACGTACACCTCTATCTCGTCGTTCGCCCACTGACCTGTCGATTTTCCCTATAATATCTCCGTCGAATGTATCAGACGGCCGTGACTTACGAATACGGCTGCTGGCAGAAATTTACAACGCGGCGGAACAAGGGATGGCAGTAGAATTTGCTACTCGTGAAGACACGGAAGCTTGGTACAATGGGGTATCAAACTCGCTTGCAGCGATGGACAGGCTCTCTAGACTAGTCCTACCGCTCTCGGGTAAATACTTCTCTTCTGTACTATGATAAAATAGCTTACTGTATTCTAGTGGTTCTAAGTCACGACCAATTCTATTACCATATGCTTCTTCTCCTCCTCCAAGGTGCTCGACTATTAGTCTTGTACCATGCCATCCAACTAGCGCGTCGGGCCGTCCGTAATGTGGACGGTGAGACCAACATGTTCTGGTTTTTAGAAATTAAACCTCATGGTCTTAACGTCGTCACAATATGGGGGAAAGAGTGCCTTTCCATGGGAGAGGCTATCCTTGTGTCGTTGCTGAAGGCTGACAAGTCACTGCTTCCCACAACACCTGACATCACGTTCATGACGATAGCGTTGGCTGGCGCTCTAGTGGTGGGGGTCAAATACTTGATGGTGGAAAGGGTGGGGATAGAACTTCTTGGCTCTGGTGACGCATTGCTCGAGCAGAGTGTCCAGTACCTCTCGCAAGCGGCCTTCTCACGAGATCATGTAGCTGAGCGGTGTTCAGCGTTGCTGCATACGATGTATTCCTCTTGGATGAAGCGGCAAAAAGCCGAGTTCATTTATCTGAGCCCCTTGGAGCTTCATCAGTCCGGCGCGGCCGCGCCCGGTGTGTTCCCTACTTCGGGTGTGGGGACGGAGGGGCATGAGGCAGATGCTTCGGATCCGTCGATGTTCCAGGATATTCAGTTTTGGTCTACATTATTCGGAGGGCAAGGGGGTGCAGACTCGACGGTTTATCCTCCGAGTAACATGCGTGAGACATATACCTAGTATTGACCCGCAGTATTGTTTTTGTATTTGTACCTGTGTAGCGTTAGATATCCTCAAATCCTGATTAATGATCGCCAAAGAATCTGGAGCAGAGTCGGAGAAGAGGACAGTCGAAGTTCATAGTAGTGACTGTACGCGCATGAATGTTCGCTAAAACAGCTTCTAATTGAAACATAAATGGGGAAAATGATTAGGGTGATTCTCGTAGGATAGTCACACAGTGGAAGCCTCCTCCGTCAATTTGTACTGGTTTCCTGGTATAATCGAATCCTTGGTGATGTACTTCCCAGGCCAGAACGGCATATACACGCCGATGGACAGAAGGAGAGGCAGTGAATCGAGGCAGTAGAAAAAGACTGGATGACCATAAGTACCGCTCTGAATCGATTGAACAAGCAGGGTCACATGCCTTCGTGGGTGCGAACGTAGCTTCCGCGATCAGAGGCTCCTTCGACAAGACGATATATGGTACGGATCTTTGCCAAGTTAGAATAGGCTAAAGCGAAGTATAGAAGAGCTTACAATGATCAGAGATGAAGATACATAGAGCAGCCACAAAGCCTTCCACCAGTACTCTTGTCCAGAAGTGACGCGAGCCTTTTTGAGTTTCCAGTGGGTCCATAACATCATCAAGGTAAATATATAGTATGAAACCGACTGAAGGATCAGGCCGGCAAGAAAGATATTTTTGCCAAGGGTTATGTGGTTTGGGTTGACAATCATAGCAGCACCTCCAGCCTGAATAAAAGCTGATTAGAGCCGTTGGGTTACAAAATGAAGGGCAAATCGCAAGCACCTGGATGATGAAGGTGATAATATCGCTACATATGAAAATCGTAGACACGCGAGTAGGCGTCAAGATACAGAACTGAGCGCCAAGGCATTGAACGACGAGGTGGCCGTAGACGATATAGTTGAAAGCCAGGAAAGCAGCAGGCGCGCACGCGATAAGGACGTTCTGTGTGGCGAGAAGGGCTTGGAATTTTGATGTTCCACGGAGGAGACAAGGACAACTTTGACGAAGAAGCCAATACCGCTGACTGTGAAATGAAAGGTATCTTTAGCCGGGGACCGTATTGGAAGTGTGGGGAAGGTACTAGCCTGCTGCGCCGATAGGAAGACAAAGGCCCCACCAGTTGCGGTGTTGGCAAACCCGGAAAAATAGAACCAGAGAAAACAAGATGTAGACTATGCCAACAATAGTTGCCGCTGTTTTGCTTGGGATTTCTCCATAGACGATCTCTGTTTGCGTCACTTGGGAGGAGTTCACTGCAGCTGAGAAGAAGTCTGAGTATAATATATAGGATATTGAAACGTGGACATGTACCATTTTCAAATGTGTCCCTGGCCATGTATAAAATCGCCGTTGCGACCAAATCCATGCTTGCAGAGAGACGTTTGGTGAAGGACATCAAAATGGGGGTTGCTGTGGACAAAAGGATGCATGGCTTTCACCCTTATATACTGCAGATGTCGAATAGACATTGAAGAAACCTGAAGTGGTCCGTCGGAGATAATGTACGCTTAAGAGCATCTCCGTCGGAGGCGAGTTCTGTCGAGTTCTGCCACGTCCTGATAAGGCAGGCAGGTGTCTAACCAAGTATGACGCAAGTACAGCCACCTCTGAATTGAACACTCCTGCGTCGAGAAGACTGCAAGTGCTATCCTCCGTTAATTGGCGCCTGTCGATCGCCAAGTTATCGTGCATGCCTGCGGATGCACCGCCCGTTCGTGTCGTTGTTCGTCTGCCATATAACAAGCCCGAGGATCCACCCAGCGACCCCCCGCGAGTACGTGGACCCACAGGAATGACTCTCTTCGTTGGGTTTGATCCAGGTTTAGATAGAATGGACCCCGGAGAAAGCGGACATTCTCTGGAAGGTGATTGAACGGTCACGGACCACTGATAATGGAGGAACAGATTGTGGGCTTTACTCCTTTTTTTGCTGCGGCGACGGTCCTGAATGTGTCGCAGGGAAAGGATTAGCCTCTCATCTCCAAGTGCCATTGCCGTACCTCTTGTATCGTGTACATGCAAGATTCCAAGAGGAGCTCAGAGGACTGCACAACATACCTGGTGTCTTGAGTCCTTCCGCTATCCATGTCCCAGCCAAAGTAGTAGAAGATTTTCCCTTCACGGAGCCGCCCTCCATGGCTGCACGCGCGGCTAGCAGGTTGGCCAGCAGTTCTCGACTCTCTGGCTCTCCTGGACGTAATTCGACACCGTTAGGGATCCGTGCACGACTCAGCTCACTAGGCCATAATTCTCCTCGTCCGAAAAAAGCATCTTCATCGTCTACGCTCACATTGCAGAGCACCGTGAAGCCTCAAGTCCCTGCTCGTCCTCCATCGCTCTCGTCGTCAGAAAGCACAGACTCGGAGGACGAATATGTGCTCAAGGAAGAGGAAGCTGACCGGCAGGTGGAGGAGCAGGAAGCTCTCGATAGAAAGCTCAAGGACCTGCAGAGAATGATGACCAACGACGCGTTGGGACTCGTCGGCACCGGAAAGAAGAACAGCCATTCTATCGACCGTGGCCGTGTGGGAATGGTGTCGCCCATGTCCGTCAGCAGCTTGCGACGTGACACGTATTCGAATCGGAGCGCTAGTCAGAGTCTGTCGAGTGCGAGTTCGCCACAGGGATCAATACCAGATATCCCTTCTCCGCCTTCCGATTTCCAGCCGCATTCTCCAATCAGCCGACATATGTCGCCGAGCAAATCATCCAGTCCGCCTGCTCTGTCACCTCGCAGTGCGATTGGGCAGCGTTACGGGCATCTCGTTCGTCGTACCGCGAGCGATGGGAGCAACGGTGGTTCGGAAGCTTCCAGTTTCAGTGATATCAGTGGTCAGTATTCTTACCTTCACCAGGCGTTCGTGTTCTGAGCTTTGCTCGCTATTAGACGCAAGTTTGTCTACTTCTGCTTTAGAGAGCGCCTTACTTTCCAATATCCGCGGCACTGGGTCTCGGTTGTGAGTTCCTTGAATATCGTACACGCTACTCCCGCTGTCGCTCAAGTTTTTTTTCCAGTTCTAACTTTGCTATGAGTCGCTTTGGAGGTAGAAGCAATGGTGTCCCGCACTAGCTTTCGTGTATGCTAGAATCAAATGTTATTGTATCTCTACCCAGTGTAAATGGGCGTGTTCGTGGTGACGCGTCTATGGTTTCGATCCCTCTACCACTTATAAGTAAATATCACAATTTCTGTGTTTTCGCCATCTATGTATCATTCCAACAGTTTCGACGCCCTTCTGGCTCGGCGGACCGTGTTACGCGATCAGTGAGGCACCGGTGCTGAGTTTGGTTGAAACAACTTTTTTATACCTAATCCGAGTTTGTTGTGTCAGATATTAAACTCCCAAGTCCTTACCACCATCACGACCACCAATGGAGCTCACGTTCGTCAACGATCTGGGACATTCTTTCGACGTTGAAATCGACCCAAATATGGAGCTGGAAAACGTGATGGCACTGCTCGAGGCCGAGGTGCGTCGGCTGCCTCCTCTCTTTCTCACTCACTTTTACTAACACTCGTCATTAAACCTAGTCGGGCATTCCAGTGTCAGAGCAACACATATCACACGACGGGCGGCATCTCAATGATCCTAAAGCCACTATACAACAGCTAGGTGTGACGGATAAAGCTATACTATTATTGCGGCGCACGGTTGCTAATCCCGCGGGAGCGTGCGTCTATCTACTCCTTCCTTCTTGTTATCTCGCTGATAGAACTGCAGCGCCGTGCCTCAAGACGATGAGATGATGCGATTACAGTTGCTTGGAGATCCTTCTCTCATGCGTGAGCTCAGAGAGGTACGCTCGCTACTCCGATGTCCTGTCGTGGTCGCTGAAAATCAAAGGACAGAGCCAACCTGAACTTGCACATGCAGTGGAGCATGACCCTGCTCGTTTCTCCGAGCTCCTACGGCTGACGAAAGAACGGCAGTATGAGGCTGAGCTGGCACAGCAACGGGAAATCGCCAGTCTGAACGCGGATCCTTTCGATGTAGAGGCCCAACGAAAGATCGAGGAAGCTATCAGGCAGCAAGCTATCCTGGAGAATATGGCTCATGCTTTGGAGTATTCACCAGAGAGCTTCGGGAGGGTCACGATGCTTTAGTGGGTTGCATGCACTTGTCCTTGTGCGCCTTTTGCCTAACAGCTCAATAGTATCCCGGTGGAGGTCAACGGGTGTAAAGTAAATGCCTTCGTCGACAGCGGCGCACAATTCACCATCAGTGAGTCTTTCACTGAATGTATCCGAGTCTGTGTTGTTAACGGATTCCGTGCTAGTGAGTCCGCAGTGTGCAGAAGCCTGCAAGTTCGTATTTCACGTTCTTTGGAGCAAGACACCAGAAAGAGACTGATCTAGATTAACCTTGATAGCATCATGCGTCTTCTCGATAGTCGTTACTCTGGTATAGCCCAAGGTGTTGGTACCGCCAAAATCCTGGGAAGAATACACAGTACGCAGCTAAAGCTTGCTGACTTGTTTCTTCCTTGTTCCTTTCAAGTTATGGAGGCGAGTCTTTCTCCTTTCTTGTTCCACGCTCTATTCAGGATGCTTACACATGTCTCTAGGGACAAGGCGTCGACCTGCTCTTTGGCTTGGACATGCTAAAAGCCCACCAGGCGTGCATTGACCTGGAGAAGAACGTACTTCGAATACAAGGCCGCGAAGTGACCTTCTTGTCCGAGCACGAGCTTCCGGACAAAGCCAGGGATGAGGAAATTCCAGAGAGTATGCCCTCATCATCTTCTGCGTCGGGGTCCGGCTCTTCCAGGCAGAGTCAGCCCGCCGCTCGGTTCCCCAGGGGCGGAAACACTCTGGGAGGAACTCCTCGGCCAGCACCATCTCGTTCCTCAGCGTCAACGTCCAGGCACTCAGAGGAGTATATACGGACCATTATGGATCTTGGTGTGACAAGGGAGATTGCAATAAGTACTTTGGATGCTGCTGGTGGGAACATTGACGTCGCAGCCTCGCTGCTTTTCTAGATGGTTTGGTAGTAAGTAGTACAAAAAGCAATGTAATTCTAGCGCCCATTAACGAGTATACATATACAATAAGTGCGTGGTAGTATACAGTGAGTGCTCAAATATAGAAGTCGGAATGAGAAAAATGCACTTAAATGAGAGTAACTCTGGTTCGTACAAGACCACCTCTCCAGTTGTGCATTCCAGCGGCTCGATGGTGCGCCCAATCACCTTGCATCCGCGAGAATGCGTCCTGGATGTGTTCTGGCTGTATGGCCGTCCGTGCCTCCGGTGGTGGTAAGAACAGAGAGTTGACGGGAAGCGTGTATTCGTCACGCTCCTCCTCCTCTTCCCTTCTGCGTTTCTCTGCCGAGCCGCCTAAAGATGTTGCCTTCCGCTTGCCCATAACGGGCGACGTGTACTCGTCGAGTAGAGAGGCTTCTTCCAGCGACTTTTTAACGGAGAGACCAGCCAGGGTGAGGGAGCGAACCATTTCGAAAGCAAGGAAACCGACGATATCAACCGTGTCGTCGTTTGCTTTCAGATCGAGGTGTGGTGGAAGGTTGAGGAACTCGCGAAATCGTTTGGCTAAGAAAGAACCTTAACCAATGGAGATCACATTAAGACGGAGTGATGCCTTGCCTTTGCGATATGTAAACGAGGCTTGTCGACAGTCAGAATAGTGCTGATACTCCTCTCTGGTCATCTGACGAGTAGCATCGTCGGCTTCCTGAGGTATGGTCAACAGAGCAGAAATGGAACGAGAAAGTATATATGCCTTGAGACGCTGTATAGAGGCTTCATGAGCTTCAATGTCATCCTCGTCTTCTTCGTCGTCCGACTGGTGTCCGCTCTGCTTAAGGACCTCCGAATATATCGTCGTAATTTCCCAAGGCAGTTTAATGGTTATCTTCTGTGCCTTGGCAGCAAGTTTGTCTTCATCCAGAGTGAGAGTACGCTAGTAGCACTAGAAGAGGACGACGTACCATCAGCACCATCTTCCAATGTCTCGACCTCAACACCACCTCCGCCATCGCCACCAGAATCCTTGGCATGCTTACGCACATCTTTCCAGGAAAGATAAGTTCGAAGTCGGTTGACCTTGCCTCGATCGTGACGGATTAGAAAGATGAGGTCCTCAGCTGTCAGGTAGCGCGCTCCACGTCGTACAGCAAGTCCTCGGGCTTGTACAATCTAAAGAAGCAAGTCAGATTGTAAGTATAAAGAGAATGAAAGATTTACCAGCTCAATTAGCTGTCCCCGAACGATATCCTCGACGAGATTCACGGTGTCCATGTTAGGTTCCTGTACCTCACCGAAGACAAACATCTGCCCAATTATTGAGCACGCTGCCTCATGAGAGACTAGGACCACATACCATTTGTGAAATCTCCTGTGTATATTTGTATTCCCTTGTGCCCAGCAATTCACCAGGATTCGCCCTCTTGACCGTGGCCATGGCCGGACATACAAAAGCAAATGTTGGCGCCTGTGGGCGTACGGTATTATGTAAGACGTGCTAACTGCCCGGCCCGGCCCGGCCCTACTCCTTCAAGCTCCAGTCATGAGCACAATCGAAACTGGCGCAAATGTACGTCTAGCGAACCACCCAATCGCCAGAACCAAGGCGGTAGCTGTTTCTCCACTCGCACAAGGTTCTCTGATTATTTCCATCGATTCGTTGGCGACCGTTCTTTTACCCTCTGAAAAAGGTAGAAGATGTGACGCCTGCCATACAATACCTACGTCTCTACGGAAGTGCTCAGGATGCGCATCATTCTACTACTGTGATACTTCATGTATGGTGTAGTAAGAATGAACGTGTTGGCACCATCCGATTGATTACTTTCAGGCCAGTCAATGCATTGGAAAACGTTCCACAAGCGAATGTGCAAACATTTCAATCGATATACAACTTCGTCTTCTTTCCAAGCACTCGCTGCTCACGAGAAGATGGACGCACTTTTATTGTCTCATCTGGCTGTCCTCGTACCTTCCCAAGAAGTCCGAGAAGAAGGCAGTTCCGCCTTGGCTGTATTCATGTCTTTACTGCCGGGTTCCGTAGAGGTTGCCACCCCGCCTATATGCACAAACGGATCTCCTCCCTCACCTGAAACCTTGCGCTTTCTCTTCTCACGATTCGGCAACAATAATTTTGCCATGCATTCCCATTTCAATACCTTTGGCCACGGAATTTTCCCCCTCGGCAGTCGATTATTCAATCATTCTTGCTTGCCCAACGCTGCGGCGAAGTACATCATCTCTCCGTCGCATCCGCCAAAAATGCATGTTGTTGCCCTCAGAAACATTGACCCTGGAGAGGAAGTATGTATGTTTACTTTCATACGCAAACGGCAACTGACCGTTTTCAAGATATGTCTAACTTACGTAGATCCTGCGCTCCTACAATCGCGGCAGCAAATTTTCGAGTTGACCTACGGATTTAAATGCCGCTGTTCTTCATGTATTTTTGTCGAAGGACTGGGTCACATTCCTGAGTTGCCCAGTGATCCAGACGGCGTTGCGCGGGTGGTTAGGAAATTGCGCGAGTTCGTGCCTGCTTCAAGTCATGAGCTGTTCAGCAAAACCAAAAAACTCCCGGACGAGCTACTCTGTATCTTCCACGAGTCTTTCCTGTCAAGAATCTCGGAAACATTTAGCAATGCTTCTCATGATGGCCCATATGACTTGGCCCTCGATGTCGGTGAAACTATGCTACAGATCTATCAACTTATCTATCCAGAAAACTATCCTCAGATCGGTATGCTTCAGATCTGCGCCCTGTACCTATTTCTTTTGTCCTGATCAGACTATGCCAGGACTGCATTTGCTAGAAATGGCGAAGACAGGATGGAATCAGGTTGTCAGTACAGGATCATCCAACGTGGACCGACCGCGCAAATATGTCAAACAGGCACGTCAGATACTTCTGATTATTGGTGCAGAGGGCGATGATGGCGGCCCCTTGAAGGAGATCCAGACTCTCGAAGATCTTTTGAATACTCAGTAAGCACGGACCAAGCATCGGTGCGTTGAAAACACAATTATATAGAATCTGTCACTGGTGTAAGTAATAAGACTGCACGTGTACTTGAATAGGCGAGAGAGAGGCGTTATCCTTATCACAAAGTCCGAGGAGGAAAAAAATGGTCTGACACGTATGTACTGTAGATAACGTTGCTACAGGACCGAATACATATTCAAGATACAGTCGGACTACCCCTTTTTCCTTCCCTTAAATAAATCGACCTGGTGGAGACTCGGAGCTAAGGATGAGAATATCGAACATGAGGAACTTACCTCCCAATACTAAAGTTGTCCGACAGACCCCCAAGTTTCTTGATAAATGAGCGAGTAGTTGAAAAGACGAAGACAACAGATGCGACATTTTTGAGGCCAATGCCAGGATGCTATGTTCTATCTAGAGCGCCAGGGAGACGACGTAAAGAAGGTAATCGACAACGAGAACCCTGAGCACCAAGTTACTTCCGTCCTGCTCTCCGTTTCTCCTTCGCTTTCTCTCTCTCCATCGACTTTTCCTCCGCTCTCTCGCCCTCAATAGACCCGAAAACACGCCGCATGTTTTCGTTATACACCCTATCTTTATCTTTCTGCTTCTGTTGCTGCACGCCTGCAAGGAATTTGGCGTCCTTTCGAAGCTCCCGAATCGCCCCCTTCTTCTCCTTCTTATATTGATTCCGTAACTTCGCAGCCTCGTTCCGCTCGTGATCAGGATCTTGATGGCGAAGATAAGAGGATGACGACGTCTCGAACTTGGGAATGTAGGTAGGTATAGGAATAGGCTTATGAGCCTGCAGCTGCAAAGGCTGCCGTGCTTGCCGTGCAAACAGCAAAAGTCTCTTGGTGCTATCTGAGACGGCTTTTATGCGTGACTATGACGAGAGCATGAGTATTCCGGAGCTTGTACTACATTGGTACCCTCACCTGGAGAGCTTCGCTGAGCTCGGTTTGTTTCAACATATGTTTCAAGATGGTGGAAATAGGATCGTATAGTTCCACGAACCCCTCTAAGCCCTTATACAGCTCCGCAAACCGCGCCACGAGATCCAATGCTGCATTGAGAAGACCAAGTTTTGTTTCTTCATTCACAGAACCTGCTTCCAGGACTTCCAATAAGTTCACCTTCTGGCTCGCGGGAGATCCGGTGCTATGTTGAACCGTGAAGGAGCTAGATAACTCAGATCTGAAATCGGGTGAGGGGAAAGACCCCGGGAGAGCAGATGCATCCTTATAGCTATTCGGGGCAAGATGCAAGACTGCATTGATAACGAAATTGACTGCTTCCGGGACCAAACGCTTGGATAACTTTTCAAACTGCAAAAACAAGGAGCAGAGGAAAAGTCCACTCGCAATGTCGGCGAGTGAACGGACTCGCGCCAACCCCAGGTACGCCCCCATGAGCACTCGGGTAGGTGAGACGACCGCGTGGTTCAAGTCACTGGTCGACCAAGTAACGCCGATAATGCGCAGCAAGGATAACTCTGGAAGACCAGGCCATATTTTGGCCTCGGGGTTGAGCGCTCCGCGAGACAATCCTCGATTGAGGTTTTTGTGCATGAGAGTAAGCTTTTTAACAAAGAACTCCGCTGATTGCACGGGATATGCTTTAGTCAAGGCGAAGAGGTGCGGTAAGAGGGCAGAGAGATGAGTAAGGCGGGGGGTCGGAGGAGAGCAAAGAAAAAGAACATGATCGATAAGTACACCTGTCAGGGCCTAAAAGAAGGTGAGAGTGAGCTGGACTATGGCAAGTGCAAGGCGTACTTGAAGTTTGAGTTTGTTCTCAGGCGCCAAACTGGTGTGGTGCAAGGCCCGAATTCGATGGACGACAGTTGGGACGTCCTTATCGTCGATACCATCCACGATATCCAGGAACTCGGCATGCGTCGACGGGCAGATAAAGGTATAAGGCAACTCCTTGGATTTGGATGCCGACACAACTTTTTTCGCGGTAGTATTTGTCGTCAGATCCTCATGGTCAGATATGTCGCCTAACGGCCGTCCTTCATCGTCGCCACTCTCCTCATCTTCCTGGCTATCTTCGCCATCTTCCTCGCCGCTTTCACTTTCAGACCCTGAAACATCGTCAGCTTGACGATCGCCTAATCCAGCACCGATGCCCGCCCATTCTTCATCTTGGTCAACGAAATCATCATCGAGATCGTCTACCTCTCTTCTCCTCTTCCTCTTCTTTGGCACATCTTCGCCTTCGCTGTCACTATCATCTAGTCCCAGCATTCGTTTTTGCCGCCGGCGCTCTGCCTTTTCTAGGGTCTCCTTCTCCTCCAGCACCATTTCTTCCTCTGTCTTTGTTCGGTCCTTAGGCTTCGCTCGCTTGTCAAATGCAAGTTCGCGAACTCGTTGGTCATAATCAAGATCTTGTGTTTCGAGACCGTCTAGCGGATCAGTTGCAGCAGAGGCTTCTTTTGTAAAAGCCTCTTTCGATGTTTCAGCTGCAGAGTCGGAAGTAGAAGCGACTGGCACAAATAACAAGTCTCGTAGCGAATCAAAAGCTTCATCCAGTTCGTGTCGGACATTGTCTTCTTTCTCTCGCTCCATTTGCCTTAGAAGCTGTATCAACCAAATTAGTTGCACTGCAGTTGAGACGTATGCCTTCAAACACAAACTTTATGCTCCTTGCTTTTGGCCATGACTTCCGCCATGACCTCGGCTTTGGACTTCTTCCTTGCAGGCTGAATTCAAGAAGTCAGGCTTTCACGCCACTGTATCACGAACTATTCACATACCGCCCCGTCCTCTTCTCCATCGTCATCGTCGTCAAATCCTCCGAAGTGAGCTTTTTGGACCACCTCGCGGTCAATTTGACCTGAACAATGTCAGTCCCGACAGAAAATAAAGACAAAGAGAACCAACCTTGCTCCTCTTCTTCGTCATCTAAGCCCATCTCCACATCATCAAAGTCGTCCAGTTTGGATAGACTCTGTCCATAATGCGTAAGCTCGTCCTCGTCTTCTAAATTGAACGTAGCCCCCCGAGACACTCGTTGTCGTTCTTTCGTGAACCGCTCTAGCATTCTATCCTCTAAGCTCATGGATGGATCATTCTCGCCAAAGCGACGGTCCACGATGCCTCCCGCTCGGTCTTTCTCTTGAAATTCCTTGAGCAAAGTTTTCTTACGCTGTCGTATCATATTTTTGAGAATGGGAATTGGACATGGTTCAAGTACGACGCACCTGCTCCAGCCCTGCCATTTTGCTTTGCGCAGGCTTCCCGGTGACACCTTTGAGCTTACGGCCACCGACATCATGTTTCAACTTCGTAACTTTGGTGTCGAAGGGATTTAGCTTCTGATGAATTTCAGCAAGTTTACTTTCGCGCTTCGCCTTGTCATTGGCTTGGTTTGTAGACCGCTTGCGTTTCATACCTTGAGGTCTCCCAGTGACACCCGCTTGGGAAAGTGCGGATTTCAGCTGTGAAAGCTGAGACCCTTTTGCCATGCTAGATGAGAACTACGAGAGCTTGGAAAAATTCGTGACATGCAGGTCACACTGTCAATAGTGATCGGCCCGCCCTTCGATACCGGACCGATACTCCCGAGATCCAGCGACTCGGATCTCAGTAGTTATGGCGGTCAACTCTTGGTCAATCTATCTATCTAGTACCCTCTAACTTGAGATAAATGACTTCCAAGAAACTGTGATCTTCCCACCGACAGACAGATACTATTGGAAGTGCCTACGATGATGATGTACACTGACGACTACTCACATCGTAACTACTAACGTTTCACAGCTGACACCAAAAGAATAGTGAGAAAATAAGTAGTTCGGGCAGTGTCACTCGTGAGAATGCCTGGTAAAGAATGGCAGGCTTGACCGGCATTCTCAGGGGAAGGCCTGCCGGTTTGGTTTCAAAATCTATCACAAACGACTTAGTCTGGGAGCCTGTGTTACCTGGGAGGCATGAACAAAAACGGCTAGCAAATGTGACTGCACCCAGATGTGGATTTTACGTTACTTGAAAGAGGGATAAGCTGAGACCTGTGACAGCTGCGCGTCTACATATTTATCCCAGTAATATGTGAGTAGTTTGAAACCTATGCCGACGTGAGTAACTGCTCGCCTAGGGTGTTAAAGAGCATTGGACGTAGGTCAACGATAAGTACCGTCGTTCCTGATGGCGATGTTTACCAGTAGATCCTCAGGGCTTAGGGGTCCTACTAGAGGCGATCGTAATGTACGGGCTACGGAGATAGGAACGAGACGACATCGCATCATAACAGCGTTGAACACCTAAAATCGGCGGGAGCAATCTTGTACATGTGATGCCATTGTCGTTGGGGTTCCATACCGCGGTATTTGAGGGACCTTACTCGTAGAGGTAGTATCCCCACTGCCTCCATGATTGCGTTTCTTAGACAGTAGGATCTCGGTACCTGTTACTGGGCACCGCGACCATAGGAATGTATTTTCTGAATGACGGTTGCATATGGAAGATTGGTCAACAGATCTTCTGTATACGTTCTGGACGTGTTACCTATCTCAGTTCGCCGTGCCCGAGTCGGGAAAAAACGTCAAAATGTTATGATCCATCAGGTTTCAATTTGGGGAAAGATCACCATCGACAAATTCGAAGGGCGGGCCGACTGACAATGGTGCGGTCAAGACTAACAAACGGATAGGCAGGCAATATACCAAGGGGGGAGAATATTCTGAAATCAAGGATCGGGCAAACGGCAGTTTCCGATTGCAAAATATTGTTGGCATATTCTCATGAAAATTAAAGGATCTATGTACGTCAACGTGTAAGTAAATACCTGACAGAATAATGTGGCGCACCTTCCGAGGTACTCATCGCATGCATAATGCTAGTGACATGACTCGGTGTTGAATTCGGGAGATAATGATATGGGAATACAACAGTATTGAATGCACGTCTACTAGGATCAGTGTAATGCGACAGAAGGGGGAGAAGAAGCCGTACCACCATTCGAATAAACCAATAACTATAGTCATTTAAAGAATAAAGTCCGGGGGTGGCAGTGTTGACACAATGACAACAGTTGACGGAAAGTACGAAGAATTATGGGTGAACGCACGTCTCATTGCAACCCTAGTTTCAGTTGTAGATAGATGGACACACCCAACCCTTCGATAGGGCGTGGCGGCGAGGTTTTGATACGCTTTAGTTGGAAGGGGTAACTGTCATCATTTTGAACAGGATCATCAAAGTGCTTACTCCGGACAGAGCTGCAACATTTCATTGGTTAATGGTGATCTCGCTATGATGAAACCTTTCAACAGACGCTGTGATGAGCCAATGAACAAAAGAGAAAGTTAAACATTAGGCCAGACCGCAGAGGAATGGAGGACTGGTAAATCCTCACACAATTTGAGATGGAACTCGCCGGTACACTGGTTACTGTCAGCAGCTACCCGTCTCGGAGTTTGTACTTCCTCTAGTTGGCGTTGTGAAATATTGCAAGAAAGGTTAGATCCCCCTCGCGGAAGTCATTCCGGTCGCGACTGAATGGACAACACCACAAAGGACCTACGTATGAAAGCTGTCTGGGTAGGTCCAGTGAAGCAATATAAAGGACGCGTTGAATAGAACCGTGGTGTAGGGAGCCGAGTCGGACTGAACAAGCAGCCAATACCAATACAATGGTGATGTGTTGCATAATGGTGACCAGTTCGTCAGTCAGAGACGAACAGAGATAATGTCATAGAACTTGTCGAAAGCTTGTTGGCAACACGTTGGCAAAGTTAGGGCGTAGGAAGCAGAATAATACAGAAATTTTGTACCAGAGTCACTGAGCGTCAGAAACCTAACAAAGTACATGCCAAGACGAGGAAGCCAGAGCTGTGATAGCCGGGATCGGAACTGGATGACCTCAATTAACAGGGGTTAGGGTTCAGAGACACGAAACACGTGAGTCTCGTGGTCGTTGTATGACGAGAGCGGCCGCTGTGACACCGACTCCCCCTTTATAGGCCTCCATTCTTCACGTTAGCCGATGCAATGGTATTTAACTCGACCTCCAAATTTCTGCTGCCATCCAATGATGTTACGCGGGACAATTCTCTAACCAATCTATCCACCATGGAGACGATGGCCTCTGTCCATGCTATCGCCCTCGAAATTTGCTATACGATATATGGAGAGCTTTCCTTGTCTTCGGATGTTATTGATCGATTCTATGAGTCAAGCGCTAGTGAGTCGGGTTCTCTATCGCCAAATGGATGTTGCTAACAGACTGACAGTGTAAGAAACGTGTTCTGACCGTCGAATACGCTGACGTACCTCCCAATATTCTAGATATGAAAACCCTGTGCTCACGGCAACATCACGCTCCGTTATCTTTGACATCTTTAGATTGGGCAGGCGACTACATTCTGTTGACATTCCCCAGCCACTCGCTGTGTTCTATACGCTTCTTCGCTTAAAACCGCCAGAAGACGCCAACAATCCCTTGTTAAAAGCCCTGCGCGTGTGGAATGAGGTCGGAGATATCAGCGAACACGAGAGCTTTGGTGAGCAATGAAATCATTCTCAGCATGACCCGATCATTGACAATTGAAAATGTATAGATGGACATAGAAAGGCTGTTATAGAGCACACCCTCAACATCCTTGTTCTTCCAAGCATCCACATTGATTCGTACAAACGTGCCCCATTTCATCGTTCTGTCCTATCTACCGATTCATTGATTTCCCGTTCGTCATGCAATTACCACCCTGCTTCTCCATCATTGCCTATTCCTGGAACGTCATTATCTCTTCCCTCACCTTTCCACTTTAAACTTCATGTCATAACACGACTCTCTTTTAATGAACAGGGTCACATTACCAACCACCGAGACTATTGGGATGTGAAGGACTTGATGGGTCTGTTACCAGGAGTATCGCTGGTACAGTGGATCCTTAGCCGCCTGGCTGCGAAGGGTCTCTCGTACAACTCTAGGTTCTTGACAAGGATCTCGGCGCATCCTCATCTTCACGACGCTGAACACCCCACAAATCATGATGGTGCTGCTGCCGAGAACCGTGATTTAGTGAACGGTCCAATGGCCTATGTCAAGTCCGCCAAGCAGACGCATGGTCATTGACCCACTCACTCTGATACGCCATCTCCTCATTCAAGAACCATATGCTTTTATCTCGATCGGGAGAGTGTTTTTGGTGTGACAACTTTCGGTGAATTGTGGCGCCACACCGAGGTCATAGGGCGTTGTGGGGGAACTTGAGATGTGCGTGGTCCGGGAGATATCGAGATAAGGCCGGCGGTGTCTTTACCAGAGGGTCGCCTGACGCATTATCAAAAGTAACCATTTACACCGTTCTGAACGCCGTCACTCGCCTATATGACCCAAGTCTGAAGGGTCGTTGGCATGGACGGCTGTACAAAAGAATTTGTAAGTGCCCTAAAGTCTTCTTGAGAGTAATGATATTCTTGTATTCTGGTCCAAAGTATGATAAACGCCCATAGCCTCAAGACTAAGGTAGCTAAAAGCGGATTCCGCGCCCGTTTCGTTTCAATCCAGGCCTTCGATTGTACTAGGACGCAGACAGTTAGACGTCAACTAGCCACGAGGAGACTATCTCTACCTCTATGACCATACAAGTCTCTTCTTGCTGAAAGGAGCCTCCGTGTAGATCCCATACTACTGGCGACCACTCCACACGGAGTCCCTATTATTATCCCTTAACCTGCGTACAAGGTCCGCCTCCACTCATGAAAATTTCAAGGCGCCCAAGCTAAGTAAACCGATACTCTCACCTGATGCTTCTCAAGTGGTGCCTTGTCCCAACTATACAACGAGGCCCAGAAACGGCCCTTTCATTCCCATGTGGTTCCAGATTTCGCTTTTCACCCTTGTGCTCAAGGATCCTTTTAACAGCAACCTGAAACCAGGATACTAGGGCTCAGTCGTAACGTCGCTTCGCCTTTCGGAAATCATAATGCACTTGCGGACCGACGCCACACCAAGAAGATGCCAGATATCCTGTATTATCTACTCGTTCACATGCCACACAGCTGAGAGTAGTAGTTCGCGCGCGTCATTCGCTGTTTTGTTATGCAGCCGAAGTTGGTGGGTGCCTGAAGGACGCCGCCCCGCTTGTATGCTGTTTACTTTGCAATGAACTGAACTTTCAGGGTATCAAATCTTATGCTACCACAGTCCTCAGATTTCGAGGTCAGATTTTTACCGCTGAAACGATTCTAATCCAATGAGACGCCGGGGATTGACTCATATAAACCTGTAACGGCCCGCGTTTCCCCACGAACCTTCCTTCCCTGCGCCTAGAATTGAGGCTTCTATGCCACAGGATGACACGGTCAATAATACCTAACGCCCATCCTTCACCTACTCGAGAAGAAGGTAAGGGTTTCAGTTCTCGCCCCGGTCGGTACCTTCGTCCGAACCTCTTTAAATGCATGTGTGCGCGTCGAGCCGGGCTATGGATCCACGAGTTTGGCCTACTGTACAAAAATTCCACTTTTTCACGGGCCCCCTACGACCCCGCTCCAATACGATTTGACGAGGCTGTGCGACCGGGCTATTCTCGTCTCAGTGTTCAAACGCCCTACAAGGTGCGTATTCTCAGTGTTCTGCCGTGGACGTCGGATAGACCCTACTATACACACAAGACCCGGGAGAACCACGTTTAGTACCAAGAGCATACAGCCGTGGTGCAGGAACTGAAGCTCTTCCGTTCGACAAGTGCTGTACCGACCGGTGCAATGCAAGTGACGAGTGTCAGGCATCCAATTATAGCTTTAAGGTCAGATTAGATTCAGCCAGCGCGACATCTCAATAAGTGATTGATTTTACGACATTCTTCTCGTGAACGATTACACTGCGTCCATACCTATTCAGTGTACGTACTTCTCATCGCTGTGCTATTTGTTTCCCCTCGGTGAACGGACGTGGCAAAAGTCAGGGACCGTCAATGCTTGGCTGAATGTGGGCCAGTGCTTCTTGTTCTTCTTCCCGCTCTACAAATTCTGACATACAAATTGCACCTTCCTCTTTTCGCCAGGACACGTGTAGTATTTACGATAGCCTACGATACAGTTGTCTGAGGAGTCCATTAACAGCCTGAATGCCATTTGTTTTCAGAAGCTGGGGTGTCCCTGGACCCAAATCTGAACTCAGAACTTGCGTAGAAATGTATTGCCCGTCTATTTCCTGCTCCAATTGTCTTCATGTGACGGGTTTTAGTGCTACTCGTATCTTCGAAGCGATCTCACGCATACTGAGTCCTTATTCACAGTAAACTGACTTCCAACTTGGCATTGGAGACGTCTATAGCTTCCGTTACTCAATGCATAGATTACTACGAGATCTTGCGTGTATGTAAGTACCACAGCAGTTAGTAATGAGTATACAACCCTGCCTATGCAAGGAAATTGCTTCCGATAGTCAATATATGGAGGACTAATAACAGGGACTGAGAGTACAAGACTCTTGTATATGTTTCAATTATTGTCGCGATGTCCCTTCCATTCTTCTTAGAAAACAATAACTTCTATAGCAATCGAACAAATGCGGTCTTCTCTCCAAGCACCATTGTTAAATCAGTTGAATGCCTTATTGGGTACATACGTAGAACGTGCTCCACAGAACATCTAGAAATGGAAGTTCGCCTTTCCAACACCCGCCGATTATCTTTGGACTTGCCCCCCCCCCGGGATCGTGATCCAAGGCTCCCGCAGCCCGTCCCCCCCTTGCCACTGGCAATTTGGAATTAGTGTCAATTCCGAACTTGAATTAGTTGCATGAGTGTGGCGACGCTATCATACGGTATGTATGTGTGTTATAATTGTATCCAGCGCTGCTCCAAGCCCTCGCTCAGTTATGTATTCTGTACGTACATAAACCCGCATTCTTCAAAATGTTGTTTCTCATGTCTCCACTCAAGCGCCCCATGTCCGAAACATGTGCTGGGAAGAAACAAGACGCATAAATTAACGACGATCGCGCTGGCAGACTCCGGCAGGCTGTTAGTAACCAAATAATAATTACGGGTACCTTCATTTTCCCTTTCGAAATCGTCCCCCCACTTCAAGATCCAGGAGAATGGCGACATGGTCGCTTAAGTTACCGTTACAAATGGCGTACTGGACCGAGATCCCCTGGACATTCAGAAGCGCTGAGAAGACTCACTTTCGGATTGTTCCCCTTCCCCCCGCCGCCCGTACTAACTTCTGGGAGTCAAGGGGGTTAAACAAGGCAAATACAAATGCTAAAGAAGTTGTGGATAAGAAACAGTATCGGGATCCTGCGAACGGCGTCAACACGTTTTGAAGGATGCTGTCAATATGGTCTAGGGCCGTATCGCCTTGGGCATCTTATAGCACTACGGGCATTGGAATGTCCAAAGCTCCCAAAAGGTCGAGCTGTGGGAACGTTCTGGCAGCCTTCTGCAGGCGACTAGACCCCCGGAACCTGTTGATACCTGTATGACATCATACATCGGCCCAGCTGTTAGGGTTCTTCAGGGAAGCGCTAAGGTTAATGAATTTTCGCGTCGAAAAAGAAAGAGAAGAAAGAAAAGGTCATCAGGAGTGGACCCACGCGAGAAACGCCGACATGGTGTAAATGAGCATTTGGGTGTCTTGTTTTGCCGGACAAATTGCCAGTTGGTTCGGGCCTGGTGACCTTAGCTCCCTAGCGACCCTGCGGGGGGTAGACATGCCGCCTACGTCGAGTTTGAGGGAGGGTATCTATAGGAAGTGACTTATAATAATAAGGGTGTTAACTTGGAATGGATCGCGACTAGACCTTTTGCGTTTATGAGGTCCCCCGGTCTTGGCAGGCAGCTCAAGGCAGACGCGTATTTGTAGAGCGGATCTAGGTAAGTGAGTGGGCAACGTCCAGTTTGTGCCCGTCGCCGACGACGGGAATGTAATAAGTACGTGTGTAATTTCTGTCCAAAAGGGATGGATGATACAGTCGCAGCACCACTATCGTGCATAAAGGGGTCTTCCCCCGCGGCACAATACTCGGGGTCCGGGTACTGTAAACTGGCTTGAGGGAGTGAGGATAACACATTGGGAACCCTTACCTAGAGTCTGACCATGGCACTGCTGGAAAAAGAAAAGGTCATCGGGGGACACGTTCAACCTGTGAATTTCCCATCTTTCAATTTGAAGCAACTATTGCAATATCTAACATGTTTTCCCATGGGAGGAACACAGGTAAGTAGATAACAACAAAAGGAGGACTGATCATACTTTGATCATTGTTCAAAGCACTGTGCATGCCGCATCCGCCGGCTTCGAAAACGTGGTTATAGCAGGATCAGGCTATGAACACTCTAGTTTGACTATAATAAGCACGTCGTCTGCCACCATCGGACAGATGATCCACGCCTGCGATTGGGATTTTCAGGAAGCGATCATGATGGATGTCGAAGAGGAGGAAGATGATGGCGTAGGTAATCATGTCAAAATACCGCCTTTTCCCGCTCTTCCTTGTTTTACAATGTCGTGTTTCGATGCTATATAAGGACCATGGTTCGAATTTGCGCTATGGTTAGGAGCTTTTTCCGTCGTTGTGCCGCGAGTTGTCACCAAATAGCGAGCCCCACGAGTCTTAGCTTCAGCATCCGAGGATTCGGTGCCGTCTAACTCCCTGGGGGACTGACTATACACGAAGCCATGCGCATCACATTGTACCCCTGGCGCATCAGATTTTCCACTCATCCTTTCGAATATCGTTTATGTGCAGAGATCCAGAGATCGGCAAAACGTCAGTTTTCCAACGGTTCAAAAAAAAAGCTGTGTGGTTGGTGGTTGGTGGTGCGTACCGTCTTACCCTGCGTCCAGGCCTTTTCTTGATTTTAGGCAAGACTTTGCTCTCTTACTCCGGATTTTACGCCCCTATCCCGCCCTCTTCTTAACCAAAACTGGTAGTAGTACATGCGCCAGGGTAGGACGACTGCATACGATCGACGTCGATCGACAATCCATTCAGAAAACGAACGTCTAGACGAGCCCCAGCAATAAAATACATACCCCTCTCCGACTCACCCGCTCCCTTCGCACGCCCCACCTGATAACCACCTTTTTCACCAGCCCTATGGGCGCCGCGAATCCAATGCGCACGCGTCCAATCAACGATATTTATTTATTCTCAAAAACCAACGTTCGAACGATTTTTTTTTTAAAAAAATGGTTATTCCTAGGTACGGTGCGCGCGCGATGGTGGGGACCCCAATCACCCCATCCCGTAGGGTCAAGCGTCCTTGGGAAGTCAATCCCTTGTGTCCGAGGACTCGGGCAAACCACCGAGGTCCCTGAAATGCATTCATTTCTTAGTTCTCTCCAGATATCCATATTGTCTTGGGAAGCGTGGTAAAGTGCTTCACAGGCAGGCAATTGACGGTTCCGCTTTACCGACCAAATAACAACGACGACCACCACAAGGGATGTACATATGATCATCTATCAGATCAACTCTCTCGATCGTGTTTTCAGCCCCTCCCGTGGACCGAAATTTCATTGTAATAGGAGGGTGGCGGTGACGGCACTTATCAGTGATTAGCGAGCGTGTTCGAGTAATCACTGCGAGGCGAGGTGCTTCTGGCCATGTTACAACCTTGAAGTCGCCATATCGTCATAGTACACTCAATTCGTAACTGTTATTTGGCTATGGCGCTCAGTCCCCCGAGTCTCTGCCATGTACACCTGCGATGTTCATTTCCTGGCTTTTTTGCGATCTCCCTTATGCGCATCCTACTACTAACAATCTCGGCTGTCTTATCATCTCGAAAACCCGGAAAATTTCCGTGTGGCGTTATACTCCTCTACCACTACTATCTTATCTTCCAATTTCATCATAGATGGTACCTTCCCAGTGGACGAAGGCATTTTGGATTTGCAGGGCCAACCCAACCGTAAATCATCCTCGTCTCCATTGTGCCAGTAGGTCGAAAGCGCTGTTCGTGTGATGTACTTCTTGGGAACAATGGAGATTCCTAGATCTCACAACCACACCGTCCTGTTGGGGGAAGAAACAAAAAAAAACGAATCATCTTCGCCTCCATTATCTCGCGCGAAGCCCTCCTTCCAGATCTTCAGTACAGGATCTCTCGGGCTATCGTGCCCTCATTTTTGCCATCGCATGCCCCCCGCGCTCCAGATCTCCCTTCATCTCAAAGGGATTCATTCTTACGTGTATCGTTCTCCCCCCTCTCCCCCGTTCTTCGGTTTTCGGTCTATTTCCCCATGTCTCGTTCCCGAGGAGCCTTGGCTCCCCTTCTCCTCCACGCGTTTGTGTTTCAGCCCAAGCTTCCATTCCAAGGGCATGACTTTTTGGGCATGCGTATTCTGCGGGAGTGGGGGGGAGTGGGGGAGAGCGATATCCTTATGTGGACGCCTGTGGGTGCTCTTATCTCCTATCACCAGCGTTGATTCTGATTCCACGGAAGTATTTTTTTCCTCCCCTCCCAATGATGATCGTTTGGGAAAGTCTTGTAATGTCTTAATTAACGGGCCCCCTCACGCATGTCTTTTTCGCCACACTCTCTCCCCTCCCGCAGAACACGGCACGGTACGTCACACGGCTGCCGGTATCTGGTATCTGTACCTCACCGAAGTGCTCGCGAGATCTGTAAGGGCGACAAGACGAACCGCAATTGGCTTTTTGGAAGGAGTTTCGTATTCAGGAGCGGGCTCGACGACCGAGGGACGTGGGACGTGCGCAGCTGACGTAGAGGAGGAGGGACGGGCACATGACCTTGGCATTTGGTTTACCGATGTCGACACTGCCTCTCGTACTATATACATGTACACCACTCTAGCGTAGAAGAGAAGGAAGGGAGGCACTTGAAAGACGGCACATGACCTTGTCACGTTTATTCTTTTGCTTACCGACGTCGACCGCTACTGTAACTCTAGGGCGGAGGCCAAGATCGTAGGACGTATGGATGGCGGGCCGAGTCGGTTCCTGCACTGTGCTGTATCCTCGTGTGGATGCATATCCGACACGGATAGTGAGAGTGAGACTCCAACGTCCTTCCGAAGTCGCACCAAGTATAGAGGGGGCAATAGGTGAGATGAGGCTTTGAGCTTGGCGCGCATCCGAAATATGGAGTGGGCAATACGTACATGAGACTTGAGCGTCGTTCCGGTGTCAAGGACAAGGAGACAATACGGTACCAACCCGTCGGTCTCGCACGTTTCACTTTCCGACGGAGGGACAAGCAACGACGGGTCGTCTGCAGTATCGAGTGTAGTAATGGCCTGGGCAATAGACGAGACTCGGCCATCGTAATGGAGAAAGACGACCTGGGCAATAAGTAGATGAGACTTTGGCGCCCATCCGAAATATAGAGTGGGCAATATAATTTGATCAGACTCTAGCGTCTTTCTGATGGAGGGACAATACGACACCAGCGAGTCATGTTAAGGGAAGAAGCAACGAATGCCGGTGGCCCAACTTCGCCTTGGTTTAGCGCCTACCCGAAATATGGAGAAGGGCAATGACTCCGGTGTCAAGGGATGGAGAGACAAGGCGACAGACAATACAATACCGGCGGGTCACAGTAATGCACGGCTCCAGCGTATTGGCCTGGGCAGACAGGGCATGATGCTGGCGGGTTAGAAGATAGGTTGTTTGGCGTTGGCCCTTGAAACGTGCTAGCGTCGGCGATGGATGATGCTTTCATTTGGTCGTCAGGCTGGGGGAGAACTCGACAAGTGAACATTATGATCATCATCGGCACGGTAACCTCGTGCACTGGGTCGGGGAGGGGAGGGGAGGAGGTGTTGCTATTAGAAACGGTGAAGAAGAAATGTACCTGTCTCATGGGCGAACTCAATTGCGAGAAGGATTTGTATATGTATAATTTTGTTTGTGAGGTTTGGTCGGATTTGACCATCAGCCTCAGTAGATACTGCAGACCGGTGATTCCTAGGCGATATGTTTGCAAGGAAGCGGTTACTTGGTAAAAATGAAGAGAGTTTCTTCTCTGTGTGAGCAGAAACGTTCGCGGGTGGTAGGTACCCGAAGAGAAGACGCACGAGTGAGATAGTATGTATACCGGTGGGATCGATCACCGTTCTGAATGTCTCGCGGAGGCAAATCGAGAAGAAAGGGTAGCGGTGTGGTAATCGTTCATTAAAAAAACCCGAGAAATTTGTAGAGAGTTGACCGCCGTATATCGCAACCTCGGAGACTACGCCGAACGTGCATAGCCTTTGAGGCGGGAGAAGGAAGTTGGGGGGCGTCCGTCTTGAGCAAGGTAGTCCAATGAAAACTTGGGATTAGATACGAAAGATTGAAAAAGTACTAATGCATGGAGCGGCGGTGGGAAATGAATGAATAGGCTGGACGAGACTTCTGAGGGATGCGAATAATAATCGGACCGTCAGATAATAATAACCTGCTTAAAAGACATGCACATTTCATCTAGTAGTACACGGGGGCGGAGGGTCTAATAGATAAGATAGTTTTTACACAGCAACCGATAATAAATACGAAGGATAGATAGCGGAATATGTTATAGCACGTTAAGCGGATACGACCTCTGGGGGCAAAGTATAGTCGGCATAATGGGCAAAGTCGACGTTGGGGAGGCGGATGGGGGGCGGAGAGGGTGAGGGGAGGGGGTGTGGGTAGGTTGTTGGTGAGGGCGAGGGATAGGTAGAAGAGGTTGATGAGGACGAGTAGATAGACACTGGGTGGGAATTAGAATAAGATTTATGGATAAGGTGGTGTGCACCTACGCGAATCATCCCATTCCTGCGAAGCGCGACGAGGCAAGAGCTGAGGGCTCCTACTGTGCTCCTTCTTTGGGGAGAGAGGTTTCTTCTGAGGAGCCTGAGCAGCAGCGGCTTTGCGGGCCTTGTTGCCGGCTCTAAGCTCGTCGAAGCGTAGGGGCCTGGGACGGAGGTGGGTGCGCTCGTAGAGGCCGCATTTATTGCATACAATCTTGCCAGGGTTGAGGGTGGAGCGGCGCCAGGAGGGGGGCTCTGTGGTATGGCAGTTGAAGCAGCGGCGGCGGAGGTATTGGGTTTCTTTGGAGGCGGCGTCATCAGTGTGTTGGACAGGGAGGCCGGTGTGGGGGGAGAGGGTATAGGAGGGCGGTGGCGGGGACGGGAAGGGCTGGTAGAATTGTTGGTGGTGGTGCGGGTGGTGGTGGTGGTGCATTGGGGGGAGGGTGATAGGCTCGGCAGGGTAGTCGGCACGCACGTACGGGAATGTGGCGCGGCGAACAACGGCGGGGTGGTGGTCGTCATACAGCTCCTGGAGAAGAGAGCCGCCACCGGGAGCCTCGTATGGTTGGTGGGAGGGATAGGATGAGAAGAAAGGGTCCTCCCTAGGTGAGGGTGTGCGGGGAGCAGCAGACGCGTACGAGGGAAAGACAAGCTGTTGCGAATCCATGACACAAGTTGGATGTAGCCCATTCCAATTGCCGCTTTTCTATCCCTCGACTCTCAGCAAAAGGGTCCCATCCAAATGGGGTTACCACATCGGGTCGATCTCAGATCCTGTACCGTAACTTCGGGTCTCAGCCCCCCGGAACACCGCCAGCGTGCAACACAGGCGCTTGCCGAACAACGTTCCCATCGCAGGAACACAAATAGAAACAAATACGGCGTACGTAAACCGACTCGGACAGCCATGTCCCTCCAATTTGCTCCCGTCACTAAATCCCTCCTCGTCTTCCTCAGTGCGAGCACTTTGTTCGTCTCCCTCTTCGATATCGGCCCGTCGCTTGCCCTCCCACCGACCCTTGCGCAACCCTATCGCGCTTTCACTCATGCCGTCTTCCTCCCCGACTCGCCCTCCCTGCTCCTCGCCCTCTTGCTCCTAGTCCAGACCGCTCCGACGCTCGAGAGGAGGTTGTCGTCGCGTCATCTCGCCGCGCTGCTCTTCATCATCGCGCCCCTTGGGCCTGTCGCGTTGACCGCCGCGTGTGTGTACACCCATGCCGTGCTGGTGCCCCCGTCGTACACCTACTCGGTCGGGTTCGTGACGCTCACGCCACATGCCGCGACGTGGGTCCTCCTCGCCCTCCTCGCCCTCCTCACCTCACCCGTACTTGCCGTCCTGGGCGTCCTGGCAGCCGTCGTGTACCGGTCCCCTCTCTTGCCCCTCCCGATAAAGCGCTTCCGCCCCCCGCTCCCATTCGTTCCCGATACTCCCACTGTGCCGAGGTCCAGGCGCGCGTTTCCCAGCCCGGTGTCTGCCACCGCCGCTCCTTCTGCCAGTTCCATGCGCGAGTGGGTGACCCAGCTCACGCCGGCGACTCCAGGCGTACGTGCACCGCCAGAGGAGGAGATTGTCCAGGTGACGAATATGTTTCCGGATTTGTCTAGAGAGGCCGTCGTGGGTGCTCTTCAGCGCAGCCCCAATGTTACCGCAGCCGTCGATACATTGCTTAGTAGTAGTTAATACATTGGTTTATTAGCGTGAATGACGACTCTTCAAGCTATCCAACAATGCTTCCACGTCTTTTGCTGCACTTTTTCTTTTGCGTTTCTCCTTTTTCCGCTTTCGTCTCTCTTCCCTGGTCTCTCCTTCATGTTTTCTCTTCTTTTTCCGCCTCTGCTCAATGATAAACTCCCTCATCGGGTCCTCTGGATCGATATCCTTGCCCAGATCCTCTTCCTCCTCCTCTTCCTCTCCCTCATCATCCACAATATCCTGCGGCCTGGCATTAAACTGCTCCCCCTCGACCTCCCTCCACTCGCCATCCTCCCCCTTCTCCTTCGGCTGCTTATAATCCCTGACATGATCCACCCTAAGCGTCTTCCCCAGGACCTTGGCTCCGTTCAGGTTATCCACAGCCAGCACCGTCGACCGCTGGTCCTCATACATGAGGAACCCAAACCCCCGCTGCTTCCCCGTCGCCTTGTCCCGCGGCAAATGCACGTTTGCCACCTCGCCGTACTGCGAAAAGATGGTGATCACGTCCCCTTCGGTCAGCTCGTAGTTGAGCCCCCCGACATAGATGTATGCAGAATCTTTGTACGTGTCGTGCCATGAGCCTGATACGCCCAGACGGAGCTCGGCTTCGTTGATGGCATTGATTTCACGGACGACGCTGCGAGTAGATTAGCATAGACGAAATGAAACAATAATAATAATCGACCTACTTCATGGATGATGATGGTCCAAGTCAATCGAGCAAAACCTTCCCACGCTCCCATTCTTTTTTTTTTTTTGGCTTCTTACCACAATGAGCATACCAAAATTCACGCTCCCCCCCATTTACGACACGCCGGAGTCCCCCTGGGGCCCGCCCCCGCTGTCCTCCCTTCCCTCGTCGCTCACCGACGTCCCTTACGCGCCCTACTCCAAGTCTGACAAACTCGGGCGGTTCGCCGACTGGAACGCCTCGTCGCCTGTGCAGACGGCGCCGCAGCCCCAGGCGAAGCGCGCGCAGGCCTACGGGAGCGGGACCGCCAGTGCGTTTGCGTATTTCCATGCGGACGACGAGGCGAGTTTCTCGTTGGTGGACAATACGGCGGGGAAGAGTGGGGGCGTTGTTGGGCGGGGACGGGGGGCGGCGAGGGGCGGCGCTGGGAGGGGTGGGGGCAGGGGCGGAGCGGGAAGAGGAGGAGGAGGGCAGGTGCAGCAGGGCGGCGGGAGGGGCGGTGGCGGGAGGAGGAACTGGAGGGATTGGGAGAAGAATAATCGGGCAAGGGAGAGTAGTGTTTTGATTAGCCCGAATTGGGAGTTGAAAGAGGAGATTGAGTTTCATAGGCTTGCAAAGTTGAGGTTGGATGTTGATGAGCCTGAGGATATGTATGACTGTTCTTTTTTGTTTTCCTTCTCTTTTTTTCTAATTTCTTTCCAGTTCTTCATACGGCCGTCTATACGCCTATGACAAAACCTACGACCGGATAACGACCAAAACGGAACGGCCCCTCCAGATCCTCGACAGGCTGAAATACAACCCCACCACGTCCGACGACCCCGTGATCCAATCCCTGCGCGCGAACCAGCCCCCCAACACTGTGCGGATCTACACCACAGACACGATCCTCTCCGTGCTCATGTGCGCCACTCGGTCCGTCTACCCCTGGGACATCGTCATCTTGCGCACCCCCGACGCCCTCTTCCTCGATAAACGCGATGGGGGCCCCTTTGACACCGTCACCGTCAACGAGAATGCCACGGACCCCCCCTCGGCCGACTCCCAGCCCTCCATCAACACCCCGATCAACTTGAGTCTCGAGGCGACGTTTATAAACCAGAATTTCGGCTTCCAGAGCGTGGACGAGAGGAAACACGTGGATCTGGGCCACCCGAATCCATTTCATCCCCCGGAGGAGGGCGAGCCGCTCGCGTCGTGTGGGTATAGGTACAGGGAGTTTGATTTGGGGATCACGGACGAGGAGGATGTGAAGATCGTGGTGCGGACAGAGGTGGATGCGGTCCTGCCTGGAGGCGGGTACGCGACGATTCGCGCGCTGAATGAGTACGAGCCGAAAGCGTGTGGCGCCCCGGATTGGAGGAGCAAGCTCGACAGCCAGCGCGGGGCCGTCGTGGCGACCGAGATGAAAAACAACAGTGCCAAGCTCGCTCGGTGGGCTGTCCAGGCGCTCCTTGCTGGTGCGGAGAGCATGAAGGTAGGGTATGTGAGTCGGGTGAGTCCGAGGGATAATACCCGCCATGTCGTGTTGAGTACGGCGAGTATGAGGCCGGGGGAGTTTGCGGGCCAGTTGAATGTCGGCGTGAGGAATGGGTGGGGGGTCGTAAGGTGTGTGGCGGATGTGTGTTTGGCGTTGCCGGAGGGGAAGTATGTCCTTGTGAGGGATCCGAATAGGCCCGTTGTTAGGTTGTATGCGGTGCCCATGGGGACCTTTGTGGCAGAGGAGCAGGAGGCGCAGGACGAGCAGGAGGATGCGACAGAGGATGCGTAAGATTCACGACGTGCTAGCTTCAAAAATGTGATTTTCTTGTGTGTATACGGGTCCTTTCCCCAGCTTTTCTGATTCGAATGGTGGGGCTCATATTCCATCAGGCTCGCTTATGTAGTGCCCGACTCTTGATTTTATGACCCAAGTGCTTCGTGAGAGATCGAGAGCACTTGCAGATCTCGCAATCTTTCTTCTGATTCGAACTTCGTATTTTTTTTTTCCAGCGCGTTATGTATGCTAGTGCCTGATATTCCTTACTTTCTGCCTAAAAATCAGAGTTTTTTTTCCTTTTGTCTGCGACTCTTCGTGAGATCTACACTTCCCGCACGGGTCCCTTTCCCCCCAATTCAGCGGGAGCCTCCTACGCAAAGTCTTTCTGGCCCGTGGAAGATCAGAAATTCGCATCTCGGTACCGCTGACTATTGGTCCCGCCCTTTTCTTGATAAATTTCGCGCACCTGATTGAATTTCACTACGCGGCCCGCCAAGATCAGAAAATTCGCGACTGGGTTCGGTGCCGCAGGCTATTTCCCTAGCCGGCGGGCCCGACTCCGATTTTATTTTATTTTTGTTTTTGACCGTGACGGTGCACATGTCCCGACGTGGAGTCCGCGTCTTGTATGTATGTATGGGCGGACGGACGGACAGATGGGGTGCGGTAAAGGCGCGTCACACTTTTACGTAGTGCGCCGCTCCGAGTCGTAAATTCAATTCAAGTTGAAGGCGATTCCGAATTTGACTGGCGATCTACCTATGTACTTCATCGTCTAGGCTCTCAATCAAAAAAGTACGTATGTACCAACTTTGAAAGCGCCCGAACAAAAATTATCTCCGAGTCCGTTTATCCAGCCAGCCAGGAAGCTTTCTGATAATCATCATCAGCGTTTGAGGGTGGTGATAACTTTAGTTCCTGCGAGCCCAAAATCGAAGTGCTAGTGAGTACGTGTTTGAGGGGGAGGGAGGATTTACTCTTTTACTTTGCCTTCAAGATGAAACTTGATGCTAGAATTGTGTGTGTGTGTGGGAATGAGCTAGGGGACTCCGAGGTCTGCTTTGAATTCCAAGTCATAGCCACATGAATACCGGGGTAGGCTCTTTCAATACGCATTCACCTTTACTTCCCTGAGAATCCCGACGAGCCCGTGATGGAATCAACTTGGGTGCACTGCCCAAGAGGCGATAAGCGCGCGGGAGCTGTGAGTTACCTTTACACATCCCGAGGTGCTGTCCCAAATCATCCGGGTCCCCACCTGGTTCGTATATTCAGTACTCAGTACGAGCTGGTAAATTTAGACTTGTGGGGTCAAACATCGAAAACTGTTCGATCTATCGACGTTGCCGGGGTTGAAACAGATACGGGGAGAAGACGTTCATTAATGAGCACAGGTGCAGAAGAAGCCTGCCAGATGGATTCTCGTGCCACAAAGCGGTGCTTGGACGTGCTTCCTTCGATCCGGAGGAGAGAGGAGGGGGGACGACGATGCGAAATCAAGGACATAGCAAAAACTGATGTCTCCGGGTTTCGCTCCGCCTCTCCGGTCCAAACCAACTGATAATATAAACTCACTCCAGGAGCTCATTCAGCTGGCACTGGTGAAACAGATTGCACGAGGGAAATCCCGACGCGCATGTTTTTCATTATAGTTCGTGTGGGACGGGACCAGTCAGTGGCTAGCCTCGGAAAAAGAAGATCATGATACCCAGCCAACGAGATGAACGTTGGACGTTGTTCGCCTGCCGAGGCGATCTTAGTTGCCGACGATTCGAGAGTTGATCGACTGGGAAGCTGTGCCGAGTGAAACGAACAGATTTATCAAGAGCAATGGATTTGGGTCTTCAGAAATCGACGGAGATGTCGTAGGTGTAAGGGATGATTGTGTCAGGTTATACGCGACTCCCTTACGGTCGACAATCCCGTGCCATGAAGGTGTCGATCCTGAAGTGCCTCGAGGCTAGGATCGTTGCTTCGTGTACATGATTCCAAGATCGAGTTCGCCCAGGATTAGAGATGGATACTCAGCTGGAGAAGCAAAAGCGCGAATTCCGAAAAAGCCTCCCTTCTCTTCCCTTTCCGGTGTACGTTACGCACCAATAATTCAAGGCACATGTGTATTGAATGGAATGTCTGTGTACCTGTATGACCCCGGGAAATGGATTTGAGGCAGACTGCATTTATTATACATCAAAACAGGACAACCATAGCAACGAAGTGGTTCGAATTCTAGATGGAAGGAACACTACTTGCGATGTTTTGTTTCAGCGCGTGCGAGGAAACGGAGGTTGAACGTGATACGATACTTCCCGGTTGTGGATCCACCTTGACCGGTTGGTACCTGTTCAATTTCGGGATCGCAGCGTGAAATTGGACATTGGATGGTCGGGCTCGGGGAGGGTGCCTTGGCCTTGTGGTATCCAAGGGCAGTGGCGTCGTTGTTGTCGTTCCTTTAATAAGAAATTGCCATAGCCAATATGGACAGTCACTATGCAGGGTTTTAATTCGAACTTGTGGAATTCAAATGGCCCGATGCACCTGACGGGAACTGGTGAGGTTTGTTGCCATAACCACCGTGAGAATGTCGATATGGTGCTATTCCTGAGGCGCGCATGATGACCGTAGGCGCATTGGAAGGAGGGATGGGGAAAGGGAGTATTTCGTACCGTGCAGTGCATTTGTTGATGGTTGATGGTATGCCGAGAACGTAAGCCGGGGGTTTCATTGGGTCTAGGTCGGTAGATCATGAGAAATCGGTACCGTTTGAAGTAGTTTGGTAGACTGACTTGGGACGAGGCCGGAGAACTATCGGAGAACTGGAAATTATAAATTTGAGCTTGACGCCCCTCGTGCTACTGAACCGTATTCCTGAGAGTAGGCAGGTATACACAGACTGACACTGGAAAGCTGCGTTGATTTTCGATCGTAGTAGGGGCGGTCGCTCGAACGTCCGTTACGATCATGATCGTGCCACCAAGGATGTCTGTTTAAATGAAAGCCTTTGATCAAGTCCGGATTTATCAGCGTCCGATTGTTTGGGCCTGTCGGACGGGCATGAGAAACTCGAAGTCAAAATGCGATCGATGAAACGGGGTAGGGGAAGAAAGGATACGAAGAAGCAGCGCAGGAGAAGAAGGGAGGGGGGGGGGTAACGGGGGTCCGGGACGGGGATAGCTATCGAGACATTTGATAGGTGATTGACAAAGGCGTGCCAGTGTATGCCGACGCGTTGGGTCTTCTATAGCTATTAGCATACAAATGGGGAGCGCTCTTTGAATGGAGGAGACTGTGAGGGACTGTCAGTCATATGTTTGTTATTCCCCATTTACATTGTCGAATATGTCGTCTGGGTCTGGACCGGTGCTAATTAGAGGCGGAGACAGTACGAGGTCGAGGTACCCAAAGAATTCCCATGGGATTTTGTTGAAAAACCGTACTGCGAGGACCAGGGAGAAGTGAAACGCGAGCTGACGGAGAAGAGATAGTGTGTGGGCTAGGAGTGGAGGTGAACTGTAACTGTAACTGTATGAAAGGAATCAGCTATCAAAGAAGCCAGGTCAGCTTGAGTTTAGTCCTAGAGAGATAGAACGGGACCGTAGCCGTACATATATTATTACCGTGAGTGCAAATGATAAGGCACACACTTCCCATGGATGTGTATGTGTGTATGTTCGGGATGTTCCAGAAGACTCAGCAAGGTTCAAAGTTCCGTCCATACAAATACCATCCGAGGCGCAGAGCCACACTGCAGGGGGATAAGCATCTGTTAACTTTGAGCACTGCTCGAAATTTTGCGTGTTCTGGCCCTGACGAAGGACGCCCATCCCATAAAACTTGACAGTTGAAACGGGAATAGAACTGGGACCCAAGGTGAACTGTCTGACCGTTTCCCGGGCCTGGCAGAAATAACGGGCTTCTATCGCCTGTCCACGCGTACGTGAATCGCACGAGCATAGCATGAGAAAATGCAGCGCGCTAAAGAAAGGCAGGTCGGTGCATTTCTACTGTGAAATACCGCTGGGAGGGTTAGCATATGTGCTCCAGGGATTGGGAAATTTATAGTAAATGGACTTTGAACAGGGGGATTCGGAGGCTGCGGATGACACACGTCATGTAGTAAGAGGTTTGCCTATGTTTGTCCGCGCCACACGCACCGCGCCCAAAGAAAGGGTCAAAGGAAACTCGTGTTTCGAATTTGGCTGAACGTCGACCACCGTCTACCGACTACTACCCGACTGCTCGCCTAAGAGGGGAGGGCCCACGCCGTTGCTAAAGGTGCGAAATATACCTTCGGGCGTTGTAGATTGTTATTGAAACGCATAGAGAAGCTCAAACCGCGATAGGTTACGGCACGCCTCAGCGGCCCTCGCCCACTCTTTTTTCTCCTTCCCCTGATACCCTTATCTTCAGTTCTTCACTACATTGCTCTTTCTTTTAATACGTTTGTTGCATTGAAATGCATTCTCAGTGAGGCGGGCTCGTGGTGGGTGCGGAAAATCATCGGACTAACTTTCAGTCTAAACAGGGAAGCGATCATTCACGCGCCACACCGACGGCGGGACGATAGCTGCGTGGATCCCAACCCAGCTAATACCATCACAGACCGCCTTAATACACTTCTCAATTCTTCTGGAGCTGGTTATATTCTGCCGCTTTGCGCAGGGGCAGAGTACTTGATAGAATCTCCGATTCTTTTCGCTGCCCCCCAACAGGAGATAAGCACGGTTGGGTACCCTACTGGAGACGAGCGCGCCACACTTATTGTCAATGGACCGGTCTACAATGGAACGGGACACACGACCGCTATAGATGGTACCTGTGCGAATTGTACAGGTATTAAGATCAGGAACATTCAGGTATGTCGTCTGTTTGATTTCAGAAATCATGTTATAATTATTTCGAAGATCAATGGTACTCGTCTCGGAGCAAGCCCGACTACCGGAGGGGCCAATATTGAGATGGGTGGACCTAATACAGATCAAGTCATCGAATATGTCCGGTCGTTTGACCCTCGAAGCTGGTCATGTCTTCATGTAGCGGAGGGCGGCTTGGAATGCAAGAACGCTACCGTGAGTCTAATATCTGCTGATACGACGGTCGGCCGGCACCTCATGCGAAGGCCCAGGTTCAAAATAATGACATTGGTCCGTGCGGGAGCGATACCTATCAACAATGGGCGGATGGTATCAGTGTAGCTTGCGCCAGCAGTGTCGTCCGTAATAACATGGTGATGGGTCCCACGGACGGTGGGATTGTTCTCTTCGGTGCGCCTGGCACGCAGGTGTACAACAATACCATTTGGGTTGTGGACGTGAGTTATTTCTACAGAAAGAAACGAGCCTTGCAACTAATTGCTTATGTCTGACAGCAAATACTTCTCGGGGGCATTAACATGGTGGACTACCTTCCTTGGTATGGAAACTATGCTGGGACAGTCGTTCATAATAATACAATGATCGGCGGTTTCGCTACGGGCGAAGGTAATGCAACTAAAGGCACGAATGTGGATGATGCTATCATGAAGTGGGTTATTCACGCATCTATATTTGCATTAGGTGTTGACGGCTTTCTATTAGGATCGGTGTAGCTATCGGACCTCGTACTTGGTTTGGACCCGAGTATGGCACCAATCTCAGTCATTCGGGGACGGTCTACGACAACAGCTTCTCGGGAGCGTTCAGCTATGCCATCGCCGTCACATCAGCCACCAATTTCACAGTTCAGAGCAACTCCTTGTTCGGAAATACGTCCTTCATTGGTGCTGTTGGGCCGAACTGCAGTATCACCGACGTCGACATTCCGACTCCCGCCGCGTTCGTGATAGACAGGAACCTCACCTCAGGCATGACTCTTCAGTCCGATTTCACGAACATTACCAACGGGGACTCTATTACCTGCGTAGCTCCTCCAGCTGGCGGTGACTTTTGGCCCTATGGTGGAAACCCGGCAAGCGGCTCGGGTTCGTCGGGTGGCAGTGGCAGTGGCAGCAGTGGTGGTGGCGGGATGTCTGCAGGAGCCAAGGCGGGTATCGCAATTGGCGTGATAGTCGGCGTCATCGCCCTCGGCCTGGCGGCTTGGCTCACTCGCAAGTGGGCCATCAATCGTTCCGAGTCGAAAAAATTGTACTACTCGACGCGCCAGTCGCGCTTTTTGAAGCATTCCTAAAGCTTTTCGTCTCTTCATACAGACAACGGATTCATGCATACCCGACACGATTTTACATATAGAGTTCCTCGGTCTATGACCAAAGGACTTCATTGGACATTGCTAAGTAAATATAGTTTATATTTTATTCGCACGAGATAGAGTACCTTGTAGTTCAACTGTTGCTTCATACATCCTACACCAACACCAATATTTATTCTGTACAGTAGTTTTAGTTGTCGCCTCTGTTATTATATATGTTTTCACGTCAAATATCGCTGTGGCGGTTTGGAACAGAGACTGCCACTCGCCGGCCTTTGCCGAGCATAGTTATCACGTGTGACTCCGTCATCCTGCATTATTGACCCGGTTTGTCTCGTTAAAACAAGTTCCAAGGGCAAACGCTCGCCACATCTACTCCTCTTTTACTCTCCTACTTCCACCTCTTCCGTCAAACTCTGGTACCTGCCTTCCGATGAACATGGAGAGAGACGAGAGGTGCTTATACATTGCTCTTTTCACTGCTACGTCTTATTCATGTTTGTCGTCGTACAGATATCTTGGTGTTACAGCGCCAATATCGACACACGAGTCTAGTGACAGAGAAAAAGAAGTTACGATTACTCTCATGGAGGAGCTACATCGGCAAAATACATTCGAGTCAGCGGAGGAAGCGGCAACGCGGTGAGTGAGGAGTTCTTCGTCTCAGTGTTCTCCTGGTGCCTTGCAGGTTTCTCTTTTTTTCGGATTTTCCTGAGAGGTCCTCGGTCAAATCGCCTTTTTCCCGCCGCTTCCACTCGTTGTGCAACCCCGGAATGATGGCCATATTTGTGTCGGACCGGACCCACTTTTTTCTTCTTCATTAAGATGCGATTTCAATAGCTCGGTACTGAACCTTGGCCTCTTTTTTTTTATCCGCTTAGGGAGCTTGTTCTGGGCCGTGTAGATGCTCTCGTAAAAAAATTCGTTCGAAATGTTTCAATGAAACGAGGTCTATCCGAAGCTGCAGCCAATGCTGCTGGTGGCAAGATTTTTACTTTTGGATCATATCGATTAGGCGTTCACGGGCCTGGTTCTGATATTGATACGTTGTGCGTTGTACCCAAGCATGTTTCGCGAGAAGATTTCTTTGAGGTGTTCGAGCCTATGCTCAAGGAGTTGGAGGGTGCCACCGAAGTAGCGGTGCGTGGCGTTTTTTCTTGTTGTGGCTATTTCATGACTTGAAAGTCAATCTAGGGAATACCAGAAGCGTATGTACCCATCATAACAGCAAGCATATCTGGGATACCTGTGGATTTCTTGATGGCACGCTTGGCTCTGTCTTCAATACCAGACGACCTTTCACTGCAGGACGATAATCTATTACGAAATCTAGATGAGCGATGTGTGCGAAGTCTGAACGGTGCGTGATCCCCCCTTTGATATCGCGGTATTTTAACAAGGAATGCTCCCAGGTTCGCGGGTTGTGAATGAAATTCTTCGACTAGTCCCTGATGTAGAGGTGTTCCGGAATTCGCTACGTTGCATAAAGCTCTGGGCAACGCGTGCGTCAATATTCTGCCGGATGCCACGGTGGTCGTCTGACTCGATCTTCTAGGAAGAGCAATTTACTCGAATGTCAATGGATTCTTTGGTGGTGTTGCGTGGGCGATATTAGTCGCTCGAATATGTCAACTGTATCCTAACGCTGTGGCTGGCGCTATTGTCAGCCGCTTTTTTATTATCATGTTCCGATGGTGGGGGGGTTCAGTCACGTACAACGAGTTTCCTTACTAAATTAGACTCTTGGCCCAGGACCTGGCCACAACCCGTACTCCTCAAACAGATAGAAGAGGGTCCGTTGCAAGTGAAAGTGTGGAATCCCAGGGTAAGCGCATGGCTGTTGTACGATTTGTACCCTCTTCATTTCTAACTGGTCGATAGCTTTATCCCGCTGATCGAGCACACCGTATGCCCATAATAACACCTGCTTATCCTGCGATGTGCGCTACACACAACGTGACACAATCAACCCAGATGATTACTACCGAAGAATTTAAAAGAGGTGTGAAATCTTCTTCACGTTTTTCAAGCCACTGATAGTCATTTTCCAGCCTCCGAAATCGTTGATGGAGTTTTTGTCGGAACTGCGTCTTGGTCTGAGCTATTTGCCAAGCATGACTTCTTCCACAAGTACAGGTATTATCTACAGGTCATTGCGTCTACTGGTGATGCAGAATTGCAGATCAAATGGTGAGACTAAGACGCTTGCAGTCGTTCTTCTTTCTTAGCGTGTCCTAGGGCTGGGACTGTTGAATCTCGAATAAGACAACTGGTCATGAAATTGGAGCATGTTGATTCACTGATATTGGCACATCCTTTCATCAAGGGCTTCGAGCGAGTTTCGTACTGCCTTTCCGACGAGGAAATGCATATGGTTGCTCAAGGCGATATTTCGGATGCTATTTCTAAGCGAACAAAGCAAGACATCGAGGACAAGGAAGGCTGTAGTGCCGTGTACTCGACTACCTTCTACATCGGACTGGCAATTGAACCGAAACAACGTGATTCAGTGTTGACTGGTGTTGGGTTCGACCTTGCTAACATATGCTTTCAAGCTGGCCTCGTTGGTCCTCGGCGCCTGGACATATCATATCCAACGACTGAATTTACGAAGCTTGTCAAGATGTGGGAAAAGTACGACGATTCTACCATGGGTATCGTTGTTCGACATATCAGAAGGTTTGTCACTCAAGGGCCTCGGGGTTATTGCACTATCTCATTCACCCTCCTTCACAGTTCCGGTCTCCCCGATGACGTCTTTGACCCTGGTGAACGCCAGCCGAAGTCGGCCCAAAAACGATCCAAGGTATGCCCCTACCATCTGCATTCCAGAAAGTTACCACTTATTTGGTTAATTCACACCTTTCAAGGGTCCAGGCAAGTCGAGCCATACTTCACCGGATATGCCGAACAAGAAAATCAGAACGTTGGTTTCTCAAATACTACTTGTTGCGCGTCATATCGAGATGCATTGACTACATGTCTTTCAGGTCGTCCCATCCTCCAACCAACGTGCCGCTGAAGTCAAGTTCGAATGGACCTACCGCTATGAATCTGACGTCCAGTGCGGGACCTCCAGCAACAATATATACTCCAAAGGAAACGACGTCTCGTGTGGCCGTTGCTATGGGCTCAATCTAACGCTGGATCAAGATAGGCCCGACAAGAAAAGTCGTCCTCAGGCAGCTTAGACCCCTCTATCTCGCCTTGACGGCTTGGATTATTCATCGGTGCTATATTTCTTTCACAGGGACCGTCACCGCCCGTAGAACTTGATTCGCTCTCTTGTCCGACCCTGAGTACACACGGTAACGGTCTCCTTGAGCGTTGTCGGTATTGTTCTTTCTTAAATAAGTTGCTTCTTTCACAAAAGAACTTGCTTACTTGTCCTAGTCTCGTTATATCGAATCTCTGGTATCTGTTATTTGTATGGCGTCCGTCCTCGTTACTTTTCGAGACATAACATGTATTTTATATCAATAATATCTCTATAAATGCTTGTGTGCATGCATTGCCGGACGAAAGGGCAATTCATATCTATCTTTGTCTTCGGGCGGTATTGGGTGTCCTTTGTGCACTTTTGTAGCCGTCTATTTCGCCGTCTTTTGTCGTCGCCACAGTACGGTACGGACCGAGAGTAAAAACTTCTTCGTCTTTTGTTTCAAGGGGGGCTAGGAACGGGCATCCTTTCGGTACGTAGTAAGCTGCTGCAAAATACGAAGTGTTGGGAGTTTAGTAGACAACAGATGAACATCATGGGCAGTGCTTAGGCGTCTGCTCACTTTTGCATAACTGAACAGTGAAACGAAATCCGATAGATACGCTGCGGGTAGATCTGAGTTCTCATAAAGCCGTACTAGTAATTAAGTTGAACCCGGATTGGGGTACAGATCTAGAGCCGGAGGTTATAATTGGTGGATAATTTAAATCCTCGACTTCCCCCCGGATACCCTTGCGTCACAAAAGCCATGTATGGCGAAAATCAACGCTTGCTTATCTTGGTGAGGTGAGTCGAGCAAGCATTACGACAGCGCACAAGCAGGAAAACGGTCCGTGACATGGGCAAACAAACGTCGAGGCGTACTTGCACCGAGCATTGTGAACGTTAGGGGAAAACTATAAACACGTTGACCGAAACGTCGTCGTGGCCATAGTGTCGCAAACTTGGACCTGTTGCCTGGGCAAACCGGGAAAAAAGTGAGATCGATCGAGACTTTTCCATTATTAGGTTCTTGCTGCAATTGTTGTTGCACTGCAATATTCGAAGATTTCAATCGATGGAAAATGAGCAGGGTGCAAGGCTGGTAAAGATATTTGCTTGACACTACGTGTGTGGCGGCTAATATGAGAGCCCCAGGCGAATATACAGACGGAAAAGTAAACTGAGGTAAAGTTTAAACGGAGAAAGCTGAAACGGGGCTGCCGTGAGCCCTCAGTTGAACACACTCTGACGATTATTGCTATTGAGGGGAAAGGCGTCAAAGAGTGGCTCCGGGCTATTAGGCCCGAGAATCAGTGTTCCGGTGGCAACTAAGTCGAGTTGTAGGAGCCGTGTACTTTTGGGCAGTGGAATACAAAACATTAACCATACGGATGAAGCAAGTATGGGCCCAGGGGCGACTGAGCGACGTCTCAAAGCTCCCAGTCAATGTATGCACCAATCATTTCATTACTTCCCTCCATAAACTCAGCGAGAACCTATAGTTGAGCCAATCGTCTGGCTTATCAGCCGCACTTTCTCTCTTTTTTTAAGTACGCGCAGGCCTTACCTGAAAAGGACGGTTATAGAACTACTACTATAAGGCACTGCAAGGGCCTCAGGTCATACCGTCCTTCACGGGTAAAAAGAAGATTAAATAAAACCCCGACGTCACATGTGGCTCCGACGAACGGGTTCGCATGTTACTGTAAGAAACAGGACGGTTCCTGATGATCCTACACAATTGATGTATACCACCCTTAGGCTTGAAGCTTTGGGACCCTAACACCAACTAAATACAAGTTGCGCACCAATACATTTGAATGAAAATTGCACAATTTACATCCGTGGACGAAGGGGACACCGCCTGGGCCTGCACCTGCCAAGAAAGAAGCATGAGGATCATTCGTAGCAATAATCTCGTGCACAATTTCAAACCACGCCGCGCAGGGTCCCAGAATTAAAAACGACCACTTGTAAATGCAAGGATGAGTGAGAGTCAGGTTAGTCAAATTGTAGACATGCGTAAAAGCCTAAAATCTCCTCAAGAGTCACCGGAAGCAATACACCGCGAGTATGGAGTATGAAAAAAGTGACAGCTATACAAATGTCTTTTTTCAGCAAGAATACAAAACGGCTTCTGCCCTTTAGAGCGAACAGAATACGAGGGAGAGAGATCCCAGATCCAAGTTCCAGCATGATCACGGAAACATCCATGTCAAAAGGACCCTGTTAAACGAATGTCCTTGATGGAGGCTCCAACGTAGACTGTAAAAGTGCCCGAGGGTTTCACCCATGATTGACTCGGAACGTCCCATATGCTAAGATACAATTAACAGTGAAACATGTCGGTATAACGACATCTCACCTCATTTCCTTCTGGGAGATAGACATACTAACGGTCCTCATCTCTCCCACCGCTAGAATAACTTCGTCGAAGCCTCTTAGCACCTTCTCAGTTTCACCGGCACTATCGGGAAAACCAAGATACATCTGGGGAATCTCGGTCCCGTTAAAAGCCCCGGTGTTGGCAATATTGAATGATATCACTTTGGAACCCCCAGAGGAAGCAATGGAAAGAGACGAGTATGAAAATGTTGTGAACGACAAACCAAAACCAAATTCGAATTGCGGAGCAATTCCTTGTTCATTCATGTAACGATAATCAAGGAGCAGTTTCTCGGTGTAGGTAATCTAAAAAAGACAGTCATGAGTTGCGCAGAAATGAAAAGCACACGGAACGTGGACATACGGTGGGAAAGCCCAGACTGTTGTATACAATTTCGGTGCCATACGCATCTTCGTCCTATCAATTACACGCATCAGTGCCTTGCGAAGAGAAGTGTCTGTCATTGCTCACATATGCGATGGAGAATGGGAGCCGTCCACTAGGATTAACGGCTCCCCATATAATGTCAACAAGACTAGGTCCGGTCTGTTCACCGGGAGCGCCAGCGTATATCAATGCCGATATGTTTTCGTGCGTACTCCACTCCAGATAGACCGGTCCAACAGAATGCACAACCACAACAGTATTGTTACAGACAGCTGCAACATCTTCGATCTTAAGATAAAGAGCGCAATTAGAACAAGTTCTAGTAAGATCACCGCCTTTTGACTTACGAGACTGCCACCCTTGTACCAGAGGTCCAAATCGTTCCTATCGCCCATATTGCCATCTACGATGTCATAAGCACCGAGCTCGCCACTCATTCTAAATGTTGACCCAAGATGAACGACAGTCCACCATACGAGAAAATAGAACTGACGCATTTGCAAATACAATAGCCAGATCCTTCCCTTTCGCGGCTGCGGGACCAGCGGATAAGTCGTTCGACAAGGACGAAGTTATCGTTGCCGAATTTCCGACGAATTCGGTAATAGCATCGATTGGCGGGACAATGTATTGCAACGAGTTGGTACCAGAGCCCCAGCTTTCAAAGCGCCTTAGGTGAGAATCCCATTTCTATGTACAGAAAGGCACATACCCAACGCTCATCGTCCCGTCGTTACACTCCCCCAAGCTATTACAGTCCAGGTTTGGCATCTTGGCATCCTGGCCAACTATAGCGATCGTCTTGATCCTCTCTTGCGCCACTGGAAGACCTCTTACAGTCACCCCCGAATCGGACCCTCAACACAGAATCAACACATCAACATACGGTAGCACGCGGTACAACCTAAACATACCAGTTGTAGTAGTTCGGTCGTTTTTAAGCAACACGGCAGAAGCGGCGCCAATTTCTCTTGTCAAAGCAGTATGAGCTTCTGACCGAACTGAGATGCCTAGGTTCAAGTCCCCAGAACCGTCAGGCTCCTGAGCGTCGAAATTGATGGCTGGGTAGTCCTGGACTCAGGCGGTTTGAGTCCACGGAAGGAACAGACGACTTCGACAAACTCACGGAGTCCTGGCCGAGACGAAGGAAGGAAGCGAGTACTCGGACAACCATTTCATTGAGTGTCTGACGGCGAAAATTTCGTTAATACGAGACGTATTGGACTAGAGAGGTAAACGCTCACGGTGACGGAAACATCTCCGTCATTCACTGCGTTATTCAGGCCTCCATTGCCGTACACGCCGCCACCTAATGTGCAGGTAAACTATAAGTTAAGAAGGTATCCCCGGTTAACGCTACGAGCATATTAATAATTACCTATCAAGAGAAAGTCTCCTGGTTGTTCCATGTCTAATCCGGCGTTCGCATTATCGCTGGCGGAATCATGCGTAGCACCCCAATCCGAGACAACGTAACCTGTGATGCTACGCCTGAGGCACAGAAAATGCCCCGGACGCTTCAGGATACTTACCTTGGAATCCACCCTGTCTTAACAACCCATTTGAGCCGATAAGAGCCTCATTGTGACAAGACGACGTTTGGTTGAACCGATTATACGCACACAGGACGGAAGAAACATTGGCCTGGAAAAGGTTTCCAGTTCATCGACTAGCACATGGGGATGGAGGACCGAGGCACATACATCGATGCTCCGCATGAAAGGCCACCAATATATTTCATGAAGCGTCCTGTCGTCTACGTCCGCGCTTAGACCGTACCTAGAAATCGTATGTATAAAAAAAATCACCGCAGAAAAAAGAATGACATGCCTGAGAAAAAAAGTCATAAGAAGCAGGACTGACGCGAAATTCTATTATTACCCATACCTCCAATGCTCCTGATTATTGGCTATGAAATGCTTCGCGCAGGCCTGAACACCCACGCTCTGGATGCCGACTATCGTTTCGTATGCAAATTCACCGTTCAGGTAAGGATCAGGGCCGGCGCTAAAATCAGGACAACATAATCAGGACGCGCTGCGCTATCATTCAATGCAGAGTGTTTCACCTCTCCCATCCTCGTCCAGCTTTGGGGTTTCTCATCTAATTTTTCGTAAATCATCTTTGGAATACGGCGACAAGACGCATATTCTCACAATATCCATAGCCGGACCGAGTAAGACGCTACGGCGCGTTAATAAGGGTCGGAGAAAATGTGGGAAGCTTATTCTTACTGAACACCCTTGCCTCTGAATTCTTCGGCGAGTGCCACACCTCTTGCTCGCATCAGACGACGGCTAAACGTACTTGCGGCATTAATACCCGTTGGGAATCCGGTAACCTCCTTGACAAGCCGTACACCAGCGGGACCGTCGTTAAAACATATAGGCGGGATAGTAAGGGTCGTTGATGATAGCGTTATGGACCGGCTAGGGGGGGTAATATTTCCTACACACCGACCTATGATAATACAAATACAGTGTCAAAAGAGGAACCCTCAAAGAGTGACGAAAATCGAATTAAAACGTACTACTCCATTCCCCGACGCCAATGACCAACCCTAGCTTTTCGGCCTGTGTCAGCTGTTGGACGGTCTCATTTGCGAGAGAATAGGCTTCTTCCCAAGAACCTGTTCGGTTGTGAGAAAAGCAAAATAGAACATGGAGATGAGGGTGCGCTAAGTACGTTGTGTGAATGCCTGGACGCCGCCAACGCCTAGCCAGCACAATAGGCACAATCTGAACACGCGCAAAATTGGCGGTAGTGGTAACCACATTATCGATAGTGGTTAGCGAAAGGGAGAACAACACGGAATTCGAAGAAGCACACTCATTCCCATGATAACAGCTTCACATTATTATATGTTTAATGTTTTTAGCCACCGGGCCTTTGCTGATGGAAGGCAATCCCCCATGGCCGTCTGTGCATGTGGGTTGGTGCCAACCATCAGAATAAAGACTTCACGCCAGGTCATGGCGCCAGAGCCTTATGACTGGATAGTAGATGCTGAGAGGAAGAATGGAAAGTGCGCCCCTTCGAAATGATCCATATTGGGAGAGCTGCCAGGGACAGCCATCACAACGGTCCGGATTTTGGAACTTACTGTTTCTGCTCGACTTCACCGAACTGCATGGCACCTCTCGGTATTTGGGTTGCTCAGGTATTTTCATGGAAATACTAAACGACGTTTACACGTATTGGCCTTTGAAATCGATGTCTTCCGACATTTGCGGTTCAGTGCTCCATACTACACGTAAAAACGTCATGGAGTCTTGAGCGCTTAAGCTCTGCTCAGTTTCAAAGGCATATCGTTATCCAAATCGCTGTTCCGAGAGCCTAAGCCTTCCGCGGAACGTCAGATTTGAGTAGGATTTGAGGAACATGTAACGGAAAGGATGATAACTTTAGTAAGATTCGCATGTCCATCTGGCGCAGATTGCAAGTAACTGTTCCACGGAAGGTTATACGCAGGTGGAGCGCAAGGACAGGAATTCAAGTAGAACGATAAACGTCCGGCAATGATATACAGATATGTCATATTTACAAGACTATTTGCTACACATTATATATTTCATTGTATACGTACCACTACGAATTAGGTCCCACAAGCTTCTGCAATTCTTGCAGTTCCTTCTCTTTCTCAATCAAGGTATTTCTCAGCTGCTCCTGCTCCGCCACAACTTTCTTTTTCGCCTGCTCAAGTCGGTCCGCCTCTTCCTTCTCCATCTCCTGGCTGAATTCGGGTGTCTCTGCCAATCTAGTGTCTTTCAGCGTGTCAGGGTATGCGATGTGGAAGGGAACCGGTCTCCTCTTAGTCTTTGGGAGGGGCGTCGGAGGATGAGCGGTGAGGGTGTGTAAGAAGCTGTTGAAAGGTTCATTGAAGACGATTTCGTCGTACTGCCAAGAGTGTACTGGACCGGCTTTGAGGGCGACATCCATAGAAGGGATTTCTGGTTCCCCTGGACCAGCCCATGGGTGAAGCTTGAGGTGATGGTAAACAGAGGAGGCCTTTTCACCCGAGTCGGCAATATAGGTTATACGAATGAGAATGTCAAATTCACCCCATCTAGTACTTCGTTAGTTAGGGAACGTATGGAAATGAGATATAGAGACGCACCCTGTCTCTGTCACCTCAAATGGAGGCTTATCGACGACTGTTGGCATTGACAGATTAGAAGAGGGAACCTACACAAATTCAAGACGAACCTCTGCTTGGATTATTGTATGTATCATGCAGCTTGAAGTTGACGCGTTTGATGAAATAGCTAAGATCGTCTGCACCGCCAACAACGTCTGAATCTGGAACAGATGCGGCACTACGGACAGCGACTGTCCAGCGATGAGTGTGTTCATGGCGGCTAGGATCTAACGCAGCTCGTTCCTCCGGGGTCAAAAGCGTAGCGGTGTTTCCGTATATTATAGGTCTGAATATGCTGAGACCCTGCCAACGTTCCTATGAACGTGAAAGAAAAGGATAACAAGGAAGACGCACTCTAACGCGAACGCGGTCGGCCATGGCGAAAAGGGTGCAAGTCGAGCCTCGGCTCTTTCCCTTTTGGCTGACCGCGAAACCGAACTCCGACATCGCCCGCTGCCTGCCTCCTCACCATCAACCACCACCATGAGTATCATTGACGGACTTGTATACCGTAAGACCTCACTATTTGCTTGGTCTAGGGGAAACATATCGATTTATGTGGACTTTTAGGCAAATACGATATCATTGACAAACAGAAGTTCTGGCAGGTGCGCTGTCGTTTTACAGCGGTTGTTCCTGCAGGCTTATGGTCCGCTTGTAACTCTGATAGGCTGACACAAGGCCCGTGCACTTCCGCGCTCCCGGAAGGCCAGCCAAGCTTCGTTAGTCGTTTGCAGATATACGCTTGGAGCATTTAAAGGATGATCACTCTATAGGCGTATTTTACGGAACCTTTGCCTTCACCGCTGCGTACGCCATTTATGGAGTAGCTTCTTTGATTCTCGTGTGTTCCACCTCTTTTTGTCGCCGTATGGATGAGCTGACATTATTCTAGGGAAAGAAGAAGTAAATTATGTCGTGGGGTCCTATAAGCTACCAATCCAATATCAATCGAACTAAAGCGTTCGCTGTAATGGGTGCTTTCTCTTAAGTGTCGATCCACTTTCTTTTCTAACTTACTGAGAACTCGAGAATCATGCCCGAGAGGTGGGGTCTAGCCCCCGTACTTGATGGCCTTTCAGTGTTGTCCGGCGTTGGGCGAGGACATGTCAATGATGTGGGTTCTTCTTTACATGGAGATACCCTATGACACGGAATCCTGTAAGGCGATAGTGACACCTAGTCAATATGAGCCATTGCACACCTTGGCTTCGATCTATGCAGTACCGTCATATGAAGTTGACGTCGTGCTCGCAGCCAGTGGATCGTGATAGGTCAGGTGTTCAAATCTGTGCAGGTTCTTCAGTTCTTTGAAAGATGCTGAAAAGTGTGAAACTGCATACCGTATGCCAGTGATGCATCTTTGTCTTTACGGGCATCCAGGGCATCCATAGGTTAACCGCTAGGCGCCCATTGGCCAAGACAGTGGTTCTCCCGAAAGGAAAGTGCGGCCGTTATATGGAAGGAATGAAAAATTCCTGACGCTGGTTGATGATCGGGTTGAACCTAAATCACTAGCGCTCAGGCCTGCGCTTCCATTTTCAAGGTGTCGAACTTAGTCGTCGATATCTTAGGACACCGCGCCTGATAAATTACGGTGGCATTCATGTACCACATGTATTATGGGCATTGAACGTTGACCCAGAGTAAACATCGAACTCAAAAAGATTTCAACGGTATAGATTTGGCCCCGAGGTACCGAAGATTTGGCAGGCGTGTGGAATGGAGTAGGTTACTCAAAACACTGCCGTCAACACTAGGAGACGTGTACAAGGATTCGGAACGGCAGATGTCCCGATGCCACAATAACCTTCGTGGAAGAAAGATACCAATAGGCATTGGGAATTTTGAAACGCGTGAATCACTGGGTCGTATTCAGGCTGCAGAAGCTGAAGGGGCGTGGGAGATGACGGGAAAGAGAAACGTGAAGGTTCGAGCACACCGTAGATATCGCCTTTTAAAAGTTCCGTCGAGTCTGGTGTTGATCGCTGCACATATACGTCGTCGTCGAGACCGACGTACAAATTTAAATATGTTGAACGCTGAACGTCGTTTCATGATGTCCAAGTCTCTAACAGCACTAACAAGTACAAATAACGCATCTCCAGTTTCCTCATTCACGTACCGCCAACAGCGACGTCTCTTTCCAGTACTCAGCCATACAAATGCACTGGAGCCCATTATCATGAGCTACGGAGCTCCTCAACCTTTTCCTCCTCTCGCTGATGTTCTCAATACTATCTCAATAGATTTTCATGCTGAGTTTCTGAACTGGATGAGAGGATGCGCCGTGCAGAATGATAGGCAGGTCAGTCTCACCGGCATGGAGGCTGTGATAACGCAGCTGTTGGATACTATTCCCCCCTGTGGGTCTGTGTCGACTGCAGAAGCCGCCCGGAAAATGGCACCAGTTCCTAGTGTTTTGGAGTCGATCGGAGAGGTGTTGAGTATCGATAATTGGAGGGAACCCTCGTTCGTATGGACCGTGGTGTCAGGACTGCTTCGCCTCATGGCTGTGATGGAGTCATGGAAGAAGGAATCAGAAGAGGCTGCTTCTCTGCAGGCAAAGGCCTTTGACCGCATTGTGGATATCTTGCGGAATCTCGGGGGGACCTTTGTGAAGGGCGTTCCACAGAATGCACAGCGTACCCAGTTAAGAGAGATGTTTGAAGAGTGCCTACATGCCATACACGGTACCCACCTCCTTCGCGCTTATTTTCTTTGCCGCTGATTTAGGTCTAGAATTAATGGAGACTCAAACGCTGTCATATCCTATCCACGTTCGAATATTGCAAAAGCCCAGACTCCTGAAACCTGGAGACTTGGCGGTGAGTGTCAATTATTATAGCCTCTAGCCTTCTCACGTCCTTTCAGGCCAATAACAAAAAGAGTACATGTTGTTTGCAATCCTCCTCTGATGCCCTCTGCTTTATGGTCACATTGCTTGAGATTTGGACTTCTTTTATGTTGCGATCAACACAGCTACAATGGTTTCTCCATGATTTCGGACAACGACTTGCTCAGGAAACACGGTCTTGTTTTGATTACTGCATGTCTGCAGTTTGCAATCTCGAGCCTGTAGTGCGCTCTGAAGGACTTGTCAGAATCATGTCCTTGATACCTTCCTTGCGCTCACTTTCAGAGAACGAATTATATCATTGGCATTACATTCTTCTCCGCTTCCGACTATTTCAAGGACCTAATTCAGGCTGGGAACATATTGATCGGTATCTTGCAAAGGAATTGGCGTCGAGCTCTTTCGTTGCGCCATCCAAGTCGGACTTCCGCGAGATCGTCAGGCTATTGGCATCGGGTCGATGGCCTAAGTCTGTAGAGGTATATCATTTCGTTGGGCGATTGAGGATCTATCCAACTATCTTCATAGGAATGGGCATTTTCCCTCTTCAATTCGTGTTTGCCTCATATAGAGCGAAACATTCTGCGTTCCTTACAAACTGCCATCGACTTCGGGAGCGAGCGCAATGAAATCGCTCAACGGATGCTTGAAGCTCTGCCTACAGTAGCTACGGTTATTCCCAATGAGTCACATAACGAAGAGCCCTGGAAAAAGCTTTTGCGGACAGCTACTGAAAAGATCATATTACCAGAAGCTCTTGACTGGATGGATGATGATGTCAATCTGAGCGATCGGCGGTATATGCAGCGAGCCATCGACGATATTGTAGGACAATATTCAAGGTTAGACGCCGTACGTGTGATCTGAAGGGTGGCTGATCTACGCGAATTAGGCCTCTTGAACAGTCTGTTACATCATACCGGTTGTCTGTCATTGATCAACTGCAGGAGTTCTGTGCTCTCCTGCGCCCTGATGCTCAGCTGTCAACTGTCCTGCTTTGTGTGGCTTTGACGCAGTCGACTCTTGATGGAAAGCCGGAGGAGATCACAACGGAGGTACGGAAGCGAGCCTTCAAAGTTATTACTGATCTAGTCAAATTCCATTCCTTCGGCGATGTTGAAGAGCTTACGGTGGCCCGACAAATGATCTTTTCTGGTATGACGGATACTGATAGAGGAGTCAGGCTGGTTGCTGGGTTTGTTTTTTTTGCGCATTGTCTAGATGTTCAGAATACTCATTCTAACTTAGCCGAGCATTGCAGAATTTTGTTCTCTCCATTTCCCGTATGAAACGGGGCGCCTCCGGGGCTCAAGCAACGCTATTTTCTCAACTAAATGATTTAACGGATGGCGCGAAGCTCCCTACCAAGGATACAATCATAATTAGTGTCGGTACTATAGGAAGGTATATTTATCATTCGAGAACAACAATTTGTCGTGATCGAGTTGTATCATTGTCAGGACAAAAGACAAGGAAGTTCTCGGCCATGTTCTCTTTTTCTTGCTTTCACAATTGGGAAGGTCGAACCCAATACTCAGAGCAGAGGCGTCTACTCATGTAATCGTTCCGTACCTTTCGCTTTCTCTGGTACTAATCTTCCCTTCCATCAGATCATCTCTCTGACTAAGTATCACAAGAAAGCAACTCCCTATCCTCTGTTTATTCCCTATATGGATCGTATTGCGCCGTATCTCGTTCTCCGTATTTGCACGCAGCCCAATCTTTTGACGGAAGCTTGTCGACTGGTGATGGTTTCACCCCGGCATATGATACAACTTACATTGCGCTATACGCTTCCCGTCATATTCGCAAAATGTGATCAAAAACTATTAGAGGATGTCGCAAAGCAATTGGAATCGAAACCAGCCACCCTTTTGATCAATGAGTGTCATAGGGTTCTCGCACATATCTATCTTCTGGACCAACCAGATCAAACCAGCAAGGCCCTTACATTCGTGACGGACGTTCTGACAGCAGCGGCGCAAGCAGATACGATTGATATCCAAAGCTTGGTGAAAGGATTCATCGTCCCCGTTCTTGCTGACTTGGTCATTGTTTTGGGCGACGAGAATCCGGACGTCGCAGCGAAGGTATACTTGGACTACGTTTGATGATAGTTCCTGAAGCTCATTTATCCATCCCTGTCAGGCTGTTCCCGCTCTTAAGAGGGTGTCAGAGTCATTGATTCCTCCGAATGTCGCGGGGCGATCGCAGACGATACTAGATATCGGAGTCTTTCTTAAGCAGTACATGTTGGGCTTGATTACGCATATCAACGAGATGCTGCAAGAGGTACACGGCAAGATTTCGATGTCTACCAAACAGAAGATCCTCCGGAGTCTCGGTGCTGTAGTTTCTTTGATCGGTTCTCCCATAAGTACAGTTGCACCTCAGGTTAGCCGAGCAGTTTTTCTCTCTCTTTTTGTAATGCTTACATGCCATTGCAGATAATGGCTACTTTCCAGACCATGGTGAATGTCGCTGAGTTGTCTGAAGTGACTCTCACTAGCTGGCGAAAATTCCTGGTGACGTTAGACCCTAAGGATATCGGTCCTTATGTCGGGACAACAAGCGCGACTATTACCACATCTTGGCCCACCCTCACCTCCGCAGGTCGACATATTGCCATCAGTTCGTTGGAGTACATGATCAACGACATAGGCGATCAACTTGGCCAATATCTTGATGACATCGTGGATCTGTCTGCTATTTCTAAGTTGAAGCCCCTTCAAGATCGGCTGACTGTGATACGAGGTGCCTGGTCTCCGAAGGAGCATCTTTGTAAAATTCTGGCCCGCGCGTTGCCTGATAATCAAACAATGGCTGTTCAGACCCTTGTCGAACTGAAGGCGTTCATGACTTCGGAGAACCAAGCTCTTATTCGGGAACTTGCATCGGGAGATACATTTGATCCTATGGTCGGCCAGATTCTTACAATCCTGCTTTCCGCCGCTTGTCGCGATGGAGATGGCGCTGAGGCGATACGTTCCCTCGCGTTTGAATGCATCGGTATTTTGGGAGCTGTAGATCCTGACAGATGTGAAATCGCTGTCAGTGACACCAGAATGATCGTCCTCAGCAATTATACAGACATCGACGAATCTGTTATGTTTGCTCTACATCTGATCACTGATCTCCTTGTTGGCGCATTCCGTTCCACCAGTGATATCAAATACCAGGGACATCTAGCCTATAGTATTCAGGAACTTTTGCGGTTCTGTAGGTTTACTCCGTCCCTGGTCTCCGTGGGTAATCAATCTGTGCCAATGAAGGTTCGAACGAAGTGGAACAATCTGCCTAAGCACGTTCTCGAAACCGTTACCCCACTCTTAGAGGCTCGTTTTACCCTGCAAGAAGTCCCAACTCCGGAACTTCGGCACCCTATTTATAACGATCAACCAACGTATCGCGAATGGATTCAGCTCTGGACTACGTACCTTATCACTCGAGCTTCGGGACCCGTTGCGAAAACCATATTTGGCGTTTTCAGACCGGCAGTGCGTAACAAGGACGTCGTTGTTGCCCACCATCTTCTTCCGCATTTGGTTCTCAATGTCCTGGTTTCAAGCGATGAGGTTGGGTGTCAGAATATACGTGCAGAGTTGATTGCTGTTTTACAAGACCAGATTGACCCGCAGAGTACTTCCTCAGCTGATAAGAGGCTGCTCAGTGCACAAGTACGTGAGAACCATTGCATTGGCCACAGTGTATTGATGATACAATGAAGGCTGTTTTTGTGCTCCTAGATCATCTCAATAAATGGGTTCGAAGGATCCGACACGATATGGGAACCAAGAAAGGAGAGACGAAGCGGTCCCGCGGAGTTACCGTTGGAACAGATGAACAACTTTCACAAGTCGACTCCATCTTGACTAGCATTGACCAGAGTCTAATGGCAAGGGCAGCCTTTCAATGCAGAGCATATGCACGCTCGTTGATGAATTTCGAACGTCAAATCGTTACTCTCCGGGAACGTTCTTTGAATCACCATGACTTGCCGGTCTATTACGAAAGGCTTCACGAAATCTATGCAAACCTAGATGAGCCGGATGGCATGGAGGGCGTGTCTACATTGATATTATCGCCGTCCTTGGAACATCAAATTCGACAGCACGAGAGTACGGGCAGATGGACAGCCGCCCAGAGTTGCTGGGAACTTCGTCTTCAACAGTCTCCGGATAATGTCGACTTTCATCTCGGTCTATTGCGTTGCCTGCGTAATCTAGGGCATTACGGTAATTCCTCTAATCTTTGTCCTCAGTGCATCATATCCATCGTACTTATAGATACACTGCGTACTCATGTCCTGGGAGTTCTTACTCGTAACCCAGGCTGGGCCTCTGCTCTTGCCGGATTCCAAGTCGAAAGCGCATGGATGGTTGGTGATTGGGCTGATGTTCAAAACGTCGTAAATCAGAGTACACAGCAAAATCCCGAGCTCGTGCTAGCGAGAGTTCTACTTGCAATCAGAAGTAAGGACAACGATGCCATAAACCAAACTTTATCGGCGGCTCGTTCCGTCCTGGGAGCTCCAATTGCAGCCGGGGGGGCCAAGGGATATAAGCGATCATACGAGAATGTCCTCAGTCTGCATTTACTATACGAGCTTGGATCAGTGCACAGTATAATGGGACAAGTGGCTACAGGGTCCCTACGCCGATCACAAACAAAGAATGCACTGGCCGAACTATCTGATTTGCTCTCGGCTAGACTAGAATCGACACTTCCGACGTTTCGCAACCGCGAGCCTATCCTCAGCATGCGGAGGACTGCCTTTCGTTTGTTGTATGTATCCATTGCCATGATTGATAAGTACTAATACGTTGTTGTTGTAGTCCGGAGTCCAATGAAGCAACACGGGAAATTCACCGAACGTGGCTGGCGAGTGCGAAGTTCGCCAGGAAAGCATGCCAATGGCAGATTGCTTTCAGCGCTATGCTTCAGGCAAAGCAGGGGAAGACCAAAGATTACTTCATGCAAAGCGCCAAGCTGACGAAGGCTAACGGAGAACCATTAGCAGCACTGCATGAGCTAGAAAGTTCTATGAAGTTGCTACGCTTGATGGAAGACGATTCACAAGTTCTGGACTTGACCGTGGACAACAATGAAGAGACCAACATTATCAAGGCGAAGGTACGGATCATCGACGTCATTATCCGCACAAAACCTGACCGTTAAGATCCTTATAGGCCCGTGTTTTACGAGCTCGCTGGATGAACGAGTCGGAACGTTATGAAGCAGCTGCTATTCTTAGTATGTTCAGGGGGGCCGCGAAAATATCTTCAACGTGATTTCTTATTTCCTCCCCTCCTCGTTTAATCTAATATGACTTTATACAGATGGGAGAATGCGCATTTCTATCTAGGACAGTTCCAAGATGACAGTTACAAAAACCTGACACGGGAAGATCAGAGGAATCGGTAAACTTAAAACTGATCGCTAAGGTAAATGTGCTTATATTTTCTTACGTAGGGGATTGAAAATGAATGTTAACACCGTCCGCTCTTATGCATCGGCCATGAAATACGGCTCCAAATATGTCTATCAGACTGTTCCTCGTCTGCTGACGCTTTGGCTGGATTTAGGTGATGATAGTGGCTTAAGGAAGACGGAATACTTCAAAACGATCAGTGATACTGTCAAGGTTGCTATCGAGCAAACACCGGTGTACCAGGTCAATTTCTCTAAGTGTGGTGTCTTGGTGGAACTTATGAAATATCATAGTGGTACACTGCCTTCCCTCAAATCGTTTCCAGGATCGGTCATACAAATGAGAGTGTTTTAAAACTACTATCGAACCTCATATCAAAAGTATTGGAAGAATACCCTCAACAAGCACTCTGGCAGTTCATCTCGGTAACGAAATCCAAGAAGACCGAGAGGGAGCAGAGAGGCAAACAGATCGCAGATAAAATTCGGGTAAGCTCAACTTCCAGAAATTTCCTTTTTCCTGATCCCAAGTACGTCAGAATAAACCTGGCACTCATCGTCGCGTCTGTGACCTGATCAACCAATGTGTCGCCATGACGGACGAACTTCTTGCGCTATGTGAATACCCCATCGACGACAATTCGCGAAAATCTTTGAGCATGAGCCGAACGTTTCCGAGCCTAGTTAGACTTGGACGTTCGGACTTGATCATACCTTTGCAAGAGTCTTTGACAGCCAACATCCCCCCCGTGTCGACCACTAATTCCAGCTTTAATCCTTTCCCAATAGATGTGCCTACGTTCGCAGGTGTGAACAGTGGCATGGACATCCTGGTCACAATCTGACCTTATGACAGAATTCTTTGACGACATCGAAGTGATGAGCTCTTTGGCCAAACCGCGGAAAATAACCATCCGTGGTAGCAACGGTCAAATCTATATGTTTCTTGGAAAGCCGAAAGATGACCTGCGAAAGGATGCCCGACTTATGGACTTCAACGCTATCATCAACAAGCTCCTCAAGGCTAACTCGGAATCTCGACGAAGGCAGCTTCGTAGGAGTTTGCGTTTCCGTACCATACTTAAAGCTGAGGTTTGCTAGATATCCGGACGTACGGGGTTGTGACGTTAAATGAAGAGTGCGGGTTCATTCAATGGGTACCTAATACGATTCCCATGAGGCCGATTCTTGTCAAGGCGTACGAAGCGAGACGGCTCAGGAGTTGGGTTGGTAAATCGATTTCTCCCCGAGGTCTTGCTGACATTGGATTCAGCCCTCAGACATCAACGAAATTGCTGCCAAAATCAAGGCCGCCACAGACAAAGAGGCTGTAGAGCTGTTTAATGCGAAGATTTTGCGGCAGTGAGTGCAGTACAAACTTTCGGCTTCTCTTCAAATTGACACTAATTCAGCTATCCACCTGTCTTTCATGAGTGGTTTATTGAAACTTTTCCTGAACCCTCGGCGTGGCTTACGAGTCGTCTCACATATGGGCGCACCGCAGCTGTGATGTCGATGGTTGGCTTTATTTTAGGGTAAGAGACACTTTCTTGAGAAAGAGGGATTGAGGAAGAATTCTTTCAGATTGGGCGATCGGCATTTAGAGAACATCTTGATGGATATCAACACAGGAGATGTCGTGCACGTTGACTTCAACTGCCTCTTCGAGAAGGGAAAAAAGCTCGAAACACCAGAAAGGGTACCATTCAGACTTACACAGAATATGCTGGACGGTCTCGGTGTCACGGGAGTGGAAGGTGTGCGCATTTAACGGATGCCACTAGCGTCAGCTAATATCTGATAGGCGTTTTCCGTGCGGCGTGCGATGTAACGCTTGGATTACTACGAGACAACAGGGATTCGCTGATGACTGTGCTTGACGCTTTCATCCATGATCCTCTCGTTGAGTGGGAAGACGAGAAACGAAAGAGGGTAAAAAGGATGTACATGTCTTTCTGATCTTCTCTGATCCTCAATCAATAGGAACGCAGTAAAACCCGTAACCAAGTAAAGGGACAGGTCAACCTTCGTGATTTGGCCCAAGGTGCACTCGGCCTCATCGAGAGGAAGCTTCGAGGGGTATACTCGACAAGTAAAGAGAAACCGGCGCATCAGAAAGAGATCTCGACGAGTAGTCTTGTTCAGATGATTATACAGGAAGCTACAGATGAAGCCAATCTAGTGAGTGGTCTATTATCAGTCCACGCCAGGTGTCTAAATTCTTTAGGCAAAAATGTATCAGGGTTGGTGCGCATGGCAATGAGGATTCAAGCATGATGATGTATTGCACGATAAACTGTATCCATAGGGAGGTTAGAGGTTAGACAAATCGGTATATGGTACCAATAAGGAGCACCGGGTTTTTGTGCCACCACTGTAAAGTGTCACAAACCATAACAACACCGTGCCGCTGTGATATCCACCAGGTGCCTACTGGGGACGTCTCACAGGTTTGATACTGTCATGGGGACACTAAAAGAAGTAGAGGGTGAGGGATTACATATGTCAATCATGGTCCAAGGGTAGCAGTGCACTAAACAATGATTAGATTTGAGAGTACCAAAGAGGGGAGGGAATATAGATCGGTGCCGCCCTGAATATCTCTAGTACATGATATACATATTGTACTAATCACAGCTCCAAGGTGGGTAACTGTAATAAGCATGCAAGAGTGTTGCCAAGACGGTCATCGTAGCTCATAGCAGTCCATGCATCGTGAAGTGTGGGGCATGTGGCATGGACATCAGCAATAAATTGACATCGAAGGTCGAGTAACCTAGGAGCAATAGCACAGCAGAGAAGAGTGTGCACCGTCCTCGACAGCCGCCTTGGAGAATCGACATAATCGCCATTATCATGGGATCTTTGGAGTGATAACCTTCACCCCAACACAAGACCTCAATGGCAAAGATATGGGAGGACGGAAGGAGATGTGTGAGAGCCCTGCGATGTGTGGGAATCAAGGTGGTAAGGTAAGTATGATGAGCTAGGGTTTTTAGATGCGGGTGCAGACCAGGGACTCCAGGAACATGTTTCATAGAGGCAAAGCATAGTATCTTTCACCCTGGACTCGATCTTTTCCATCCATCCAGGATAACATGTCATAATGAATGTGAAGATTAGGAGCGAGGCGTGCGAAGGACCCGCTGTAGACCTCTAACCAAAGACGGTGCGAGATGCTGCTGCAAGGTTATAGACTCTCACAAAGCGAGCAGTGCGTAGTGGTCCTGTGGCAGGCCTAAAATTGTGGCTTGAAGCTGTGGTATTCAACCTGAATTTTTTAGTTGCAATAATTCTCATGATACCGCGTAGGCTAACCAACCCAACTCATATTCCATTGCATCCAATTTACCGTGTCTACTGGAACGTCTCCCCAGTCATGTTGTCACCTTCACTACACCCCGATCCAAAAGTTCTGCCGCTACCTAGCCCTGCTTATCTGGATGCTGCTTTGTCTCGTGTCGCTCATATGTCAGGAGCTGCTGAATAGGTGGAAAATCTTCTTCAGGAGGAAGAAGAGATACATGGATGGATAAAGCGCATGACTATTCTCGCTGAAGATAGGTCCTCGATGGAACTTTCTGATCAGTATATGATCGCTGACGTCGGAGTACTGAGCTTTTCTTCATATCGTTTTTGCTACACTTGTATCTTACCCTGTCACATATCTGCATAATGGGTACATTACAGGTCACAGTTAATAGAAATTACATTTTGGAATAGCAACCCTGCCTGTTCAAAGGAGTACTTTTACGCTTGCTCAAACTCGAGCTTTGTTGCGTTATACTAACGTTCGCACCTTCAAGCTTGATGTATGTTCAATAACCTCGCGGCATAAGCATTCTGCATTTTGCGTGTACGAGGGAAAGAGCTCATGTTCTAAGGAGTCTGAACTCCAGAGTCTAGAGGCACCAGCAGAATCCCGAAACTCAAACGCGTCTATGATTGGTTTACAGCCATGCAATTTAATCAGTACAAGATCGTGGGCTAGCCATTTAGATTACAGCATACGATGAAGGATAGCAATACAACTCATACAAGCGTGCCAAATAGCTAATGAGAGTAAGAGGTCATGATCATGAGAAGATGAAGGGGTATAAAGAAGAAAAAGGTATCAAACATTCAGGGAATAAAACATGAACTAGCATGTCAAAACACAGAACACGAGCCAGCGTGCAAGCATCAGATGCGTTCTAGCGCGTTAATGCCTGTAAAAAGAAAAATCCAAACCACGCATGATTCTAGATACATGGCGGGGTCTCTTGACGACAGTTAGGGTGTCGTTGGTAACTATACGCTTCTCTAATTTGCAACTTCCCTGCGAATCAGAAGACGCGCTGGTGGAGGTAGCGGAAGAGGCAGAGGCAGCGGCGGAGGCGGATGCACTCGAGCCGCTACCACCAAGGTCGACGACTGGAGGACCAGGGAAAGTATACGAGGCTTCCGGGTTAGAGTAAACCTAGAAAACTATTAGCCAGACCTACACTATGCAAAGGCATCGCACATACATCGACCAGGATACCGGGATCAGTGTCGCTGTAAGCCCCAGGCAACTTTACGAGATCACTACTGGAAGGAACACCGGTGCCAGAGCCTCCCACTTTGAGCTGGGTGCAGGAAGGGTAGAACTCTGCACCTCCTTCCGCCTGGGCGTTCTGAAGGGCGATTATCTCGTGGCGGATAATATAGTTGCCAGCAGCGAGGTTACTTGGAAGGATCACCTGGGCGGGCACACCATTCACTGCATAATGTTATTAGATAGCGTAAGAGAAAATTATAATCGCAAACGAACTGAGAGCGGCTTGTGCCCAAGTGCCGTTGGTCCTGCCAGCTTCTTCGATCTTGAACCATTCTGTGCCTGTTGTATTGTAATCAGCACATGACTGGTCGCCGCAATTGGTCATGTAGGCCATCATAGGTCCGACATTGTGGGGCCACTACCAAGGAAAAAGAGCTTATTATTTAAATACCGAGCCAGCGAAATGGATAGCTTACTGGGGAACCGCTAGCGCCTGTCCACAAGAATGAGATGGAGCTTCCTGGATTGGCATCGGCAACTTGACTGGCTGCAATGGCACTTGGCCCACAGGTAAGATCGGGATTGCTCGCGCCCTTGACGGGATCCTGGGTCGACACCTCGCGGGTGATTCCATCGGTGCTGCCAGAACCAACAGCAGGACCGGTGTACTCTGTACCGTCGATGGTGACCTTTTGCACGTATCCGTGCCCGGCAACGTAGGAAGCGGCGAGGAATGGGAGGAAAAAAGATGCTTTCATTATTACCATTGGTCGGTCAAAGAGAGGATATAAAAGTCAGTCAGCGCAGCGAAAAGACCGTCGGTGTAAAAGGATGAGGATTCAAGGAAGGTGAGGGAGTTTGGGAACGGTCGCGCTTGCCAAGAGAGACTGTGGGAGGTGGAAAGCAACGTCGGTCTTTTATAGCAGACATTAGGTGCGTGCATGTAGCGAGGGAATCGTCATGCATTACGGATCCTGAAGGAAAAAGGAACTAACACGAGAGAGACGTGGGAGTGTCGTGTAAATGCCCAGTTGTATGGGAAAGGAAGAGACTGATAAGGTTGGAAATAGAACTGGAGCTGGATCAATACGTAAACCTTGTTATTTCCGTCCTTCATTTCCTGCCTCATGTTTCCGAAAACCCGGCGACTACAAGCGATGGGGACGCGTCAGGGGCGCTGATTTCTGCGTCGCCCTGGCTGCTGCGACCATGATGATATAGAATAAGCAAGGGATATCCATGTAAGCTGCACTACAACATCATTGACGGCAGATGCGCAGGAGCCATAGCGAGATCCAGGACGTCGGCGATTTCTGCTTTCAAACCATGTTTCCTCAATGTCAAGGATTCCCTGGTCAACGTTGGGTTGATGTGCCAATGAACCTCGCTTAGACATGATCGTGGTGCATGAATAAGACTAGACATACCTGCTGTATTGTACAATCAATATTCATCACTTCAATCTTTGTATCAGAATGTTTTCTCCCTCGCACACCGGTGCCGTTCCGCCCAAATAGATATGCATGCACCAAGAATAAGAACGAAACATCATTTAATGTAGTAGTAATACAACAATCTCCAAGACATGACCTACAGTCCAAACGCATCATTCCAACCCAAATACAATGTCCAAAAGATCAAGAAAATGCCAAACCAGTGAACGTTGCAACGGCCCCAACAACCGCCGCACCTGCAACTGTTTTCAAACTGCTTCTTCGTCCGCTATCATTCTCTGCCTTAGCGTTATCGGCCAACAGCTTGGCCTGTCCTTCAATCGTCGCGCAAAACTTCTGAGTATCCACCGGGTCCTGTCCCACAACAAGGACCTGCTCTTCATTCTCCGACTCCATAGAAGTGATTCTCCGCGTGTGAAACCCGTGTTTCAACGCAGCAGCTTCTATTTCGACGATGTCAGATTTCGGAAGGAGGTACGCGGTGGTTTGCTTGTAGCGGCTGTTAAGGCTGTCGACGAAGGAGCTGCGTTGCAGGGAAGACATACTGCAGGTGCGAGGTTTGGCGGAAGGTGGAACAGCCGATAAATCGAACATGGGCTCTTCGCTCTTCGGCTTTGGGGTGAGTGGTACCTCCAGAACGGTTGGATGAGGAGCGACGCTTGCAACAGACGGACCTGTTCCCGGGAAGGTGCAAGGCATGGCCCTGTCTTTGGCTCTACTCTTCGGAGATTTGGCTTTCGGCGTATTAAGCGCGTCCTGCCACCTGACAACCGATTTCCTATACCTTTCATCTTCATCCCCAGTGTCGGTACGATGTAACAGCGAATTGAGAATCTCGCTCGAAGACGAGGATATGGAGGCGATGCTTTCGGCAGGAACGGTGGTTGCCCGTTGAGTGGATTCGCGTCGGCGTCTCTGGCGAACCGCGGCGCGGGTGTCTTCTAGTTCCCAAGTACCTGCAGCGGCAGCGGCGGCTGCGTTTGTATCGTGGGGCGCAGGGGACGTCTGAAGTTTCATTGAACCAAGTGCACTGGTGATATTGGTTTCTTCAGACGGGCCATCGTCCTTCGCCGCGGCGGCGTATGGACAGCCTTGGCGAGGGTGGCCCGCCCTACGACGCCCACACTGAGCGCATTGCGGGATTTTACGTGGGGTAGTGGCAGGACTGTTGCTGCCAGAGGATGTTGGTTTAGCAGGTGATTGGGTGGATCGTAAGACTGGTGCCATGGTGGGTAAACGTGAGATTATAGCATTCGCGGTGGTGGCCGAGAGTAAATATTCGTCAGACACAGTTGCCGAGCTGGGTGAACAAGGAATACCTTGTTTGTTGTCTTTGTTGTCGATGATCCCGGCTGCAAAGAAACCTAAAAGAGACAAGATGAAAGGCGGAAAGAGACGTGTCCTGCAAAGAAGCCAAAGATCGAGCCGTGGTGGTGGTAGTCCAAGTGAGATTCTTTTCTTATTTACAACGGCTTGTGAAGGCCAAACTCAAAGTCTCGAGTTGCTGCCTCCCGCAATGCTTTATGTAAGGCAAGCGCAAGTTGTGACGAGTTTTCGATACTTTTTATTTCACGAAATACTTTTATGTGAATCAACTAAAAGACTTGAGCACCAGAGCCATCGGCAGGGCTGTTGGCTTCCTTTGGTTGACATTCATTCTCATTAAGATTAAAGGCACGAGAAACAACAAGAGCACAGGGAAATATTAATGTAGATCTAAGCAAAATTTAAAACCTTTTGAAACATCTAATCAACTCGGAACTTGGTATATTATGTCGGTTTTCGATGTTCCTGAAAAACGCGGTCAGATGGATTGCTTTCATTGCATAGTGAGAACGTACCGGTGAGTGCGTCGTCTCATAATCAACATGGACGAATGCCCTTTCAACATTCGGGAGCTCCTCGATCTTGTCCTGCAATTGCTGGCTAACATCATGAGCCTTATACAGCGGCGTCGATCCATCCATCACAATATCGATTTCAACAAAGTAGTCGGGACCGCTCTGTGGGGATGTAGGTTCAGCTCTGATACAGAAATTCACAAAGCGACGTACATGATATGCTCGAACAGTGTCTAGTTGCACAATGTCATCGCTGAAGGTCATGGATTTGTATATCAGAAGCTGTAAGAACTCGTGCGGCGCCGACTTTCCGGCTAGAAATTCGAACTGGCGGCATATGGTCGAAGTCCACGAAATGATGATACCAAGGCCGATCTGCTTGCTTATCAGTTATCGAATTGTTTTAACGGAAGGATGACTGACGATGATAGCACCCATAGGATCAAGGTCTGTAACAATGAGTGATGCATTAGCAAGGAAAGAGATAGCACCTACACCACCTTAATTTACTCCCACCAGCAGACATGAGGATACCTTGGAAGGATCAGACCAGGAAGGTTGCTCATGAGAGTAGACTTACCGAATGTGTTGATCCAGAGATCGTTACGATGGTCTTCCCAAAGAACGGCAACTTGGCTGGAATTTTTTCGGAATGGGTAGCACAAGATAAAAAGCATTAGCTTCACACCTAACGCCAGGTGAGTACCGGCAAGGATAGAGACGACAGTCTTACCCAACGCAGCCGCTACAGCAATGATAGATGGAAGATGAAAAGCTTGCAAATCGTCGTTCTTTTTCGAGATCAGGGACCTGACGGATTCCACCACGACGATGAGATTAACGCTGGCCATCCTGTGCGACGAGTGGATGAGTTAGATAAATACTGAGGAAGGACTCGAGGTGAGGAACATACAAGGAACCTATAACAGATGATGAGCATCCGTAAAAAGTAACGATATGGAGCCAACCAACCATATACGACATTCCCAATATTTTCCAGACGTGCACCGCCTACAGGCCACTTGTTCGCATCGAGCTTCTCTGCCTTTACATGCAACCAGAATAGGACCACATTGCTGCCAATATCAAAGACAGAATCGATGCCGGTCGCGAGAAGGGATAAGGAGACAGAGGAAATGGCGGCGTACACTGCATAAGATGTGAGTGATGTTGTTACATAGATGTATAGAAGAAGCGTACTCTGAATGACACAGAGAGCAAGGTTTGATATAAGACTAGCCCATACCGCTATCTTCACCTAGAAGGTGTGCTCAACAACTAGATAGTAGCACTGCTAAAGAAGAAAATATTACCCAGAGCCTGGCTGATTCTTCTTCATCCTTTGCATCGCTCGTGTGCTGTTCCAGGGGCTTCAACAGATACGCGATGAGCTGGGAAACCACCTCAATACGATAACTCTCATCCGATAAATTGAATTGGACACGCACATCGTTCTGTCGATTCTGATACTTGACTACAGCAGCTTTCTTCTTGCCGTTGGCCCTATGTCGGAGCTCGGCAAGGTCTGTTTCCGACTGAATGCCATTCCTGAGATTGAACGGGTCGGCGCTATTTTCTACTGCAGTAGAGGCACCAGATGCCTCGACGTCCTGGGTTCTCGATAAGTCGAGGCCAAAATTGACACCCTAAATGAGAGATGGTCATGCTCGACTATAGCGGTACACTTTTCCTCAATGCTCACGTTTGTGGTCTGAATATCGACGGGAAAGTGAGAAGAAACGAAACAACGGATGAACCAAAACAATGGAACGATCCTAATCAGGCATGATCAAACCGCAAATCACAGGGACCGTACCATTAATGAGGGTCTTGACGTTAGCTGGAATGCCAGCCAAGTTCGAAGATACAAAGGAGGCTTCTGGATGGATGCAAGGAGGATGTGTCGTGGCACAAAGCTGGAAGGCTGTTCTCGGAAAGATGACTCGCCTCGGACTCTGCCGAATGTCTTTCCCACCTGCTAATGTGTATACGTACTAGCATATGGTCGGATCGTCCTATCGCGTATGCTATTTAGTCGCACCCGACTTCTCCACATTGCATGACCCTCGACTGTATGGTGAGCTCAGATCAATTTATTTTTCTTCTTTACAGCTACGGAGGCGCGCGCTTAAAAGTTATGAACAGCCCTCATGAAACCCATTCTTAGCGCATCGACGTCGTCACTTCTTCTACTCGTCGTCTCGTGTGTCATTGCATGAATGCTTCACCAAATTCAGAGTTGTTCTCTGCTCTCAGCAAGACATTCTGATATTGTGATACTTTGGACGTCTATGGCAAAACACCAATTCGTCCAGAAAATGAAGCTGAAGATTCGGTAGGTCACTGACAGGCTAGCTCAGTTGGCACGTCGACGAATCTGCTGGAGCAGAAACGACAGGCACCACGACAGCTATTCCGAGGTCCCTCGTTGGTGACGTCCGCCGTCGTCATTTCCGATTTTACTGGCCGACCCAGCCGTCATGCAGTGCACATACTAGTAGGCCAGACACATCATGATGAAGATAGGGCTCTGCAATAACTTGTACAACCTTGCACTGCAACAGGCGATTCTTTGCACAACATCTCATGATCGAATATCACCATACAGTATTGCAGTGCCCATCCATTGACAATCATTGTCCAGTGTCAGGAAGCCTTGTGTTCGGCACCAGTTCTTGTCGTAAGGATACCTTTCATAAACAAGAATGCAATAGCAATCGTGCACCCTGGACCTTGTTAGGACTTGTCGGGAGATATAGTGCACAGTGAGACCAAAGTAGCGCACTTGGAGATATCGTGATGTCTTCCGTCACGACAACCGAAGAATGACAGTTACTTAGTTAGTTGGCGGGCTAACGTTGCCGCGGACCTTTATCGGGAAGTATCAAGCACTGCATCATAGCACGTGGTCCTCAAGATTTAGACAATGCACTATAGTTGCATCTCTACCAATTCATTCCACCATTAGTGTGAATCTATGTCCAACATGGACACACCTCAGTACCATGTCGAACAGGATGATGACGTTCAAGGTCAAGGCGACCAACTCCCAACCTACGACGACCTCGCAGCTCAGCATGGTCCCAATTCTAGGCATGCATCCACTAGCTCGATGATATCTCTCGTGGCTGATCATGTCTCCTCTCAGGTTCGGTCGGTGGAGAGGATGGGTCGAGAAACGGTATGTCATGAATGCTACTATTCACTCAGGTTCTAAACGTGGTCATCTCAGAGCTGCTGAGCGTTACATGGATATCACCCCGGAGGAACGCGCAAGAAGACGTGAACGCGGCTGGGGAAACGACGAAATGGTGCGCCTGTCAATCCGCTTCCCTACCTCCTTAGTATCATTCTAATTACCACTGATCTGTTCCAGGACGATGCATCCCAGTCAAGCAGTCTTCTAAGCGTCCCTCCCATCATTCAAGAGCCCTCAACTCCAACGGCAAATACTTATCTTCATATCCTAACTGAGGACCTAAATGAATGTATGCCACCTCCAGAGATGCCACGGTTGAATTCTCCATTACCACCCTTACCCGCTATCAGCACAAGACTGCGCCCAACACATTTAAAGATAAATAATTTCGGGTCGCGGTTCCTTCCCCATGCAACTGCTCCTATCCGTTGCCTACTTCCCCTTCTCTCCGGAAAGCTCTTGCTCGTCGGTCACGATGAAGGTCTTTCCGTTCTGGATATGTACCCCCAAGAGTGGTCGGAGCAAGACACGGGGATTACGATCAAAGGCCCAGAGGAGGCTGTATCGCGGCCTATATGGCTTGGTGAAGGGTTTAGTGTTTTTAACCCTTAAAAAAGTTGAATAGAAATCTGATATCTTGTCGTAGCGTCTACCAATTGTCTCTACTCGAGGTAGAGCAGACAGGAGGAACACCTCAAGGCGTAGTCCTTGCCCTCGTTGGTCCAGATCCTAATACGCCAACATCGAAAGATGCAGAGTCGCTCAGAACACTTCGTATGTACAATCTGTCTAGCTTAACCAGCCTCGCGAAATGGGCCGTAGCCCAGAAGGTACAGTTGTGTGCCTTGATCGCAATATCATATTTAATCAACCGTTTCTTCATAGGGAAAGCGACCGCTGGACTTATCGAGACCGTCAAATTGGATTGCACAGCAGTCACCAGTGAAAAAGCATCGTTCCCGGAGTAGTATAGCACGTGGGCTAAAATCATGGATCGACGCTCCCAATAATCACCCTGTTGAACCGCCTACGTCTTCATACCATAATCTGTTGTCTCCTGCTACGATTATCAGCTCCTTGAATAATGTTGCAAGTCGAGCAAGTAGTCGCTCATCATCACCTAATCAGCAAAGTTCAGATGAACCATCGTGGGACCTTGTCGACGACCTGCCACTCCGATGGGCAACCGATTTTGTTCCCCTGGCATCTCCAGGCTCCCGTTTAGCGAACCTGAGTGTCATTTCTTATGCGCTATGGAATCACAGCGAACGAAATTCTGGTGGCCGAATGCTGGCAGTAGCCACCAAGACAAACATACTGTTGTACGAGACGCCCAAAAGGGAGCGTGCTTTCCGTTTTGTCAAGGTTAGTGAATTTTCCTATCTGTACGACTTTGAATAATGACCTCACTTTTTTGTTTTAAGGACTTCTACACTCCTTTGACACCGAGAAGCATCACCTTTTTTCAGCAAGTAGTGCATGATGTAGCGCGGAGTCCCTCCGACACAGGATCGTCTTCGCGGTTTCACCATGGACGCAGGAGGTCAGATAGCAGTAGTACTGCACGAGGAGACCGCGCACTTACACCTCCTAGCGCATTCCTGAGCTATGGTACCCATCTCAGCATCTTTGTCGTTTTTGACAAGAAGGCTGGCTGGATCCGCTTGGCTGATTCTGCTGTTGGGGAGGTGGAGCTCTATGACGACGGCGCGGGATCCCGTCATTCGCGTGAGCTCAACAGCTCAATCAACTCACGCAGGTCTCGTCATTCCCTGGACGTCAGTTCAGCATTGAGTAAATGGATATCCCCAGTCCACTGCGAAGTACCCCTCCCTTCTTCGTCGGCGTATCCTTTGACCAAGAAGATCCTTCTCTTGACTCGTGGTAAACAGACCCACATTCTACCTTGCCCGGTACCTACAGGTGCCTCAACCTCATGTCCCCCGTTACGCGTAATCATCTGGAAGTCGCCGCCGACGAGTGTGACGCCGAGGATATGTTCGAACATTGATCCTCCATCAAAATTCCTTCAACTGATCGCTCTCGGTGAAGATGGGGTAGAGGTGCAGGAGATGTCCGTGAGCTTCCTAAGCAAAGGCAAAGGAAAGGCTCCGGTTGATGACATCATCTATGGCCAGGATGATATCGGAGGTGACACGGGCTTTCTCTGTGTCGGCGGGCACTGGGACCAACCATTGTATCCGCCATATCAACCACTCAACCGATCCGCCAGTAACGCGAGTGATATCTCAGCGGAGTCTGTTAACAGTATAGAATCGGAAGAACTCCTGGCGAAGATGAAAATGGAACAAGGGCTTTATGGTTGGTGTCGCAAGGGTCTGGAGGATTGGCGAGTCTTCTGGTTGGGCGGTTCTATCGCAGATGACGATGATTCTGATACAGACGATTAAAAATGAGTATTATCTCACATCGATCGCGAAAAGTAAAACGGCACTGTTGTGTATCTAATAACCATCTCATGCATATCATCATGGAAAAGTCATTCATTATAGGTTGAAATGTAAAGGTAGCCTATGAACTGTTGTAATTGATGTCGAGAATTATATAAATAGTTATACAAACTGTTGGATTCCCAAGAACAGTATCCAAACCGGTCTTCCATAGGTAAAAGAGATCCACAGCCATGAACGTGATATATTGACAAGCGTCCAATGCAATGCGGTAAAGTCCATCAAGGTGATAAAACACACGGAATCAACCAGTCAGGTGGTGTGTCATATATTACTTACCAGCTCCCGACGAACCTGGCCGAGAAGGGTATGATCTTCGCGTTGGTACAGATGAGTCATCGGCTGCCGACGGAGGGAGGTTTGCGGGTTCAGAACCCGTGGACAACTTTTGCGACCTCGCGGGGGACTGCTGTGGTTTCCGGATGACCACGAACGACCTCTGAGGAGCCGAAGTTGACGCGGGTGCGAGATTTGGCGGAGTATCTTCCTCTGGAGGTTTGGCTGTAGAACTGGTACCTTCACTGCTATGTGGTCGATGCCGCCGCAAGTGATACCACGGTTTCTTCTTCGGTACATCGGTATCTGACCCGTAGTCGTCGTCTGGGCCAGGGTTTGAGTGCCTGAGATTGAACGCTGTAGGTGGTGGTGTGGGATCTCTGACTGGTCTTATCGCAGGTCCTGTAGGGTATGATGGGCCCGCTTGATTGACTCCCCCTGCGTGCTCGATGATTGCCGTTTGTGATTTTGTTCGGACATGGAAGGGAGGCATAGCTCCAGGGGGTAGAGACCCGGTGCGTGCGTGATACTCTTGTTGCTGCCGTACAGCTGTGTTCGCAGATAAAGAAGGCGTATCGTCATCGTCATCTGGCCGTTTCAGAGATCCGGTACTTGCATTGGGCTGCGTGGGCTGCGGTACCTGGTGGGGGATAGACGGGAATGTTTGCGTTGAACCTGCATTGATTGTAGAGCCAGCAGTAATTGCATAAGGAGAATCGATATGAGCACGTCCACCGCCCACGCGCGAGAACCCTGAGGAGGTGGGAGGGGCTTTTGTCGGAGTATCATTAACGGGAATGTATCCCGAAGCTTTTGTCTGGAACGGCTGCCATGCCCCCATGATGTAGCCATTTTCGTCATCGCTCTCTTCTCGATAGGGTCTAAGCGCGTGTTCTGGTTTCAATACCGAGGGTGGAGGACCTGAACTGACAGAACCCTTTGCACCAACTGCGGTCCCCAGAGAGCCAGGGGGCATATATGACGATACATCCGAGTCGCGTTTGTGAATATGCTTGGAGTCAGCATTATCGTATCTCGGCAGTACCTTCCCACTCTGAGGCTTCTTGTCGTTCGAGCGGCGAGGTCTTCGTCGCTTCCTTGATCCACAGCACCCTGCTAAGCCGCATGCCCCAAGAAGACCGCTATCCACAATGTGACTGCTCCGCTCAAAGCCCACCATACCAACAATTCGAACTAGAGCTTCCACGAACTTGACGACAAGCATGAGAAATAGTGCCAGATACACCAGGGCCAATATGACCAAGACGCCATAGGCTACCCAACCACCGGCACCGGCACCAATCGAAAGCTGAGAAACAATTAATGTAAAAGTCAATGAAGTGACACGCGCGCTAAACTCACAGCAGGAGTCAAAATCAGTAACAAGACAGCAACTACAATCCTTCCAACGCAGAACAAGAAGCTGATCAACCCCATACTGGCACCATTCCCCCAGGGTAACCATATGCTCGTCACTAGCGCCGATACAACTTCCACGACGAGGATAACAATGGCCTGAGCAGTGCCACTGTGTTGACCCGCGCCGATAGTTAAGCCAAACGCAACGTTCGTCGCGAAAAATAGACCGGCAAACATTTGGGATCCATGCCGGTAGTGGTTATACAACGGACCAAGGGACAGTAAAGTCCTGGTTTCATCATAAAGTTTGCTCGTCGTTGTCATCCGTACCCGGATCACTAGTATTGTAGGTATCAAAACGGAAAGGATGGCAAATGAACATCCCGCTAGAACAATGGAAGCCATGGAGGCCCTTGATCGAGGCAACGTCATCTGATAGACAGAGAATACCGTAACGGGAAGATGGAACAGGATGAGTATCCGGACGAGATTGCCATGGAGAACGCTGCCGTGAAAAGAACTCAAACTCGTCCGAATCCTCCACCAAGGCTTACGAGAGGACATTCCAGTGGCTCCGGTAGACCCAAGAGTGTATCGAGATGGCGGTCTTATTATCCCCAATGCATCCTTGCCATTCAGTGACCGATTCTCTTCTGCGGTGGCATTGGCAACGGCACTACTATCCAGCATATCTTTACTACCAAACGCCGGACTCCGGGTGCCGCCAAGGTGTTTCATCCCGGAGTGCGACGATCCCATGGCTCCGCCTAAGAATCCAGCGAGATAGTCAACAAACCATAGGAGAGCTGAAAGCGCAACAGCCGCCGCAGCAATGCCCAGGAAGAGAATGAGACAGATCCCAAAAAGATCTTGTGGACGTACACCCACTGAGTAGGCGAATGCTTCCATGCCAGTAGTGGCATTTGTTGGCAGCATAAAGAGTATGTTCGGGATCGAAGAGTTGATGTATAGGTCATTCGAGGAATTCGACATCTGGCTCTGGAAGTCCGAAGGAGGATTATATGATGCTGTCGACAGTGGGTCCCAATGGTGATCAGAACCGGAAGTGAGGGTTATGTCTAACGTTCCGTTAAGCGACGTATGCTGTAGACGATGAAAATACTCACTGTATGATAAGGTAGCCCAAGCCGTCTGAGTCAAGAGAGGATCTAAAAGATGATAAGGACGATAAGCAACGAAAAGGATACGACAGAAGTACAGAGACGGTAAGGAAAACCCCGAGATATGGGTATAATGACATATATGGATTCTTCTCTTGCAAAAGGTTTGCCTTGGCACAAGGCAGGGTGCTTTCACCATGTACACATGGAGGGGGGGAAACGAAGACCACAGAAGAAACACATACTTACATACAAAAGCTGGCCATTGCACGGCGACCATGGCTAAGACGGAGCACCATTGCGTGTGGAAAATGATATCCCGCATGGAGGGAGTGCCTAGAATGCATGAGTCAAACGAATGATGAAGGATAATCGGGACGCACTGAATCTCAACAGGGCGGGCGATGTCGCGAAGCGCTCTCCACTCATCGCACTAGCCAATATAAACCCGGCGCTTTGAGCTCGCTCCCATAATCCCTTTCCTGGCCTGCTGATACCGCGATTCCAAGCGGAAACAATCCTTGCTATCCCAACGACGACCCAATAGGCAATAGCCAAAGAAACAGTCCCCCAAAATATGGCTACGGCCGCGCCATAGGGCTCGTTCTTGGTGGGAGCCAAGGGGGTAGTCTCAACGTCAATGCACAACATTTCGTTGCTGAAAGTGTCCACGGCCCTCAAGCGAGTAGTGAGAGTAGTGAGAGCGCGATCAGATCCCCATGGTATCTGAGCTGACAGGGCGAATGGACCTGCGGGTATTGGGCAGTAGTAGTCATCATTGGTGTCGTTCACAGAGGAGAGTTCCGAATCCGGAGGGTGAATGCTCCTGCACAAGTATGAGCTATTTGACCATGCGCTCAATGTCAGAATGGAAGTCGATGTAAAGAGGGTGGCTGCAATTGCCCCAAGTAAGAGCATGTTTTTGTTAATGAAAGAAAATGTACGCACCAAGGTTCAAACTCGAGTCAGAGCGACCTATTATTTCTACGGGAGTCTCGCCAATGACGACGAGATCGAGGTAGTTGTGCAGGCTGGAATTATAAAGAACCTGCGCGTAAACGTTAGAGACGGTGAGTTTTTCAGAAACATTGGCATTAGGATCGAAACAGTCGTCAAAAGTGAGATCTGCAGGTGCGCAGAGAACATTAGGGAGAACGAGGAGGAAGGGGAAAAGGACAAAAAGAGCTGAGCTCATCGTGTCCAACGATGGCCGTGGTGTGACTAGTAAAGTCTCCAATTTCCAAATAAGGTCAGGCTACAGCGGCGCGGAGAACCAACAAAGACAAACTGTGCTGTAACACTTGATCGATATTTGCCGGCGAGTCTGGGCAAGCGGTGCCGACCAAGCGCCGACTGCCATATAACAATCTTGTCCCTCTTATACCCACCGTTGAGCACTACTGTACTGAATTCAATCACACATATCGTCAGATAGCCTCATCCGCCCGAACTTGCTCCGACGAACTTAGTTTTTACTTATTCTGCCTGTCTAATAAACTCGTAGTACATAACAAAAACAGGTGGCGGTCAGCTCTGAAAGGCGTCCAACGAGAGCTACAGCTTGGTATGCACACCGACATTAGCATCAAGTTGACCATCGCGGTTCCGAAGGTTTAGAAACTAATTTTGATGTAATAAAAGGGCTCTTGAAAAGGCCAAGATCAGACAAATGTACTGCACCAGGCAGGCATGAAGCGAAGGCTCAGACAATTAAGCGACCGGCGTCTGGTACTTTACAGTGCATTATGCCGTTGTGATCTGATGTATAAAATTGACAGTCTGTAGTGTACCCTCATGTTTGTGAAGCTCTGGATCGCCATCTGTGTGGTGGCACCGACGAGCGCGCGTCGAAGTAAAAAAAAAAAGGTAGAACTGGCTCGAACATATTCCCAGACATTGGCGATGGAGGCGTGTCACTCTCGTGTCGTCTCTACTAGTATTGACAACATTGTTACACGGCGCAAATTTTGGTCGAGAGCCTTTCCGCTTCATGGTAGGTAGCCACTGGAACGGTATAGGATATAGGGCAATGTCCACTGTTACACAAAATTTGATTTCATGGCTGACACCACTGGAGTCAACGTCGAGGATCGGATGAGATGTCATTTCGACGGCTGGGAGGTGACATTAGTGAATGTTGAACGTTGAACCCTAGAAACGAAGTCATGTCCTGGGAGGCTGATTGCGTGCAGAAAACGACCTTCAACAACACATCATTTTCCGCACGGAGGACAGGTGAACGGTGAGCATGGCAACTCTGAGAAAGTTATCGAAAAATTGGATGGAAGTGTTCTGGAAAACCGGTCCGTTGAGCACCTTGACTTTGATGAACCATGATAAGCCACCACGAAATAGCGAAATGCCAAAGATAAGTACTAGTTGGCATGCACGGTAACGGACAATACAGGTACTCTAATAGGCTGCGCCAGAACGGGTTGAAGTTTTTATCTCCTGGGATAGATGACGAGATGAGGTCAGGCGGACGATGACGGCCCGAGTGCTAAGTATTATTTTTAGCCCAAAAACTCGGGCCGGAGACCGGAGAGAAAAACATATGCCGACAATTGACCGCTTTCTCGTCTATACACCATCCGATTGCAGTAGCGATATCCTTCCCGTACTTTGTATTGCCGACAATGGATGCTTCAGATGTTGAGGAGCTAGATGATCTCATCTCGATGCTACAGATCGATCGTGAACCGGTTGCCTCAGAATTGGAGGGCAAGAGTCCTACGAACTTCGTTTGGTTCTTTCCTTGCTGATCAAGGCTTTTAACAGTCCTGAAATCGATCTATGGAGATGATTCTGTGCAGATATGGCACCCTCCAGAAGGGAAATCAAATGATGATGCTGGTACTGTGCGGTATGAAGTCGTCCTAAGGTGAGGGGTTCTCAGCATATAACTGATTTGCCAGATGACAAAGTGCAGTTTTCCCTCTCCCCACGATGAGGTATCCATCAAGGTTTTAGTATCCCTACCACCCTCCTACCCATCGACGTCCACCCCCCAGCTGCAACTACTGTCGCGGTACATCGGCGCTTTCGGAATCGACTCTGTTCTTTTTGGATCGGTACTGAAGACCTTCATCTCCATTAATGGCGTAGAATGGACGGAGGACAATGTGTGTGTCTTTGATGGCCTACAGAACGTTCTGGACAGATGTATACAGTGGTATGAAGACCATCTTAACGCAGACAAGGCGGAAGAACTGCTCCGGGAGGATGAGAAGGAATTGGCGCATCCTGATAATCGAGCAGCATTGGTGCCAATACCACTAGTTGATCCAGCGCCATCTACTCCTATCTCTTTGCCTAAAGGCGTAGAAATATTCGTTGCCGAGCCCATAACGGATCGTAAGAGCGCCTTCATTGGCAGAGCGTGCTCAATATCGGATCCCTCGATGGTATGTTGAAGACATGGATATCATCATATCCATGAAATAACAAAATATGTGGTTAGGTCCCCTTGATTCTTTCTCATCTTTCCTCCGATCGGCGAATAGCTAGAGCAGCACATCCGATTATCAACGCGTGGCGGTGTCAAGTAGGAGGGCTCCTTCACCAAGGTACCTTAGATCTCTTCATCTCGTCGATGCAAACTCACAGGATCCAGATAACGATGATGATGGCGAGACTGCGGCCGGCGGACGTTTAGCACACTTACTTCAAATACTGGTTAGAACTTAAGTCCATCACTGTATGGCCTGCTACTTACCGATTAATAGGACATCAACAATGTCCTTGTCATAGTGACACGATATTTTGGAGGCATCCATCTTGGACCGGACCGGTTTAAGCACATCAACCAGGCCGCTCGGAACGCGTTGGAATTAGGCGGTTTTCTGGATGAACCAGCTTCAAAAAAGTCGTCGGCGCGTGGACGCAAACATTGAAGTTCAACTGGCAAGTTTGGAATTATACAGAGCGTATGGTACTACAACATAGGCAATTGTGGTATCATACGTGACAAACTACGTGCCGTTGGCCTTGGAACCAGGGTCATTCAAGTGGATCTCGACTGCATTGTTGACAAAGTACTCAATTGGGTTATCCTTCAATAGGTGTTCCGGGAGCACACAATGTGCACGGAACGACATCATTCCATTGCGCCTCTGGGACCACTAAGATATCTCGAAGACGAGCCTCCTGCAAAGGCATATCTATCGGTAACGGACGACTTGAGAATCGAGGTGGCCAACTACCAACCCAGAAGACGTCATCCCATTTGGTCAGTCTCATAATGATCTTTGCCTCTTCAAGTGTGAATGGCAACGCGAGAGGTAGGCAACAGCCATTCCTAGTCTTTGTATCTCCATCGGCGCCTACCTCCATCTCTTCTATCATTACTGGAACGACGCCAATCTCGCCGCGGCCCTTGACGAAACCATTCTACCCCTTTATTATGTATTCGACGAGATGATCACGCTTGTCAGCCGGCAAAGGATCCAGCATCACCTCCTTGGGAAACATGAGGCCTTTTGCCAGGACATACCTATCATCCGGCTCACGATTTTTATAATTAGGATAGAGTTTCATTCGGATGTAGAAAGTCTTGCGGTCGACATTTTCGGGATGGTTAATGATATCGAGGGCCTGCATGGCTGCTTAACGCAAAACGTTGAGTTTGGAGGGACATTCGAACCTTCCCCTACCGATAAGTCAATCAGGGTAAGATGGAAAACTTTAGGGGCGTATTTCGTGAGTTTAGCCGCGCTCGCTGCACGAGCTGGATCTTTGGCCAGGATTGCGTTCCTTTTTTTCGATTTTGAGCAAGGAAGTTTGTGGAGCGGCCAGTTCAGTCACTGACACTCCGTACTTTTGAAGATAAGCGCATCTTTACGCGACATAGACGCGTGTACTCACGCAGTATATGTCCTGAAAATTGTTGTAGTTCGGATTACTTTGAATCTGTAAGACACCAACCTCTTTGCACCGACTTCATGTCTAGAATGGGGAATCAAAAGGTATAGATAACTGGAAAGAGCAAACTCCCACCTAGCATCTTCTCTCGGCCGACAGGCGGAGAAAGGCGATAATTGACTGTCACAGTGACCCTGTTTAGTGCAGGTTGACATTGGAGAAATGAAAATTCAGTTCGATGTTCTTATAGTAACTACAGACGTAGCGTCTTCGTAGCTGTCAGTAAGTAGTCGCGGTGTTTTCTCAGAACCTTTCCCTCGAGGGTGGAGGCCACGTGGAACTTCGGACCGGTGCAAGGACCAATCAGAACTCCGTTTCACAAAAATTCACCGCCATGGAATCCTCTATCCAGGAGCCGTTCTCCCTTTCTTCCTATGCGACTTCAAGACGACTGCAAAAGAAATCTCAAAAGGACGGCAAGTCGTCTGTGTATGCATCTCATACCGCAACATCTACCAGCTCAGATGGCTACGTGACCGTGGCTGCTCAAGGAGATGGTGTACATATCCTGGATGTGCGTCTCGCTCTTCCGTCCCTCTCGTTCCTCTATAATCGCAGCCATACTAGGTGTCAACGATGCACCCTATTGTCTCACACACTCTGGGGCCCGCAACTTCATTTTCTTGTCCATCCATATCCTACTGCAGTTTGGATGGTGCTGGACCCGTCTATACGACCTACGCGGCAATCGCGTCGTCTTCCGACTTGTCTAAGGAAGAGGAGCACAGGACAATATGGACATGGAGAGACGATTCTTCGACGAATCTGGCTGAAAGCAAAAAGAAATCTTTTCTGGCAAGTCGGCGAGCAAATTTCTCTCTCTATGCCATTAATTTGACTCCAAGACAGATGCCCCATGATCTCTCTGGAATGTACATCTGCTGTCGTCAGCCCCTTCTTATCCTCGCCTATTCGAACAAGGGAGACATATCACTGCTAGATGCCGATTGCAAAGTCCTACACACGTATAATTCGCCCGAACAAGACACCGTTTTGAAAAGCTTTTGCTTCTCCTGTGAATCTTGTTCGTTCTTGATGGATAACACGCGTGCGGTCTCTGTCCTACTCCTTCTAGAATCTTGCAGTGACAATACGCGCGTTCGAGCCTTTTTCGTAGGCGAGGATCGCACTCTCACTAACGTTGGGAGTAGCACTATCCCAATACAGGTTCGACCATCACTGCGGATGCGATATGACAATTCGGACTGATCAGATTTCCAGGATATATCAGACATTTCGTGCAGTATTTCTGGTTATTTGACGATTCTCAGTATGTCAATTCAGTGTCCTGATCCTTCCTTGTTTAATTTCCATATCTCCAGGCCGTCATGGATCGTGGCACTCTTTCCAGATTGAAGTTTCTTCTACTCTCGAAGTATCCCCTACCTCCGAAACCATCAACCTTACGTCCTTGGATTCCCCCTCCATCCTCGCCCTCAACTCATCTCACGTTCTCCTCGCTGGTATAACCCCAAATCCAGACAGAAAAATAGCTCTCCTGCTTTGGGATCTCAAATTTTCCGTCCTCCTAGCCTCCCACAGTCTCGCTATACCTTCCGGCTCAGAGGACAAAACAACCCTTTCTCTCATTTCCACTTCTTCCGAGGCGCTGTTGATAGTATCACCCGGTCCATCTGAAAAGGCGAAATCCACATCAAGGTCAAGCGTGCTGGTAGTTCCATATGCAGTTCCTGCGTCGTCGACGATAGCCAATGCAATGGGACGAGCGTCGGCCGCGGCTCCCTGGCTTGCCCATCGGCCATCGACGAGCCAATTTGACACATCGCAGGAGACGCTTTTGACAGAGATGCGCTCAGCCATGGAGCAAGGAAGGCCCCAGAACGCGAGCATGTCTTTTTCCAAGTGGGAAGAAAAGGCGAAGGGCAACCAGTCTCAGGTAGGGGATCATTGTTATTCATGAACATAAATAGCTGATTTTTTTGTAGGTGTCTTTCAGCTATGTCTTCGTGAAAGAGGTTTTGACAGCCGTGTTGCAACCAGAAAAGCCTGCTAACCTCCCATACTCGTCTGAAGTTGTGAGGCATTTATTGGAACGGGGCGTTGTGACTGCCAGTATGGTCCAGCCTGGCCTTCTGAGTTTGCTCAGACTACGGAATGACTGGGTATATCAATCTCCCTCTTTATGGATGACGTTTTGATTGACCTTTACCCATCATAGACATCGATACTTATGGCCCTGAAAAAGGTCCCTGATCTACTAGAGGTCGAAATTGTCGACTCTCTTCGTTATATAATAGCCCGGCATCGACAAGAAAAATCAGATGCCATGCAAGTAGACGGTATCACGCCTCTAAATGCTGACACCCCTTCATTACCCCAATTTCTTAGCTCATGCGTGCAATACCCTTGCTCCCCAGCTGCGCTAAGGCTAGCCATCTGGAGGTGTTTGCCTGAGGCTGAGGACCTCGTATGCTTACTGGACGTATTAGACGGGTGGCTGGCGCAGTGGGCGGGCAGGGATGTTCGCCTGATGCCATCCAAAAAAGTAATTGAAAAGAATGAAAAGGGCGTGCTGGTTGCGGTCACCGCGGCACATGAGAAAGGTGCAGATCTGCCTTCCATGAATGATGTTCGTATCTCCCCTCAACAAGATTTTCCCGCCTGCTAATCACACTCCCCGTAGATCGTTACGTTCACTCAAGTCATTTTAGATTCATCGCTGCTGACACTTATACAACATGCTCCCGCGCATCGTGTTCTTCGCAAAATCGGGGCTCGGATTGAGCCTGAGATACTGTCTATTGACGAGACGGAGCAGTTGCGGGTCCCTCTGGAGGCATTTGTGAAGGCGCAGAGGCGGTTGCTGAAAGCTACTGAGGAGGGTAAAGAGCCGCGTCTTGACTGGAGACAGCGGAGTAAGCTGGCGCATCAGCAAGCTTCTGCGGCTATCGGGTTGTACAGAGCCGAGCGTCTTTTCTTGTAAAGTACAACAATCGGAAAAGATGTATTTACAAGATTGCGTCATAGTGCATTCCCGGCCAATTATCGGTAATCCAACCTACTCAATCCTTACCCACTATGTCAATTCGTGTAGGTGTACTAACAGGTGGCGTATATCCATGAAGATAACAGGAATGGAACTAATTCTACTAGTTAGCGACACTGCTTTCAAAGATGCCAGTGCGGATAGATCAGGGCCGGCTTTAGTTACTCTCCTTCAAGAAGCTGGGTTGTCCTGCCCAAATTGTGAAATAGTTCCAGACGAAGTGCAACGCATACAATATTTCGTAAAGCTCTGGTCTGATACAGGACTTGTCGACCTCATTATTACCACTGGCGGGACAGGGTTTGGCGTGCGAGACCGAACACCGGAAGTGGGATGAGCGATTGTCTTGTTTCAGCGCTTTCTAGCTAATTGTCGGCTTTACCAGGCCATCGCACCCCTTCTTGAGCGTGAAGCATCTGGTATCGTCCATCTTCTTCTCTCGGCGTCGTTGAAGCATACCCCACTTGCGGCTCTTTCTCGACCTGTCGCGGGGACGATCAAGAATACGCTGGTGGTGACGCTCCCGGGAAGCACCAAGGCAGTCACAGAGAATATCGAAGCCCTTTTGCAAGGCGGTGTGCTGAAGCATGCTATTGAGCTGATCAAAGGAGGTACAGGCCAGCAAGTGCATTCGCGAATGGGCTCATCTCACCAACACCATCACCACCATCATGGGCATAGCATTCCTCAGCCTCGAACGAACATCACTCATGATCCATCTGCATCGGGTCTGGTTTTGTATCTGTATCCAAGAAGAACTATCTCTGACTTCTCCACTACTAGTATCTACGAGACATCGCATATCTCCCTTTCCTTTGATATCTTTCGAAGATGCCATGGATCTGATCATGACCACGGTTAAACCCCTTGAAGAGACGGTTCTCCCGGTAGGTATCAAGAGGGCCATCCATGATCTGTACTTATGACATACAGGTAACACCATCTCTAGCAGGATATGTATTAGCCCAGGATGTCTACGCCTCCCACGATGTTCCAGCAATTCCAACAACAAACGTAGATGGTTACGCCGTCATCTGTGAGTTTCCTTCCGTGTGAACTTTCCTGGCTCAAGACTTCCATCTGACAGGCGATGCCATCGACGCTAATGGGACATACACCGTGACAACACCACAACAGTCAAAATCCCTTTTGCCTGGAAAGATATGCCGCGTCAACACAGGTGCTCCGCTACCTGGAGGTGCAGACGCTGTGATCATGGTCGAAGACACTCGGGTAATAACGACGGACGAAGACGGCGAAGAGGTGGACATTCAGCTCCTTGCCAAAGTAGACAAGGGTGAAAATGTTCGAGCAGCTGCGTCAGACGTCAAGATGGGAGATTTGGTCCTGCAAAAGGGCGAGTGTATCATGAGTCCCGGAGGCGAAATCGGCACCTTGGCCTTTGTTGGTTGCAAGGAAGTATGTGGTGCGCTCTTGTTACATTGTATCCAAATTGAAATGTTGCTCAGGTCAGAGTGCGCTGGAAGCCGATTGTCGGGATCTTGAGTACGGGGAACGAACTCGTTGATCTACAAGCGCCAATTCCTCCCAATGATGGCTTGTCTTGGGGAGGAATATGGGATACCAATAGGCCCTCTCTTCAAGCTGCTCTTCAAGGCCTGGGATACGAAGTCGTTGACCTGGGCATAGTTGCCGACGAGTACAGTCCTTTGTATCCCCCCCCTGGTCGCAAGCTGACCGTATGCTCTCTGCAGTATTCCTGCTCATGTCAATGCCATCAAAAAAGGCCTCGATAATGCTGACATCCTCATCACCACTGGCGGAACGTCGATGGGTCCAACAGACTTGCTCAAACCGGTCATCGAAAGACATTTCAACGGGACCATACACTTTGGCCGCGTAACTATCAAACCCGGAAAACCCACTACTTTTGCTACAATTCCTTGGATTGGTGGCGTAGTCAAGCCGGTATTTGCTCTTCCAGGGAATCCATCCTCTGCGCTAGTCACATTCCACATCTTCGTTGTGCCTGCGCTACGCAAATTGGGCGGCTGGCCAGAGAGCAAGTGCCAGCTACCTCGTGCGAAGGTCCAGGTATGCGTTCCGCCTGCGGCTCTGGGTAATTGAATGTTGATTCACCTTTCTCAGTTGCAATCCTCCATGAATCTGGATCCTCGCACGGAGTTCCATAGAGTTATGATACGCGCTGGAGAAGGAGGACTGAAGGCGTTCAGCACGGGCGGCCAAAGGTCCAGTAGGGTGGCGAGTATGAGTGGCGCAAACGGTCTGGTGGTCCTTCCTCAACGGAAGGCTGGTGGTCCTCAAAGACTTGAAGCAGGGGAATTGGCCGGCACGGTGCTGATAGGAGAATTGCAGGCAGTGTAGGATATGAATGGCATATAGAAAAAACGGCAAGTTATTTGCGAGACTGAGCTCGGAAGGCAAACTTGGACCGATCATGTGCAGTGGTACATGCGTATGGACACGTAGGGCTTTCTTCGCAACTTAGAGGATGTGTTCTTTGATGCGGCTGACAGATGACACGGGGTGTCGACGTGGACCAAAAAGCCCCATCGGCATTTCCAACGTTCAAGATGGCAGTCCTGACGCACACGTCATCCGGATGAGGACGAGTCATGTTCACCGTCATGATTTAGATTCCTGTCCTTCATGAGGCGGCAGTGCCATGTAAAAGTCAAAAATGTCACGTACCAGAGCTTGCACTTCTGCCTCTAGGGACGCGCACTCTTCCTCCAACTGCTCACGTTTCTTCGTGAGCATATGTAACCGTCTTTGCTCAAGCTTATGCTGCGCCATTGTGCCTGAAGTGGGTCGAGAGGGTGCTGTTTTCGCGACTTGAACCTGCATGAAATGTCGTTTGTTGTTGACAAAGAAAGGTCGAAGAGCAAAAGCGAACGAACCTTCGCTTGAAGTTGAGCCTGCTTTCGCTGAAGAGACTTGAGGCCCTGCTCAGCCCGTTCTATGAGTTCATGTATCGCAGGTTCAACTTCATCAATCAGGTCTGATTTGTACTTCTTCACCGTGCTTTCATCGATAAGGAGAAAGACCTGGATTTGTTGTTCGCGTTTGTTCTTCTGCTGAAGATAGTTGACTTACCCTTTCGTTCCGCAAAACATTTGCCATTCGCGGGTAGTCATATGTCCCGTTCCTAAGGAGTAACTGTGCTTCGTACGCCTACACAAAGTTAGAGCGGTTCGTCTGAAATAAGAGGTCTGACCTCCTCACAGCAGTCCTCCATGGTCGCGACGCATTCGGCTAGATTAGGCGGACATATTGCTTGTATTTCACCTTTGTATATTTCCGGTCCACTGGCGAAAACAGATTCCCTGGCTTTCAGGTTTGCACGCGAAAGACGGGACATGGAAGTTATGGTTAAGGTAACGCGGGCCGACGACCCCTGCCACTGCCGTCCGTTGTATTCAATCTCCGCTTAAATGCGGTATAAAGCTTATTCGGGTAGGTTTTTTTTCTTTCTTCAAGTGTCCGACTCAACCATCGAAGCGTCAGCTCTAGCGGCAGGCGTTAACTCGTCTGTATGGCGTTCTTACTTTCATAGTTGAGGGAGCGAAGGTGTGCCCTTCGGGGTGGCACTCACGAGAAGGAGCAACGCCATCTAGCTCGCTCTGTGTTCAAGACCACCTCAGTGTTGACTTGGATGTAGGGTTTGATGTAGGGTGGTGCGTGTGTCGTCATATTCCTGTATCCTGCCGTACCCCGCCTCGGGGCGTGCTACTATGTGGCTTTGACGGTCTGGTAAAACCATGACGAAGACATCTATTCTACTTTTTTGTCGTTATCCTGTTCAATGTACAGCTTGCATTATTTAGTGAAAGATTACCTGTGAGAAGGGGTACTGAAAGGACAAGAATATCATACACAGGGCAATGAAGGCGATGTTCGTGCCGATATCTGTGTGGTGACTGTACGGAGTTCTTGCCCGGAGAGTTTTTCTGGTAATACATTAAACTCGCCAATTGCCTTCTTGATGATAATTAACTCACTCATGGTCCATGTAGGTCGGAGCACACAATAATCAACTTCTATCCTAACAAGATACTCATGGACTTTACCAGCTGCAGGACCTCCTGGTTCTATGATGCTCGTGCTCAACAGTCTTCCCTTCCCTCGACAATCTAATCTGTGATTCTGAACACTTTCATCGAAAGTACCATATCCATTCCTCTGCTTTTGACCATGGTATTGCATATCCCAGTGTCCAGCCAATCGAATCGACGGCTGGGAAACTCGTCTATAGGATCTTTAGCGGAATAGTTTACTTCTGTCTTTCAGGAGGCGCGTAAGGCAGGAAGCAGTTTTTTCTTTACCACCAGTGATGAGAACCGTCATCGTGCTTGCGTTTCACTGTGATCCATGTTCTAGTCCTTTTTAAGAGCACTTGCTCACTTGTCCCGTCAGCACACATCAAATAATGGTCAAGTAATTCATTGTATTAATCGGTCTTGCGGTTTATGTGTCCCGTCGGCACACCAAATATGGAGCACCTTCGTAATGGCGCAACTCAAATCGGCCCATAGCCAGTCATTTGGGATCAGTAACAACGAGAAAGGTAGTAATCTGGGCAAAGCCATCCCTTTCATTCTCGGCTATGACTGAAGGATGTGACTCAACCATGGCAGCACGATATCATGTTACTTATATACAAGACGGAAACTCGGCACCATTGACACCAGTAATGACTTTGACAACATCCCACTCAACGATCGACTATCTCTTAGACGAAGCCAACATCCATGATACTGTCACCAAGATGGTCACTCGTTTTATCATGTCCCTGAACACCTGCACTCACTGTCGAGTCAGATGCTCTACGTTGATCTCCTGCGTTGGGATGACATCGACAAAGAAGTGTTCACTGACAACATATGCGTGGATTACACCGGTCTGTTAGGTGGCGAGGCTACTGATGTGACAAGAAAAGAACAAATCGAATTATGGAAAAGATCTATCGGAGGGCTGGAGAAAACTCAGCATATAACGACGTATGCTTTTGCCCCTACCTTCTTCCCAGCCATAGTTCGTAGAAATACAGATCACTCCTCATAGACCTGCCCCAGCCTGGTTCCGTCCCACCTCCGACAAATGTACCGGTTACTGCTAACGTCGCAACTACGCTTGTTCTGAAAGCCGGCGAAAAAACTCTTGTACAGAACGGGGTGAGCATCTCGCTGACGCTATTTTAATATTTGTGCGCGTAAAAGGTGAACTCGTATCTAGGATCACTACTTCTTAGAAGTCTCACGAATTACCCGGTCGCATGGTGGTAATCCTTGGCGAATCTCAAGCCTCAAATTCGACAAGATATACTCTGCGGACAATAAGGACCTTCACAACAGTAAAGACTAGTTGAACCGTGTCATAGCTCAGACGATGGGTGCCACTGGGGGAATATAATAGCTCCTGGAGCTTCAGCGTTGAATTTGACCGAAGTGATCTTCGCCCAGTTATAAATAGTGGCTATAATATCAGAACGTTCTTCAAGGGACGGGAGTATTCAGGAGAACAGATGAAAACAACGCAATCGAACTTGGCATGATAATGAGTTATATATGTCGCGCACGCGGCGCTACGTCGTAGACTCGAATCAGTCCCCGGAAACTTGATGACAGTCGATTAAGTGCACAACTTTGGGTACACTATCACAGAGTGTCAAAGGGACTGGCCCAAGTCTACCTACGTGGCTCAGCGAGATGATCATTATTTTTGCACGCACGAGTCCCATCCTTCACCACGGCAAACGGGACAGGCACTGTCTTGGGGAACAAAGCGAGAAGAATGTTTCTTCCATTGTAGACTCTCAATTCTTGAAGTATGGCCATATATACGAAGATGAGTATGGCTATCCAGTGGGCAACAACACGCCGGTTCAAATAAGACGTGCAAGCAGAGGCCTTATCCAGCCCACAAAGTAGATGTCCCTTGGGAGAGCGAGCATGCTGAACATCTAAAAGTGACAACACTTAAAGCAATAAACAAGCAGTTGTAATGTCGTATATTGTACATCTATGAGTAACAAAGCAGGGGCAATAAGCATGTTCCATCAATAACCCATTACTTCTTCGATTTTCGCTGCTTAGTGGCTGGCTTCGAGCCACGGGACCCCGTTTCCGTGCTGGTACCTGAAGCAGGGGGAGAAACAGGTTGCGAAACAGGTTCTGTCCTCTGTACCGCCTGCTGTGGAGGATTTCGGTGCATGAGGCCAATTAATAGCGATCCCACTGTCCCAGACAATATCAAGAGAATAAAGCTAGGAAGTCGGACGATCACGTTGTAGACTTTGGTCATCCAAGTGGCAAAGAAGTCCATGATGTACTCCCTAGAGCAAGACAAGCTGAGCTGGGAGGGAAATACAGTAGGAACGAACTACCTTTCGCCGCCCGGTGCAAATGCGCTCTTCCATGGCGGAGTACTCTTCCAAGCCTCTGCTAGAAGGAAGTCACGGAAAGCTCCATCTCGCAAACGGATGTTCTGGGCTCGGTAGAAGCGCAACGTCTGCCCACGATCTGTCAGAACGACAATGAAAGGTGCCCTACATATATTCAAGCTATGAGAAAGAATAACACCGGTGAAATAACTCACTGCCACACGGCCCATTTTGTCGTGATGTAGGTGACATTGAAATAATCAATCCGGCCCCAACGTACATTTGGGAGATCTCCACCGATGAGAGTCTGGTTGTATGCTTCATCAAACGCCTCATCAACGAACGTTGATATTCCGGTCTGTCGTGATGCGCTGCCAGAACTACGTGATGCACTGTTAGCACGTACACGGGGATGAATACGGTGGTGACGAACATCAGCAACGCCCAAATGCGTTCCTCCGCCTCCTCTTCCGTAAGCTCTTCGTTGACAATCATTTCCTCATAATTTTCGTCTGTGATAAGAGGAATCCGGTTGTCCCAAGGGAGCACCTCAGCAGCTTCCAATCTTTCCGTTATGTTAATCCCAAATCGCGAAAAAAGAGCCACCGCTGGCTCAGAAGTAAGCCAAGTCTTCGCCTCGAAGAGACGCAGCAGGTCACTAGGACGTAGTGGAGCTGATTTCTCTTGTGAATGAGCAGAAAAGGGCGCGGAAGTGGGAACGGGAGCCTCAGAAGGTATAGCCTGGCCTGGTCTCCATCCTTCTGAGAAATACTGCGCCCTGGCGAGAGAAGCACTGCAGACCAATGCGATCCAGTAGACGCCGAAAGATTTCATGGTGGAGGCAGATAATGCAACGTAGCCATGTGGTCGCCGACGCTATTTCCGGTGGCCGCGATCAGAAGATTTGGACGTGTTGCCTGATTGGGTTTCACTCGTTCTCCACGTATTCTTATCAACTGCCGAGGTTGTTCTTGTCTATAGGCTCTTTCCCCGTCTTTATTACTGGCAACAAGAGCCTCCAATACGACTAAATCGCTGGCAGCAGCATAGCGCCACCTAGCCGTGCTCATTTGGCAGGAACAATGCTCCAAACTTTCCACTCACACGCGCTTCTGGTGCTGGGATATATGTTACTGTATTCGTCTTTTTCTCGTGCCGCTCCAACAGATAGTCAGTGCAATTCTTGTTCTCTGGTTCCCAGGTCGTTACTGACCACGTCGACGTACAGTTCCCTCCGCAGCATCCTTCTATGTGCCGTCCTTGCCCGACATACACCAAGATCCAGATCATCCGTTGAAGATATATGCGGGGCATCTTTCGTCTGACCCAAAAGCTGCTACGGTGCCGGCAACAGACGTGACAGCACACCTGTATTTCGTACTTGTCAAAAACCGAAGAACAGCGGACCGAGACAGAGTTATTTTTTGGTTCAACGTGCGTCGTTAAGTAGCCGCTAGATACACATTCAACTGATAGCAAGTAGGGAGGGCCTGGCTGCTCGTCTTTTGATGGACTTATGATGGAGAACGGGCCTTGGAGGATGGACGGCAAGGGCGGTTTCAAGACGGTGGAAGGCGGCTGGGAAGAATACACCACTATGGTTTATGGTAAATCTTCTCCTTGTCTTGCACAATCAATCTGAACTCTTACTTCTAGTCGACCAGCCCGCTGGGACTGGTTTCTCTTATACGAGCACTGATTCATATGTCCACACTTTAGACCAGGCCTCAGAGCAACTAATAGAATTCATGCGCAATTTTTATAAAGTATTCCCGGAGTATCTGCGGTCAGATGTACGCTCCTTAGATTTCGCATACTTCAAATCTCACGTCTTTCCAGACATACCTCGCCGGCGAGAGCTACGCCGGACAATATATACCGTATTTTGGTGCGCGACGCAGCCTTCTTGTTCGCGTTCTTACTCAGCCTATGGCTGGCTAGCCGATGCCATTTTGAATTCGAATCTCGGCGTACCCCTAAAAGGTGCTGCAATAGGCAACGGCTGGATAGATGCGAGCTCGCAGTACCCCTCTTACATTGACTTTATGGTTAAGGTTGGCATATTGGAAGAAAACTCGGATGTAAGCGTCTCATGCTGAACCTACCATGACGCTATATTCACGTATATGTAGGCTTGGAAAGAGGCGCGGAAGCAAACGGACGACTGTATACAGGCCATGAAAGGCATAAGCGGCACTGAGCCCATTGTTGTAGATGAATGTGAAGGTCTGCTATTAGAAGTGTCAAAGGTGCGGAGACGCGTGTAAGTTTCCTTTTTCTTGGTTATGGCCATTTATTCAACACTAGCAGTGCGGATGGAAAGGAGATGTGCATGAACATTTACGATGTACGACTTGACGATACCTACCCTGCTTGTGGAATGAACTGGCCTCCAGACATAAAGCCGGTCACAAATTATCTAGATGTATGTCCTAGGTTGATTTATACTCGTTTAGGGTATGAAATTGACAGTGCTTGCAGCGCGCCGATGTTGTACGTGCCCTCCATGCAGAGGACCATTCTACTTCGTGGACCGAATGCCGAGGTCGTGTTCACACAGAACTGAAAGAAAAGAACCTAAATTCATCGATCACTGTTCTTCCGAGTGTGATAGAGAGAATACCTGTTCTCATATTTGCTGGGGACCAAGACATGATATGTAACCACATTGGCCTCGAGTCGATGATTGCAACTATGACTTGGAGTGGAGCAACAGGCCTTGGGGTACGCCTAAATGTCATGAGAAGAATTTGTTACTCATGCGAGCATCCATACAGACAGTGCAGACGCAATCTTGGACAGTAGATGGAAGCCCTGCTGGCACATGGGTCAGCTCAAGGAATCTAACCTACGCGAAGGTGGACTCAACTCTACTACTGATTTCCATAGACATTGACGGGATCTATATAGGTATTCGACACCTCACATATGGCACCATTCGATGCACCAAATGTAGTGCATGATATGATACTACGATTCATGGGTGTCGATTTCTCCCGAATCTTCGAAGGCTCGGCGCGTATTCCAAGCAGTATCGGGGACAACGCCAAACCACTTTTTACGGATAAGACTGAGGAGGCACCAGCACCCATATCAACGAAAACGCCCGAGCAAGACAAGGCTATGTGGGAAGGTGCGTTACCCTTCTTCCATACTCTCCCCATCCGAGTCCTTACAGTCGACAGCTTACTATAATGCTGGTTCAGCAGCCCTTGTTCTCGTTCTCATATGTCTCGTCGTCGTCGGTTGCTTGTGGTGTAGAATGGGGAACAAGCGCAAATTGCGTCTACCGATGAACAACCGAGGCGAAGAAGAGAGCATACCGCTCAATGCTCCCCTGGAAGATGAGAATGGCGATGAAGGCGCGTATAGACAACGAAAAGGGAAAGAACGTGCCGTCGAGCCTCTGGAGCCACCGATATTTGAGTTGGGGGACAGTGATGAAGAGGAGGATTATCATAAGGGGAACCAATAATCGGTCGGGGTTTTCTGTATAGTGGATTATTATAATTTGTTATTTTCACTCACGAATCATTGATTTGTGAGCTGGTTCGCCCTCAAGGTTCGCAGTCCCATTAACCAATTTTTATACTCCCAGACGTTACGAGGAGATGGTTCCATGGTCATTTCAGGGACAGACGAAGATTCCCGCTGTACCACGTTTTCCAATACCAACATTGGCACCTGTGGTCCATTTGAATGAGCTTAGAAGTACCACAAGAAGGGCAGACATACGGATATAAGTGGTGTCAGCTATTTCGCGGGCGACTATAGCGGGAGGGAGCGGTCGCATCTGCTGAAACAGTCAACACAGCACACTCAGACAGCCGTCGAGAGAACGAACCACGACGGATAACAGACGCTTGAGTCGTCAAGGATGCGCCAAGCACAAACAACAAGGCAAAGATGGACGTTATCCTAAGGACCCTTGGACGATATATTGCTGGTACCGGCGCTTCTATTTCTCGAATTTCTAGCACTGAGTTCACTTACGCATATTCATCATCGGATGGTAACTGACTTATATATCGATAGAGTGGGCCAGGATCATCTTCGCATAGACGGTTTATAGTTCGGTGTCTGGCGGTGTCTGCACCCGCGCGAGTTCCTACGACAGACTTCCTCTCGCACTGTGTGGTTTCGACCCGATTTAGATAATCGCCGCTTTTCTGAGAGATCCATTAGAGACGGATTCGAGGCTTCGGGACGGGTAAATATATGCAGACGTGCGCCTTGGATACTTACCTGAGGTATGAACTCCAGTATTCCGTCCGTAAATTTTGGTCTTGGTCTTTGGTAATTTCTAGTTCTGCTTGTCTCTGTGTTAGGAGCGTAGCTCATTCCTCTCCATCTCTCTTGCCGGTCAGTTTATCCGCGGTGGACGCGGCAGGCATTGTTCATATATTCATGTCTTATTGCAAGCGCTTCGCATTATTGCAGATTGTTTACGGAACATTCGTATACTAAGACTCGCAAAGAAGCTTGCGTCGCGCATAACCAACCGCAGTACGGAACCTGTCTTATCTCAGTCCATAATTCAGTCCTGCTTTCTCTTTCTGGTCAGTCTGTCCTAGTTATGTCTGGCCGCCGTTGGAGTCTCTTATTTTTCCCATAATGAATCGGATTGACCATAGAAAAGAAGCTGCCGAACAAAAGAACCTGAAGGCACCGACCGAAAAAACTACCTTTGGATCGTTTCCAAAGATTGGCGTCTTCTCTTTCGACCTAGCGCAGGGGAGCTTATGAACTAGCCAATTCTTTTGCTGGTATTTTCAACTCTTCGATATCAGGGTTTCAGACTGTCTTGTGCAAGGACTCAGCATTGGACTCAGCCTAGCAAGCATTTCGGATATATCTCATGAAAATTGTAGGGTATGCGTTAGTGTCAATTGTCTTCCGAATCATAATCATCCGAATCGTCCATTTCCAGCATCTTTAAATGGAGCGTCACTGAATAGTTCTCCTTGACGCCTTCGATCAGCTGTTGCGCCACAGCCAAGTTCGCCGTCCTCGCGCGGAGAACAGGAAGGCAAGCACTGAACAAGGGTATTATCTGCGCCCTGGCTGCAGTAGATTCCTCGTTTTCTCCATCATTACCTGGAGGATCCAAGTCAGAGATGCGTGTTTTCAGCTCAATAGCTTCGTCCTGAAGACGGTCTGATAGAATAGTAAGAAAATGCCGTTGAACAGAAATAGATTACAAACCAAGCTTTTCTAACATCGAGTTAAGGATAGTCAAAGGCGAAGGGCCCTCAGTGTAATCGAGGTCAAAGTCCTGCGAAGAGATTCTGAGAGCTTCTGATTCACACTCGGTGCATGAATCGCCATGAGACAGGAACTTTTGCATTATTATTGGTGCTTCCTTCGCGAACTGAGAGACTGTCAGAAATATGCAAGCTGTGAGAAAAGCCAAGGCACCTTATCAGAGGCAAGCTCGTTATAGAACTCGATCAGTCTTTCAGCTTCAAAGCGAATACGTTCGTCAGATATGTTGGCTTCTTCGGCTTCTAGCTCCTTTGCCTTTGCCTCCAGGTCTTTCTGTAACAGATGCTTCAGCACATCGCTCACTGACAATGGCAGCGCATACGCACCTTCGCAGCCGCTTCGGCGCCCTTGAAACAGGCGTCGAGTGTAGAGCTCATGTACATCCAAGGGTATGCCTGGGCTGCGATCTGAAGAGGATCTGAGGTCCTCTCAGGTTCTGGTCCCGCTGGAAGGCTTAAAGTAGAATTATCGTCCTGGACATTGGCGGGCCTAGAAGGTGAGGATGTGCTTTTTCCCCCTGCATCAGTGCCCTGGGCTTTCTCATCTTCATTCTTCTGCGTCGTATTCAGAGGCACGTCTTCACGGTGGCTATCAGGTGAAGCAAGCCCTCCTGCCAAGGTTTCAGCCAGCTGAAATAAGGATCCATCGCATAGTCATTACCGCCACCATCGGATGAAGACAGAGCCCTGGGTATTGCAGTAGGCGTGGTGTCGGTCATGCCTTGTAGAGGAACACCAGCATTTTTTGGGGCGCGTCAAGTTCAAACTCCGCGGGTCTCGGGCCGAGGGCAGCACTGTTTAAAGACCCTCCGATTACCCATTGAGCGTGTGCGTACGCTGTATCCCGTTGGCGCAGCGTGCGATACTGCTCATCCCACTCCTATTCTCTTTTATCCTATAGGCGATGGCGTTCCTCGCAGCAATCATCAAACCACTGGCATACATATCTGTACCCGTCGTTATACTCCGGTCGGTCGCTGCTTCGTCTCCCACGGGAAAATACTATGTGCGCCTTGGGATGTATATCGGCACCCTGACGTTCATCGCGACATGGGGTGCCGCCATCGCAGCGGGAATGTCGCTGGTGAACATGCGATATGACGTGAACATCGTGATTGCACGCTGTTTCTATGCTTTGGCAAGCAAGGTCATGAACATCGAAATCGAGATAGAAGGACAGGAGCATCTAGTCGCAGAACGCCCATCGGTGCTGATGATAAATCACCAGTCATTTTTGGATATCCTCATCGTCGGCAGGTGAGCGACTGTTCGTCGCCTTCTGCACAACTCGAATCTAATTGTGACGTAGGCTTATCCCGCGACGCACGTCCATTATGGCCAAGAGCTCTATACGGTGGACTCCTCTTGGACCTTTCATGATCATGTCTGGCGCTATCTTCGTTGACAGGGGAAATAACGCGCGCGCCGTGAGCTCGCTAAAGGCTGCAGGCCAAACCATGAAATCAGGTGGTGTGTCTCTATGGATGTATCCAGAAGGGACACGGCATCTTTCCGAACAGAATAACTTGCTCCCGCTGAAAAAGGGCGGCTTCCACCTCGCGATACAATCCGGGATTCCCATCGTTCCCATCGTCGCGGAAAATTATTGGTGGTTGTATCGGAAGGGTTTTTTCGGGACGGGCAAGATCAAGGTCCGAGGTGAGCATCTTGTCTTCCGTCCTGGTATTCTATTCTTTACGATATTTGCGTAGCCCTTCCACCGATACAAACAGCAGGTCTAACAACCGAGGACGCCTCTGCCTTGTCAGTTCGTGTTCATGAACAGATGATGGAGGTTTTAAACGAGATATCAATGAACTCGCCCTCTCAAGAGAAGACAACGAAGAATTCAATTTCGTCAGCGACTGAGTCTGTAGAAACAACCACCGTGGCAGAAACGAAGCCGTCTGTTGATGTCACTGAAGGAGACTCAGAGAAGACGCCGTTGGCGGTGGCGGGGACTCAGACCTCAACGCCCAGCGAGAGTGGAAGTGATAAAGTGAAGGGCGAAGTCAGCGAGACCGGAACGGAAACGGAGGAGGATGAAGGCATGGTTCTGGTTGGACGACCGGCGTAATGTGGCAGAGTGCAATAGTTATGCTTTCTTTGAAATTCTATTATGAAGACTAGCATTACAATCGAAGACATCAGGCAGTGCCTTGGTGAGTACATTGTCCTCGACATCATCGTCAGGTCCGACTTTTTTCTTCAGACCCTCAGGGCGCTTCTGTCAGTCCGAACCGTTCCTGGTAGAATGCCAGCTCTTCTTCAGTTGATCTTCTGATGCTGTCAGCTTTCCTCCACCCATGTCCCTCGCCTTCGAACTCGATATATTTCACTAATCCGCCATTAGCTTCTATAGTTTTAGCCATGTCCCGTGTCTGCTTGGGTGGAACGATGCGGTCAATAGCCCTGTAAGTAGGTAGTCACATAAGCCGTATTCCACCTATAATGAACCGTTTTAATCACCCTTGCATGATCTTTGCATAATTCGAGTGAGATAAATACTTATGCATGGGCACATATCCACATACCAGCACTGGCGCCTTGATCTGATTTGCTTGATAGAACGGTGAACGCTTCTTCCACAGAGCTGAATCCTCTTCCAGCGGCGCTCCAACAAGCCCAGGAATATGCTGCGACTGGAACTTGTGGCAGTTTACATGCAATGCAATGAGATCTGACGCGGGAAACCACGCCGTTCCAGCTTGAAAGCTATCGGTTGTCGTAGACAACGTCTGCAGGGTCGTAAAGCCTCCGCCGCTGCGACCACGAATAGCCGACCGTTTGACGTCGATCAGTCCACGCTTACCTAGCTCTCTCAGGGCTTCAACAGAGTCCCTAACGTCAACTACACCCCATTGTCCCTGCAAACGATCCATGTAATCTCGGCCGTACCCCGTCGATCCGTTATAGTTGAGATCGATCCTGTCACAGTAGTCTTAATCAATGAAATTGTTTCGCCCTTATCAGGATGACAACTTACCATGCCCATCCACGAGATGAATAGTATTGCTTGGTCCAATCGAGCGCCTGGTCCAGCTACCTTCCAAAATAAGTCTGATTAACGCTTTATGACGGAAAGGACGCTTTCACCATTGAGTTTGGCCCTCCGTGAAGGTTAAAGATAGCAGGTGGTAGTTCGCCTAGTAGACCACCTAAGTAGTCAGGATTCTTAGGGAGGTACAAGATAACATGAGTCGTCCTCGCTTCAGGAAGAACTTGCAACTCGACCGGTTCTGGTAGTGAGATGAGTTCCTTCGGGAAGGGCAGATCAGTTTTCTCCCGCAGCACTCTGTATACGGGTTTGTGATCTTGCTCAGACCAGCTGAACTCAATGACGCCGAAGTTATCATCGGCCTTTTTCCCAACAAAGACGACCTTGCCATCTCCCAAGTTGCGAACGTGTTGTATAAGGACAAAAGGAGTCTCAACCGGGAGGAACACCCCCGTATCGAGGTTGGCAAGATGAAGCTGGGACCTCCCACTGCGGAATGACGAGAACAGGACACGGCGCTCATCGTACATGGCGAAACTAGAAAGCCCGAGGAACCACGAGGGCTCTCCGAATTCTTCTTGTATGACAACGCACGACAGAGGCTCTGGCTTAGGAGCGGCACCAGAAACACCGCGTAGTATCCATGGATTCAAATAACCATCCTTGTCCGTCGTGAAGACAAGTTCATTCGCAGGAGTCCATGTTGGCTCTGCGTTTATCTTTCCGTTCCCACCAGACACTAGAACTGCGGCTCCAACAGATGGAAATGCGTCCGGGTCATCGGGGATAGAGAAAGGTGCCAACATAAGGTTGCTCGCTTGAATTGGCATGTAGGGAAAATTCCTGTCCAACGGGCATTCTATTCAATGCCCCGACGTCAGCTAAGAGAGCGTACCATTCTTTCCAGACGATAAAACGACCATCCGGGCTAAAACGCGGACTGCTGTAGAAGTCGGCACCGCTAACAATTATCTTGAACTCTTGTGTCAGCGTGTTGATGGCGATAAGGGACGTTTTGATGCCTGTGGCATTGTCGACGATATGGTCTTCAAGAATGGATACAAGCCATTTTTTGTCTTTGGGGTGCAACGTGAAATCACCGTAGCGGTAACTCGGGTTCTCTGTTCAATAACCTGTGAAAGGATGAACAAGCAAACATAAATCCACATACCTGGCGTCACTGCAGTTGGTATGGACCTTTTAGTGGCGTCAACTTCGTACACCCTGCCGTCCATAATGTTCGAGAAATAGACTCGTCCATCGTACGCCAGAGCAGGGGCTCCACCGTACTCGTGAATTCGAGAGCGGGCATTCCAGCTCGCCCCATATATATCCTGGTTGTCGGTTGCTGAAACGATGGCATTTCTTCCGCCTGGCTCAACCCATCAGCACTCGCTTCATCAGGTCACTGTCCGTCCTAGCTACCTTCTGATGGTCTCGATTCCAGAACATATAGATTCCGGGTTATATCGTCGACTAGTAGATCCTCAACACTGAGATCCTGAAGGTTTATTGAACACTAACGGTCCTCGATGGAGCGGATAGAGTACGAACCGCTTCAGAAATCAGTTTGGCGTTGATGGGCGATTTCCATGTTCCGTAAGGCGCGCGGGGCAGTGACGAAGCGCTTGGGCTCATTCTGTCGAACTTCTGAGTAGGCTCAGGATCTGCAGGCAAATGATTCAATCCAAGCCCGTGATGGTTGAGTGTGCCCTCTCCAACTCGCCGTGCTACTTCAGTTTGCAGGAGGCTACCCAACATATCATACATTGGGGTTATGTAGGCTTTTGACTACTGATGCAGGTGTACCGTGCAAGCCGCGACATCAATGAACAGTAAAAAAGGATCATTCCTTGAAGATGAAAAGATTCGAAAAAAGCGGAGTGATACGCGCTTCAACAATTCTTCACATGGTCCGTCAAGTACAAAATTAGAAGGAAGCTGATGATGATGACATGGACTTGCGCAGAAAGCGGCCCAAGGTCCAGGGCCGATGTATTCCCAACAGACGTAAATCAGACGCGTCAATGTAGTTCAGAGTTTTGTCCTACAGTGAATGAAACTTGATCTCGATTGTGATGGTCCTTAGTAAGACTATTGGCTTTGTCGACAATAGGTTGGGGCCACCAGGACGGAATGTAGACGCACGGACCGAGACTGCCGGCCAAATATCGACTTTATTTAAAATTGTGCTGGGGTATAGGTCGCAATATTCCGGCGTCTTGAATCAGTTTCCAATAGAAATAACATCTTCAGACGCGGTTTAGATTATGACACTATTGGCATATTGCTGTACCATTATATTTCCGAACAAAAACACGCCACTTAGGAGCTGTAAACCAAATGTGATAACCCAGCGCCGCCATTTCTCCTGCTCTAGAATAAGTCGATGACGAGAAGAGGGAAAAATGCACGAACCTCTCCAGTTTTAATGAGTCTTTCGCAACCCGATGAACGGGTCTGGGCGAGACAAAGTCTCTATCGCAATGGGTAAACTTCCAAACTCTCTGACCGACCGCACAATGTCTTGGGTGGCCAAAAATACAACGACAGCAGCGACGACATTGGCTACAAGGATGAGGATGATTATCCATTGGAGCAGGATCGGCCGATCTCCCTTTTGGTTGGAGGGCGGCTGGGACGCATCGTTGACAGCAAGTGGTTCGTAATAGTCTGAAGAGCGTGTCATGACCGTCGATAGGATAACGATGAACTCGATGACTACCCCGGTGCGACGCACACGAAATTATATCCCTCGAAGGTAAAGCGGTAAAGCGAAGGAGGAACACATGATACACAACCTAAACTGGTTTCAAATTCGGTTGATTGTATTAAGTGCCGTAAAGCTCGGGTTCTGAAGGAATGAGATTTATAATACTTGCCGAGCGCTTACAGACCCTTACCAACCGGAGCTGCCGCGATCTAACAAAAGGGGTATAGACTTAGTGGGATATGAAAAACAGCCCTGATAAGACTTCTCATACACCAGTTAGGATATTATTAAGTCCTTGAGCGTATCCAGTCCGGAGATATCATTTATAATACGAACCTTACTACTAGCAGTACAAGAGAGTCTAGATTCATTCCATGATAAAACAAATCATTAGTTTCTTCCTCGTTGAAAGGTCTAGGTCCGAGCCAAATAATGCCGCTTTGCTAAGTATATTGCGCCATTACCTGGTACCGCTGCATGTTAATACGAACTCGTTCACCAGCCATCTGTTGATCATAAGATTGGGCCACATGATCTTCTGAAAGGGGCATACCTGCAGAAGACAGTTTCGAGTCTGGTTCAAGAGGCACCCCCTTCCAATGTCTCTGGTTGTTGGCTGCGAATGAACGTACTTGAGTCCAATCACGACATCGGTGGAGGCTTCCGTAGAGCGTCCCTGGTGTGCCAGACTCTCCTGCTGGAACCAGCGTAGTATCTGCGTTGCATAGAATGCTTTGTCGAATGAGATCAAAGCAATGATTGGCATGATTGAAAGATGTGATGATGTCGCCCGGGTCAGAGAAATAGTTGTTACGGGCGGCGACATACGCAAAGCGAATACCGTTGAGACAGTGAAGTTGATGGCCCATAGAAATGGAAAAAGGCCGACCCGTTTGACCCATACGAACAAATCCATGGCCTGGGGGTACAACGGAGGCCCACTTCTTGTCATCGTCTAAAGGATAGATATCGCTGCCGTTTAATATTTCCATCGCAGCAGGCTGTATGTAGCTCGGTATTCGAGGAGGGAAATCATCTCCAAGATAAGCTGAAACACATAAATGAGGGTCACAATCAAGAACTTGGACTGCGTACAATACTCCTTATGATTTCGCGACGCAAGCATATGAGAACGCAAATGCAAACTGTGGTATGCGTTGAGGACCGTAGTACCCAAAGCGAATACGGACGCGATGAAGAGCAAATGTATTAGGTGCCCGTCATTAGACGAAACTTGGGGAAACATCTGGAAAGGCTAGATGGAAATGAGAGCATGCCTGGTCTCGCAGGTTGTTCACTTACCTAAGTCACGAGGTTTACTGTATCCTGGCTGTTGACGCTGAAGCTTCGAGACGGCTACAGCTAGTACAGCTCTGTGCTCCGAGTATACACAGCAATTTTTATGCTCCGTCTTCCCTGGGTCGAGATTCCAGTTAGTCTTCGTTCCAAAGGGGTACGAAACAACGTTCAGGGCTGATGACCGCGAGATGGGGCCGGCCCTGAGGAAAGAGCGCCCCACGCATGGCGCTGATGCATGGGCCACGTGTAAGAATAAAAGTTGATTTGACTGCCGAGAGGCCCAACATATACAAGTTAAAATAAGCCACAAATATAAAAAGGAGAATCATTATTTACAGCCTCTCTAGAATGGTGTTCAAAATCTAATCGCGTTCGCGGGGAGGGGGGACACGTAGTTGAAGTCCATCATGTCCTTCTATCACGTTGATCGGACAGTGTCAGTACTAGTTGTGCTTGTTTGACCACCTTCTTTCGAATCGTCAAATGATGTAACAACAGTTAAGCAACCATCTCTCTAATCTTTTCATTCGATCCCCTCAGGTCGTTGGATATGGCGTTCACGTCTGACGATGCAACTTTCATAGGATTTGGAGTGGATGCCATTCTCTATGGTGAGCCTGACATTGTCTCTATCATCGAATTTTACTTATTTGTCAGGAATCAATATCGTATTGGTTTTCACAGCTCTCGTCGTCCTTATCCTCAGGTCTCGCACAGTGAAGAACAAAGACACCTTGATTTTTATGACCTGCTTTCTCTTTTCGTTGTGTACTGCCCGCTTTGCGATCAATTTCCATAATGTTTACGATGGACTGGTGAAGTCTTCATCTGACAACTGTAAAAAGCTCATTTTGTGTTGTATAGCTCATCCATCCACGGCCGATCTCAGAAGAGACCAAGCTGCTGGAAGGAGCGGATGCGCTGTTCTACTTTACCGACTTCACTGCGGAAGTTGTCCTAGTAGGTCCCCAAGATGATAGATTCTGCTCAGTGCTCAAGGCTAAGCGACCATGATCCAATAGATATACCGTTGCTGGTTGGTATGGGGAAAGGATCATAGCGTCACTATTTTCCCGTTCTTAATGGCGTTGGGAGCTCTAGGTTCGATTTCATACTGGATTGCGTCATTAATCGATGTTCATACCGAAATGCAGGTTGCGGCATGACGAGCTTAGGTCTTCTCAACAAAATTGATGCGACGTCAAACCAGGCACCAGCAGCAATTGTTCCCCTCGGGACCTCTGGCTTTGCGTTGTCCCTCTGCTGCAACTTCTTCCTTACAGCTCTAATCGTTGGCAGAATCTGGTACATGTCCAGACAAATGAATAAGGCAATGCCGGACAAAGACGACTCCCTACCGAAAGCTATGAGCATAATGGTCGAATCCGGAACGTTAGTGTTAGTCGTTCAGCTCATTCTTATCGTCTTGTTTGCGATTAGACATCCGGCACAAGCTATTATGGTTCCCGCTGCTACGCAAATCTATGTCCGTCCTTCCTTGCCCTCCTTAGCGCGTCCTTGACTTATTCACTTGTCAGGGTATCGCGCCGACTATGATCATTGTGCGGTCCGGATTGGGAACTGCCTTCGAGCCGGCTGTTCCGAAGCAATCGAGTCTGCGCTTCATGAGCTTTATTCGGAAGACTCAGCATACCAGTGGTGCCACTGATTCGACCGACGTCACTGATTCAACCAAACTACCTGAGTGGGAACTCTCTGTGCACAGTGGAATGGGACAGTCAGCATCATTCCTTCGAAACGATGTCGATGGAAAACCAGATTTCGATGAGGTGTGACCCTGAGTTTAGTGTTGGGTGAGTATCAGCGCACACCCAGAAGTGCGATACCTCACTCACTCTTTCAATTGATTAGGTTGTGTATTTTTCTGGTATTTATATTTGTAAAACTATATCGTTCCCGTGAACACCGCGGTTTTTATCGCTCTCCCGGTTCCCATTATCTGTTTTGCCTTTTGACCGCATCTACTCTTTTGCACTCTGGAGTTACACATGTCCATTTTCTTCTTATAGAGGTTCTCGTCTTCTTCGTTCCTATCATCAAATTCTCCTTCGCTGAAGCTAGGACTTCGACATTTATGATATGTCACGAAGCTGTCCATCAGACCTCGACCTAATCTCTGGATGTAAATGAATCTGAACGAAAATATCATATTGCGAAGCTTCGTTTCTCCCCCGGGTTCATTGGACGACAGTGGCCACGCAGTATGTGCAAAGGTCTAGACTGTCTGTACAGAAGACGTCGAGATCGATGACCACTATCTAAAGATTCGTAACATGTCACCATAAATTTGAGTGGATGCCTATCTGGTCTCCTGCCTACAAGTCTGCTGTTGTCTCACTGTTGGTTATGCGTGTATGTGAACACGCCGAAATTTTCTATCAAACGGGGTCCGAAGTTCTTTCATCTTTCCAGGTAAATCATGTTTGCAGTGGTAACACTGAGCTTTACTGTAGCTATTCGTTCTTGCGCTCGGAACCAAAGCCCGAAGAGGATGGCATTGACATGAACTCCGATGAATAGTAGAGACACGTCTCGTTAAACGCACTTCTTGAATGCGTAATTGGAGCTGGATGGGGAGAATGTGGGCTTGGCAAACTGATTCTAAATGATACCCATTGCCAACTACCGATAGGAGATAATTAACTCCAGCTTAGGAGATCTAGTGTAACGAAGATGGTTCTCGATCTATATATCCTCTAACGATCCCATGACTTTTGGTTTTTTTCAACGAACTCCCTCACCTGGACCCAATCCCTGCAAATATGATCAACATGATTTCCGGTCACTGCCATATCAATCGAACCATCCGACAAAACAACTACCTCTCCGGGCTCCAGCGTAACGTCTGCGGTACATAGTACGGTTTGCCTTAGAACATCCAGGCAATACCCTGTCTCTTTGAAGTCAACGGAATCAATGGCGCGTGCTGGTGACTCGTCATTGAACACGTCTCGAAGTGCCACGAAGGTAACGCGAACGGTATCCAAGCATTTCAGCTGCAGGTACAACGAGACGTCGTACTTGCTTCCGTTCAGCATGATCTGGCCGCCATGCGGAGGAAACAGAGTGGCCCATTCATCATCTGACGTGATACTGTAGTTCCCGAACTCGAATCTCAACACGGCGTCGTTGATTCGTTCCGTCAAATCTCTCATTTCTCCCTGTGTATGTAACTCTTTGACAAAGTCAGATCTGAGGATATAACACGGGACTCGACGATGTCTTACCTACGAAGGATGAGTATTCTGGCGTTGCATGACGCGCATACAGCATGCTGAGTATGTTGAACACCGTGCCGATTGAAAGCAAAGTGATGCCTAGCGTCAGGAAAACAGGGTGCGCCATGGGAGGAAGCATGTTGGGTGTAAGAGGGGTAACGGTTAGTCGCATTACAACTTGGCTATAGTGGAAGAATGCCGGGCGCGCATACTACACCCCCATGGAACACAAGGAAGGACTCGTTTAGCTCGGACAAAAATAATTCATGCGGATATTTTACCGCCCGATCTAACGCTGTGATGCTGTTGAAATGATCTACATCAGAAGCTGCGTCACGCTTAGAACATCCGTTTCTACAGGCGAAGCTACGGACCATGCCACATGCCACATGTACTGCATTGGATCTACTGAAGCTTTACACGGAACAAAACATGATTTCACTTCGTGCTTAGATAGGCTGAGTCTGGATGTAGATAGACGGCTGAATCAAAGATGGACATTTGGGACCGTTGAAGGGTAATGAAAATTGCATGATCTTGAATCACAGCCACTTTGTGGTATCTTGAGTACCATCAGACAGTGATGTACCATTCTGGAGCCGCGCCCTACCTCGGGGGAGAATTGCCGTTTGTGCCATGAGAATGAATCATCAGTTTCAGGAACGTCCAACGTATATAAACCACGACCTGCGCTTTACAAGAGCATCACTCCTTTTTCACCGTCAGAATGAAGTTTACATTGGCCTTTTTATTAGTGCTAAGTGCTGCGACCGCACAAGCATTATACCTTAATACCGGCGAGTTACCTTGACTATATTTGCTCCTTCCTGTTTTGTTGATTGCTTTCGCAGATGTCCAAGCCCGTAAGGCCTTTCTTACTTCTAGATGTGCCAAGCTGATTTGCATCAAGCTTCTAGGCGTAGCTTCCTGGCTGGAGAGGCAGAGCCAGCGAAAGAAGACGTCAAAAGGTCGGATTGAAATACACCGGTCAGTGATGTAGATATATATGTAAATCAACGTACTGAAAATTTTCCAAAGTTATTGCGAGGGTATGGAGACATGGTCTTTTACCGCGGAAGGAGCATTTGAATATCCAATGATACGCGTATACCAATATGATATTTATCTGGCAACAGAGATAAGAAAGCAAGAAAACTGATGATACGGAAGATATCAATCGAGGGAAGGCGTGTTCATCGGCGAAGGAGTTCTGCAAGTTCCTGGGCTCAGGAGCAAAGAAGTTATGTTTCACATGGAAGAGCCCAAAATACGTCCACATGCGGTAGTGTTCTGTGCCTTCAAGTTCTTCTGCTCGACAGCTTCTCTTTTATGGTCTATCCGATTTATTATAGGAAGAATAAGAGACTTTCAATGGCGGCCAGCCACAACTAGGACAGACTGACCAGAAAGAGAAAGTAGAACTCCGTAATGCGGTTGGTTATGCATGGCGCAAGCTTCTCTGCCAGTCTGAGTATACGAGTGTTCCGTAAACATCTGCAAGAATGCTAAGCGCTGACAATAAGTCATGACATATATGAACAATGACCGCCGCATGCACTGCGGAAAAACAGAGGGGCAATAGAGACAGAGAGGCATGAGCTACGCTCCTAGCACGGAGACAAGCAGAACTGGAAATCACCAAAGATCAAGACCAAAATTTACAGATGTAATACTAGAGTTCATACCTCAGGTATGTATCAAAGATGCGTCGACGTGTATTGACGCGTCGCAAAGCCTTGAATGCGCGGATTGTGTGGGGAACAGTGTTCCCAGACAAAGACCAGAGTTAGCTTGATGGAAGTTGACCCACCGTCCTGCATCCCGGCGGAAAAGCGGCATTGATCAAAATCAGATAAAATTTACAAAGGGTAGGACATGCGTCACGCGGTGCAGACACCGCCCGACGCGGACACCGAAACATGAACAATCTGTACGGGGATAAGTCAATTACCATCTGATGATGAATATGCGCGAGTGAACGTGGTACTAGAAATTCGAGAAATAGAAGCGCCAGTACCAGCGATATAAAACCGCCTATCGTCCAAGAAGAGTCCTTAGAATGAAGTCCATCTTTGCCTTGTTGTTTGTGCTTTGCGCATCCTTGACGACTCAAGCGTCTGTTATCCGTCGTGGTTCGTTCTCTCGACGGTTATCTGGTTGCACTGCGTTAACTGTTTCAGCAGATGCGACCGCTCCTGCTATAGTCGCCCGTGAAATAGCTGACACTACGTATATCCGTATGACTGCCCTTCCTGTGGTGCTTCTAAGCTCATTCAAATGGACCACAGGTGCCAATGCCGATATTGAGAAGCGTAGCTTCTTGGCCAACGAGGCAGAGCCTTCCAAGGACGAAGATGAGAATTAGTGAATGCTGACGCGCATGGTACGTCTATCCGAAGAAGTTGCGTACGTCGGCCTGACTTCCCCCCGAGGGTCTTTCATTCGCTGAATAGTAGTTCTCCTCGCGATGTCAATGTACAACACAGTAGATGGTTGACACACGTATGAAGTTGAGCTGTGACATCTTTGCTGAGAGGACACGTATATCTTGAAAATACCGACAACTATTGTCACAGTCGACTCGGAAAGCTTAAAGCCCAGAATATATTGTGATATTCTACCGGAAGTCAGTCCCAGGTTGAGTACTATCGGCGGCAGCAAGGACTGACAAGATTCCGAGTCTATTCTGACAATGTGAGTGGATTATTGATAACTAAGAGGTTTACGAGCACCAGTCTTTCTCAAGCTGTCATTCATCGTTGTTGAAGCATCATTGCAGCTTTCAGCGAACAATGAATCCATAATGATCTGAATCCAGAGTACAACTAATGAATGAGTTGAATCACAGCGAAGGTGATGATAGGCCTGACCATCCACCTGCAGTTGGGGAGACGTGTCAGAATGATCAATGGCAAGTGCAAAGGTTGCGCCCAGTGACAGATCCGAGTTGTTGCAACTGGATAAGAACATCCTGGAATAGGTAAAGACTGGTTCAGTGAAGAGCTTCTTGATGTCGACTCCTTTTCAACGTCGAATCTGGATGGAATCATGATCTATTATCTTTGTTAGAAAAACAACTGACACTTAACATACCTTCGTACATTAAACGGTTTCCAATTGCCGTCAAGCGATAGCTAGCTGCAGGCCTGAGGCTCCGGCGGGCAATCCTTCTCGATGGGAGTTGCCTAGGTCTGCCGGTGAGCCAGGAAATGTGCGGATTATCCATGCAGGGAAAAAAAGGACCTAGTAGCTGCTTTGTTCAGGCTGCGCGATCCCATATGACAAACCTTCCTTGATACTGACGTTTGGAGTGTCGAGGGTCGTTTTACATCGGACCGGATCTTCGGACCGATAGCCTTCCAAGTCGCTTTTTGCAGAACAAAGGGCTTGGTCTGCTGTTTCTGCGCCGATCTTAGTTTTTGTTCCTGAAACGGCCATAGACCCGTATCCTCGTAACGTCTGGGAGTATAAAAACTGCTTAATGGGACTGCCAACCTTGAGGGCGAACAAGAAAAAAATTTCCCTCCCTCGCACATCGCTCCAAGTCGTGCTTGTCGCGCCTGTGAGCTGTGGTATATTGTGAAGGTCTTCTGCAGATGTATGTCTTTCTGACTTTATATAGGTATCTCGCTGACCTCCTACGAGATTCAATAATGGCGGTAGCCGCAGCAACTTCCGTCACCGTCAAAGACGAAGAAATTACTCCTCCTCGCAAGAAACCCCACTGTAGGATGTGTGGTATGCCTATGCAGGGCCACCACCGTGAACCCATTTACGGTACAACCGTATGTCCTTCTGAAGATATAGCATACGTGTCCTCCGTCGCAGCCTCCGGGTTCCCACCTGTCAAGGAGGAAGACGTCAAGCCTATTATTCGACGTACTCCGAATGCACGAAGGAGAAAGAGTCGCGTCCAGTTCACTCCCGGACCAGAGGTTCCCCAGCCCCGTCTATTCACCAAGGAAGGCATAGTCGAGAGCTCGAGAATGCCAGGGTCCATTGCACCCGATAACGAGCTCATGCATGCCCCTCCCCGAATGGCTACTTGGTGCCAGCTCGGTTTTGTCGGATTCATGGGCGGCGCGTCTTTTTTCTTACTATTTTATTTAGTACTTGTTATCTCCGATTGATGGGCCCTAGGCTTGGGGAGAAATCCGGGGAAGACTTGTATGATATACCTGTACTACCATCGTCAATTTCCATCTTCGCTCCGCTCAGTAATGTTATCTTGTCGTCCAAGTATCGATTTGGTGATCCTTCAATGATCTCGACATCCAGATACATTGTGCACTTCATTTCTTTGTGGGAGGAGTGTCTTCTTGTTTCGACTTGCCATCCAGTCACGGACAATACTTTTTCTCCGAAGTGACGAGTAGTATTCACTGCCAGCAGATACTCAAAAGTAATCTATTGCCGTATCCACTTAATGTTCTCAAGTGTCAGCACACAGCATTTAATCCATTTGCACGCAACAGTCTGACGATAGATATAGCGGCAGATCCTTTTCTTCGACAGAAGAACGTGAGGACTCTGACAGACTATAACCATACGAATCCTTGGACGGAGAGATGACAACACTAACGTTGATATTCCCATCTATTGAAAATGAAGCGCGGCCTGTCAGCAAAGGATAGTAAATGCATTGCTTCAAAAATGCTGCGGCGAAGCTTTGAAGGCAAGAGGCATGTCGTACGAGGAGTTTTCGCCCAAGGGGCATAATCACGTTAGTTTGGTGTTTGCGCTTGGGACAGGGCAGGGCGAGGAGTGGGCGGAGGATGTGGTCAAGTGGATTTATGCCCCGCGGGCCTTGATTACATGACCTATCACATTCTGTGGACGCGTTAGACCAGCATGCAGAGAGCTCTTGAATGAAAAATAGCACGATACGGTATTACATAACCCAATAACAATAGCTTTCCTCCAATCGGTGCGAGGATTTACATCTATAAAATGATGCCAAGGTTCTCGCAGAAATATCACTCCAGGTGGGAGTCGAACACATCCCTCTGTCCGCAACAACCAATGCACAAGGAACGTGTAACCTCTAGCCATGGCGCAATGGAATTACCTTTCCCCGAGGCCTCGAGGGCTAACATAAGCATCCTGGGTGTGGATTTGCAATTCAAGTGTTACCACGAGGTAAGGTAGAAGTACGTCGACCCAGGAATGCACGACGACTTTAACTTGGGACGATGTCCACGAAGAAGGAGCCGAGGTTGTGGTAGATGATAGATGCGGGGGCCGGGAGCGTGCACGCCCCTGTGTAGAATCCGCCACCGTATGAGAAGACGAGGATTGGGAGCGTCGAGGGCATGGCAGTCGGTGGGACCATATTGGTGTGTTTCTCGCGCCGTCTTCTCGATTGACGCGCATTTGGTTTCGAGGATGGGGGACGAACGCGTTTAGTGCTATTGAAGGGTATCATCGTTGATTTCTCTCCCTTGGATCTCTGCAATTTTCTCCATATTTTGGTGGATGTCTACCACTAGTTCCGCTGCCTTTTGTACTCTAAGTCATCTCAAACGGTACATGGAATACTGCTATGCGATTGGTGAGCTGCAGCCCGACTCGGTCGAAGATGAGCGAGAGGCATTACTCGCCAGCCAACATCAAACAGAAGATGACGCTTGAGGAACAAGGAGAGTGCGAGCTTATGCTGGATGAGGTTCAAGGGGAAGCTGCAAATTCAAATCGGAACTGTCACAACCTTTCTGGTTTATCGCCGACAGGCAGTGGCAACTATGTGCGAAGGCGCATTTACTACCGTCGCTTACGCGGTGTTGAATGTTATCTGCATCATGGTCCCGCTTCAATCTCACTCTGTTCTCCAGTGTCATTGGCGCCCCAATTCAGCAGATTTGGCAGGACATCTTCCTTGAAGTGACTGTCTGAGTATGCACTGGACCACGGTTTCTGGACGAGAGCCTGCGTACCGTGCTCCAAAACATCTCTGGCGACATGGCTACAAAAAAACACGACTCCTCGCGAGCAACCAGTCTTTTGAACTCGATGAATAAGTACATAATGGTTAGCTATTTGAACTGCACGAATTGTTTCTGATCTTTCCCTCGCCGAAGGCTTGTACTTGTACTTTGGAGATAGTATGCACTCCTCTGCATAGACTTCCATCCCTTTGATGTCATATCAGTTCTTGCACTCACATCTCCTTCACAGAAGCTAGGTTCAATTCCCAGCTACAGAGTTATGCCATGAGTTGTCATCATTTTTGCAAACCCAGAGATGACTCTAGAGTCCCAGAGTCCCAATTCAAGTTCTCTCTTTCATAATCTTCTGGTTGTCCTCACTGCAGACACTTGACAGCTTGTGCTCACTGCTTATTTATAAATCAACTTTGGTGTGACTGAAAGAGTGGGCATTTTTGTTGTATTCTCAACTTGTGGGTTTCTTTGGTCTGTGTTCAACATCGCATTTGACTAACTGGAAATAAGCACCCAATCTGCTGGGTTTGAATCCATGTTGAGAAGATCTGCAATAGACAGCAAGAACTATTCTCTATGATTCCCCACTTGAAGTACCGCAATTTGTTTGGCAAGGTTCAAGGACCTTGTCTTCTTGTTTCTTCTAGTCTCTTCCCTCTCTCTCTTTTCTCATCATGGTCTCTTTCAGTGCAATGGTTAGTGGATATCACATCATGTGTTCGATTCTCTTAGAGATCAATGTCCAGTGCAAGTCAGGACCCTTCAAACTTTTTGTCATGCCTCCATTCCACTTCTGCTGTTCTGAATTTACAGAGAAGATGTATGCTTCCTTGACCAGTTTTCTTTGTCCCTTTGATGGTGTATCGGTTCGTACACACACATTCACTAGGTTCGACTCCAGCTACAGGGTATTCCTTCTTGTTTGCTTGTTTTTTTCGGCAAACCCAGCGACGACTCCAGATTCCAGTTGATCATCTAGCTAGCAATCCGTGTTCACATCGACTGTCTTCGCTGAAGATTAAACCTAGCAATCAACTTGGTATGCTTATATGTGTCAGAGTGATATGGCTCGATGCATATACGTTGAATTTGAATGCGCGAACGTAGAACCGCTTCTCTTCTATTATACTCCTACTTCCAGTCTACGGGATTTGGTGCGTTCCTTTTCACTTCACTTCAGTGTCAGCTTTGACTATCTGGAAACAGGGTATCGAATCTACTGGGTTCGACACCCAGCGAGAAAATCATCAAATCTGTTGTCATTTTTATTTTGGCATTTCCTCTACCTCGAGAGATATGCTCCGCAGGGGGTGCGGCAACTTATTCAGGAAGACCTCGTCTTCTTCAAGTTGTTTCATACATTACTACGGTCTCTGTCGGTACAATGGTTAGTGCACATCGCATCATGGATTCGGTTCCCTCAGAGATTAATAACATCATCCTATCAAAGGTGAGAACTTTTTCTTGCCTTTCTGTCTGTTACATTTCTGATTTCAGAAGAAAAATGCATAGACGGATGCGGTTTGTCAGGCAACACAGGCATGAACTTGTCTTTATCCTAAACCCTACCACGAGCTCTGTAGTACAACGGTCAGCACTGTACATTACGTCTCGGGTTCGATTGCCCAAAAGATCATCCGGAGTTGCAGCCTTTTTTGTCGCTCCACTGTCGTTTCTGCTAGGGTTCGCAAGTTCTGATTTTCGAACAAAGCACATAGGTGATTAATTACATAACTAGCTTTACAATGAGCACATCAATGACTATATCTAGTCCTTTCAACTCTTGGGCTGGACCGGGTGGCGCCGATAGGACTTTAGGTGCAAGTCTCATCTCTTACAGAAGAACATCTATAAGTAATCTATTCTGTTCCCCTGGCACTTGCTCATTCTAAATTCCTAAACACATTCATCATAGCTGTGTCTCCTGCACACCCAACAATTTATAATACCCTCATTACTTGATCTGATCCTGCCAGGACTTATTCTCTGAAAGTGCATCAGCTACTACATGCTGTCAGGTTCAACTCCCAACCAGAGAGCTGGTGACATTTTGTCCATGGCTTTCTTTTGTCTGGCCTTCATAAAAGGAGGAGAGGGGTAACTGCATGCATGCTATTTGGTTTTCAAATGTGTGGAGTGGATATCCCTCAAGTCATCAGTTTTGACTGCTTTGTGAGCTGTGATCACTATGATTTATCTTCAAGTGTGGCTAAGCACTAGAAGGGGTTCTGGTCTATTTTGTGAAGGCAGAGTGTCAGTCAAAGTTTGAATATGTAAACAGTTTTGAACTGCAAATAAAAATGGCTTGCTTGCTTCCTCCTCATTTGTCATGTGTGTATTGGCAATCATGAGTCTTAGGCTGGTAGCAAAAAGACTACTAGATGCAAGAACCAGTTGTTGATCCTATTCTCTTAAACTATTTGCCATCACATTCAACTGGCAGCTCTATTAAAGATTTTTCAAAAGAAAGTTTTATATTCTGTTGAAGTGGCATGCTTCTCTTGGTGTGCTGTGGCAAGCTGACCAACATATAATACTAGAAGGTGATCAAGTAGAATCAGCTGGCTGTGTATAATTTCATACACATCTTGTGCTGCTCTGTAAAAAGATTATGCACACCAGAAGGAATCATTTCTTGAGTTCATTGCTGGATTTTAACTTGCAACCCTCCAGCACCCATCTATGTAGTTCTATACCTATCAGTCTCACCCAGATGATGGTTTGGCCAAACTTAGAAACAGAAGTATTTATGGCCCCAAGCAAGATTGACCTGAAGTTCATAAAAGTGTGGAAGAGCATAAACTGCATTTTTGAAGACAAGGACCTGCTCAAAGAATCTCCATTGTGAAGAAAAAGCTTAGAGCCAAAACTCATGGGTCATTAGAATCCTATGAAGTGACAGCTAAGATAAAAAGTAGCACAGCAATGAAATCAAATGCAATCCTTCATCAACCTCTGTTTCAAATGTGCATTGGTGATGAATAGCAACAACTGGATTGATTATGTTAAAATAGATGGCAATGAGGCTCCAGATGAGATCATGGTCAGAGATATATATAACCAGAAGTTTCAGCACTGGGTATTGTCTGCTTTCACTATCAGAGTTGACATTTATGAATCATGAGCACATAGCACAAAGCAAGACACACAGAATATAAATCAAAATGCTTTAGGAGTCATACCATGTTATTGTTTCTCATGGACTGTTTTTGATAGATAGGATCTTTGAGAGGAGTGAGAACTGCTTGATGGTCCAAAATACCTCTGGCTAAAGCTCCTGAAATAGTGAAGTGACAATTGTTTCAAATATTTTAAGGCCAGATGCCAAAAGACCTCCTTCAGCACCAAAACTTCAGTCTTGTCCAGGTGTGCAAGAGTATATGAATATTGGTAGATGTTCAGATGACTCTCACTCTGCCATTCCTTAAACTTCCTTTGGATAGACTTACATCCAGATTGAGCTACAGCAACTTTAAGAACTCACAGTCAGTCTCTCTTTCAGCATATATTTTAACTTGTGTATGTGTCATTCTAAACAGTGAACATAGCTGTTCTCCACATGTTAATATTTGTATGATCAAACAACAAATAGCAATAGCAGCATGGCAACATATCTAACATCATATCAAGATCTCTTTGAGCTTGAAGTGGCAGGAAGAGAATCTTGTGTATGGCTATGAAAAACAGTGCCCAATCTAAGCATAGACTATGGAATACAAGACTGGTATATTCTATTTCAAATGATGTGGTGCCATAGAACCCCTGATACCCCTTGTATTCCATATACTACTGTTGAACTCCATAAAATATGGATTTCTATTTTTAGATGCTCTAGCTTGCATGAATATTCTGATTCATGTTCTCCATATTCCTTGGAACACTTACTGATTTTAGTGGTGATCATCTTATCATTCATTCTAATCTATTCTACATATCTGGTAGTATAAAGGCACTGTAATACTAGTGTGATTGCTGTGAACATTAGTTCTTACTCACTTGACTCTGAACTGCAGGTTCTAAAACTCTGGTCTGGAAATATTGTAAGTAGAGAGCAGAGTAATGTACAGAGGATTAGAATTAGCCTCTTGAGAGAGAGATGTTCTACTTAAATACATTTTGTATTACTTCAAGATCTTTCTACAAGATACTAAATAAGTCCAGATCATGATCCAAGTCAGCTGCCACTGACTGGCATTGTATCTTTGAGTATGTTCTCATACTCACTCAGGATTGCTATCCCAACACTCCCCCTCAATTCTGAATTCCTAGAATATCTGCAGATAGATACTCATGTAATGGTCTTAGTAGACCTTTAGTGAATATATCTGCTAAGTTCTCCTCTGATATGCAGTGCTGAACTTTGACTTCATTTGAAGCCATGCACTTATGAATGAAGTGGTGCCATATGTTTATATGCTTTGATCATGCATAGAATATGGGGTTTTCAGCAAATTTGATTGCTGATTGATTGTCAATGAAAATAGTCATCACTTCATAAGGTGGCAATCTTAATTTGATTAAGAGTGCTCATAGCTAAATTACTTCCTGGATTGTGTGTGCAAGGGCCATATATTCTGCTGCCATAGTGGATAAGGCTATAGTGGGCTGTTTCTTTGAACTCCAAGTAATAGCTTCTCCTGCATAGATACAGACATAACCAGATGTTGATCTTCTATCTGTTTTGTCTTCTCCTCAGTCTGAGTCTGAATAAGGTATCAGCTCATCTATAGTCCCTCCATATGTGATTCCAAAGTCTAGAGTTCCCTTCAGATAGTGGAAAACTCACTTCAAGGCTGTGACATGCTCAGCAGTCAGATTCTGCATATACTTGCTTAATTCGGTGACAGCATATGCAATGTCAAGCTGGGATCCATTAGCTGCATACATTAGTGATCCAACACCAGTATAGTAATATTGTCTGGTGGCTGTGTCAACACCTTATGAGTCTTCTGTCAGAATTTTCTCTAGCCATACATTCAGGTCCATAGGTATTTTGACTGGTTTGCAGTCATTTATGCCTATCTGCTCAAGTACTTTGAGAATATATGCCTTCTGGGATAGAGTGATAGTGCTCTTATCCCTATTCCTGTCTATCTTTATGCCCAATATATATTGAATCTCCCCCATGTCTGTGATATTTAGCTTCTTCTTAAGCTTTTCTTTCATTTTAGACATAGTTTTATCATCTGGGGCAAGCAATATCATGTCATTGACATGTACAGCTATGATTATAGGACCAGAACCTATTTGTCTGATGTACACACATTGATCACTGATCAATCTGATGTATCCAAGTCCTAAAAATGTAGCATTTAATTTGTCATTTCAAACTCAGCCAGATTGCTTGAGTCTATACAATGTTAATTTGAGGTGTGCTGCTTTTCTGCTCCCATCTGAATATTCAGGTGGCTGTGCCATATAAATAGATTCATTGAGTTTACCATTTAAGTAAGCTCCAACAATGTTCATTCCATGAATGATTAGGTTTCTTTGAGCAGCAATTGCTATGAGTAGGCAGAATGTGTCCAGTCTGATAACTGGTGCATATGTCTCAAAGAAATCAATGCTGGGTATCTGTAAAAATCCTTTTGCAACAAGTCTGGCCTTGTATCTGGTGATTTTCCCATCACCATCCCTTTTCAATCTGTAAGTCCACTTGCAATCTATAAGAGATCTGTCTTTGGGTAATTCTTTCAGCTACCATATGCTTAGAGAAGTTAATAGATTGTATTCTTTATCTATTACTTTCTTCCAATGATGCCAGTCTGGCCTTGTCTTGGCTTCTTCAAGGCTTAATAGCTCATCACTGAAGTTGTCTGCAGTTTTCTATTATGATTTTTTCTATTTTTTTTTTTTTTCTGGAAATGACCCCTATCTTCACTTAGTCAGAGCACTTAGACCAGTGCTTAGGACTGTGAGAAGGCTTAATCAGCAATCCAGTCAGTCATTGTCTTGATGTGCTGCTGTGTGCTGTGAAGAGAGAGATAATACTCCTTTTGTCACCTAACTGTGGTGCAGCAGTAACAGCACAACAGCAAGACAACAGCTTTTGTGGAAAGCCTGGCAACAGCAGAGATAACAGCTCTACAGCAGACAATATCTTTTGTAAATGTTTATTTATAGCTAGATAACAGAACAGTATTTAAGTAGTGCAGTTTTCACTGTAGTAGCTCTAGTATTAAGCTAAAGTTTATTCTCTACCATCTTATCTTGAGCTACTTGCCATGCCTTGACTACACAATGCTATTGACACATCAGTGAACTCTGTCAGTCTAACCTGAAGTGCAAGGTTCTGAACAGTTTATCACATGTTAATAGTCATGTGGAATTTGGGCTTAACAATTAGCTTAATGCTGATCATTCTCTTTCTCAAGCCCAATTGTGCTGAGGAACCAAATGCCCTCTGTCCTTAACCCTTCCAATCCAAACTTTACTCATGAGTTCTTCAAACTCT